CACTGTGACTTATTGAGTACGCATTGAGCACAAGGCACCGCGCCATCACAGCGCACCCGATGCAAGCGGCAGAAGTTACATGCTCGGCGCACTTTTCTTCTCTTGACCAACGATCCTGTCCGTGGCGGAGTAAAATTGTAGAACATAGCTAGTGTGACAAGCAGAGAAGAGAGTACTTCTATGTAAGCTTATTCTGAATATCAGAGAAGCCTCGCTCGCGGTCGTGGAATGACACAGGTGGTCTGGGGTTTGGCAACGACAGGAGAATCTTGATCGGTGGATTTACGGACCAGCTGCCCAAAGGGGTATTGGAGGCTTTGTCCAATTGGAGACGCAGGAATGGATCGTGAGGCTCCACTAGTAAATGATGTGGAGTTCACAGAAGTGCGCGTCCCTTTTCCTTCTTCTTTAAGGTTAGTGTTCCGTTGGCACTCGCTTGTCACTTGTCCGCCTCACATTTCAGATTTGATTGTGAATTACTCATTATGACAGAAACGACTTGATCTATGACGAATTTCGCGGTCTTTTCCTCCCCTGATTGTAATATAAGAGAGAGTAGGAGCAAATATTTCATAGTAAATAGAAAGGAATCATGAGCAAAAGATAATTTCAATACTAACACATATCATCACTTTTATGATTTGCCTTGAGGGTTGGTGCAACGAGATTATCAGTCCCGCCTCCAGACAACCATGGAAGAGCGCGCTCTTGCAGTTCCGTCCAGGTCATCGCTGCAGAGAATGAATGACCAAGCAGATGGCGTGTAAAGAAGGACGATTCCATCTTCTTCACTGCATACTCCCAATCCGTAGTATACTCCTTGAAGAATGGTTTGTAGCCTAGAAGGCCCCCGATCCAACGACCTACGATCACTCCGCCCCAGTATCCGATAAACTTCCGCAAATGGTTGGGTAGCCACGCCGGAGGAAGAAGATAGGCATCCCCGCCATCATATGTCTTTGCCAGTCATGAATAAGAAAATAGAGTCCAAGGAGCTGAATGGAAAAAGGGGGAGGTGCTGCACATACACAGAGTAACTGGATCAGATCCATCTTGCCTTCATGCACCAAATAATCATGCCACAGCCCATACCAGTTCTCGAAGAAGACCCGGTCAAGCTGATAATCAAGGCCAGGATCAGATGCACTCAGAATAATAACCATATCTTCGGTGCTATCGGGGGCTATATAGAATCGATGAATGGAACCAGCCCGGCCCATGATTTCTCCATCTTCGGGGGTGAGAATTTGAAGAACGCCGTCAATCTCGACGCACATCCGACCCTGTTCTACACGAAAGTACTCGTTTTGAAAAGGGTGGAAGTGGACAGGCGGGCCGGACGGATGATGAAGAGCGGCACTGATACGCTCGTAGTCAGGGTCGCTCTCATCAATAGTGGGTTTTAGACAATATCTCTGGCGGAAGCAAAAGCATCGACCGGGAGGTGGTTCGAGAAATTCGGTCACTAAAGCTCCTCCAAACCTATGCAGAAATGATTCTTTCAGCTGTGACTTCTTTCCTAGGGATCCCTTTAATCCAACAAACTTACTTTACAACGGGGTTGCTCCCTGCAGAAACATGGTAGGGAATCAGAGGAGGCATCACGGGCAATTAGATTAGTCCCAAACTGAGAAAGTGTGGGACAAGGAAGTGATATCCAAATGCTTCATGGCAAGAGATCGGTTTATATATTCCCCGACATTGGCCGTTGCGTTATCTTCACATCAGCCCTAGGCGGGACATTTACATGGTGCATCTCAGACCCCTGCATCAAATAGGCATCCTAAAAAACTTACTCAGGCCTGAGTAATAAGAATCTAGCCAGTCTAGTAGATCTCACGGGCTTTCTTGGGAGTAAGTGAATGTAGCTAATAGTTAGTTTAGGCAGGCTGGATCCAGATCAGGCCAAACAACGTAGCTTCCTTATGGTGCAGGATTATATTTCTGGCTCTTAGATCGGCTTGGCAAGCTGAAGACCGGTATCTCCCGATCAGATGAGGAATTAACGTGGCGGTGGTCCGAGCCGAGATGAAGCTCGTTCCGTGTATCACCATACTTAGACTGCCTAATCGGTATGACAGGCAAGCTCGTCGGCATGTTCCTCTGACCAGTGGCTTTCTTCGGCCCCCACGTTGCATTCTGCAGATTCTGAAAAAGACGGAGATCCCCAACCCTAAATTTACAGCCAATAGGATTTCGAGGAACAAATTATGTACCGACTTGACAATTTGAATAGTTTGGGTGTTGTTTCGATTAGCGCAGCCGTCAGCTGCGGACTTCGGCAGTCAGCATCCCGAAGCTCTACCGAATGCCAAGCGTGGTAGGTAATGCACCAATCGCAATCGCATTATAGACCCATTCACTAATTTATCCGGTGAAGATACACCTTACAAAGTGCCTATCATCCTAGTCTGTTATGCCCTATATTCTGTCGGTACACCATGCATGAGTTGACTTCAGCATCGGAAATGGAATCTTGCAATTTACCAGTCCGATACTCTGGCTTTGCATTTCGCAGTGGTGTTTGATTACACAGACCAGATCGGATTTGACTTACTCAAAGCCTTTCGATGACTAAAGGTAGTCTACTGGTTGATAATGAAATTTCAACTCCGTCTCAGCTGGCAATAATTATCAACTCCTCTGAAACCTAAAGAAAGTACGGATTATTGTAATCAGTGTTGGTGTACAGATTCATGCATCAAGCACCGAATATTGCAGCTCGATCTTTAGATAGGGCGTTACCAGGAATTGTCATCGAATTAACATGAATCGAATAATACTGAGAACTCCGAGAGGATATAAGGGAATGGCTTGCGATGCAAGAGCCTTTACGCGACTTTCGGGCTGAATGATGTTAAGCCGATTTATCATACACACATGCATTGGCTGTTCGTTCGGAAGACATATTACATCTTCTTTCCGAGAGCATGATGTCAGGATATCTTCCATATAGTGAAGCTTCTCTTTAAAGGTTAGTTCAGTGGTAACAGACATGGCATCTGCGATTCGTGCAAGCTCTGGCATTATCAAGTATTAGGTACATGTGCAAATATCTTTTATCAAAGCTCAACACTTGGTTCAGGAGTTTCAACATGTCGTAGTTCTTTCCACTTTCATCGAGCAAGTACACACGAGGTGATACGCTGGAATCCACACCGTTGGATTCCATGTATTGATGAAGTATCAGACTGCTGTCTTCAGTACTCACGCCGTGAGACGCGTAGTCGACTCCATCCAGTCCGCAGTTTTCGGCGCATGATTCGACAGTGCCGCGGATTGTCGGATTAACCCTGTTAGTCCAGTCTCCGCATGAGACACTGCTGTTTCCGATCCGATGCGATAAATGCGACAAAGCGTCCACGACCACCAAGGTATCTTGCTTTACACAGCCACCTTTGTTACTACATTTCCATGTTTGCAGCTTCGGGCGAACTCCGAGGACTGATCCAATCTGTAGTGCAGCGGTGAGCTGAGCCCGGAACGCGACAGCGGCCAAGAGATTTCGGGTCGCAATGCGAGTCGCGTTCAGGGGAAGTCACGATATCAATGTAAGTCGAAAGAAATCAAAGCAAGATAAATGTCATGAATCAGAGGCTCATACTTCATCCCCCAAAGCTAAATCTCTAGATTGAGTGTCAAAGTGCCAGTAGGAGAAGTTTCATGTTGATGGAAAAGGGGAGTCAGTCCAAACAGGTATGTTCCTCAAGTCAATCCACCAAGGAAAAATGAGCGCCATTTTCGAAAAGGGCGAACGATGGTCCGACTAAAGATACCTGGGGATGAAAGATGGAGGAATGTCTAAATTAAGGATCTGTTTACACCCCCCGTACCCCCCGCATTTCTGCCCCTGAGGAATTTAGCCGCTATAGAACGCGTATGGACTAGTTAGATTAAAGGTCAATGTCAATACTAATGTCAGAGATCGTGCAGATGATGTTCGCATCATGGAGAGAAATTGCAAGGCTAATGGCAGCTGCGTAGAGCTGGGTGAGCGGGTAGGATCATTGGTAAATATAGTTCCAGGGCTGTCAGGTTGGAGGGTGCCGCAGTACACGAACCAATCGCATTTCGAGATACTTTCACTTAGAGTTTCCTCTCAGTAAACAAAGTAGACAGAAAGTGCATTTTAGATAGGCAGTTGATCCCGAATTATAGGTAGTTGGGGTACTAAGATCCCTGAAGGGGAAAAGGGCGTTGACTCTTCATCCCTTCGCACCCTTCCATTTTCGCTCACGGCTTTAGAAGCAGTCAAGTCAGGCTGTCGTGTCTGTTTTCCTACTATGTACACTTAAAATTCAGAGGTCTGATTGAAACGACTGGAAATCAAGAGTTTGTCCTCTATGTAAATTAGTGAATAATTATCGCCACTTGAACCTCTCGCACGAAGAACATGGAGAGCCAGTCAACCCCTTTGCCAAGAAGGTGAATGATAAAGGAGCACATTCAATGCCTTTCTAGGACCGTGATTTCTACGCAACAGAGGATTCTCTGGGCGAATCTGCTTTCCTTTAGCGTTGCCTTCGTGTGCGAATTTGTGGAGGTTCTAATGCTGTAGTACGCCCCCGCGCCGTAGCTCCATGTATGAGAAAGATAGAACGGAACGACCACTTTACCATCCGATTAGCGTATTAAGACAATAAAAAACAAGTGAATGGAAGAGTATTGGTGTTAAACTCCCCATTAGTGAAGTGCGACATACCTTAATCGCTCCGCGAAAGTGCGGTCGGTCAGAGCTATTGAAGAACATCCACGTCGAGCAGTACCCCAAGGCAATGGAAATGCCCCGTAATCAACATGATTATACCTGGATTCAAAGATGACAGTTTCTTTAGATTCCTGCCCTCTTTTTTCGCGTTCAAGGCTCGCATGTCCATGCCGGTGCTGAAAAACGGGGTTGAGAGGGTTAGGAATGCTATGTTATAAGTACGCGACTTGGCCCTTCAGCTTCGGGAACTCTTATCCACCAGAAAACTCCAGCACACCTCTGATTATTGGAGATGCTTTTATTTTACTTGTTGCCATTACTCTCGCTGGGCGCGAACGTCGCCGCAAAACCAAATGCATGTCCTATCTTCGGGCCGGCCTTTCCAGCTCCCACGGAGATTGGCAGCGACCCAACATTTATCGCAGCGACGCAAAATCTCACTGCACAAATAAAACAAGCTATTCAGTCTGGTCAGCTGGCTGGAAATTCAATATCCGTGCAACTATTCAGCGGAAGTGATTCATATACCGCATATGGCCTTTCCCACACGGATGACTCGGTGCGCCATGGATCTGTCGGAGTTCGAGAAGTGGACGAGAATACCGTGTTTCGCATTGGTAGCATTTCCAAGTTATGGACTATGCTACTATACATGACATTCAATGGAACCAAGCACTTCCAAGAGCCCGTTTCCAGATATGTGCCCGAGCTGCGAAGCCCTTACAACGACTCTCAGCAAGTTAACCAAATCGACTATGTGAACTGGGATGAAGTGACGATCGGTGAACTCGCCAGTCATCAAGCAGGAATTCCAAGAGACTGTGCGTTGACTCTTATATAAACATGTCGAGTTCTGTACTGATTGAAAATCGCAGATGCTTTCATGGATCTGGCAGCAAGCGCCCCTGCCCAGGCTCTTACTAGAATGGGATTACCATCGCTCCCCAAGTCTAAGCAAATGCCATGTGGGAATGCTCCGTTCCCACCATGCAACAGAAAACGTGAGTGCATCACGAATCAAAATGTCTGTAAATTGGCTGACTGACAGCTTTTTAGAGTTCTTTGATGGGATTTTAGACACCCAGCCAATCGCGGCAACTTCCTCCACGCCACTATATTCAAATGCTGGATATCAGATACTGGGCTATGCACTCGAAGCAATTGCACAGAAACCATTCCAAGAAATTCTTCTGGAGCGTATCATTGAGCCCCTGGGATTGTCCCGTTCGAGCCATAGCATGCCCGACCCAAATTTGGCGGTAATTCCGTCGGACCTGACATCTAGTCAGTTCAATTTGGACATTGGAGATGCAATCCCGTGAGTTGCGATCTACATGTCTCCCTCCGAAGGATCTTGCTAATATAGCACCAGTGCTGGGGGCATCTACTCCTCGCCAAAAGACATTTCCACCCTCGGCCGCGCCATTTTAGCCAATACTATTGTCAGTCCAGCAATGACGAGACGTTGGATGAAACCAGCAAGCCACACGGCGTCTTTGCAACTCTCCGTGGGACATCCGTGGGAGATCATGTCCTTTAATGAGCCACGTCTTGTCGACCTCTACACCAAATCTGGGACTATTGGAACGTATAATTCCATAATGGCTCTTTCCCCAGACCACAACGCAGGCTTCGCGATACTTAGCGCCGGAAACGGTACCTTTGCTCTGCCAATGAAGTTGGGTGAACAGATTGCCGAAACTATGCTTCCTACATTGGAGCAGATAGCCAAGAGCCAGGCCGCGCAGAGATTTGCTGGGACATATGCCTTAGAGGACGGCACCTCTAACTCGTCCATCACAATTGTTACGGATGATGAACCAGGACTGAAGATTGCGAAATGGATCAGCAACTCCGTGGATATGGGCCAAGCTTTTGCAGCAAACGCGGGTCTTCAAGACACTCCTTCTCTGCTTAGCATGCGTCTGCAACCCACCGGTCTCAAAAGCCCTGGCCGTATTTCGTTTTCAGCGGTCATTCAGGGTCTAAGCCCACAACCAACTTCAGGGACCATACCTTCGGCTTGCATGACTTGGCTCGAGCTCGACTCTTATATCTATGGGAATGTTGGTGTGCCGGAGTTTGAGTTCAATCTGAGTGAGGCAGGCGATGTGGTTAGCCTTACTCCTCGCGCACTACGCATTACCCTTCCTAAACTCTAGGCGAACCACTTGACTTGGGTTGGAGCGATCTTTGATTGGCTTTACCAGAAAAGCTTCTAACGATACGACCATTATGATGGTGACTTACTCAAAAGAGGGTCACTGTGTATTAATACCTGCCTAATTCTAATTTTAGTCAAGAAATAAATGACCTAATGATCTGATTGTTTAGCAATACCCGAGGGAGAGAGGCTCCAGCAATCTTCATAGGAATGCCTAGAAGTATCCCGGTGCCTTTCGCAGAACGGATAAGTAATACTGTTCAAATAGTTATGAATACTTTGCTCCTCTAGACTGAATTTCATATACATCCAACAAAGCAAGCTCAATTAATTGAATTCATGATACGCCAACAACATTCATCACAAACCATGCCAGATAATCCTTATCACCACGTGACACTACGTCACCGTCCTCCGGCTCCGGCTCCGAGGCCCCCAAGGTGCGCCGACCTCTCCATTACTTATAAGAAACTGTACGGTTCTCAATCACCAATCCAGCTTCCCTCTTTTCCAACGATCTGAACCTTCAATCATGCCGGCTATCTCCCTTCGCACCGGATGGCCCGCCTTGCGCCTCCGCAGTCTGCAATCGGCCCGAATGACCCAGAGCATCGCACCGTCTCGTTCCTTATACAGCATCATCCCCGGAAACACTCTCAGACGATGGAGCACACACGGCACACATATTTCCAATCCATTACGCACCTCTCCAACGATTCCACAATATTCAATCCTCTCTATTCGACCCTACTCGACCACCCAATCCCCCGAACCAACGGCAGATCTTCTAATCGAAGAACTCCAAGACCTCTACGAAATCGCCAAAGACGAATTCGAAATTGCGACGGACAGCACAGACGGAGCAACCATCTACGCCGCCTCTGACCGCGAGTCCGCGCGCGATGCTTTGAACCAGCTCTGCGCGGTGTATCATCTGTACACGGCTCGGCCGGGCGAGGATGTCGACAATGGTGTTAGACATATCAAGAATGGAGTTGAGGGACAGTCGGAGGCTGGAGAAGATGCGGTTGTAGAGACAAACTTCAACCCGGAGGATGTTGGGAAGGAGGTTCGTGAAGAAGTGAGGAGGAGGGTTGGGCAGAGGGTTAGGGAGTTGAGGAATGCGGTTGAGGTTCTGGAGGAGAGGGCTCATGCTGAATGAGGATAGCTTTCAAGGTAGATGGAAGTGCATCTGAGGTCTTCTGTATGATATGCACCTATTACAATAGGGTATCTGATAACCATGGAGATGTATGATTGGTATCATTGAACATATTTCAGTTACTCTGGAAAATATCCCGAATTGGATGAACAACAATTGTCATCTTCCAATAATTGTTTCAATTCAACTACACAGGGCTCCGGTCAAACTGATGTGGCCGGCTACGAAGGATATCGTCGCACTAAATGTTTACAAAACAATAAGTGGAAAGCCACCCATCTTATCAAATAGTAAGATTAGAGATTCGGTAGTGTGATATCCAGAGAAGATAGAGTCTGGACATCGTCAACAAAGAAATGTTTTCTCATGTACATTAAGAAAAAGCCAAGTTCCAGTCCCAGTTTATTCCAGTAAGTACCCATCCAAAGCCTTCCTACAAGGAAGAGCGAGCCACGCCCGAGCGCCATCATAGATTGCAAAGTCGTGACAAACATGACAATCGTGTATAATATCAGAGTGTGTAGTGGTTCGTTAGACGACAGCAAAAGATAGACTGAAGTGGTCGGGGTTGGGGGATGGGAGGGTCGAAATTATGTCTTGTTTGTGTGTTGTTTTTTGGTGACGTTTCAATTGATCTGGAAAAAGCAATGCGAGTTAGTATAGTGTAACCATGGAACAGAGTAAAATAGAGCACAGGGGTCCCTACCAGGCCTTGTAAAGCTCTTCGTGCAGCCAGGGTAAGAGCATTTATGTTTTCGTTCGCCGTGTGTAAGTCTGTGGCTGGACATGTTTGATGACTGTCGAGGGGTTAGTGATCAGAAGTGTTGTAAGGACGTCAAGGTTGAGAACTCACATCGCCAGTCTCGAATTTACATCCAGGATAAGTGCACTTGAAGGGCTTTTCGCCGGTATGGGTTCGCGAATGCGTTTCTGTAGTTTTTAGGAATTGACACAATCACACAAGGGAAGAGTTGACGTACTCAGCTCGCTGCTATCGGTAAATGTCTTCCCGCAGTCTTTGCACTTATAAGGCTTGTCGCCCCGATGGCTACGCTCATGGCGATCCAAGGTTGCTTGCCTGGCGAAGGTCTTCCCACAGACAGAGCACCTGAAGTTTTTATCTATTTCACCACTAATTAGTATGGTGATATTTCTCAAGACTCCGCGGAAGAACTCACAATTACTGTGTGTCAAGAAATGGCCCTGCAGCTTCGACTTCTGCGAAAAAGGCTCATCCGGGCGGTGGCACCCTTGCCAACAGCAGTAGTATCCATTACCCTTGGCACCATCGACAGTGTTTATGTGAGCGGATACTAGGTGATCTTGAAGAGCGCCGGAATCGGCAAAGGTAGCTCCACAAGGAGCTTGAATGCCGTTGATCGAGGTCACCCATTTACAGATGTGCAACTCGCTATCTTCGGCAGAAAATTCCGGTGTCGTTAAGACTGACGAGATATCTCGTTCCAAAGGTGGAGGCGTCTCTCTCGGACTAGACATGAAGTGCGAGCTCACGCTGGACCTGGACTGGCGCGAATAAGAAGAGTACGGATGGGAGTGATGATGGTGGGCTCGGCAGCGGTGGTGGTTGCGGTGAGGGCCATGAGTATGGATGTTCAGGTCATTAGGGTTCTTGAATTGGCCATGAACATGGTGGTGTTCGGTGTGGAAACAGTTCAGGGGGTCATCCTGGGGCTTCTCTAGAGGACTGGGATCAGGTTGTTGGTGATGGTGATGGTGTGCGACGAGATGTTGGTCGTTACAGACAGAGTAGTCAGTGCACATGCCGAGCATGTGGAAGACATCTGCAGGGTTGACATCGGTTTGTTGGGGTAGAGGTTGATGTTGGTGTTGATGATGTTGTGTGGACATGCCCTCCCAATCCTTACGGAAGTCCTGACATCCGAGGTGATTGGGAACGTTCTGCTCGCAATTGGTCGCATGAGCCTGGTATGAGGAGAGGAAGTCGTACTGATAGCAGGGATCGATCATGCCAGGCAATGTGTAGTCTGCCGCCTTCCCAGCTTCGCCGACGGAATGATGGGCCATCGTTGTGGACGGCAAGGTATTGGCAATATCCAACGACAGCGACGTCGTGAGTCCGAAAATAGACTCAAACGTGCAATCTTGGTCGGTTGTACTGTCGCAACAGTGATTTTCGAAGCAGACGGGGTCAGTGCTTTCGCAATGGTCCTCGTCGCAGTTTGCAACGGAGCAGACAGTCGAGGCGTCGCAGTCAACGAAGCCGTCACATATTGACCCGCAGTCTATATGGCAGTCATCGGCGCAAGTGTCTTCATCACAGCAAGTCTCGTCAACCTCACATTGGGCCAGAGATGTATGATGCTCAGCATCAGTGCAACTCCACTGGGGCTCGCATTGAGGGATCGAAGGATCCTCTGCGGGCTTGGTGTCTATATGTAAATCCTCCCAGCGGCACTCGAGGCAGAAGTCGCCCACTTGGGATTGAGAAGCCATGGTGTGCACGGTTCAGGGCAAATGACCAGGGGAATGTAAAGGGAAAGATAAGGTTCTGTGCTGGCAGTGCAAAGAAACCCCGAAGCCCGTTATCTTCCCGCAGCACCAAGGTACAAGACGGGGGAATAGGGTATGTTCGAGGGGGCTAGCAAAGTGTGCGACCGCAAGTGGGATAGTCGGCAGCCAGCAACGATATCACCTCGACGCAAGTGAATCACGTAACCGGCAAAATGCCAATGCCACTCAAAGTCCACCACGAAGTGCCGTACGGGCTCCAGAAAATAATTCCCAAGCGCTGGTCAAAGCACCTCGATATTGCAAATAGTCTCACAGTGATATCAGGCACTCCACTTGCAGGCAAAAAGAGTGTACAAGGTCGGCAGAGTATTACCGGCGCAATCGGAGAAATTGGCGAACGATCGTCATGCAGCACAAGGTTCCAGCAGCGACCAGTGAGGACCTTGTAGGACGTAGCGGCGAGAGAGCACGTCGGAAAAAGCGCAATTTGACCTGGAATATGCGAGGGAGTCGAAAAATGTGGGCAATTCGATTTAGGGGGGTTTTGGCTAATAGCCTATGCGGACTACCAGAGCTCTCGTGAGGACCTTCGGAGGAGCGCAGATGGAGGATGGGGACCTTGGGGGTTAAGGATCATGAGGGGCGGGCGAATAGCGATGCGCTCGTTGTCAAGCGGTCAAGTGGGATGTCGTTCGCGAACATCGCTGGGCTTGTCGCCGAGGGGTAATGGTCCACGAGAGAGAAGATATGATCCCCAGCATTCCAATACGGTCTGGGGCCGGAGGAGAGAATGGCATGCCTTTTCCATTTGAATGATTTCGTCGATGACTAAACGAGACCCCGTCGGCCCACTACAGTTCTGCCCATCTACGCCGCCTTGGGACTAAATTGGGACGAAGTGCTATCAAGACAGGGGCCATAGTTGAGGATTGTGCAAAGTATACTCTTTTGTCGCATGAAATAGGCGACTGAAATGAGATACAATTCACTCTACGCTTGCGTATAAGATGGGCATAAATCCCACCATCGTTTAATGCTAACTGCTGACGTAACCCCACGTGCCCCGGATCGTCACCGGCTATCGCGTTATCGCATCGCAACGCTAATTCCACATGCGCCGCGCTGGCCAAATCTCCAACCAAACAACCCCTGCCTCTCGATCGGCCAGGCGCATATCAGAGCTGGTCTCAAGTCCCTTTCAGCCAAACACTGGGCAATTGCTTCCGAACGCTCCATTCCCATTCAATCTTCTCACGCAAATCCAATCCAAGGGGGCCGTCTCCATTTAATCTACCCCACTCATACACAATATGGGTAACATCTGCTCCCGCTCTTCGAACGAGCCCGAGGCCTTCGCCGGGCCCGGTCGAGTCGTCGGTGCCCCACCTGCTGGATCATCAAATGCCCCCCGTGCCTCCGTCCCTGCCAAAGCGAATTGGCAAGCTAGTCCCGGACGGACACTTGGAGAGAGCTCCCCGCAACAAGGGGGTAGTGACGAGGCGCGGTCCAATGCTGCGATTGCAGCTCAGGTGAGTTACATCTATCAGATAAGATTGGGTCAAACCCCGGCAGCGCAATGTACCCATTGCTAATTTCTTCGTGCAGAAACGAGCGGAAGCTGCATCTGGTTCTAGCAAAGGGAAACTAGGCACCAAACTGGCTGCGCAAAAAGCCAAGACTCAGACTCAGACCCTGAACGAGGTCAGTGAGACGGAGCGGGCCGTACGGGATGCTGATGGGGCGGAGGAGGCTAGACAGTGGAATTGAGGATAGGAAAGCGCCCCGTACCTACTCGGCGTTTTAATGATCGTTGGCGTTTCGGAATTGCATATTCATGATCATGATCACTTTGCTCTAATGGCGTTGAGCTTGGCGGTTATCCCGGAGTCATTCTTTGAGCCGTCGGAGCATATTCTACTTTTTCTTCTTCGTTCACTTGGAGGGCAGTCTAAATTAGCGCCTCTACCTTTTCGTCAACTGATTTTTCATATTGTGAATAAAGATAGGTCAATGGAGAAGGAAATTGACCATTCCATGCTATGATACAACCGCAGATCATTAAGGTTTGACCGCTAAAGACATTCCTAAACAACGCTATAACGACCACTGGCCGGTGCACGCGCATCGCTATCAGCAGCGGCAACGGTACCCTCCTTTAGTAGACGCATGAGCTCACGCATCGCGGTAGTGACGGAAATCTCAGTCTCGCCCTCAACAAGAATGTATAGCTTGGGATTCTCGTTGGGACCAGGTTCTTTGCCAGTGGCGTAGAAACTGCCCTTGGTGGTGATGGATGTACCTGTGGCTTCCAGGATTTTGGCGACATTCGTACGGTTGGTAACGGCCCAACGAGCTTTTTCTGTAAATGACAAGTATTGTTAGTGTATAGATTCCTGAATAATCCGGAGAGTGGAAAGTGGAAAAAACTTACGGGGGAAGTCGTTGATCTCCAGCGTAGCATGGAATGCACCTGCATCTGGTCCACGATTGTCGATGGGGACCCCGGATCTCATAACACCTGCGCGACTAAGACGAGCGTGAATATCGGCCACGGCAGATCCAACCTTGTCCAGAGGGTTCTTTGAGGCAGCGTTGGGATCCTTTTCGGTCTTGTGGACTGTGATCTTGCCGTCCAGATCAATACCCTTGGGAACACCGACAAGAGGCGCAGGTGCTGGGGCCGCGGCAGACTGCACTGCAGACAGAGCCTTGTTAAAGCGATCGTCATCGGCCTTCTTCTCCTTCTCATCCTTCTCTTCATCTTCTTCTCCTTCCTCGCCGGTCTTGTATGTCCGGCGTTCACGCATACGGGCGGTCTCACGTTCCTGGTCAAGACGCTCCAGACCTTTACCACCAAAGCCGGATCCGCTGGCCTTTTCTTTACCGGCCTTGACCTTCTCCAGGAAGTTGTCAACCAATTTCTGAACGGGCTCTGGGATTTCCTGTCCACTCTGCTTAAGAGCCTTTGCAATATCCACAGAGTATCGCTCCTGTCCCTCTGTGAGGAACGTGACGGCAGTACCGGTGTTTCCGGCACGACCAGTCCGACCGGCACGGTGGACATAGTCCTCCAAGTGATTTGGCGCATCGTAATTAACAACCAGCTTCAGCTGCTTGACGTCCAGACCACGAGCGGCCACTGAGGTAGCAACGAGAACGGGGAAGATACCAGCCTTGAAGTCTTCAATGGTAGAATCACGATCATTTTGATCCTTTCCACCGTGAATTGACATGCAAGGGTAGCCCTTTCGCATCAACTCCTTTAGCAAGTTATCGGCAGACTCCTGACGATCGACAAAGATCAGCGCCCGCGCATCCTCATTTGCGTCGTCGGAGTACAGATTGCCTAGCAATTCAAGAAGGCGAACGAATTTCTGATCTTCATTGCGCACCTCAACCACCTGAGTGATTTCAGGTGCTACAACACTCCTGCCGCCGACCACAATCTCGATCGGCTTCCTGAGCGTCTTTCTAGCGAGCGCCTCCATGTTTCGGGGGAACGTGGCCGAGAAGAGCACAGTCTGACGATCCGGTCGAACGTTGGCCAAGATCTTCATTACCTGCGGCTCAAAGCCCATGTCGAACATGCGGTCTGCCTCATCAAGTACGACGTAGGTCACACGGTGGAGGTTCGTTACTCGGCCAGCGTTGGCAGCAAGGAGATCGATCATTCGACCGGGAGTGCAGACAACAACCTCAGCGCCACGCTTGAGCTCCGCAATCTGTTCTTTGATGGGAGCACCGCCGTAGGCGCAGACCGCGCGAAGACCGAGTGCCTTCAAGAACGGCTTGCAATCCTTGTGGATCTGTGTGGCCAACTCCCGAGTCGGTGTCATGATCAGACTAATAGGTCCCTCCATGTTGCCTAGCGGCCGCTGATCTTTGATGTGCCGGAACATTGGGATAAGGAAAGCCATGGTCTTTCCGGAACCAGTCTTTGCGACACCGATCACGTCACGGCCAGACATTATGCAAGGAATGGCTTGGGCTTGGACGGACGTAAGTCCCTCGAAACCCAGGCGATCAATCACATCTAACGTTTGCACGCCAAGACCGCATTGGGCCCATTTCTGGACGGGCTTGGGAATATCCTGTCCACGTACTTTGATGCCATCCAACTCGTGGCGCAAGTTTACAAGCTCCTCTTCGGTCATATCGGCAAGATGTGCGGGTTCATTGTAGAAGGCCTTGCGGAAAGGTTCGTATTCGACCTTTGCGTGGTCGACCGTGGGGATTTCCTTCTTCTTTTTCTTGCTTGCCATGGCAAGAACATCGTCCGCATCTTCGCCACCAACAGCCGTGAGGTCAACATCGTCGTCGTCCCCAAACATCGCTTGAGGTTGTTGGGTGGCTTTCTTCTTGGCAAATGTGGCACCGGTCTTCTTTTTCGGAGGAGCGGTATCTGCAAGTTCTGACATGAATGCGTCCAAGGGGTCAACGTCCTCGGTGTCGTCGACTTCCATCTCGGTAGACTCGGCCTGTTGGTTGGCATCTTCCATTTGGATATCTGCATTCATTTCGGCCTGCTGGTTCTGGAGTCGCTCCTCGCGCCGTTCGGCAGCGGCTCGCGCGGCAGCCGCAGCTTCTTCCTCGTTGTCGCCATCTTGCATATCAACATCATCATCGTCACCGGCATCATCCGCCCCGACAAAGGTATCTTTGCTGTCGTCGAGCGGGGGAGTTGGGAGCCTCTCCAATTTCTTGCGAGTGGACTCTTCCTCGCCAAAGCCTAGAGTTCGAGTAGCCGCGGGTTTATCGGATTCAAAGGCCTGTTTAGCACCGAGACCGAATCCACTCACATTGCCTTTGGCCTTCAAGGGAACGGATGCGGGGGCAGGAGGCGCTACAGGTGGTCGCACCGGAGCCTTTGTGGCCTGCGGAACCTCGACATCGATTCCAAGCACAGCCGGTGCAGCTGCCGTCCCATTTGATACCGCATTCTTAGCAATAGCCTTGGGGTCGAATTTTCCAGCATAAGGAGCTGGGGATGCGGTATCCGTCGGTGTTGCTGGAGTTTGAGGCGAACCCACGGCTGGAGAGAACCCAGATCTGCGATCAATCTCATCCAGAATACCGCGTCCGCCACATACTGCAGCCTGTTCTTGTTGCTTCCGTTCGCGCTCGGCGGCTTGCTTCGCCTTCCATAGCTCGAGTTTTGCCAATCTCTCAGCCTTTTTCTGCTCCTCCGTCTGAGTGGTCGGGGCCAGGGCCGGGGCCGGGGCCGGGGTAGTGGGTTTGGATGGCTGACGAACGTAATAAGCATCGTGCGCTCTGCTGGTGCATTGGCGTTGGGAGTCACGTACCTCTTGAGTGCGAGATCGAGACCGCCGAGTCGTGCCACGGTCACGGCTATCACCTCGTCTAGACTTGTGCTTCAAATCAGCAGAATCATCCGTGCGTCTGCGATCCCGGTCGCGGGAATCTTCTCTCCTGGGTCGATAATCTCTGTCGCGACTCCTGCGGCGATAATTACGGTCTTCGTCTCGGTCTTTGGACCGTCGGCGTTCGCGAGACCGATCTCGTGGGTTGGGGCGGTAACTGTCTTCGTCGCGTCGGTCTATCGATCGATCTCGGCGTCTATAACTGTCTCTGTCACGTCCGTGGTCGCGATCACGATAGCGCCGCTGTATTGTTGGGGGACGAGTCAGATGTGAAGCTGGAGAAGATAGCTGGTGAGGTCGGATGTGACCCACCTCAGGACTGCGGGACCGGCGATATGCACGCCCGTCAACCCGTCTATTTCTGTCGAAGCGATCATCCTCTCTGCGATTTCGGCGAGATGAGGAGTATGTGCTGCCTACAGGAGATGGTGAGCGAGTGTCCCCGTGGCGAGCCATTGTCACAGGCCAACGATGAGTGAGTATTACTGAAACTCAAGAGCACCGGGACGTTAGAACACAAGAGCCGTGTAAAGGATCACCGCGCTTCGATATAATCTCTCGTTCAAAAATGGTCAGTGCCGCCGTCGGGGCCGTCGGGAGATAAATGCACTGAAACTTGGCTGTGAGGCTCCTTCGGGATGCGCTTTTTGCGACTGGGGTGATCGCTGTCACGTGTAAGCGGATCCCCCATGTGTCACATGACTCGACCCCCTAATCCCAAAGCGGTGGACCCCAGCGGAGCTCAGACGCGCTTGTTGCGCCGGCTGTTTTGGCTGTTTGGCCCGCCCCGAGTAAGCGTTCCAGCCTCCCCTGCCCGCTTGCGTCAGGAGCCCCTTCCACACGTACAAGCTGCGCTTATCCCTCAGTCAATTTCAACCTACGGACGACGGCCGCCTTCTTCGTGTGTGCTATTCATACAGTTCAATTTACAGATCGCCAACAAATGTCTCTTCAACGGGTCGCCCGTGCGAATGTGCTGCGGCACTTGCGCCTCGGCGATGCCTCGTCGCACCAGACTCGCGTGATCGCAGTGCAGAATCAGCTTCGCCGTCTTTCTCTCGCCACAAACCCCCGATTCTCGACTCCGCTGGCCGGATCTCCCTCTGCTGTCAAAGCTCAACAGTCTCAAACCTTTGCGACAGATGCGACCAAGTCTGATAGTGCCAAGAAATCTACCAAGAAGTCGTCGACCAAGGAGCCCAAGGCAGAGAAGAAGAAACCCACGCGCGCTTTGACGGAAGAGCAAAAGGAGAAGAAGGAGAAGAAGGAGAGCCGCGAACTCGTTAAACGGCTTAAGGAAACCGCTCTTCAACCGCCCAAGAAGTTGCCCCAGGTGGCTCGCTCTATTGCTATCCAGAGCAAGATCAAGGAAGTGAGGGAGCAGTCGTCTTTGCGGAAGCCCGCGGAAGTCCTCAAGGAGGCCGTTTCGCAAGTTCAATCTCAGCGACTGGGCGAGGCCGACGTACGTCCAAACTAAACAATCATCGTGTGTTGTACTGGAAGCTTGTCATGCTAATCTACAGCAACAGCGATATATCAATCAAGCCGAGGAAAACCGGGCTGCCAACAAAGCCTCCTACGAAGCCTGGATCCAGCAATATACACCTCTTCAGGTCAAGCAGGCAAACACTGCTCGCAAACATCTCCGTAGATTGGGTTATACCAAGTACCTTGCCCTTCAAGACGAGCGCCTGGCCAAGTCTCCCATCACTGCTTATATGTGGTATTTGAAGGAGCGCCACGACAGCGGCGACTTCAAGCACCTCCACGTGAAGGAGGCAGCTTCGCGAATCGCCAGTGAATGGAAGAGCTTGACCGACTCGGAGAAGCAGGTAAGCTTTTTTTGCCCCGGTTGTCCACAGATGGTCGCCCATAGATGCCCGATATGTTGATGGCGAGAATCAAAGCTGACCGAAATTACAGCCCTTCCTTACCAAGTCTGAACGCGATGTTGAGCGCTACCGTGAGGAATACCGCGAGGTGTACGGTGAGGATGTACCTTCGTTGAAGGCCAAGGCGTCTTCTCCCTAAATGGGGTGCATGTTTGTGCCCGAGGGATGTCCTTCGTGTATTCTGTGATAAGTGGTCAAAGACGGTGTTTAGAACGGGTTGGGTTGGACAAGGGTTTGGATCTGGGTCGGTATGGCCATTGTCTTTGTGTGTTTCGAGTCTCCCCTACGTCGCTCGATTCCCTTTTTTCCTTCGTCCTGTATTGTAGTTTATTGTCCACGCGCACCATTGTACTTGTCTTGTTTTATCCATGCCACCATTTTCACTCTCGGGTCGAGGATCTCCCGTAGTCGGTTGTACGGAGTACTGTAAATGAGATCGTGGATGTTTCTCGGATCAGGAATTCTAAGATTAGCTACCACTACCACTTGCAAATCTACTCTCCTCCTCCACAATTAGGCCGGAACTTCTCCTCCTCGTTTCCCTCTCTCACTCCAATGGTCACGAGTATGAGTCAAGAAACGCTGGTCCTCCACAACGGACCCTCCTCCCCCGCACTGGTGGACGGTTTTCCTCCGGTCCAAAGTGGCGGTGAGAAAAACCACCGATGCAACTTTTTTTTTTCTCACTCGTGCAGGGCGCCAAAGGGCCCAAATTGGACTTTTTTTCCCCCCTCTGCAGAAGAAAATTTCGGGCAAATGGAATCTTTGGGCATTTATTCTCCGTTCTAGCTAGAATGTTAGAATGGGTATGGGGAGGAGAACAGAAGGGATTGTGATTGCGGCTGGCGAAGGTACGAACTATAGCTTATATGTTGAACCGGGAGCTAGAGCTTCGCCCCTCTGCGGTACGTCTGTGCAATGCAAGTAAAATCAAAGTAGCACAATGTATACAATGTATACAATGTATGATCTGTATTATCATTATCATTCCAGTGGCGATTATGGAGAATCCATTGGGCCGCCAGACTCGACGGGAAATATATGCAATTTTTGCCCATGATTAACTGCGGTAGGAATCGGAGCAGAAGCACTATACTGATACACTTTGCACTACGAAGCCCTCTCTCTCTCTCCGCTATCTGCGAGCTGCACCCATTGTAACTGGATTCCATGCAGACGGGCCTACCCGTAGACTAGTTCGGGCATCCATGGGTCGTGGTATGATCGGTCTCCATCCAAAGCCACTTTACCGTGGATGGGAGGCTGAAGGGTTCCCTGGTTTTGATGCGGTGAAGTGGGTAATTTGTACACAATCAACTCGTACAGTAGTACATTGTTTGCATGGGAAATGTACCCGAGGGTATCCTCACGTAGCGAATGCTGCATAAACCCTGGGTCAAGGAGAAAAGAGTTGCAGAATGCAGGATGCGGGCGTCACACCCCGGTTCAGTCTCGAGGAAAGAAGATCCCCCTGCTTGGACGTGCGCTGGTGGAGGGGCAGACTCGTTATCGATAGGCTCGCGGGTGCCAAAGCCGCTTGTACGCAGTTGACGAATGTACCGAGGGGGGAGGGGGTCCATGTACGGAGTACGGTGATGTACATTGGGTACATGGCATTCGGGGTGTCAGGGGTGAAACCCGGACACCCAGTTTAGCCCCAGGATGCATACGATCCCCTAATCGTCCGCTCTGACTGGTTCCAAGGGCGGTGCGGTGCTGTGAGGGTGCAGCAGATCGATAGGTGAGCAGGAGAAGAGCACATGGACAAGTAGAAATTGCAAGAAATAAGAAACCAGGATTCTGTCCGAGACCAAAGGGGGGTTTTTTTTCTTGTCTTTTGCCTCCTTCTCTTTTCTTCTGCGGGGAGGAGTCCATTGCGAGGGTATACGGAATACCCGCTCCCGTTCAATCCCAGCCTTCTTCTTTTCTCTGATTTGACGGCGTGGACTTTTCTTCACCGTGATATTTGTCGCGGGTCTGAACGAACAGGAGTTCATGAGTGACTGCCATTGCTGAGAACTGAACAAAAGTCGGGGGGGAATATAGCGACTGCTCCTTCATTTGTAAAAACAAAATCTCGCAAGCCAAGCAGGCAATCGGGGAGCCCAAAGGTATGTACAGAGTACGAAGAGCCGGCTACGATCACCGATGATCTCCCACCGCCCCATGCTTTTCCCACCCTTGCCTCCACCATCTGATCCCTTTTTCCTTTAGAATCCTCCCTGCCCAAGGAGTTTCATGTGTCACTAAAACCTCGATCATTCTCAGTCTCACAGAATCCGCTGAACCGCAACCTTACCAACCCCCCAACTCAACCAAATCACCTAGAGTCTATCGGTCCCGCGATTTGCGCTCAACATCCAACTCCACCAAGTCCTTCGAATTCGCGCCGGTCGTGCTGGGTGGCTGCTCTGTCTTATTTTTTTTTTGCCAATACTCTGTTTATTAGGAGAATCCTTTTCGCCGCCAAAGCGACTGAACCCCTCTTTGTTATATTACAATCCCTTGCCCTCGGCGTAGGGGTCTATTCTCGACTCTATCCTCGACTCGACGGTCTCCTGCGGGGGGTTCGATACCAACCCGCCACCCCATGTGTTCTCTCCCCATAATCCAGTGGACGGGTCTCTGATCGGGCTAGCCGTGTGCTCGGCGCATGCGCTGTCATAATGGAGGTCCTCGCGCCGGCCTGTCATATGAGGGTGGAAAAGTCGGCCACCGAGAAACCCGCCTACGACTCTCCGCATTGGCATGATGAGGTGGAAAAACTGGTCGACGATGTCTGGGCGGTTCTCGTGCAGGGTTCTACGGGAATTTCTGGAAAGAACCTCGATAATACGAGCCAGGACCACCATGCCGACGAATTGGGTTTATACTCCCCCGCGCTCCCGTGGTACGCTCAACCCCCGCCCTCCTACGATGATGCCGTGAACGATCTTCCTCCGGAATACTCTGCGCTTCCTCCGCTCGCAGAGCGCAAGGATGCGCTCTCGCCTGCTGCGCCGCCAGCGCCCGCTACGAAATCGCGAAACCGATCGCGCTCGCTGTATAAAGATACGTTCCTGGATGTGTATATTGACTTTGAGAACCCGGTCGGTGTTCGAGAGCACAAGAAGAAGAAAGGTGCTGGAGGGGGTGCGGCTAAGAAACCCGCTGCCCCGCCGCCCCCCGCTGATACTGGGGGTGGTTCGAACGACGCTGGAGACGACCAAGCGAATAGCGATGGAAATGGCGGAGGCGATGCGGGCGGAGGGGATGGAGGCGGTGATGATGGCGGGGGAGGAGGAGGAGATGGAGGTGGTAGTGATGACTGGAATACCTGGGGAACTGTTGCAGGGACCAAGAAGAAGACCAAAAAGCAGGAAGAAGAGGAGGAGGAGGAACGAAAAGCCGCCGAAGCTGCAAAGAACAATCTCAGCTGGGCTGATGATGCCGATGCGGGCGGTGGCGATGACTGGGCCGGGTTTACTGCAGCGGGAAAGAAGAAGAAAGGAAAGGTACGTACATACACGACCCGACAGTTCGACGGCATTTATACTCATTCTACCGTTGCAGGATGAGGCACCCCAAGGTGGGTTCCAGGATATCAGCCTAGACGGCGGAGCTCCCCAGTTGGACCTAGACTTCGAGTCGGGACCAAAAGCCGGAGGAACTGGTTTCAGCTTTGGTGGTTGGGGTAAAGACTGGAGTACTGGAGGTGCCCCTGCGCCCAGCAAATGGGGTCTTGGGGCTATCGGAGAGTCCGTCCCGAAAGAAGAACCCAAAGACACCAATCCCTGGGGAGTCGGCGCCACAAAGAAGAAATCGACCAAGACCGCAGGCGGTTTTGATTTTGGCGATTTGGGATCCCCTCCCGCTGAGGAGAGCAAAGCAGAGGATGACTGGGGCGCGTGGGGTGTCGCCACCAAGGATAAAAAGAAGAAGAAAGGCTTACTCGATCCTGAACCCGAACCCCAACCCGAGCCAGAACCCGAGCCTACGCCTGAAGCACCGCCAGAGCCTATTGCCTTGGAACCTTTACCGGAATTGGATCTCGAGCCCGAGCCGGAAATCCCCGCGTCTATCCTCACGGAAGCCTGGTACATTGGCCTTTCCAAAAAGGAGCAGCGAAAGGCCAAGAAGGAGTGGGAGAAGAAGGTGAAAGACGCAGAAGACGAACTTGCCAAGGTTCAAGAAGCGAACGCAGCTAAGCAGGCCGCCTACGACGAGGCAGTGAAAGCCAGAGAAGAGGCGGAAGCCCAAGCAAATCCACCTGCTCCGGTTCCACCTGTTCCAGAAGTAGCACCTGAAGCTGATAATGATTGGGGATGGGCCGTTCCCTCCAAAAAGGACAAGAAGAAAAAAACTATTGATCTGCTGGCAGACTCCGAGCCTATACCTGCGCCTGCACCTGACCCTCCAGCTCAGGACGACTGGGCTGGCAGTTGGGGCACTGCCGGTAAGAAGGATAAGAAATCCAAGAAAGAGCCGGAGCCGGTCGTTGAGGAACCCGCGCCGGAACCTCCCAAGGCCAAAGAATCCGAAGATACCTGGGGTGCCTGGGGTGTGACCACCAAAGACAAGAAGAAGAAAAAGGGCAAACTCGAGCCAGAACCCGAGCCCGAGCCAGAACCTGAACCTGAACCTGAACCAGAGCCAGAACCCGAGCCTGAGCCTGAGCCTGAGCCCGAGCCAGAACCAGAACCTGCCCCTGTGTATGATGATCCTCTTTACGATGACTGGCATACTCTATCGTCCAAAGATCGGAAGCGACGAGAGAAGAAACTGGTCCAGAAAGGTCTTCCTATCCCTGGAAAGGACTTTGAACTTCCCACCGAGAAGCCAGCTGAGCCCGAGCCCGAGCCCGAACCTCCTGCCGCCGAGCCAGAACCCGAGCCTGAGCCTGAGCCCGAACCAGTTCCCGTGCCCGAGCCTCCTAAGCAAGCAGAAGATGATGCCTGGGGTGCCTGGGGTGCTACCACGGATAAGAAGAAAAAGAAGAAGGGGTTTGAAGAACCACCTCCGCCTGCACCGACTCCTCCAGCACAAGGTCTTACCCCCGAGCCTGAAATTCTCGATACCCCTGATGACATCTGGGCCGATCTGGGCTCCAAGTCCAAGAGCACCAAGAAGACGAAGGCTATCGAACCAGCTAAGGAAGAAAAGCCCGCTGCTAAGGGTTTCTGGGCATCTTTGACTGGAGGCTCTGCCGCAAAATCCAAGTCTACGAAGGAGAAGTCCAAGCCGAAGGAAGAAATACCTGAGGAGCCGGAAGACCTTCTTATCGACGTTGGCGATGACCCTCTTCAGGAACCGGAGCCCGAACCGGAGCCCGAGCCCGAACCTGAAGTCGTGCCAGAGCCTGTTAAAGAGGAACCCCCGCCTGAGAAGTCTTCGAAGCTCAAGTCCTCGGGCAAGCTGTCTGTCGCTGAGCGTATCAAGGCACTCGAGCAGAACAAAAAGGATAAGCTTAAGGAGGCGAAGTCAAGCTCAAAGTCAAAGTCCAAAGAGCCCGAGATCGAGCTAGAACCCGAACCCGAACCCGAACCTGAAATTGAACCACCACCTGAGCCTGAAGCGGAACCTGAACCTGAGCCTGCTCCTGTGCATGATGACCCTTTGTATGATGGCTGGCATGACCTGTCATCTAAGGACAGGAAGAGGCGAGAGAAGAAGCTGATTCAGAAGGGACTTCCCATTCCGGGAAAGGACTTTGAGCTTCCATCTCAAACCGCTCCCGAGCCCGAGCCCGAACCGGAGCCTCAACCTGAGCATGAGGAAGAACGACATGTCTCCAGAGACTCTGTTCCTGGAAGTTTCCCTGATGAACCTGAGGTTGAAGTGCCAGCTGAAACCGAGCCTGCACCTGAACCTGAACCTGAACCTCAGCCAGAACCAGCTCCACCAGCTCCGGATCTCTCCAAGATGTCAAAGAAGGAATTGAAAAAATACAAGAAATCCGCTGCGGCTGCAGTTGTCGCCAAGGAGCCTACTCCTCCTCCTGCAGAAGAGCCGCCCGCGCCTGCACCCGAACCCGAGCCTGAGGCTGAACCTGCAGCTGTCCCTGAGCCTGAGGACGATGGCGCTCCGCCAACACCACCTCCAGAAGTGGAATCATCAAAGAAGGAACGCCCTCGTGTGGACCGCGCCGCCAGCAATACTGGTTGGGGTTTCTGGGGCTCAGCACCACCACCAAAGAAGTCCAGCAAGAAGGAATCCAAAGAGCCCAAGGAGCCCAAGGAGCCCAAGGAGCCCAAGGAGATCAAGGAGATCAAGGAGATCAAGGAGCCGAAGGAGCCCAAGGAGACCAAAGAAAGCCAGCCCGCCGAAGAAGCCGAGTCTCCGAAGAAACGATCGAAAGAGGAGCGAAAGGAATCGAGTCGCGAACGTGAACGCGACCGCTCTCCCGTAGCAGCAGTCCGTTCCAAATCCACGAAATCGCGTCCCAAAGAATCAGATCCTGAGGTCGAGAGATCTTCATCTGACCGGGACAGGCGGCGTGAACGAGAGCGAGAGCGAGAACGCGAAGCCCGTTCCTCAAAGCAGCAGCGTGCGACCACCTTGTCCAACTTCGTATTTGGTCAGCCCTCGCCTCGAAGCAAGTCAACCCGCAAACCGGAATCATCATCCAAAAGGCCCTCCTCCAAGCCGGTATCCCGACGTCCTTCGATTGATCCAGAAGATGAAGCTGCCTTGCTGTCGCCTCCTCCAGATGACAAACCCGAGGTAAATGATAAGGCAGCCAAGTTGATGGGCATCAGTGCGTCCAAATCCAAACGCGACCGGCCACGTGCTGAGCGCCGGAAGTCTGGTAAGCAATCAAACGCCAGGCAAAAACAACTACTCTGAACTAGGGACTTACTGTAAATTGATGTAGCTCCCCGCGACCCCTACGCGATTGAGGATGATGACATGGTCGTGGTCGACATGGAAGACGCGGATGGCCAATCACCCAAAGAGGGCTCGAGAGGGTCAAAGCGCAAGTCCAAGAGAGAGGTACGTTGCATGCAGCTTACTCAAACTTATCGGAACGCGGCAGGTCTTGCTAACACCTTTCTTTCTTCCTCATTTAGTCCCGTACGAGACCTGAGGAGGACGACGCTGTCATGGTCGATGTCGACCAAGCTCACGGGGGTCTAGATGTTCTTTCAGGGGCTGACGACATGGCTTTCGTCGACGCGCCTCCTCGAGAGCGACGCCTCAAGCGCGCTCCTCCTCCACTCAAGAGGCAAGACACTGGTGGGTTCATGGGGATTTTTGGTTCGTTGCGAAAGCCCGTGCGTCCTGAGATGCCAGACCGTCGCAAGTCTCGCTCCTATCGCGATGAAGATGCCAAGCACCTCACTGAGACAGAGCGCGATGATCGCCGGGTACGTCGTGACGATCGCCGCCGGCGGTCGGTGAAAGCGGACACTGATGCTGAAGGGTTTACCACGGATGCAGCTGGCGCTGCTGCAGGCGGCGAAACCGAGCCTGAAGACGCCGAGGCTCGGAGAGCAGCTCGTCGTGCGAAGCGCACATCTCGACAAGCCCCATCTGACACACGAGAAGCCGAGGCTCGCGAAGCCGAAGAGCGACGGGCCAGACGTAAAGAGAAGATCCGCGAGCGTGAAGCACGCGAACAAAGGGCCCGCGAAGAGGAGGAGCAGCGCCGAGAAGAAGAGCGACGTATTCGCCGTGCCGCACGCGAAGAACGCCGAGCCCGCGAGGAACAAGCCGCACGCGAAGCCGCAGCAGCCGAAGAAGCGAAAGCCGCCGAACGGCGCGAACGCCGTCGCCAACGCGAAGAAGAAATGGCCGCTAAAGCCAAACGCCGTCGTTCTCGCATTGACGAGCCTCCAGTCGACAGCTACGCACCGGAGGAGCAGCTAGACGGTCGTCGAGGGTCCCGCCCAACCGCAGAAGACAAGGCTCGCCGACGCCGATCAAAGCTTGGACCTGCGCCGGAGCAGAGGCGGGCACCGTTGATGACGGGGGGCCTCAATCATGGGAACACAGGTGGGCCCAAGAAAGACAATATCTCCAAGTGGGTCTACTCACAAGCTGAAGAACCCCCTGAGCCGCCGCCCATCATTCCCACCGTCATCGACCTGCCCCCGGACGAAGCCGCAGCCGCAGCCGCCGATAACGCTCACTCGCTTTCCTCGGATGAGGAAGCCCGTCGTGCCGCGCGCCGCAGAGCCCGTCGTCGTGCCAAGTATGGTGATATGCCGGACGAGGAGGTGGTTGATGATGTGCGCTCTCGGCGTCGAGAGTCGCGCCGGGAGGGTGTGAAGAGTAGTTCTGGAAGTGGAGACTACGAGCGCGATCGTGGGATGCGATCTCATCCTGGGAGTCGGCATGGTGGAGCACCTGCGCCACCAAGCTCGGGGGCGAAGAAGTCGAGTTGGTTCAAGAAGCTTACAAGTTTCTAATCCCCTCGGACTTGATGCTGTCCATCAATGACTTGGTGAGTTGTCTGATTTGGTGCTTCTGGATTTGACGGACTCTTTTCAACATTTCGAACCTGGATTTTACCCTCTTGGTTCTCTGTTAATTATGAGTCCTTGTAAACGGTTGGAGCGTTGTCGTTTGTTTGTTAATTTTCTTTCTCTTCCGTTTTCACATTGTCTTCGAGGCTCTGTAAATGCCCCAACATAACTCTACTCTGACGACAGATATGACTACACGATCTCCTGCACTTTATGAAAATGAATTACGTTGAATCGAGATAATAATTCCTCGAGTCTTGCTAAAACAGATATCGAAGTCGATCACCCCCCTTGAGTGACTGACTCTCCATTAACCTCGCTATCACTTCTCTTCTACAATGCTATGTATCCTCTTCAAGTCTATAACGCCGATTCTCAAGATAGAACCGCCCGCCCTCATACAACCCAAGATAAAGACTCAAAGACACAGCCGTCCAAACACTGCGAATCAGCCCACCTCTAAACAGCCCACGTATCCCGTCATCGCGTATGATCTGCTTCCCAACAGCCCAAGCACCGTTCCTCGAGCCTTTACCAGCCCCATGCGCTGCAGCCCCCGACTCTCCGCCCGTATTCTCACTCGCAGACAACATCACGCGCGTTTTAACCACGTCTATAGGTGTAGTTACAACCGAAGCAATAGACCCAGACACCGACGCAGAAAGCCCAGTTAACCCAGCTCTCTCGAGAAGCTGATCACGCTGACTATATGCCTGCTTACTATCACCACCCGAGGCGATCACCTTGGCAGCTTTCCGTCGTCTATACCGGTCAATAACGTGTGACCGGACATACTCAAACATCGGGAATTGAAGACCCGTAAACGGAAGATTCCGTCCAAGTAATGCAAAGTACCCATTCCACAACCTCCATGGGTGGTCCTTGAATCGGGACAGGACCTGGCGCATGGCGCTGACACTAGTCGTTTTTCCTCTGGTATTCGATGCGCTGGCAGTAGTGTTAACCATTTGCGCGTTTTGCTTTAGTACTTCAGCCGGTGTGAGCATGAAGCACGACACAGCCTCGGCTGTTGAAGAAGCGATTGCGTTGATAATCGGGCTTGGAAGGGAGTGTGTGAATGGGAGGCGAAAGCCCGTTTTCGAAGATTGCGTGAAATACTCGGACTTGCTACCAGCGTGTTTGCTTCTGGTGGAGGAGTCGTGTAAGGCGCATTTTATAGCTTCGTATGTAGTAAAGAATGCTCCTGCTGTAGATGACGTGAGAGATTGTTCAGACAAGTCTACCTAGGACGGCCTTTTTCATTCGCGTGACTGACATGATGGTATTGTGGAGAATACGACGCTCCAGACACCCTGGTATAATCCGCGAAAGAGGACTTCTCGTCGCACCGCGCCTGTGCGGGCATCTTTGAAGACTTTCTCATAGTTGGGAGATTGGATGCGAGTCTTGAGTGTGTCGACTGGATAGACGATGAAGTCAACGACAACTGCGGCAAATGCGCCAGCCTAGTTTCAATTTATTAGTTATTGATCCTTGTCTGCGGTATTTGTCAAGTTATAACTTCTTGGGAGAACGAATTCCCGCCGGTGGATATATAGGATGAAAGATATATAGATCGCGAAGACTTACAACCCAAATATCTGAATGGGTGTTATACATGGATATAAGTGAATGATTAATGGGTTACATGCAAAATGCTATGCCAAAGAGCCTTACAAGACAGTCTCTCTCTTCGCAGGGACCTGTTTGCGATCTTATCGGCGACTGATATATGCAATGCCATGATGAGCGTATGAGGTCATATGTAATTCACGTGATCTACAATACCCTATCCAGATTAGGGCTAAAAGATGGGGGAGGTCCAGACCAACTTGGCTGTAAGTACTAGTGAAGCTACGATAAGGAAAAGAGCATCTAGACAAGATGTAAAAACAGTGCAGTTAAAGAAGAAGGATTTTCAAAGTCGTGTCTAGAAAAGTCATTGTGTTCTATGAGCGGATGGCGAGTCCATATATCGATCACAATCGGACTCGACCTCGTCACGGATACAAAGAAAACAAAAGAGGAAGTCGTATTAACATCCCAGAGAACATTTTCCCTCCCTACGCCGTAATAAGGTTTCATGCAATACCCAAAAGCCCCGAGGTATCAGGGTTCATCTCCTCCTCCTCACTCCCCTAAATCAAGAGTGTGTCGGAATTTATTTAGCGGTCTCACCGGGCAGCAGGTTGCCCTTAACAGCAAACATCTTGCCAGTCGTCGCCGAGACGAAGCTGTCGACCTGGCGAGAGAACTGCTCCACCTGGCGGGTGTTGAGCATGCTCTCCAACCGGCTGGGCTCGGCGGGGAGCTTGAACAAACGCTGCCACTCGTCCTCGGGGAGGAGAGGCTGCTTGAGCGTGGCGCGGGTAGCATTCTCTTGGGCGCGCTTCTGCTTCCAGTTGTTGATCTTCTGCTGCTCACGGCCGAGCACACGCTGGTAGTACTGGTAGTTGTTGACCTCGGTGTTGTGGGCCTCAATGCTGTCAAGGAGGAGGTCGCAGTTCTTCTCGAGGAAGGGGTCGATGCTGAGAGACAGGTTGTCAAAGTTGGGGCTGAGGGTGGTGGACTTGGAGAAGGGGCTGGACTCGAGAGCGCTGAGCGAGGCGGGAAGGTCGGTGGGCGCGGCGGGGGTTGGGGTCTGCAGCTGGTGGATGAACGAAGTGATCAGGTGAGAGTTGTGGATCTCGACGGGCAGCTCCTCGAAGATATCTTGGTGGCGGAGATTGGACTTTTGCAACCTGTAGAGAGTCAGTCAGCTAAAATTGGCCATGCGTTTCGTCCATATAGAGCGCCTATCACGTACTCCTCCGAGTTGAACTTGTTATCCTTGAAAGCCTCCATGAACTTAGCCGACAGGCGGAAAGCACGCAGGCTCAGGCTGCCCTGAGCGCTGCGAGACACATCGTGCACCAGTGCGACTGTCCGCTCGTTCAACTCCTTCTGGTAGAAAAATTGGTTCTCGATCACGTTCATGTTGACAAAGTTGCCCATGTTGGCGCTAGTGTACCAGCCAGCGTTGTTGGCATCGATGTTGACCTCACGAAGCATCCGGACCATCTCAGCCTGGTAAGCGGCGTTGGACTTGGCGCGGGGGGCAGCGGCGGCCGGGTTGGGAGCGGCGTTATCGAAGTGCGACTCGGTGGGCATCTCGACAACGGGGAACGGGAAAGAGTTGGTGATCTCGAGGGTGTTATCGACATCCATACCGACGAGGGAACCGGTCGCGGTGGTCGGGAAAGTCTGGGAGCAGTGCTTGATGATTTTCATCACCACCTAGAGCGTCGGGCATGAGTATTTCTCGCTGGCGAGGGTAGGGAAGATTTTCAAGATTCGGGGAGACTGTACCAAGGCCTCGACCTTGATGGCCGCGAGGGGGGCTTGTGCTCTATTGCGGAGATTAGTATTGGCATCGGAAAGAGGGTATCAAAAATCACATACTCGGCCATATTGAAAGGTGGTTGCACCGTGTGGAGGGGGTGAGGTTAGACTTGGAGATGGGGCGGTTGGACGGTTTGTGTGAAAGGAGCCCGTCGAACAATTTCCTTTCGGGTTTAGCGTCGTATCGATTGTGTGGTAATACGGTATGGAAGTAATGGTGGCGGCGAGGGGCAGATACGCTTGTATTACAGCATTACGTCAATTGTCCATGGCCGACTCTCCATTACGATTATTTCTGCTACAAATGACCGTTCTTTAACAAATAAAATAGATAGGCTCGATATGCAATTGAACTGAGTCCATTTATACGACCTTTCTGCTGGTGCCTGTTGACTCCCCTGGTAATCAATCGCGGAGACGGGACCCTCCCACCTCCGAGCCGCGTTATCGATAGGAACCGACCCGATTGATAGATATATTGCGGCATCACCCAGCTTCATCATAGCTCTCATACTCCAACCACACCTTCGACAATGGCGACCCAGACCAGCAAAAGGACCTTGACCTATGGTCGGCATAGCTCTCTCCAAAAAGTTATTGCCACACCTCTGGACCAATACAAGGACGGCTACTGGGTAATGTATGACCTCCGATCCGATCCCCGCATCGCAATCCTCCATCCGATGAAGACAAAGACAACGGCTAACAACAAGACCAATACTGCAGCTACATTCACGGTGGTGCCTGGCATGATCCAGAAATTACAGCCGAAACTATCGAACCCACTCAGTCTATCCTGCAAGCCGCACCAGACCTCCCCATCACAGGCTTCGCCTCGATCGAGTATCGGCTCAGTCCACACCCGAAGCACCCACAGGATAAAGCAACAGCGCCGCCTGAGGAATACCGTGAGGCAAAACACCCTGATCATATTCGGGATGTAGAAGCAGCGCTGGCTTTCTTGCAGAATACATACGGCTTTGGACAACGGTATATCCTGGTCGGTCACAGTTGCGGCGCGACACTGGCATTCCAGGCAGTCATGGGGGCGGTAGCGGGACACCGGGAACAATTGTTCAATGGAAGCGCTCATGAGTGCGTTGTGGAAACCGAGCCAGTTTCTTCGTCTCCAGAACCCCTTCCGCCGCGATTGTCTGCGCAGCCAACGGCCATCGTCGGTGTTGCGGGTATCTACGACTTGCGGCAGATCGTCGAAAAGCATCGGGATATTCCTGAGTACCGCGAATTTGTTGAGGATGCTTTTGGCACGGATGAGCTGCTCTGGGATGCGGTGTCCCCGGCGCAGATGGCTGGGTCACGGGGTGTGGAGGGTGGTTGGAAGACTGGACGATTAGTTGTCCTGGCGCATTCGAAGGATGACGAGCTCGTCGATGAGGGCCAGCTTGAGACTATGCGGAAGGCTCTTCGTGCCTGGGAGGGCAGGAAGGCGCAAGTCTCGAAGGAAGAGTTGACGTCAAATGATCGCCGAGTGCAGCACCTTCCTCTTAATGGGAAGCATGATGAGGCCTGGGTCACGGGCGAGGAGCTGTCCCGTGCGGTCAAGTTTGCTTTCGAGGAGCTGCGCAAAATGGGATTATCGCCCTAATCCGAATGACCAAGCTGGTGGTAAGACTAGATCGGGCTTGTATCATAGACACAGCGAGGCATTCTATCAAGCGGCGTGATCATAGATATATACATAGACAAGCATTTGGAAGGAAAGAGCTGCCCTGGGAATAGTATCTGAGTTTATTTCCTTCATTTCATATCTCCACAAGGGAGACTTCTAGGCAAGAGTAGGGGAATGATGTAGATACATTGTCGAGAAAACAACTACAAGGCACGCCATATGGGCCTTGGAAACGCCATTAATCGTTAAAAATATCACGGAAGATCAAAGCACTGGAAACATATCCCCGTTACGCCAGATGCTTGCTCGTGTGAGATCCAGTACCACTTGTATGATGGGCCAATCAGTTGCCCAGATCCATGCGACCCGATGCCGCATCCCCAGCAACCTTCTCAGTCTTCACGGGCTCGTTCTCCTCACCGTACTCGTAGTTCTCCTCCTCACTGTCGCTTTCTTCTACGAATTTGTGGCTCATGCCGAATTCGGCGAGGCGGTCTTGCATGTCCTCGCGGCAGCAATCTTGCCAGCGTGCAAGAGCGGCTGCGGCGTGGACCTTGAACCCATAGATGCGTGGCTCATAGCGACGCTGGCTCTTCTCGGGGTTGAGGGCAGGGTACACCTGGAATAGGATGGAGTGGAATGAGGTGCCGAAGTAGGCACCGTCAATGGAGGCGTGGCGGGAGGATTTAGGGTTGTAGATGTCTTCACATTTGGGGCAGTAGAGCTTGACAGTGCTCATGTTTGGGAGGTCATGTTGGCCCATAGGCAAGAGAGGGTGTCCGTCGCAAAGGACGCGGGGACACTTGCCAAAGTCGCATTTCTTATACTTGTCAAGCTGGAGAAATATTAGTCGTTGGCCTACAGCATTGGAAGTCGGAGTGGGCAACGTGAAAGAACTAACCATCTTGGCTAGGCCGCGTGTGGTGACAATGTATCGGGCATGGACTAGGCCATAGAGATGACGAGCAGACTTCTCGATTTGCTCCCGCAGATCGTCGTCGGCATCGAGGTCGAAAACATCGGTCACCAGGTCCAGAGCATATTGATAGTAGGGGACCTCAGTGTTCAAGCCCGTGAGGTTGAACCGGTCGGTCAAGTAATCCTCATCGATTTCGCAAAAGTATTCATTTCCTCGCGACGACACAAACTAATCGAAAGGCCATGGCATGTCAGCGGTGTTCAAGGCAAGGGTATGGGAGCATATTTCAAGACATGCGAGATCGTGTGTTTCCCTCAAAGCACGACTGGAAGCCAGCACGCTAAGATGCCTATCATGAAGACATATAGAGCAATATTTGACGATGACCCATATTCACGTGCAGCGGGGGTGGCGGGAGGCGCATCGCGCAATATGCAAGAGGGGATCGACCTACCCAGTCTCTCCAGTAGCTTGTGTAGTCACTATCTGTCTCACTGTTGAAGTCCTCCATCATGTTGACCATGGGCTGTGTAGGAACAAGATCCGCTCAGGCTGCTTCCTCGTTTTCGGAGGGTGGGTAGGTGGCAGCGCCGAAGTTTGGGTGGATCAACCCCGGGGTGCTGGAAGCCCCGACTGCGACACCGCTGGGCAATTCAGGTGCTGAGAGATGTCTCGACAAGCTGAGATTCACGGTCGATCCTCGGTGGGCGGAGGTGGGGGTGGATGAGCAGCTGATTCGAGGGGAGGTTTAAAGTGTGCCCGCTGCTCGATAAAGTGTGGGCTGGGCGGTGGGCATTCTGCTGGATTGGGGCTGGTGCATGTTGACCGCCTTGGGAATAGTTACACCGGATCGCTTCACATCTGGTCGTGGCTGCCCTTCTCGAAAACATCATCTTTGGGTTGTTTAGGGTACCTCAAAGTGGTCCAGCATTCTCCCGCAGCTGCTACTATAGTTACCTCTCGTAGGCACAGGGTTACCCCTACACTGTAAATTGAGCTCTACGAAAGCTCCATCAACCATAACACCTGCCCATGCATGTAGGTCGATCGGGTCTTTTGATATCACTTCATTCAACGCGAATATCTTCTGTGAGATTATAAACAGACAGATCCTCATCCATCCCACGAAGGGTGTAAACGGCACTCTCCTTTCCACCAAAGACCGACAATGCAGCTACCCCTCGATAGTCCATGCCAATCTTCTCCAAGACCCTACGACTCCGCATATTCGTCGCATCGCAGAATCCAAACGCAGCATAGATGCCTAGTTCGACACCGGCATATTCAAGAAGCCCCTTGGACGCCTCGGTCGCATACCCTTTCCCACTTTCCTCCGATAGAATTGTATATCCAATGTCAGGAGCAAGATAATGCGGGCCAGGCGGAGATCCCTTCATGAGAGACACACAGCCGATAAGCTTAGGGGTCTGGGTGGCTTCGACGAATGATACGAGAAACTGGCCATGTCGGTTGCGAGCGTAGTCTGCTAGGACGCGCCGTCGGATAAAGGCTGCCGCCTTTTCAGGGGTGTCGATACCGGTTCGGCCAGATGAGTTGATAAAATCATCCGTGTTCCATAGTTTGACCAGGAACTCGCAGTGAGAGAGGTTATCAGGGTCAAACGGATGGATCTGTAGGCGTGGAGTCGCGATGGCGAAGTCCAGAGGGAACGGGGAGACTGCGTCGATAGTCATGGATGGGCTGAGGTTTGTATTGTCTACGAAGAACTACCTCTATGGCGTCGATAGCTGGAACGCCACGGGACTTTGAGAGGAAATATGCCCCGTAATTCGAGAGTGGGGGCTAGAGCGGGCTCAGTGACTGACTGGACAAACAGTCGATGCCGTTGATTACACGATACTTCATACCGATACCAACCTTCCATGTTGATAAACAGGGACAGAACCATCCAAGCCCCTGCTCGTATTCATACCTGGAAGAAGAAGAATAGGTACATTTACTATAAGATAGCAAAATCAGTAATCTATACCCATTTCATATGGAGGTTTAGGTCTGTTTGAAATAACATTCATGCGTGTTTCGCGACATAGGGCAGCAACGGTTGCCACTGTAAGACCCGATAAGCAAATCAATGTACAACCCCAGATCACCGATCTCCTTGTGGTCACTTACTGAATGCCCTTTCAAGTCCGCTCTGCTTTTCCCACTATTCCTGGCCCTAGCTCTCGGAGTTCCTTCTTCGCGTTTCCGCTTAAATCCTCATCGCCGAAGAATCCATCACCGAAATCTGGAATTACTCAGATTGATGCGTTTTGGCCATTTAGCACTCGGTCATTAGCGCTTATGGCCGCACTGCATCTGTCCACCCTCCATCACCAGAGGAAAATGGCTAGAAGCTATTATTTAAAAATTTACGTTGAAATTTCCAACCAAAGTCTTGCGTGCCCCAATAGAATCCTTCACGTTTGAAAATCCGGCTTCTTACTGCTAGTGGCAACCTAGTAGGCGTGTGGCCCTCAGTAGCGGCCTCAGGGCGGACGAGTCGGTGATACACATATTTTTAAGACTTGATAGGGAGCCAATAATCACTGTTGACAGCCGAGTCGTCTATCTAGCCAGTATAAACCATGGAAGGCTAGAGACCAAAAACTCCTCCTCGTTGGGGCTCCTTACCCAATATTGCCAGCCACGGCTTCCCCCCCTCAATCTGGATTTTCTACCGGCGCCCCGCTCATCTGGTATGTGCACCCAGTAAGTGCAACATTATTATCTTGCTTATGTACTTCGATCACTAAGTAGCTACCTTGGTCCGACGCCAGCCGCGTTATGGCTACCAATTTGGAACGGAAATCTCCGATCGGGCGCAGGCAAATTGAATAAATGGTTATCGCCACGATTTGTATCCCTATCGATCGCAAAGTTGTTGAATTGTTCAGAACTAATATGAGAACAGTCTTGATCCTAATCCACAATGCATATAGGACTGTTTTGCTTGCAGTGCGTTCCTTGATTATAACCGCGCATTCGAAGAAGCTTCTTCGAAGCAAGCCTTCTGGGCAAACCTTGGCTTTAAACCTCGACTTTGGTAACACATGGCAACTAGATCTGGGGAGCAAACGGCTCCTCTAAAACTTTAACCGCAAAAGATTTCTTGCTTCCAGCCCCTGCTCACGTGGACTTGAACGCCCTCTTAACTTTCTAGGAGGCGGACTCCGCAGATACCCCGGTGGCATCCAATGGCCTCCTCGCGTGGCGTATATTTGCGTTGAAACTTTGACCTGAACAGGAAAGCAGATACTGGCTGAGGAGGGCCCAACGTACGCTAAGCTTCCAATCCGCCTATCGTTCTTCCGATCTAGGTTTCCGAGGTAAGGAAAAAAATTCAATTCGAATTCACGGGATTAACGAAAACTCGTAAAGCGATAGAAGAGTCCTGGCTCCGGACAAGCCTTATCTTTCCCCCACAGCCTTGTTCAAATCCCCCCACCGTTGCTCTTTGCAGGTTGCGATCACCCTCCTTTTTTTTCTCCCCTTGCTAGACGCCCGCCTCCGTAGCTAAGCATGGCGTACGATCCCGAGAAAGGCCTGCCCGAGGCCAAGTACCCTTCTGCGGAGCAGACCTCGCTTGAGGCGATTCCAGCCGACAACGATGCCGGCATGATGGCCAAGATGCGTGCGCTGGAGTCTAGGATGGACAACAAACTTGGTATCGAGTCGGAGGCCATCAATCGCAAGCGTCCAGAGGATAAGAAGGAGGTGCATTGGGTTGAGGAGTTGTCAATGGCGTTGCTATGGGCTAGCGGTACCATGAACACGTCTTGTTTCGCGACTGGTTTCCTCGGCTGGGAATTCGGTCTGAGCCTGAAACAGTCAATCTTGATCACCATTTTCGCCTCACTCCTGGCTGCGACTCTAAGCGGATACTGCGCCACGTTCGGAGCAGCAACTGGTCTGCGCCAGATCAGTGTTAGCCGATACAGTTTTGGCTGGTGGCCTAATAAGCTGGTTGCCCTTCTCAACGCTATTCAGCAGATGGGCTGGGCTGCCGTTTCTTGTATCACGGGCGGTCTTGCATTGACCGCAGTTTCCGACGGCCATGTCTCCTTGATTCTCGGCATCATTATTCTGGCTGTCGTTGCGCTGATCATTTCCTTTGTCGGATTGAAGGCTATTCTGTTCTACGAGCGATGGGCTTGGATTGTCTTCTTCGTGATATTCATGATCATCTTCGGCCAGACTGGCAAGTATGCCGATAACACGGCTCCGGCCACTGCCACCGGTGCGAATCTCGCCGGCGCCGTTCTCAGCTTGATCGCAGTTGTCTACGGATCCAGCGCATCGTGGTGCACTATGGCCAGTGACTATTATGTGCACTATCCTGCCAACGTGAGTCGCGTGAAGGTCTTCTTCATGACCACTTTCGGTATTGCCATCCCCACTTCGATCGGCATGATTGCAGGCTGTATAGTCGCCTCTGCTTTGAGCAATAAGTCCGATTGGTCCAGCGCATATGAGGAGGGAATTGGCTATCTCATTCAAGATATGATTTACCCCCGTGGGTTCGCCAAGTTTCTCCTCACCCTGCTCGTTCTGTCCGGAATCAACGTCAACGTCATCAGTATCTACAGTTCCGCTATTTCCTTCCAGCAGCTTTCGCGACCGTTTGCTCGTGTTCCCCGATTCATTTGGACCATTTTCTGCTTCATCTGCATTCTCGCATTGGCTATTGGTGGCCGTCAGAAACTCAACACGTATCTCCAAAACTTCCTGAGCTTGCTGGGCTATTGGTGCACTAGCTACGCTGTTATTCTATTCGAGGAACACTACGTCTTCCGAAAGGGCAACTTTGACAACTATGATTTGGAAGGATGGAACGACCCGGCTCGACTCCCTCTGGGTATCGGTGCAGCTGTGGCCTTTGCCCTCGGTGTTGTAGCTTGGGTTGTGGGCATGGATGAGACTTGGTTCATCGGACCCCTGGCTGGGTTGATTGGCGACTACGGCGGTGACGTTGCTAATGAGTTTACGTTTGTGGTCACGGCTTTGAGCTATCTTCCGGCAAGATACTTGGAGCTCAAATACTTCGGGCGATAAGCTATATGCCTCCCAAGACTTTGCTGTACATGCTGCAGAATGTTTTCGCTTGTCTATATAGCTTCAAATCTCCATTATCCACTCATTAAAAATATCAAATATTTAAGATTTAAACACTAATACTTTAATTTTTTTTTGTTTACATGACACCTTGAAATAGCGCACAGATATTTCATACTCAAATGATAACATGCTGCATAAATTTCATTGGGGCCTCCAATTGCACCTTTCTGTCGACGGGCTTGTCCGCGTGTCATCGAGAGCAAATGGAGCGCTCAACGGGCAAATGTCCGCGAAGCCGCCCTTATGTCTGTGCGATTATGTGTCCGCTCCGTTATTGATCGTCTCAAGTAATGCCCAGGTAGGCGCGTTATCTGTATTGATAATGGAGTGTCGCTCGAAATTGGAAAAGAGGAACGACAGATTCCACTTTGCAAACAACATCCCCGGCACATACTCCGCTTCTCCAGTTTTCCAGATCATGGGGCGTCAGCTGGTAAGGCTTCCACGGTGGTTCTATTCATGTGTTGAACCATTTATACAACATTTTCGACGACTAGTTGTCGCTTAGGGGATTATTGGGTGACAATTTACCTGGCTATCGCCGTTGAAGAGCGGGATTCGACAGGGATGCGTGGGCCGATCCGTCCAGATTGCCGATCGGCATCGTAACACTGCTGGCCTTCTTCATCGGCTGGGCTGAAGCTACTGTGTCTATGGACCAGGTATGGTTTGTTGGACCAATTGCGAAGATGGTCAGCGATTATGGCTCCCACATGGGTATTTGAGATGGGGTTTCTTGGGCAATGCTTGTATATCCGCCTCTTCGATGGCTGGAGCTGAGAAAGTTCCGACGGTGATTCAGAGACTTTGTGGATTACATAGCCGATGCGCTGTAGTGAGGACCCCCGATACTGCATTTTTGTGCGACTGGGCGAGTTCTACAATTCTTCAGTACTTGGCTGGCTCGGTACTCTGTACAACCTTATTTAATCTAGAACAGCCACCCGCCCGGGTGGCAGTCCTCCCTGATGATCCTGCTCTTTTATCCACAGCTCTCCTTGGAGAAGTATCCGCGTCCTACTTCCGCCCTTGTTATTTCGCGAAGACTCGAGCTACAGAAAGTCCTTCTTGGTGACTTCTTGGCGAAATTATTAGTCAAGTGGTGGAAGTTTCGCAACATTGAGCCTCCGCATACTACACACCATTTATCGCTCATGAGCCGAGGTATGTTCATAGTCCAGGCCTAAGCGACATAGACCCAATGTTGGACATTGGTTCGAAGACCACCCTGAGAATACACAAGGCGTACTACGGACACCTTGATTCTGATTCTATATCCAGCTTCTGTATTTGTACTCGGTGAAGTTATTATAAATGCCGTGGAACTCGTGATGACTTATTCGAATTGTGGAAGACTTTCATTTACAAAATCGGATCTGCAATGTCTCTAACCGGTTTTCCATTGATGTTTGGGTATAACCACTGAGCAAAAATAATGATGTAACTACTGTAGGACTGTAATGGAAAGGTCAAACCCTTCTCACAGCCAGTACTACTCTAAAAAAGCACTCTTTTTGTGAATCAACAGCCTGCTGCCTACCTATGAAGCTCTCAAAACTTTTGTACGAGGTGTCTATAAATAGTAAGGCTGTAAGAAAGCATGGGTCTCAACGGAATGACACCGATGATAGATGACTTGTCTGAGATGTACTCTGCATGATCCGATCTTTCGAGCTGCGGTGGCGTGATGTTAACCAAATCGACAATCCGCGCAGGGTCGCTCAATATTCCTCGTAAAACCTGGTAACTTACGGCCGCACGTGGATCTTTGGGCACACAAATGCGGGGTGTCCCGCAGCAGGCGGGATGTGATTGGTTGGGTCTTGAAGATGTCTTGGATGTGGTTGTGGGGTTAGCATCATTGAACTGAACACTTCTTCAGGTGATGTCTCAGCTATACATACATAAGTAAGACATGCCGAGCAAGCCGAGAAGGTGTACGAAGTAGTATTCTTGTCTTGCTCACCAGCTCTTGCTGTACGTAACAGTTACATTCACTAATTTGGGGAACATCCGTTCTGAGCAACATCTCTGACGATCGATGAGCTGAATAGATTAGGACAAGGCCAAGATGAATGACCTCAGAGGGTTGAGAAATGCCTTATATAGCTTCAATACTTCCTTTACCAAGTCAATTTATTATCTTGTCAAGACAGAACAATTTCCACTCCATACACTACCTCTCTAATCTTCCCAACCTTCCACTCCAAAGCAAACAAATCGCAACCATGCAATTCTCTCAGCTCCTCCTGGCCACCCTCTTCGCCGCGCCCGCGGTCCTCGCTGCTCCCGTTGCCGGAGTCTCCATGATGGCCGCCGGCCCTGAGTGGACTATCCAAAACATGAAGCGCGTCTGCGCCTCCAACGATTCCTCCTGCACCTGGACCTTCGGCATCTACCCCGGCTCGGGAGCTGCTACTGCCTGCACGTACGTGGTGACTGCCAATACTGCCTCTCAGGCCAACGGCGGCCCCTCCTCGTGCGGCGACTACACCATTACCTCTGGCTGGAGTGGCCAGTTCGGCCCTGGCAATGGCTTCACCACCCTCTCCGTTGTCAACGGCAAGACTCGCCAGATCATCTGGCCCGCCTACACCGACAAGCAGCTTGCTGGTGGCAATGTCGTCACACCCGATCAGAGCTATGCTCCTGCTGCTCTTCCCTAAATAAGAAGACCCATCAACTCAGAATGGGGTTGGCGAGATCCGGAGGGCCCCACCGATAATCATTCGGTTGTGGCGTCCGACTTTGGATTGAGGATTCCATAAATCTGGAAGTGTACATAATCAATGACCCTGCCAAAGCCTAGCTCACTGCATTAATATATCCACGAAAAATCCGATGCAAATGTTTGAAGAATAACAAACTTTTAAATTCAGGGTCGGCTATGCCTCGTGTAGCTTCTCCCTTGGATATGAGTTCTGGCAAGTAAACTATGATCGTGGATAGATTGTAACATAAGGCTAAATTTAGCATGTTTTACCAAGTGTTAATTCTTAGCAGTAGTGACAGGCTTTCGGTATCTCAGGACACTCATTGACCGAAATTCGACTCCGTTTCGGATTGAAGATGCGAATACGTCGCAACAAGAGAACTACGAGGCGTCGAACATGCAAGAAAAAGCACGATGACTTGGATTGGCGGCAACAGCAGCCAAGAAGGAGTTTGTCAGACAGCAGGAATAGAAGAAAATAACGAGGGGGTGAATGGCCTTTGTAGAAGATGAAGAAGAAGAGTGGTCCAAACTATCAGATCTGTCTATTCTTTAGGGTCCCTGCCCCTGTAGACACGGATAGTACGGTAGTCACTGCCACCCGGGGAACTAACTTTTCAAATTACCCTGCCACATCGGATTGAGTCCCTGGCTTCCATCTGGGGTTTCAGATATTGCGGGCTTGTCTGCTATCAAAATTTGATCGTAGAGCCTTCTAAGACTGTCTCAAAGATCTTACTACCAGCCCTAACTTACTGTCGCACGACATCCTGCAGATTATAGGCCGCCGTTAGACCTTCTCGACATTATTTGCAAATTCCGTGGGACCGTTGGAGTTAAAATTTGTTTGTACAATCCTACGGTAAAGCCTGTTGCTCAAGTCCGCTGCTGACACGGGGCATATTTGTCGATTGCCAGTGACTGAGCACCACAAACAATAATCTGCTAAAGAGCTTGATGGCGCACGTGCCAATGAATCCATGCGTAGAGACTAGCCCAGATGGCGATAATATCTATGCATATGACATTCTCCAATTCCAGCTTAAACAAGGACGAGGGGCCCCTTCGATGGGACGAGACAAAGCAAACATCCCCATATTAACTCCACCGGAGAATAACATTTCCCATTATTCCAGATATCAATCCCGAATCGACGGCTTGGGTCTGATGACCCTAAGGTACCTGCCGTTGGACTCGGTTCTTTGAGAATTGGTGGTAGATATGAATCGGCAGGCTCTCTCCGATGAGAAGCTCGCCTTCCTGGACCATGCACATGCAGTCAGTCAGTACCTTTCGGACACATCAAATCTCTATGGGGATAAGGGAGTTGTAGTGGGTGAGTGATTTAATGCGTTTTGGCAAAAGAAATGATCTATTTCTTGCCACACATTTGGGTTCCAAACTTTAAGCGAAACAGGAGAGGTAACGATACGTTCTGATCTTGACTGTGTGCGTATCGCCTGCGAGAAGGGCCTTCAGCGGCTTGGTGTCAGCACTATTGATCTATATCATTGTCCTCGTGTTGATCGTATTTTACCCATTGAAAAAACAATCAAAGCAATGGTTGAGTTGAAAATGTACGAATCTCCGTCTCGGACCGCTAAAGTTGGAAACCTCGCTAATAAATATTCTCAGCAAGGGTGAGATATGACATTTTGGAAACGCCTAGGTGACCGCCACCACCCTCGCTGAGCGCACGCTCCCCATCCAATTACCGCACTGCAAATTGAGTATAGTCCATTTGCGCTAGACACCGAATCACTAAAGATCAATCTTTTGAATACCTGTCGTGAGCTAGGTATTGCAGTCGTTGCTTAGAGCCTAATTGGTCGTGGTATTCTGAAAGGACAGATTCAGTCGTACGACGGCTTGCCTGAAGAAAACTTGCGCCACAGTTTTCCGAAATACTCACCGGAGAATTTCCCCAAGATATTGAGATTTGTGGACGATCTAAAGAGTGTCGCGAAGACCCACGATGTGGCTCCTGTGCAAGTTGCGATAGCTTGGTTGCTTGCACAGGACCTGACATTATCCCTATTCCTGGCACAAGACCTGCAAGCAGAATGGAAGTAGAAAAACAGGTCGTCCCTGCTCTTTTTGTCGAACAATGAGACGAAGAGAAGTTGGGAGTTGATTCAAGAGAATAAAGTCTATGGCGACCGCTACCTAGGTGCGTGGATTTAGCTCTGAGATCGGTTGTTCAATCTTCGATAGTAATTTTGATCTGAAATGACAATATTGTGACCGCTATTGCTATTTTGCCACATTAAGGCGCCAAACCCATATTTACTTAACCCATATCTACTAGTATTGGTCTCTCTTCCTCAGCGAAACGCCACCCTTGACAACCGATTGAACAACGCAGTTTGATGTACGTAGAATGAGAGAAATTGTCCGGAGGGCAGGAATTAGTACACCGCAATGAGCCCCCTTCCCTACTCCTCTAGAATGACACCACTGTGGGTCACGTACTAGCTTCCAAGTGACATACATGAGCACAGTCTGATTGAAAAGCAAACATCCATCGCAAGAATTTATTCAGCATTAGCTAGGAAGCGTAAGTCCTTTTCAGAGACATACGGGTGCCCGCCCTGGATAATCTCATCAAATCGGAGGCCGATGCGTGTATAGTTTTGTCCAAACCGACCAAGCTCCTTTAGGCGAATTGACACCCAATCTTGATATATTCGGTCTGACGTTGCAATTCCAGCTAGGAATAAAGGCCACGTAATGCGAACGATCAGGTGCGGCCGGGACCGGTGAAGTTTCAAGCTCAGCTCGAGAACCAACGATACTGCAGAGGAAAGGGGCATCAGTTTGCTGTGAACTTGAGTTCCCGGATGCTTGTTGATAATATCTTGGAAGCAGAGGTGGAAGAAGACAATGGTGCTGTAGAATGTAATGGCAGCCCAGTGACTTGTCTCTAAGACTCGGCGACCTGCGCCAATATCACAGGATTGAGAAGTTCTGACGGCCGTAAGGACGGTATCATATTCCTGTTACGGATTAGATATGTGACAGTGGATATGTGGGAAAAACAGCAGTGACTCACAAGCGCGAAAATGTTAATTTCATCTATAACTTTTTGGTAGGGCGATATTGCGTCCACTGTCGTTTCAGTAGGTGTGCCCAGTTTGAACTGTTCAGTGATCTTGAATTGAATGACATGGCTTCGATGGTAGAGGGTCAACGCTGGAAGATTCTCCATGTCATCCATCTGGGCTGACATTGGATATGTCTCACCCCAGAACCGAGCAGGCGATTGTCGACTAATTCGATATAGTTCAGACAGTGTAAGAGGAATTTTTTCATCGGTGTGTCCACCAAGGAAAAAGTGGAAAATATCAGAGTCCAATCGTCCTGTTGTAGGTCCAAAAAATAATGCTGCTGGAGTAAAGAAGTATAAAGTCCAGAGCAGAAATAGAGGAACCGATGTACGACCGAGCCCGTCGACAGAATTAGACTGTGGTACAAGGAAACTAGAGCCGACTTCAGCAGCCTGATCGCTGGTGGCTGGTGATATAGGATCCGCCAGTGGAGGGCGAGGAGAATTCTCGAGATTGGATGTAATGGCAGGAGGTGATGTCTGTTGGGGTCCTGCATTTTCATGATGTTGATGAGCGTGGCCCTGGAGAAATGGGACGACATGGTTGTGAAGAAGGCTTTCGATGCCCCGAATGTGAATGTTGATGGCAGCAGCACCGCTTCCGAATCGGTTTTCGTAATCGATCATCAGCCATAGGGTGATAAAAATGGCTTCCACTTTTTGCGGTGACTTCACGCCAGACTTGAGGGCTTGGCGAAGGCTCGATAATGCTCGACCATAATGCGTCCGCCCATCGAGTTCACAAGACTCATTGTGAGCAGTGGTACCTGAATTCAGACTGCTGATGGAAAGCGCCTCCTGATCGTAGAGTCGCGATCGATGTATTTCTCTAGCAGTACTTGCCAGGATCATGCTCATAACCATAGGCTCATTTACAGCGATTCGGTGGTATGCGTACGAGATCGTAGACCACGGCCAATGCTTGCCAAGGATAATGACTAGTGTCGAATTCTGGAGGTAACTGAGACAATCTCGATCAAAGGCAGATAGGGTCAAGGAGTTGGCTGCCTGTATACTTGGATTAGGATTCCCATTGCCAATCCTATGAGAAGGAAGTAATGGCGCCTGGCCAAAACTGCTAAATTGTTGAGCCGGGAGTCGCTTAGCGCCAGCCTTGTCAGATTGGCCAGCATTGCGGGTGGATAATCGCGCGGGCACTTTTCTCGAAGTCGCGAGGAGAGATGAGGAAGTGGACGAGCTTTTGCGCGGAATCGGCCCACCCCTCCACTCGCATTTGATGCCTGCTGCCGTACATCGTCGGCAATGGGGCTCCTGGCCTTCGACTGGATGCTTCTCCTCGTCGCATTTCACCTTACGGATGCGACATGTTCGACACCCTAGCCTTGATTATCAGCTCAACCCTTCAATAACGTAAAACCTCAAGAAGGTAGTCGAGGGATAAGCGGCGTGTGGATCCCCTACCGGTCTTAGAACGCGTTTTGCCCTGCTTGTGCATCTTCTGGGTGCCAACCAAGACAACCGCCCAGACCCCATCTGGTGCGAAAGGGTCTTTTACGGATCCGATCAGCAATCTCGGGATTCGGGTGTGCAGCTCCGTCTGGGGTAGTAATGTTGCACGAGCTTAGGCGAGCCTATCGCCAGACGGACGATGACTAGGAGAATTCAAAAGGTGTCGAAGGGGGAGTGGAGGCTGGGGAAAAGCTCCGCCTTATCTGCCGAGTGGAGGCAATCAGGCCTTCGAACTAGGCGACGATAAGAAAGAAAGCTGCCGATGCCAGGCTGCCGATTGGCTCTGTCGGCAAACGGCTCGCTAAACCATATCGAGAGAGGCCAAGCGTTGCCGAGTGGACCTGGAAAGCCAAGCGGGGAAATCGTGAACTCAAAGATACCGGCTCAAGTAAAGTCGGACACAAAACTCCGTTGACTCCGGCTCTTCGTCCTGATAAATTTGTACGCCGCAGTATCAGTGCCAATACCATTCATCCCCGTCAAGTTCAACTAGATTACCAAATATGCACGTTCCCGAGGCCCAGCGACCCTTCCTGGACACTGTCCAAGAAGCACTTCGTCGATACGATGAGCAGCTGAAAGATATCAATCACAAGGCATGCGACTAAGAAAGAAGCAAGAGAAAACTATTTCATAGCTAACCTCATTTAGATCTGGTCGAATCCAGAGCTCGCCTACAAAGAATATCAGGCTCACGACCACATCTGTGAGCTCTTCAACAGCTTTCAATCGAATGGCTATCAAGTTCGGCCTAAAGCCTATGGCCTGGAGACTGCTCTGGAGGTTGAGTTTACCCACGGAAGTGGTGGACGTGTGGTTGTGTACAATGCAGAGTATGGTAAGAAAGTTCACCCCAATCTCCACAAACGCCGAACACATATTCACACAATGTAGATGCCCTCCCTGGCATCGGTCATGCTTGCGGCCATAACTTGATCGCGACAAGCTCTATCGCGGCGTTTATTGCGACTTGCGAGGCAATGAAGGCACAGGCCCAGTCTTCGAACGTCTCAGGATTCACCGTTCGCCTGCTCGGTACCCCTGCTGAAGAATCTGGCGGTGGTAAGGTGAAGCTGATCGAGGCGGGCGCCTACAAAGATGTAGATGCTTGCCTGATGGTGCACCCCATTCCAATGTCACCTGGGCGCCCGGACTTGCACGGCCTTGCGACAGTTGTCGAAGGTGGATATCTGGCCAATGACAAAGTCAAAGTAACGTTCACGGGAAAGCCGTCCCACGCAGCAGCGGCGCCCTGGGAGGGTATCAACGCGCTTGATGCGGTAGTTTCCGCATACGTGAATATCTCTCTCCTCAGACAACAGATTTTGCCTTCTCAAAAGATTCATGGTGTCATTGTAAACGGAGGTGCTCGCCCGAACATCATCCCTATGTCGGCATCCGTGGATTATTACATTCGCTCTCCGACCAAGAAAACCCTTAAGCCTTTAACGGAGAGAGTCGTGAATTGCTTCGAGGCCGCTGCCACTGCCACTGGATGCAAAGTGGAATTTGAATGGTAGGAAATATCTTCTGTATCTTTGATTTTCAATCTCGCTGACTGAAGCCATTTAGGGGGGTGAGCTACGATGACCTCAAGAGCAATACGCCAATTTGTGAAAGCTACGTCTCGGCAATGCGGGCAATGGGTCACCACACTCTGTTCGACAACTCCGAACAGAAGGGTGCACTCGCGGGGGCGTCAACTGACATGGGTAGGCTAACTTCTCGAACGTGTGTTCTTTACCCAACGTCACTAACATCACAACAGGCAATGTATCGTATGTTGTGCCGGGCTTCCACGGTGTTTTCTGTATTCCAGCCAAGGGCGTCAACCATACCCCGGAATTTACTAGTGGGGCAGGTTCACCCGAGGGATACGAGAGGGCAATCGGCTGTGCTGCTGGAATGGCCGTCGTCGGATGCCAGATACTGGTTGACGACGACTTTGCCGAGGCAGTGAAGAAGGATTTCCAGCGCGAGTGATAAGGAACCCACTCTAGTTATGTAGCCGATATTCTGAGACAAATAAAATCATAAGTATGAATATTCGCCGAGATTCAGATAGTCAGATTTAACGAGAGAGATAAGAAGAGCTTTCATCAAATAGAGCCCCTTGAAGTCCGTAGGATTACCCTTGTTATCTGGGGGAACCATCCTTATTCCTTTTGGGCCAATAGAATCATCGAAGTGCTTCGTCTCAACAATCTGTTTTCCCCCAAAATGCATGGCCGCCATGGCTTTAAACTCGCCAAGCCACATGTAGCCTTGCCGACCGAACCAATGATCACAGACCCAAGGAAAGACCAATTGCGAGCACAGACCGTTATCAAATGATTGAGTTTGCGGGGTATGGTTATCTTGCCAGCCAAGAGTAGGTCACGCTGGTGTGAGAAGATTCGCTCTGGTCCAGTTGACTGATACATAAATAAGGTGATGGAAGGTGGGTTATTTGCGAAGACCAACAATTTTACCCTGTGCACATTTGTCAAATATTGCTTGTTTTCAAAATGGGAGGGACCACTGTCAAAATGGAAGTTAGCTCTTCAAACGAAGAAGTGGATCGGCAAAGTGTCGACAACGGAGCTCTTGAGCAACTTCAAACTGCATCACATCAATTCTCGTCAGCTGCGGAGAGGAGACTCGTGCGGAAAATTGACTTCACGTTAGTACCTCAACTTCAACATTGTCTGGAACTAATAATGTCTGAGACATTGTCGATGCTGACCTTTCTATTCAAAGCATACTTCCCATCATGCTCGTGGCTTATATGATGGCTTTCTTGGACAAACAGACGCTAGGCTACGCTGCGCTCATGGGTATTCGAGAGAACCTTCACTTGGTCGGATCTCAGTACAGCTGGACTTCAGGAATCTTCTATTTTGGATATTTGTTCTTCTCGTGGGTCGACTATCAATCCCCTTAGGGAGTCTCTGATATTAACAGTTTAAAAGATATCCAGCCTCGTTGCTCATGGTCAAGTACCCTCTTGGGAAATATTTAGCGATTAACTTGTAAATCTCCTTTTCGTGCTTGATTTAAACGTTTGCTGATCATTGAAAGTATTCTGTGGGCTATTGTTCTTGCCTGTCATGCAGCAACAAAGAACTTTGCCACTCTGATGGTCACTCGGTTCCTGCTAGGATGCACCGAGGCAAGCCTATCTCCAGGGTTCACTCTCATCACTTCTCTCTGGTATCGCACCTCTGAGCAGCCCCTGCGTGCTGGAATATGGTTTTGCGGAAATTCCCTTTCGCTTATCTTCGGTAACCTCATTGCAGTGGGAATTCTCCAGATCAAGCATAGCCTCAAGGCGTGGCAGGTGTGCTTGCCTTTCATTTTTTTGATTTAATCACAGGGCTTTGCTAATTCCCTACACAGTGGCTATTCATAATTTTCGGGCTCGCCACCTTTGCGTGGGGCACACTCATGCTTTTTCGACTTCCCGATTCCCCTACTGATGCTAAGTTCCTCACTGAAGAAGAGAGGTTGATTGCGATAGAGCGAATGCGGGCAAATCAAACCGGATTCAAGAATACAGAAATCGATCGCAATCAGGTTGTGGAAGCTTTTGCAGACATCAAGACTTGGCTACTTGCAGCCTTGATTCTTGCTTGCAATATTCCCAACGGTGGCTTCACAACTGTGAGTGACTACTACACATAACCCTATCTAAATGGGACGATTTCTTACCCGTTTCTAGTTCAATGGATTGGTCCTGCAAGGGTTTGGTTTCGACACGTTCCATACACTATTACTTGGACTTCCTGGCGGTTTTATTGTCTTTATTTTCGTGCTGGCTGGGTCAGTCGGATTCTCTTCTCCTATCACGCAGCGTTACTGACAGGTCTCAGGGGCATTGTTTCCTCGAAAGTTCCCAATAGTCGATGCCTAGTCATGGTTGGTATGATCATGATAAGTATCATGGGAAGCGCCTTGGTCTACGCTGGAACTTCTATCGCGACACGCTACGCCGGTCTACTTCTCATGGGTATTTACTCTGCTAGCATGCCGGTGTCGATGGCAATGATCAGTTCCAACGTGGGTGGCTTTACGAAAAAAACAACCGTCAGCGCCATTTATTTCATCATGTATTGTACCGGAAATATCATTGGACCACAGCTGTTTTTCACACGCGAAGCGCCCAAGTATCAGGTATGTTGTCCATTGTCATAAGACAAGCTACTATCCGATCGAATTTGAAGTGATAACATTACTTAGAGTGGTTTCCTCGCCATAATTATCTGTCTCGTGATTTGCGTTATCCTTGGGCTTGCCTTGTTCTTCTATCTGCGATGGGAGAATTCTCGGCGTGACAAGATGACACTGACTGCTGAGTCTGCCGAACACCAGGAAAAGAATGGTGCATTGGCTCAGATGGAACTGATCGACACAACTGACTTGAAGAATATGCGATTCCGGTATGTATATTAATGCCGGGTGATCAGGAGTGCTCGGTATAATTGGAATCCAACATAGTTGTAGCTATATTAGGCTCAACTCATCACTATTCTCAGACATTCCTTTCATGAGACTTCCATTAAAGCCCCCTTGAATACGTTCCGTGCCCGTACGACATAGTATGTAGGCAAGTTAGTTAGTATTGACTAACTGAACTGACGTAATATCAAGTTTTTCATATCGCTCTTCTTTGATGTCGATGTCATAGTAATCGTCTTTTACATCGTAGTCCAGTGGCTTCAAATGACCATGTTCAAAATCTCCAAGACCAGCTTCCTGTCTACTAGCGGGACTGAATTCGTCACACACCACGGATCGTGTAAGCTATTCACAGCTAATTCGTCCAGTTTATCTCGACTCACGCCATCCTCACTCAAGGATCGCGGAAGGAGAGGATAGGGGTGGGACGGTCCGCAAAAGCAGGTCGAATAACTTCCATTGCTGAATTCAAACCGATGAGTCGGACTATACTTTTCAATTGAAGCCGCGGAGGCTTGCGGCCGTAGATGTTGGGGTAAAATTGCGCTGTGCGATGGTAGTGATAGTGAATAATAAGTCACCACGATATATTCCTGTGAGGATATTTCCCAGTGCTTAACGATTTGTATCACAGCCATGTAATCAAACAGAGCATTTTGAGACACACTTTTGACCAGACTTTAGAACATACAATCGTTGATGGATGGGGTAGCCATAACAGTTGACTATGTCCTAAGTTTATATAAGAGGGAGTAAGGGATGAAGCAAAATGATACCTGGGCAACTGGCGACGCCGTTGCTGTCGACTAGTTACATGTAAAAGCCGAAATATCCAAATAGCCCGAAGGGTACATCCACTCCATATTAATATCAGTGATGGCGTACTCATATGCTTACGCACAGGGAGCCAAATGAACCAGTCAGACGGGGAAAACGAGCCAATCAGTTAATTTGTATAGAGACTTCCAAGAGAGTAGAACAGAAAGGCGGCGGAAGCCCCTCACGGGACAACAGAACAAGGGGCAGGGCCTGGACAATCAAGTGATCTGCCGGTAGGAGGGAACCTTCACTAGTAAGAATACGACATTTCAACCAAAATGACTTTCTTACTCAAAGAATCATTCCTGTACATATATTTTTGGCTGTCTCTTAGATGATGATCCAACAAGAGCCTTGATCCAATGTCACCAAAATCTTGCAATAAGCCGATGTCCACAGGACTATACCGTCAACTCAAGTTCGCTTTCACATAGCAGCCGTCCTCAAAATACCAAACAACTTGAATATATGCGATGAAGATGATAGAATTACGCTAGAAAGAGCCATCACTTCCCAATGCCATTTCCTGTAAGTCGTCGTCAGCATCCCCAACAATATCCAGGGTACCCTCGTTGACAGAAGCTTGAGCCACCACGGCATCCACACTAGCGGTGAGATCGACATCTGGTAGATCGGGTGCCTGCTCTTCTGGGTCTTCAAACTCTTTACTATCCGGGCCGAGAGAGATAATGTGTTCTCGTGTGTCGTTCGGAAACTCGCGGGGGTGGAAGTTGCTAGCGATAGGATAACATTTGGTGCAGACGTAAAAGTCCGGACAGGAGCTGCACCGGTATGCGTGGCCAAACATAGGCTGGATATAGTCAAATTTAAGAGATGGTTAGCTTGATGAAACGGCGGATGCAACTATAGAGGATCACTAACCCCAAGGCAGATATCACAGATTTCGGTGCCAGATTTGAACTTTCGTAAAGGGCTTTGCCTCGGTTCCTGTGGGAGGTCTGTGTCTTCCGAGTCTGGCTGAAGAAGTTCAATGACTGCCATATCGGCGTCAAAACGCTGGGCCATCTCCAATGGAGTAAGGGTCATATCGCCCCAGCGAGCCAGGACACTCCGATCTGCCCCGTATTGCAGTAGCAACCGGACAGTTTCCGGGTAGTTTCGCGGTTCGCAGTGAGCCAGGTCGCAGACGCCGGTCGTGATAGGGCGGACGGCCCAGCATAAGGGTGTCCAGCCGTCACAATCCGCCTGCGCTAGTGCCTGGGTATGTTGCAACGGAGTGCTCAGTAGGTTGAGAATATGATACACAGTGCGGACGTGACCGTACTGCGCTGCCCAGTGTAGGGCGTTCTTGCCGAATCTATCACTCACAGTCACGTCCGTGCGTGTGGCGTGTAGAATAACCTGGAAATTGTCGATACCGCTTCCAGCGGCAAAGTGGAGCGGTAGTCGGCCAGAAATCGGGTCGGGATTCTCGGGCGAGGCACCCTCGTCAAGGAGGAGATCTATGGCAGTGGAAGTGGCGCCAAAGCACGCTGCCGCCAGCGGACTGTAGAACGCCCCCCGCCCAATCTGGTGCACATCGGCCCCGTGGTTGATGAGCAGGCGGACTATCTGTAACTGTGAGGATATATCATCGTCGCTCTCGTTCTCGGATCTCTCTTGAAGCAGTGCTGCCACTAACGGGGAGCAGTACATTGTCGCAGTATTTAGCTGATATATATCAGCACCGAGATCGAGCAACAATGTGACGCTTTCAAGTTGGCCCTTTCTACAAGCTAAGTGAAGGGGGGATCCAGTGTACGGAGAAGAGATATTGACCTCGACATCTCGCTGTGCTAGCAGCAAATCACGAAGGTCGGGCAGGTTCCAATGAATGGTGTTATGCAAAGCAGTCTCCCCTCGTTCGTCAACAATATTGATATCTGCTCCTGCATTGACCAACAATCTCAGACACTCAATGTCGGCCTTTGTGCTTGCGGCCAAAAGGGGGGTCCGTCCGAGATTGTTCTTCCGGTTCAGGTCCAATTCTTTGGTATACTCTAGCAGGATTCGCAAAACTTCGGGAGTCGAATTGACGCCAAGGTGCAGAAGGCTACTACCACTCTCCTCCACGGTGTCTTGAAGATTAGCACCGTTGTCGATCAATAGGCGTAGAATGCGTGCATTCCTGCTGTAGTCAATGGCATCGCATATCGGGGTCGCTCCCCGCTTGTCGCGATGGTGTAGATCGACCTTCCGCTCCATTAGAATCTCCATGACCTCTTCAAGACCATCTACTGTCGCCGCATTAATCAGCGTCTGCTCCTTATCATTAGTTCTTTCGGGGTTGGCTTTGGAGTCGAGAAGAAGGCGCACCATCTTGGGCAACCCGCGAGCCCATATCAAAAGGGGCTGCGCCGCTTGCTCGGTGGTGACAAGGTCTGGATGCCTTATGATCAGCTCCTGGGCAACGTCGAAATGTCCGGCACGAACAGCATAATGTAGAGCACTCTCTTCGTCATTGTCCAGAATGCTGATATTGGCATTTCGGCTCAAGAGCCAGGTCACCAAAGAGAGACGACCAACGCCACAAGCTCCCATCAGCGCCGTCTGACCGGCCCAGGAGGTTTTGGCATCAATATCGACGGGTGGATCGTTATCAAGGAGTAAGTTTTCCATTCTCAGAATGTCATGATCCTTCAGTTGTGACCACACAAGCTCCCAGAGAAGTGGAGTCCCAAGCTGTTCGTGATTAGGATCCGCATTATAACGCAAGAGACACTTGACCAATTCTGCATTGGGGTGCCAGACCGCGTTCAGCCACAACGGGCTCCAGGAAGCACGCAGATTAGGATCTGCGCCGGCCTGCAACAGTGCTTCCACAGTTCGTGGATAGGACGACCAGCAAGCGCTCACCAACGGGGTCATGTCCGAGGCGTAGTCCGAGTGCGTTAGGACCGCGTTGAGATCGGTATTATTGTCTTGCTCCAACAATCTGGGGATCGACCACCAACTCCCCCAAGTGGCCGCTCCATGAAATGGACCCAGCTGCATTTCCTGACGCAGACAAGAGCTGTCATGCTCGCAAAACTCGCTCCAGAGTTTCTGATGAAGGACGACAAAATTAACCGGGGTGAGCGGTTTCCCTTGCCTTACCACGTCCATCCTCGCACCGTGATCAAGTAACACCTTGACCATGGATGAATGCTTCAGAGCGGCAGCCAAATATAGTGGCGATGGCGTAAGATTCTGAGTGACATCTGCAAATTCCCAGACCGGGTCTGGGGTGCAGCCATTTTGCAACAATGTCGTAGCGACTGAGGCTAGGTCCAGCCAAGCAGTGGCCCATAACAACGAGGGCGGGAAGACAGAGGCACTTTCAGACCCGGAAGTGGACTTAAGAATGCACTCAGCCAACCTAATAGCGCTTGTCTCGTCCCCTGTACTCACAGAACCTACAAGGGCATCTTGAAGTGTTCCGTGCGAGAAAGATTGAGACTGCAACAACTCTGATGCTCTTGCTCCACGATTACTAAAGGCTGCCACTAACAGTGAGAGAGAACTCAAATCACTGTTTGGGGAAATTTTTGAGAAGGGAAATAGTTCAAGACCAAAGAATGTTGGAAATGCTGAATTGGCATCCAGGATACCGGGTGGTCGCAAGAACGGATTGGTCATGGCCCAATAAAGCCTAGCCCATAACCTCGAGGGCTCGGATCCAGAAGTGGATTCATCCAACAAAGTTTCAATTGTCTCACTGGCATACCCTGATGGACACTGAGTCAAATGGAATGGGAGGAACTGGATGAAGTAGAAGACAACGTCGACTCCGTCTGAGGTCAGTGGGGCGACGATCTGCCTTTCTTGCCCCTCAGATCCAGGGACATTCTGATATTCCTCATCAAGCTTCTGTAGCCTCCTGAGTGTATCAGGGCATTGAAGCTGGCGAATGCAGAATTCAGCTATGTTCTGATAGGCCGGACGTCGCAGCTGTTGCCAAAGGAACTGCACTTGACTTGAGGTACTGTTCAAGATTATATCGCGAATGTCGCTGCGGCATGTGACTTGCTCCTGATCTAAATCAATGAAACCACGCAGCCAAGCCTTCAACTGCCATTGAGCAGTTTCCAGGGCCATGGCATCAAGTTCTGTTGTACCTTGCAGATCGGTGCCTTCGGCATAGTACGAGCATAGTAAACCGGCCAATTCCCTCAGAGTCAATGGCCGCGCGGCCACGATTAACCACGACAAGATCCATTTGAATCCATCATGACTACTGTAACGATGCAGTAGTCTGTCCAGTACTTGCTCAACTCCATCTCCTGGACAGATGCTGTTCAAAATCGCAAAAACGTCTCCAAATGACCAACCTGAATGCGGGTGGGGCCAGCCTGTATGGTCTTGAACCAATTGAAGCATTGAGTCTAGCTGTGCCACATTCATGTCGGTCAACTGTGCTATGATGACTTTCATCTTAGTTTGGAATATTCCTCCAGTTTCTGGACTGAAGTTGACTTGAGCTGGGCTACAGAAGGGACTTTTGGTCGAAACCATCAGCTGGCAGCCCTGCAGTGGGGCTTAATTCATCTGTGTTGATTTCTGGCCAGTGCGAAAGCTCCGTCAACAAGGCGTGAGGCCGTTTGGTAGTCACTATGATTCGAATGTGCTCCTCGGTGCCCTCTGACATGGTCTTTAAATGCTGATGAAACAAAGCTCGGCTATGTTCATCACACTCCTCGAAGTTTTTCAATAAAAAAACCGCGTTCTCGAAAGACTGCGCGAGCAAGTCAAAGTTCGAAAGTACTGCCTTTTCCGTCCATCCACCTTGAAATGCCATCTGACTCTGTAAGCGCTGATATGAGGGCTGATTCAAGGCTCCAAGACAGCTGGTATGGTGGGTCAACCTGAGCTGGCTGATTGCGAACACCATGAAGTCTGCCATTGAATCACGCAGGGGGTCCATGCGATCAAAGGTAAAAGATATAATCCGGGTATCGTTCTCTGAATCAGCAGGCCTGGATACGCGCCATTCCCACAGAAGTTGATCTGCGAGGGCATCGGGGATATTAGGGGCTGATCCATGCAAATATAAGATTCTGGCACCCGATCCTTCTACCCATGCAGTATAAGTGGAATTTTGAATTAGAAAGTCCACCTGTTCAGCCTTCGATGGTATGTGTCGAGATGGGCGTGGCGCAGCGCTTATCGCTAGAAAGAATCGTTCCCATAGAACCCATAAAGGGTGAGCAATCCGGGCTGCCGAAGTTGTCAGATCTAATCTCAGTATCGTCAAATTTACAACACAAGGATAAAAAACCTACTTTCAGGCTCGTGCGCAACGTATGTACTGAGATAAGTGAACGTCATTTTATCCCGTTCTTGAATGGCAAACTCCGACGGTAAGCCAAGAGTGCCTGTATGCGCGTCCCAGGTCTACCAAACGATTAGACACCAGTTTTCAGAACAGATTTAAAGAAATTTGAATGAGTTTGACAGCGTGAATACTCCCGGGCCCGTTTTCCCTCGCGTACAAGCTGAATACCCGAGATCGCATGGTAAGCTTGGAGTTGATGAATGCGCTGGTCGATGCGTCGATGTTTTGGGCCAGACGCGTGATGGTAGAGAAGGTGAGCAGTAAACTCCATTCCTCAGTCTGCCTCCCGAGCAAGAACATGAAAAGATCTTTTTGGAATATCTCAAAGTTGGAGCTCCGTTGTGGGCATCCGCAAAAGATCTTTGGAACAGGAATTAGAATCTATTCGTGCCACTCGGTTCGCGTCATGAAGCACGGGGTTTTACCGTGACTGCGGTGTCATGAAAGATATCTCTGTATTTTCTTCTGCTCCTGGATGCAAGAGCAAGTGCCTGCGCATAAATATTCAAGTCAGATAAAATCTCTCGTATCTTGGTTAGCCGAGTTGGCGAAAGGAAAACATGACGTTACATTTTTGAGTACAATAGCTCCGAGATCATAAGCTATGAATATAATAGCTTGTCGACCTTCCTATGCCCTCGTTAGCGGTGCCATATTGGTCGGTGCAGTTTTTTATTTTCATTTACCGTAGAAGATTGCTCTCTGATGGCCTTAATGTCGGAAAGTAACTGAGTTTCTGCTGACCGCGTAGAGTACGATGCCTTTGTTTCCGCTCTGAGCAAGGTGCTCATTGGCACGCGGCATAGATAATCTCGTTTCTCCATTTTAAGACTCTCGATGCCGAGAGTTTCCAAGGAAAGCATCTGGTCTGTCGGCCAAAGTGCTGCTACATGTATCACACTGTCGTAAAAGCCAGCATGGAGTTAGCACCATGACCAAGTGAACGGAGGTTGTATGGTAGACCGACTCAACATGAGGACCGCAATCAAATTCGTAGTCATCGGCAGCGCTCCAGCGATTCCTAAGTTGGAACGATAATGGCCCCTCGTTGTCCATCAGAACATCTGGGTCTGCCCCATTTCCTTCGCCGTCGTCATTCTTCCCTTCAGTCGCCCCCTGAATCCGACATTATGGGAGACCGCGAGCCCACCCGGGCACTACCTATTAGGATGACGGGTGCTCGGAATCTCCTGTAGTTTAGAGGAAGATTTTGGCTAGAATACCGCAAAGAAAGGAATATCCCGAATATTCCATCGATGCTGGCGGTGGCGGATTCACCACAAATGACGCGCTCGCAACAGCTCCCCTAATCTTTCAGCCCCCACCTCATCCTTTAGCCGCCCTAGCTCATGCATGCGCAACCTCTTTGTGACAATAATACCGAGGAGTAAACACGCTGCATGCTCTGACACGTCATCCAAATTCAGCCAGTCAGCAAGCCAGTCAGTAAGCCAGCCAATGCCACTTGAACCCTACTGACAACACACATGTTGCTCTTTCATACAAGAGATCCACCAAAATGAGGGGGCAGTGGCTTTAGACCAGGGTGCAAGGATCCATCATGTACCGCGTCGTCTAACGATTTAACAAAACCTCATTGCCCTTCACCATTTAAATCACTGGCTCTAAACTTGGTGAAATAAATTACCTCGATATTACGAATCCAAAGAGTACATATTCATTCAATGGAGCAGTACAGCGACTGGGAGCTATGGGTGAGCGATGATGAAACAACAACCGGAGAAAAGGACGTCGATGCCGACCAGGGCACCGATCCTACATTCTTCAAACTTGAATTGAGCCCGGAGGAAGGACGACCTGGAGGTGAGTTCATCCCAGTTGATTTCATGCTTCTTCTGTTCTACTTTTCGGCTATAGCGGGGCTGACAGGTATTGGCCCCCACCTTCCTTAGGGTTCAAGGTCAGAAATCCTCCCGGCGTGAAACAGCGCAAGGAAACATCAATGTTCCATTCAGGGTCCAGAAAGAGACCTGCATTTTACGTGCAATGTCTTGCTCGTGCCATCATCCATGGCACGCTCACGCGCGGATCCGCTCAGAGAGCCACCTTGTTAGTTTACGACTTTCAGTTCTTATCGTATCGAGGGACCCGAATCAAAGATGCTAGCATCTGCTTTGACTTCCTTCCTAGCGCGGGGGGTCATCCGGGAAGTGGACCTTCCGTCAAGAAGGTCGGACCCGATGAGCGGTATAGTATGATGGAAACAACACAGCTCGAAAGCCTGAAGAAAACAGCGAAACTAGGGATTAGTGGAGGAACCGTGGTATCCGCTAGTGGTGAGGTTGGAGGCGAGAGCTCTGTGGAGAAAACGGTGACTTTCGCGGCTGAAATCACAGGTAGTCGTCCATTCGATGCATGGGGGAACTATTTTCAAGCCCAGTGGGCGCTGCAGGAAAACCCCTCGCAGGCGAATGGCATTGTCTCCCGTCTACGTACATGCGTTCTGCTAACGCGCGAGAATGACAATGACTTTGACTGTGTTCCGTATATCCAAATCACCCCTAACCTGACTACACGGCTAGTGTCGTTGGGAAGTGTGCGATCTCGGGACGACGCCATTCCTTTTGACCCGAGCTACGAACCTTACAATGACCTCGAGGAGGGAGAAATCATTGATCGCTGGGACCTAGGATCCGTGGATATGACCAAGCTGTGGGATTTTACCTTTTGGACGAGCTACGGGAAAGCCGTCAAGCAGAGGGTCTAAGCCAGGAAGGCTTTGCCGAGATTGGAAACTACATTTGTACCTTAGCTTCTGTTCGCTTGATTGCTTTGAAATAGTCGATATTCATCGTTCTGTTGATCGGGGCCAATTATAACCAGTAAGCACAGAACTAGTGTGCATGCATCTGCAAGTACGCACGCCCCTCGTCACATTTGCCCACGCGGGTTACGGGCGGCGGAGATGGGGTCCAATTGACTCGGCGTAGTACGTCAAGCCCTAACTTATCTTCCTTCTCTCCCTCCATGTTTTAATTTCCAACATGGGTGACAAAACTATGAGCCTCTCGTACCCAGTACGAGGGGTGGGTGTTATGAGCTATCCAAATGATCATTATTCGGAATATGTCGATGAGCTTCCAGAGCAGGACCTCTTTGACGAAAATCCCGATGACCCCGGGATTTCTGCTCTGCATGAGCCCGAGAGGCCGGAAAATAACCAAGACCGAGAAGAAAGCGATTTGCGCCAGAAAGATTTGTACGACCGATGCAGCTACATCTTGGGTCAGTTAGAGAACGGACAACGGCGGTGGAGCGACGACAGGGATGAGAACCAAAGCGCTTCTCTTCTCGAGCCCTACAAAAAGGCGATTCTCATAGAGACGGACGAGCGCGACCGCGAACATCCATCACTGCTCCATGCACTGGCTCGAAGATGGAACCAGTACCATACTGACCACGCGATCGTCCGAAAAGCCATCATCTATATTATTGAGGAAGCTCCTAAGAATGGGGAGAAGGAAGCCCCTATCTGGCTCCAGGCCATTTCGCATGGCCACCTCGAATTCATCAATTTCATCAGACAGCATTGCTCTGCCCACCTGCCGGAAATTCTTGCCATGCAAGACGACAAGGGCCAGAATTTCTTCCATCATCTATTTTATCTGGCCATCCGCGACAACACAAATCAGCAAAGGAAGGAAACCTTGGACCGTGCGAAGGAGTACTTCCCCTTTGCGACCGAGCAGATTCTAGCCACGCAAGATAAGGAGGACAACAACACGCCACTCCACTATGCAATGCATCCGCAACAATGCCTGGGCCGTGGACAGGAATATGTCAAGTTGGTCAAGGAAATGGTCCAGAGAGCCGATAAAATGATGGAACGGGGTGTCGAATTCAATAGGCTTGGTCAGTCTCCTTATCAGTATTGCCTCGTTCATTCGGCCCAAAGAAAGATGAAGATGAATCCACCAAAAGCCCCAATCGCGGCACCAACTGATCCCATCCCGGATGTGAAGAGATTAAAGTCCAACTTGCCGGAGGAAAACAAATCACGCTCGACCACTGTGGCGGCCAACGTCAAGGCTCCTCTAGGAGGCGCCAAAATCCCCAGCACTCCGCCTATGCCCATGGCCTCGATTCCTGGGGCTCCTATGTCCGGGAATTCTATGTCGGTGGACTCAAATACTGTGGAATCTATGCTCGTGCCTTCTATGTCCAATGCCTCCGTACCCAGGGCCCCTATGGCACCCCCTGACCGTGGTCGCCCTCGTGCAGAGGTTGAAGGGGGTCGGCAAGGAAGCAGACCTCAGAGCATAGATCGACATCTCCTCCCTCACACTGGAGGGACTGGTCTCCGACGAGCACCTACCAACCCTTCCTTGGCTGTATGGATGTCAGGGTCTGAGGGCCTGGTTGATGGATCACGTCAAGGAGTGGCAGAGGTCAAAAGCCAGAATCGAAAAGACCCCGAGCAGTCTATGAACCACCTACTTCTATATCTACATCTGCATTATATTCGAGAGCGCCCGGATTTGATTGCGCGGGAGCTGATATACGGGAAGCATGCCTGCGAGCGTAATCTTTATTTCGATGCCATCAGTCTTGAGGACAAAGAGCCGAGCCAAATCGTCAATCTGATCTCACGACTCTCAATCGGAGGCTTCGACAAAATTCTGTCATATGTTCGCATTCCCACCACCAAGATGAATACCCCAGCGCAGCAGGCTCCGAAGAAAGAACTCAAGAGCTATATGAAGAGGACGGGAGGCACAATGCAGGGCCCGCGTTTTGAAGAAAACCCAAATCCGGGGCGACAGTCATTGGTTTCCGTCTTCGACGAGCTTTATGAGGCTGGCGTGCGGAGGATCATCCGCCTCTTTGTTGACGACATGGTGCCTCCACACCACTCAGATGCCGCAATAGAGCGCGCCATTGCCGGGAGAGACTCCCAAGGCTTAGAAAAGCCCCGCAGGGAGAATGGATGCCGGATTATGGTAGAGACATGGTGAGTCAATTCTCCCGATGAATGGGTGAACCATTTGCTGACGTGCTCGGATTTGGCTTCAGGGATTGGCAGAGACCTGATCTTAGCATCGATGTGATCCACCAGGCTGCACCAGATGTTCAGCACTTGGTTCTATATTGGTCCGGAAACCAGTCCATCTTGCGCGGATGGGCTTCGGAGGAGGGCATCCCACGTCTCTGTACCCCGGCAGACAAATCCGAGTTGAAGACTGTAACAATTCAAGCTGCTCCTGTAAGTCTTCATTGTCTGTTTTTTGAATACTTAGTCAGCTCGGGTCCTCGACGGCTGATATGACGGATGTGGTCAGGGACTGGAGTCGAGTGAACGGATGAGACGATCTTTTGCCGCCTTTACCCGCAGTATTGAACAGCGCATCAAGGACAAGTCAGCACGGCCAACCATTATACCAGAGTTTCAAACCGCAGGGCTTCGCTGCTGGCCATTATCTTCCATGGTCAATGGCGGTTACCTTGGGGGTGAGGGCCCCTTGGAGGTGGTACATCGCGACAAGTGGATGGAGGCCATGGACCGATTCCGCGGCTCTCTGCAACGAGTTCATGACAGTCTTCCTGAAACGCATCGCCAACCAGAAAGGGTCAAAGTGGCATTAATAGATGATGGGGTGCGCCTAGACAAGCTCTCGATGTACTTTGGCCAGATGGTCGAAGCTTCCGGGCTAAGTTACTATCCTCGCGGGAAGCACACAGAAGAACCCTGGCATAACTCGACCCATGGGCACGGAACGGTACTGGCCAACATGATAGCCCGCATCAATCCGTGGGTATCCCTGTGTGTAATGCGTGTGAATGACATTCCCTCGAGGGATGGGAGTCGCATAATCACTCCTCGGAGTGCCGCCATGGCTATCAGGGCTGCAATCGGGCGCAAAGTCAACATCATATCCATGTCTTGGACTATCTTAGCCAAGAGTAAAGATAATGGATCGAAGATAAATTCCATTGACGATACAGCAAAATCTGAAGAAGATCCCGAGCTCGAGGATCTCAGGGCTGCTATCGGAGAAGCAGTCGAGGCAAAGATCCTCATCTTCTGTTCAGCCAACGACGACATCAGTTCGAAAGTAACGGACTTTTTACCTTACCAGAAGGCCCCCAATTATATATTCCGCATTGGAGCAGCAGATCAGCACGGACAGCCAGACAATGTCTCCGAGGACTTCAACGCAATGAACTTCTACCTACCAGGTAATAAGGTGGCCGATACCGAGAACCCAACCGCCACGACACCGATCTCATATCATACCGGGGCATGGGTATCCACGGCGCTGGCGGCCGGAATGGCCTCATTGATAATTTATTGTGCGACCCTCGGGAAGGTATATTACGATTCGATTGGTAACAAGCAAAGTGCCGAAGAGTTCGCCCGGAAGCGGGACGGGTTGAAAGAACGGAATCATATGGAGACTGCCTTTCAAAGTATCAAGTTTGCAGGATGGATGGGAGCAAAGTTTCCCCCTGTTTGGGGGCTATTTGGGGATGCGAGTGCTTCCATAGACGGGACTGAAGAGGATAGAGTCAGGCTGGAGGCACTGACAACTCTAGTACATACACTCTCCTCGGGTATCCGGTAAAGGATACTGATGATTCCTATCAATCTTTGTAATCCAGATTATCAATAATCATCAATGATAGCATAGATACTAGGTGTGTATATACTCACTCATTCGGGTTCTCCTTTTTTTCTTTTTTTGCACGCCGAACCGGCCACTCGGTGTCAGTAAGATATTTAGTCCAACATACAACCTGGTTTCATTGTGATCTCGCAGTATAAAGTGAGCATATATAGATGAAGTTTGAACTGATTCATTCATTCTTACTAAATAGAGGCTACAGCATGTTCAATTTCGCTTCCCACATTTGTGTTGAATCTGCTCCCTCAACCAGAGCATAGTGTCCAGCTCTATTAATTTCCTCAGAAGGACGGGTTGGCATTCACAAGCAGCTGCTCGAAATAGGCCTGAAAGACATTAGTTAGAGGATTAAAAGGATGAGTCCCCATATTTAAACGTACCTGGAACCATGTTCCGGCTTCGGGAGCAGGCTGCAAAGCATCACTGTAGCCGCAGTGGGCATCATATCTTGGTGAGGTGGTGTTCGATGTACCATCACATTCTCCACCAGGCTTCACCCAGACAAATGCATCTTGAAGAGCATCCCCCGTATCGGTCGTGGGGCGGACACCGAATCCAGTGCCAATGACGTTGCACCAATCACCCCAGGCATTTTGCTTGGTTGGCTGAACGCCATTGCGAGCTATTCAGAGGTCAGAAACTTTGAAGTTCTAAGAGGAAAATATACAGCTGAGGATTAAGGAATATGGCTCACAAGTATCGGTAATGAAGTGAGCAGAGAAGCCTGCAGACTGAAGCAGAGGGGCAATGGCATTGACATAAAGCTTTTCGTCGCAATTGGAGTCTCCTGATGTGTAGGATGGGCAAGGACTGATTGTCCAGGCATTGTAGTTGGCAACATTAGTAGCCAGTCCGCGGACTGCTGCAGGAGATGAAGCGTTCTTGTATACATTGGCGAAGAGAGTCGCAGCAGGTTGGAGATTAGCGGACCAGCTCAGCCAGCCAGCGTGTCCTAGACATATAAAGTCAACTCATGGTTTCCTGAGATGAGGACGCAGATAAGAAAGTCCCAGAGCGGAATATCATACCAGCGTCAAGGTACATGGCAACGTTGGGCAAGTTGAGCTGAATCAACGCATAGTTAACGCATTCTAGGTAAGCACTCTGAGCATTGGCGCATTTAGCGACATTCAGATTGGTCACAAGATTGGCGAGACTGTCGGGCTCTAATGAAAGTTAGCATGATGAGGGTATGCAATAAGGCTTATGATACTAACCAATAACCAAGATAGTCTGAACATCAGAGTACTTGAGAATCTGAGTTCGGATCGAGTCAATGTACGCCTTGTAATTCGCAACTCCGTTGTTGGCGATCGAGTACTCTCCATTGCTGGCAAGGGCGGCGCAGTCGCGGTCTGGCAAGTCATAAACGACGAAGATACCTGCAATAGGTGGGCTAGCACCGGCCTTGTTTTGTGCCTGGATGTCGGCAAGATAAGTTCCCATGGTAGGAACCTTGGCAGCGGTGTCACTATTAAGATTTTAGTAGATGCGCATATAGGAGCAGCAACAAGACCTACAGCCAGACGAAAGATGGAACCTTAGCAACTGCACTAGCCTTGGCGGCGAGAGAGCTGGTCAGGGATGGGATTGCCAAAGAGTAAACCTCGGAGGAGTAGTAAGGGTTCGCATAGAGCTGATAGCCGCTGAAAGGATTGCCGCTGTTGGTAACCGTAGCGGCTGTAGTCGTGCTGGTAGTGGACCCCTTGGTCGTACTTGTGGCAGAGGTAGTGGTAGAGACCAAAGTCGTCTTGGAGGTTGTAGTTGCGCTGGTGGTTGAAGTTGCGCTGGTGGTTGTGCTTGCTGCCGCAGTGGCAGGAATACACTGGGCATAGTCTTTTCGATTGATTAATATGGTGGTCACAGGTAAAAGATAGAAAAGTAAACACATACAGGGGTTCTGAGTGCTGCATGTTGCCGACGCTGTGCAGACTGTTGATCCTACATATCCACTACCGCCACCTAAGGAAATGGTCAGCCTCTCTTTCCTCAAATTTTCGCAAAGGTCATAGCTTACACTGCCCCCAGAGAGATTGCTGAGCGTAGGCGATATGAGTCAGGAGGAAAACCAGGAGGCCCGACGTGCGCTGCATGTTGACAGAGGTTTTAGTATCCTAATTCGGCTTGACGTTTCTATATTGCAGTTTTAAGAGGTTCGAAGGTGATTTTCATTGAGATATATATCCCTACGAGACAGGCTGCGACGGGAAGAACGCCCGCTTTTCCGAGGATGCTGCTTGAACGCTACAATAGCCACGGACTCAGATCTCAAAATGACGCGGACGTGTGTAGTCTACGAGCTAACTTATTTCAGGGTAATCTGAAAAAGATGAAATGCAGTACTACCTTCAAGTAGACGTCTGGATAAATTGTCTATCATGATTAAGCCTATTGCTCTGTTTCAAAACGTGCATCATCTTCCGGGAACATGAACTAGACTACTACCGGCAGCGCAATGGGTGTAAGTTTCCAAGGATTACCAGGGGGTCAGCCAGTATAAATCACGCCGTATACAACACGGGGAGGTCGAAAAGGGTAAGGGTGTATGCTAGCGACGAGAATCTGCATTCTTCACTGGGATGCAGGGCAAGGTTCGTTGCACGATATGCGGGGACAAAACGCTTATCGGCAATGCTATAGCATGAGGCCAAGAGGCACCACAGGGCTTTTCCAAAATTGCAGGGCCATTTACATTTGACCTGGCTACATAGCCTAATGTTCCGGGTATTATTGCGGCGGGTCAGGAGTCCCCAGTGATAATGATTCCGCTTTTATGATTTAACTACCAAGAAAGATCATCAGTCTTCCCCTAAGGGGGGGAAACTAGTATATGTGAAAATCATTGAAGTTTCATATAGCAAGCCACTTGGCACATAAAAAAGCACGCCATACAAAGGGCTGCGACAGGAAACTGGGGCCACTCAAGGGACACTGGCATGAGATCTTCCATCTACCGCCGGACGTTCTTTAAACGGCTATCCAAGTCCCTGGCTGGCACTTAAGACACGATCTGTAAGTAAGTAATGGCTAGACTTAATGATGTGTTCTAGTTAAAGCCGGTATACCGTCTGGCTGGGGAGACCTTAATTTCCGGAGAAAGTGTGGGCATCGCGCTGACTGGTCGATGCATTTCTGCAGATGGCACAGGGCGGACCGCCTCCCGACAAGCATGATGAAAAGGCATAATGGAGAATCCCATTTAGGGTTAGTACCTTGCTTGGACTCTAACCACTCGAATGAGAAATGATGAAATTAACCAGCCGCCAACCTTGTCGTTTTAGCGAGGGGTTACTGAAATTGAAGCGGAGATGATGCCGGGAGTCGAATGTGACCTCGCTGGTAAGAACTGCCCGTCCCTGATTAATCGGGCTTAGGCTTCTTTGCGGGGGATCACACTGTCCTATTAGCTTCAATCCCGTCGTTCTCGTACTTCTTGTCAGCAAAACAAAAGTCAAGAACTCAGAGGCAATAAAACTTCAAATAAGAAGAACTGGGATGGGGATTCATGTTGTAGGAGGACAATACTTGGCAAAACTGATCAAATGCGACGTGTTATCAACGACGGCAAGTAGGAACGAGTAGACGTACGGAGATGACTTCGCCATCACAAATTATAGTAGCGGGGTAGTGATGCATCAGCACAGGTAGGTAATGCAGGGTCTCGTGAAAACCGGGGATGCCGACCGTGAGGAATGCGAGAATATGGGGGTAGATCCGTGCGTCTGTGGCTGGAGTCAGGAAGGCGGAGAATACGGTGAATAATAGAGATCAAGTATCATGAAGAAAAATGTCAAATTCTGGGTGCTTCTTGAATAAACCCCTGAGTCGCTTTATGGCGTTCAAGTATCATGCAGCATCTCCCTCGGTCTGAAAATCTCGAGCATTCAACGTTTGTACACCGCAAACTCGAGGATTATGAAGAGGATGTAGGCAGCGAGAAGCACCAGCCCAGCAATACGACTTGATCCAAGAAAGACGATAGCGGTCAATCCCAACGCAGATACCCAAACAGTCGCCAGTTCGAAAAGAACAAAGTGATCTGCACGGTTGACTGGTATTCCGGTGACGGCAACAACGCCGATGCAGATCGTTAGTAGGAATATGTTACTCCCTGCCGTCGTCGCAACAATAATGCCACCTTGGCCTCTGGAGCCGCTAAGCACCGAGATAAACTTTTCTGGAAGAGTTGTTGCAAAAGCAATTACCGTCAAACCAAAGACGGTGCCCGATAGCTGCAAAGACTGGGTAAGAGCACCGGCGCTATGGGCAATGATGTAACCAGACAGCGAGAGTGCAAGTAAACCGAAAATGAGTTGACAGAGATGGTAAAAGAGTGACCGCACGGACTTGACACTATTTTGACCCTGCTCTGAAGTGGTGTTGGCCAGGAGGGGCGAGTTCTCTGAAATTGACGCTTGGCTATTCTGACCAGCCGCATCATCACTATGGGTGATAGGTAAATCATCTTCTCTGTCACTATCACTGTCTGACAGTTGAGGCGCTTCTGTTACACCTTTGTAAATGGCATAACCGATAGACAGGATATAAATCGCGAATCCCGCAATAAGAAGCCCGCCAGTTACTTCATTCAGTTGATTGAAGAATGCTAAGACCACAAAGAGCGTAGTGATGAAAAGAAGGAGCGCCGAGTAAATCTTTGCGCTCTTATCGAATTTCATCTGTCCTGGGTGGAAGAGGATTCCCAATGAGAAGGCACCCAGGATGTTGGAGATGGCAGATCCAACCACATTGCCCAGGGCGAGAGGGCTGTGGCCTTGAACAATTGCGGCGACAACAACGGCAAGCTTGGTACACGCGTCAGACCTGGGCTGGAAACATATATCAATAGAAAGATCCAAACCTCTTCATATTCAGCGCCGGCAGTCAAAAGTGCGATTAGAGTTGGCGAGATTCCCAACCGTTGTCCCACGATAACCGTGTGGTCGAGGAATTTATCAGCACCATAGTCGAGGACGAAAACTCCCGCAATCAGGGTTGCAGTATTGAAGCAGATGCCGTCCCAGTCCATAATCCAAACCTGTAAACAAAATGCAGTGGGAGAGTCAATCCTCTCGGAGAGTTGTACATCGAGGAAGTTCGAGCTGTTGCCTTGATAATCGCTAACGCTAATCACATGACCCGAGCACAAGCAACAACAAGCCGGAATTAGAGTTTTTAAGGTTATCTCGATTGAGTCCGAGTCATTTTTCTCATAAATCTTATGTCGACAGTAGTTACTGCCACCGTTTTTCCTATGGTTGCTGCTATCATTCTTACTTGCAGGTAATTACAAATGGGTTTCCCCTCCATTCTTTCATTACATTTCGCGATTATAGAAGACAGTACAGCATACATGATGCAGCTATATATGTTTACCTCGGAATACCGGCAAAACAGGTATACCTTGGTACCTACCAGGACTAATTTTCGATTTTAATGTTTCTGAAATGATCTCGCGAGGACACTGACAGTGACAGAAACCCAGGCTATTCGAATTTCAAACGCCGCTCAACGCCGTTCGCCTGTAGGGGAACTACATGGTAGACAACTGCAGAAGGGGAGCTCTTTGAGGACCATTTCTCCGTCTCAGTTCGATAGAAGGTCGGGATAAATTACTAGAGAATTTGAATGCTAGATCTGAAAATACAAAAAGCTGTTCCAGAAATTTAATTAAAATGACTGTTAGTTGAGGCAGTTGGAAGGTAACTTCTCTCCCCTCTGCAGGGACTCAGACGCGCCGCCGCTCTCCGATTACGTAACTCTACACAATGACCGCTGGGGGCTGGAAGTCACTCCAGTCCCACTCTTCATTCCATCACGTTCATTCAAGACCCATCCTATGCCCTGACATATACCTGTCAGGTACACAGCATGCCGCCGACTATCAATATAGATTTGTACAAAGACTTCGTTCTTGGTCTTTACGAGGACAGAATCCCTCTTCCGGACATATGCAAGGCTCTTAAAGAACAACATGGCGTCTCCATTACAAGTAAAACACTCCGCCGTCGGATCGAAGATTGGGGGATCAAGGGGGGAAGAACGGCGTATCGAAGTTCGAAGGATGATGCCCTCCGTGCCCTTGTCAGGAAGCTTGTCTGTGAAGAAAAGCTTCCCACGAAAGTATGCTCCCCTATTGCACATGATGTGACAGTCTCGGGAGAAGTGCTCATCTTTATATCGCACAGAAAGTTCTCGAAGTCCTCGCAGAGGAAGGGTTTACTATGTCCGACACTACGCTGCGCAGGATGCGCAAAGATCTGGGGATCGTTCTTCGAAATGATGACCCTGTGAAATTGGCGCGGCAACGCGATCGAATGCGCCGCCGTCGCCAACTTGAGATTGCTCTGGACGGCCAACTCCCGACAAGGTATAGCATAGCGGCCACCATGCCAACCCCACCCCCCGCGCTTTCCTGGCCTTGGTCACTCCATTTGTGGTTTATCTTGAAATCTATTCAGCCGATCGATATCTAACTGAAGCACCAGACTGGTTAACCACGCATCAATCAAAACGCCACCAACGATACCAACAATTCTCTTGCTGGGTACATGTGATACCAAACTATCCGAATTGTTGTTTACAAAGTCTCGAATCGAGAAAAGTATACTCTGCCAAGTCCAAATCATGGATATAGGCCGCAATCCAGTCACCCACGACAACATCACCTTTGCCCAAGAGATCTACAGCAGTTATTTTACGTCTCTCAAGCGACCGACAGTGGAAATTCAGACCCTGGATCGCACAGAATATATCGACACCCTAGCCCCATACGCCAGCTCTTTCGCGTCCCATCTTTTTGCGGAACAGAAAGTCCACGCGATCCTGGGGATAGGCGGATCCTGTGGAACGGCGCTGGCCACGCAGGTCATGCGCGATGGGTTTCCAGTTGGATTTCCCAAGATGATGGTCTCAACGATGGCATCCGGCGACGTGGGACCATACATTGGAGAGACCGATATCACGATGATGTATAGCGTTGTGGACATCGCAGGGCGGAATCGACTGCTAGAGCGAGTACTAGGGAACGCAGCCAGTGCCATTGCAGGGATGGCAAGGACGTACTTTGAGGATGTTACTTCCAAGTCCACCCTAGTCCCCACCGTTAGCCAGGGACAAACGGGGTCCGAAGAGACGTCGAACCAAACACAATCACAATCACAATCACAATCGCAATCACGGAATGACGCCGTACGCATTGGAATCACCATGTTCGGCGTCACAACACCAGCAGCCACCGCAGCCCGCGAACATCTCGAAACCGTCCTCCCAGGATGCGAAGTCTACGTCTTCCACGCCACCGGCTCGGGCGGCAAAGCCATGGAACGATTAATCTCCGAGGACCAACTCGACGCCGTCCTGGACCTAACAACGACCGAAATCGCCGACGAAGTCGTCGGCGGCGTGCTCAGCGCGGGACCAACACGCCTATGCGCCGCCACGAAAAAGAACATCCCCCGCGTAATCAGCCTAGGAGCCTGCGACGTCGTCAATTTCGGAACCCCGGACTCGGTGCCCGCGATTTTCGCGCACGCGAGCCAACCGAAACGGGTCTTTCATCGACATAATTCGACCGTTACACTTATGCGGACGACGGAGGAGGAATGTATTCGGGTCGCGAAGCTTATAGCGACGAATTTGTTGGAGGGGAATGCGGGGTGGGAGAGTAATTGTCGAACGAAGGTGATATTACCGCTTGAGGGCCTGAGTTTGCTAGACACGCCGCAGAGTCCATTTTGGAATCCTGTGGCTGATCGGGCGCTTTTTTCTACGTTGGAGGATGAGTTGCGCGGCAGTGAGATATTGGTTGTTCGTGAAAGCAGGCGGATTAATGATCCGGGGTTTGCGGTTGCTGCTGCTGATATGCTCTGTGAATTGATTCGGGACCATCGAGGCGAGCAGGGTAGTAGTACCGACTAAGCATCGATAATAAATAATAGATCTACTGTGATGATAGGTTGTGCTACGAGACTCAACCCACATTATGAAGCACATTTCACAGATGAGCGAGACGTAATCGAGGCTTATGTAGTTATACGAGACATGCTGATCATCAATACATTCTCACTTGACTTCTCGAGGAAGAAAAGGAAGGTAAGGTTGTGCATCCGGTGTCAAAATTGGAGATCAACCCTGGACCAATCTCGAACCTCTCCCATCGTTGGACAACGACGTCCGACAAGGCTGGTCTATTCTTATGACATTATGACACGGCCCATTCATTCTTCTCTCAAAATGACGATGTCCACTTTCTAAACATATCTACAAAATGTTCACAAGATGCAGAGCAAATTTCGCGCCCGGCGGCATTATATTTTTAAAACTGTGCAACTACACAGACATCCAACCAACAGCCACAAACCTCCCAGAGCGGTAATCAAACCATCCGGAAAGTCAAAAGACCGGGTCAGAGCCAGCACAGAGATAAGGTATCAAGTTAAGAATAGAATAGTTAGAAAAAGGAAATTCCCATCCGTACGCAGTGTTGAATGCAAGACCAGTCCCAGGTCAACCCACGCCAGTGAAAAAAAAACACATCAAGCACACACCCTTCTCCACAGATCCCAGTGTGGAGGCCACTTTTATGCCGTTGAAGGACAACCACTTTTAGGGTTCAAAGTTGATAAAGAACCCGAAATGCCAATCGTAACATCGTCGAATCATGTTGAAAGTCTATTTCTTAAGAAAGCTCATAGAATATCGGACGAAAATGGAAAAAAGAAAAGATAAGTGGGGGGTTTAGTAGCGGTAGCTAGAGGAACAGAGTTAGTAAAAGAGATAATGCAGAGTGAAAAGAAGGGGGGGGGGGGGATGCTTACATCTCGCTCTTGTAGGGGCCGTTGACATCGAGGCTGAGGTACTCAGCCTGGACGGGGGTAAGCTCGGTCAGCTTGGCGTTGACGTGAGCCAAGTGGCAGCGAGCGACCTGCTCGTCAAGCTGCTTGGGCAGAACGTAGACACCGATGGGCTTCTTGCCAGAGGAGCCGAACTCGACGTACTTGTTGCCAAAGGCAACGTCCTCGGCCTTGAAGAGGGCGATCTGAGCCAGGACCTGGTTGGAGAAGGAGCAGGACATGACGAAGGAAGAGTGACCAGTGGCACAGCCAAGGTTGACCAGACGGCCCTCGGCGAGCAGGATGATGTGCTTGCCGTTCAGGAGGTAGCGGTCAACCTGGGGCTTGATGTTCTGGACGGACTGAGCGTTGGCCTTGAGCCAGGCGACGTCAATCTCAATATCGAAGTGACCGATGTTGCAGACAATGGCGTCGTTGCGCATGGCCTCGAAGTGGCGGCCAACCAGGATGTCACGGCAGCCAGTGGTGGTGACGAAGATCTGACCAATGGAAGCAGCCTCCTCCATGGTGACGACCTCGAAACCCTGGACGGCGGCCTGGAGGGCGTTGATGGGGTCGACCTCGGTGACGAGGACGCGGGCACCCATGGAGTGCAGAGCCTGGGCGCAACCCTTGCCGACATCACCGTAACCGGCGACGACACCGATCTTACCGGCGATCATGACATCGGTGGCACGCTTGATACCGTCGATGAGGGACTCACGGCAACCGTACAGGTTGTCGAACTTGGACTTGGTAACGCAGTCGTTGACGTTGATGGCGGGGACCTTCAGCTTGCCCTCCTTCAACATCTTGTACAGGTGGTGAACACCGGTGGTGGTCTCCTCGGAGACACCGTAGCAGTCGTCGAGCATCTCGGGGTACTTGGCGTGGACGAGGGAGGTCAGGTCACCACCGTCATCGAGGATGAGGTTGAGCTTCTTGTCATCCTTGAAGGCGAACAGCTGCTGCTCAAGGCACCACTGGTACTCCTCCTCGGTCTCACCCTTCCAGGCGAAGCTGTAAGATGGAAAGCGGTTAGGAACGGTCATCGCGCAAAATAGTAGAAGGGTATTTGCTTACACAGGGACACCGGCAGCGGCGATGGCGGCGGCGGCGTGGTCCTGGGTGGAGAAGATGTTGCAGGAGGTCCAGGTGACCTCAGCACCGAGGGCAACGAGGGTCTCAATGAGGACAGCGGTCTGGATGGCTATTGAATGTGTCAGAAAAAGCTCATACGTGGTCTGTTATCAACAAAAAAAAACATACTCATGTGCAAGCAACCGGCGATACGGGCACCCTGGAGGGGCTGGTCGGCACCGTACTTCTCACGGATGGCCATGAGACCGGGCATCTCAACCTCGGAGAGCTCAATCTCGCGGCGACCGAAGGCGGCCAACGACTAAATGGAAGACACAGGTAAGTCACTGAACCCGGGAAAACACGATGAGAATCGGGCATCGACGAGAAATACTTACGATGTCAGCGACCTTGAACTTGGGGGCGGGGGCAGCCATTGTGAAAGGATGTGATTAAAGAGACTAAGTAGTGGAAGGTCAGTATGAAGATTAGGAGAGATTGTAGAAGATGAGGCCAGGAAGACGAACCAAAAAGGGGGGGGTATAAGAGGGATGTAAGAAGGAGGAAAAGAAAAGGAGAGAGCAGATCTTTGAGGAGGGGAAAAGTCTCTGGCCCCACCTACCGCCTTTCACGGTGCAGCAGGGCACCACATCACAGGTCGGTCAAAGTTCAATTTCTGTTTAGTCACCTTGGGTAAGCGGGGGTCCATCCACTCGAGAGGTGGGACTGGCTTAGTCAGATCCCCTCTATCGGCAGTCGACGGCTGCCGCGAGAGGACCTTTGGAGATTGATAACAAGAATGATAGGATCTATTAGAATGTCGGAATGTCTGGAGAGCTGAGAGGAGGAGAATAGTTAGTGGAATATCTTTCATATCGTATCATATTCTAGCAGTATTTTCTGCTTTTGTGATGCATCCGCTCTCGGGGGCTGCAGTTGCCGTAGCAAAACAAACACTGCAGAAACCAATCAGCCCCATCGGGCCCCATCGGAACTCCGTCTAGCTACTGGAGATGAAGCCCGAGACGAACCTAAGCAACAGGAAGAGGTAAAAAGAAGTGAGAAGAATAAAATCTATCCTAAGAGAAATACAGGGAATCATCATGTGTCATAAAAGTCGTAAATCTCATCCAGCATAGCAGAAACAACGTAGGTAGAACAGGGGGAACGATAAAAAGCCAAGCTAATATGAGATCGCCGGTGCCGCACTCGTTGCTCCATAGGGGTTACCATCATGATAAGAAAAGCCGTTGCTATAGCCATGACGAGAATCATTCGGATATTCAATCTCATCAGGCCATCGGCGACGACTATTAGGAGCGGAACCCTGACTGCGACAACGACGCATCTCCCGCTTACGAGCACGCTGCGCACATTCATCCTGGAAATGTTTCGTTTCCTTGCGTTTCTCATTTACCTCCTTCCACTCCGCATACGCACCCTTGATGCCCAGCGCCGCCAGTCCGACGCTAAACGCATCCAACGTATTCGCCTTGATGCGACGCTTGCGCGCCTCTTCCTGTGTAATCTCGCCATCCTTCACTTGTTGCATGCGTTTCTTGCGCTTCTGAACCCCGCCGTACACTCCATGGGCAGCGTGGATGGTGGCCACGGTGGCCAGACCGGAGGTCAACAACATATCCCGCTTCATCTTCTTGCGTTTCTCCTTTTCATCGCTACTGTCGCCCAAGTCAGAATCACTTTCGGAGCTAGAGTGGGATCCCCGGTGGGTAGATCCCACCCTGTTCTCGCCACGGGGTGCACTAGTGGGGGTTGCTCTGCTGCCGTTCACGGAACGAGTTCGACCTACATCTCTCGAGCCTCTGCCATGCCTGTGGTCCCTGCTGCTGCGGTAGTCGCTCTCTGCATCTGAGTCTGAATAGGAGTCGTATCGTGAGTCTCTGTCCCGGTGATGACGCCGCTCCCGACGGCGATCGTATCGATCATCTCGATCCCGGCCACGATCGTCGCGGCCACGATCGGATGCTTCTTCTCCAAGGCCGAGTGCGGCCATGCCCTTGGTAAGGTACTCCGAGACACTCTTGCTGCGCTTCTTTGATCCCCGTCGACCATCGTCACTGTCACGGTCCCGGTCCCGGTCATCTCGGCCGCGAGGTCGAGATCGCGAGCGGGAAATGCGGTCATAGATCTCTTTGCCTGCTGCGGCAAGGGCGCCGGTAGCGGCGAGGTCTTTAAGACCACTGGCAGAACGGCCACGGCCATCACGTCCCTTGGATGAGGAACGGCCACCGCCGACAAAATGGCTAGCAGCAAGACCCGCGAGCGTAGATTCCACGACGTGACGCCCAGAGTGCTTTTTGGGGTCTTTATCGAGGAGACCATCGGCACCGGCCGCAGTCACAGCCGCAGTGAGGATACGCTTGCCCTTGGCTCCGGTCCATTCGCCGGGGTCCTTGCGAGACTTGAAGGCCTCCACGGCACCGGCAGTCAAAGCGGCGCGTGCAGCTTGAGCAATACGCTGCTCACTGCGTTGACGATGGTTGCGATCACGGTCACGACTGCGGCTGCGGCTGCGAGAGCGGGACGAGGAGTAGTCACGACCACGGCGCCGTGAAGAGGACCGAGCACGGCCGCGATCCGTACGGTCTGAATGCCTGGAAGCAACGGAGCCTAGGCCGAGGGCGCCAAGGGCAGTTTCGCCAAACGACTTGCGGCGTCTATGACGGGACGGAGATGGGCTGGATGAAGAAGCTGAGGAGTATCTTGAGCGACGGGGGCCTGAGGGATCGTTCAGTATCACTGCTATGAGGTACTTTGTATGGGACACGAGAATCGCGGCGAGGGAGAGAGACCACTTACGGCGATCATCATATTGTCTGCTTCGCCGGGTGCGGGATCGGTAGTAACCATTCTCGTAGTACGGATCGTAGCCACTGACTGAGGATGCGCGGCGCACATTCTCATAGACCGGGCGTCGCGAGCGACGAGAGTCGTAGCCGCGCTCATACACGTAATCAGAGCCCGGGGGGTAATCGCGCTGGATTTCCTCGACCGAGTCCTCACCTCCGCGAGTGGAGTAGACATCACGATCGTGCCTGGCAGGAAGGCCCCGTGGATGATCATCGTAGTAATCTGCAGCATGACCGGCGGATGAACGGCCACGGTCGCGGGGCGCATAGTGGCGACGATCGTCGTAGTACGCCATCTTGGGAGATGGGGAAATGGGGGGGGGGGGGAACACCGAGACCGATGAAGGGTTGGAATAGGTGACAAGTAAAGATCAAATAAAAGAGTCGAGGATGTGAACTATCTACCGTTCACTGGGACGACGAGTGGTGTTGAGAAGACGAAGATGGCAATGAGGCAGCAGTGAGAACTTTCTCTAATGAGAGAGTCTGACTGAGGCGGGGCAGGGTGGCGTGACGTCGTTGGGTGACGGGTGACTGGCGACGGGGCGACGGGCGAGACGGGCAGAGACGGAGACAGAGACGGAGACAGAGACAGAGGCAGAGCGAGAGCGAGAGCGAAGCACACAGGGTAGCTAACTGGTTAGAAGCAGGGATCTGATGAGGCTGGGGGCAACTTGGCAGTGGCTGAGAGATACGAGGCGAGAGCTGAAGATAAATTTCCTTCCATTGCGAGTCGAAAGTCACGGTAAGATTCTCTACAGGGCACTTATGTCCTAATATATTGACCCTTGGCCTTTCCCCCTCTCTCCGACTGGAACTGTCCTGGTTATCCGCGATGACGTTGTATGACCTCCGACTGCCGACTGGAGAGGCTGGCGTCCGCAAGGGAATGCCGGGGAGAAATGCTTCCCCTCGAATGAAGTGGGCTCGGATCATGTCGTCTCTTGCTCGTTCGGCGTGTCAGATCCCCCGACGTCATGCTGCATGGACCAGCCACGAGCCCATCAAGGAAAAGGGGACAGCCCTAACCCTCCACGGCGGGCGCCCGGGCCTAGACGCCACACGCTTGTTGGTCCACGGAAGTGGTCGCTTGACCGCTGGTCTACGTCTCGAAATTGACTCTGCGCTTGAATCGAGGATAATAAATGGTCGATAGGTAAGTAAAATGTCTACCTTGAACATGGAAACTCGGGATATCAACAATCAACAAACGTTCCACGGGTCGACACTCGGCTGGCCCCGCGGGGCTGGCCGGGATATTTTGGTTAACTTAGTTGGTTATCCAAGGAAATCAACTTACTCATCGGCGGGCCCAGACCGCCCAGAGACATCTACTAGTGATGCCAATCTCCAACAAGCCCTCATCGACCAGACTTGGGATCAGCGGGGCTAAACCTAGTGCTGCCAATCTTTCTTCTTCGCTTCTTCTATAAGCATATTGTGGTGGCTGGTGGTGGCGGTGGTCTCTGTCGCTTTATACGGCGGTCTCAGACTCCCACCATAGCCCGGGACGCCGTCGGAAGGGTACAAGATGTATACCCCAGAGCAATTCTATGACACCCAATAGCCTACAACTGTTCAGCCAAAGCCTTGCCGCAGAGATACTAACTGGACAAAGACTCTAACATCTTTTCCACATGCCGTAGAACTGCTGATCAGGGTGTCAATGGTGGAAGTGATGACTATGAAAAAGGACCGCAGGCCCAAGAACGCTTCATGAGCGACAAATATCCCAACGATACGTCAACGCATTACAGCATTGAAAACTGAGATCCCCGAAGAGCCACTGTAACAGCGAGGGCGAAGAATGATCCCATTGGCAGTGCCATGAGAGATTCAGGCAATGAGGTCATCCATGGAATTCTCAGATGTGGGATCATACGCAGTCAGAGCGTCTGGATTCAGACCGAATCATCTTTGACATCCGATTAGAAGTAGGGTGCTAGTACAAAGAAACAGGTGATATAATGCCAGAAAGGCGAGATCTGTCTTATTCTCAAAGCAACATCACCCATCTATCTGCAATAGCACAGAGCACGCGAGTTATATCCCTCACAAAGGCTGGGATGCATGGATGTGACCTGAATTAAATCATCCTTATGCTGCCACGAGCCAAGAGTGACACAGCTAGCGGCTCACTACGCTACCTTCCCCACCGAATCACTAGACACAAGATGAAATAGGACGTCATTGTCGAAATAAACAAGTCTGATAGAATTTACAGTTTATAATGTACTACATGCCGCTGCCACGTTATACGAAGCTTAGGAGCATGTTTTCCCGCCACCATCTGCTTGACGGGAGTTCGACTCTCTATCTCCGTTTAGATCTTACATCGATGCTGGACAAGTCAGATATTCACACATGGTCATTCCATTCATGAAGATTCTCTCAAAGTAACAAAGTACTACATAAAAGTACATAAGTAGACATACGCCGTATCGTCTTGGTCCTCGTCTGAAGAAGCGCAAGATTGAGCCCGTCTAAAAAACAAACACATGCACATGCAATGATACATGGGAGGTATACAACTGAGGACAAAAAGAAGCAGGCAAAAGTGATCAATGGCGTCAAAGGGTACGAAAAAAAACAAGTATGAAGTGAATGAGTAAGGGCTCATAGATGTGTGGAGCTGGACCTCTCGTCGGATTGTGGGATGGAATCCGGAGTGTGGGGCCGTGCGTCGTTGATGGCATAGCCATGTTCGAGGGTTTGGGTGCAGATAGATAACCTCATCGGAAAAATGTGGCACCATACGAGCGAATATGATGAGAATACCCCTCACTGCACAGCAATGGACAGGCCGATCCAGGTCGTGCGGGAAATTCTCAGCATGCAAGACAAGAGAAAGATGTCATATCGAGGTGGGTATCCAGGAAACTTGCAATCATTCGCCACTCTGTCCGACTCGTTTTCAAAAGCAAACCCTGTTGGTTATGTGTTTATTCTTTCCTCTTACATCCCCTTTCAGGAAGGGGTTTGGGACCCATGGCTAGTGTGAGGCATTGGCGTACTCGCATCCGTCGACTGGCTCACCGTCCGACTATGAGCTTGGGCAGCAAAGCCCGAATCAGGACGAGGCAAAGCCCATCGAGACTCAGCTTCGGGCTCGGAAGTTGTAGAGCGCATGTCATCCGAGTGCGTACGGTGGGTGCGGATATGTTGCTTCATGTTGTCTTTGCGAGTGAAGGCCTTGTTGCAGATAGGGCAGTGCACGCTCTTCTCGCCGGTGTGCTTCTTGCCATGGCGAGCTGCGTGGCCTGATGTCGTGAATGTAGCCGAGCAACCATGACTCGCAGCGTATGGACACGGGTACTTGTTCTTACGACCGGTCCCGCGAGTGTTGCCGGACTGGGAGTGCGAGGACTTTGCTTCCGTTGCTGTGGTTGCATGAATCTCGGGTGGTGTTCGTGGAGCAGCTGGCCCGCAAGATGGGTAGCGGAATGGATCCCGTCGCAGGTCCGGCCGGGCGTACGGGTGGTAAGCTGTAGAAGATGAGGCTTGACTGCTGAGATAGTCATAGGCTGAGCCATCTGAAGAGCCCGGCGATGTGGGCTGCACTGATTCCGTTGCTGGGTTGAGGAGATGCCGTGTGCTTCGTGGTGAGGTCGAAGGTGACTTGGATGAAGCGTGCGTACGGGCGTGCTGAGGGTCGCTTATCAATGGAGGAAGTTGATGCGGAAGTTGCTGGGGGTAATGCGAGGGCGAAGTGTTGGTTCTGGGGAGTCTCGGATGGGACCGGACTGCAAACGATGGGTGGTCGTCATTGTTTAGGATTGATACAATGCTCGCCATACCGCTAGACATTTCCTGAACACCCCGAAAAGTGGCGATCGGGACCGGAAAGTTATACTAAAGGGGGACACAAGTCGCTGGTCAGTTTGGTTTGCTGCAGCTTTAGGCTGATAGGCCTGAAATGATGGACAAGATCATGCTGAATGCATAGGTGGCGCAGTCGGAAGTGACGGGGCTTGATAATGATGTAGAGAGAAGGGGAGAAGGAAAGAAGAGAAACAGAGGATCGAGTCACTCCTCTCCTCCAGCCTTCCATCCTAGGAATAGTACAGCAAACGTACCAGCGGCTCTTGAAAGATGTTTGTCGCTCGCGTCGTGTAACACGTCGACAACATTAGACCCTAAATCGGCACTTGCCAACAGTCCTGCTAATAGCCCGATGACTCGAGCCTGTACCCTCTCAAAGAGTGGCGATAACCGAGGACCAGCGACTTTGAAGAGTCCGTGGATTCGGGAGTTCGACGAGTTTGTCGGAGAGATGCTGGATGGTTCGAGACCAGTCGGTTTACCACACTGTTCGCCCTGTCACAGCCCAAGACAATCTCCTGTCTTCGATTTCGGTGCTTCGTTTCGCACTTTCAATAATTGACCTGGGGAACGCAATCGTCCACAGCAGTTGCAAACTGGACTGGAAAAAAGTTCTAAGGGGAAGGAGCGGGGGAGTAGAGTGGTGTGTCGAAATCAAGACCGGTCGTTAGCTCGTCGGGTACACCAGTAACCTCGTCTTCCAGAGAGCGAAGTAGAACTACTGCGTTTGTTTCGGTCGAAAATGGACCACACTGCCACGGGCGAGAGCGTGTCAACGTTAGACTCCTTGTTTCGATTTGGTGAGAGCCGGAAGAAGATAGATGCGATATGCGATAAGAGCGAGCAACGGATAATTTGATCGTCAAGTGGGGGAAGAGGAAGGATGGTTCAACCCGTGTCCAGTTTGAGAGGCAAGTTGAAAGGAAGTCCTCTATGATAGAAGGAAGCGAGATGATATGGGAAGGGGTGGGATTGGAGGGGAAAGATCGAAAGAGATAAGAGAATACAGAGGCAAGAAGCAGAGGAGAAGAGCGAGAGAGGGAGGAGAGGAAAGGATGACGAGTTTCGCAGCCAAGTCCGTTTTGAGGAACCAATACATACTAAATATGCGAAGCCAAGCTTCCAGGGTCTGTCTGGCGAGGCTCCCCAGAAGCTCGTAGGGTATTTTCCATTCGATACGTTGGCTATCGTACTAGCCGTTGAAGTGGAGCTCGGGCGGATCACGTAGAATTATTATCAATACCTCTGTATTATTCCAATTCCACTATTTATTGGCCCGTTTAGATTACGAGTTCATTCATAATGACTGGCTTTGTGCATTCATGGATACTGTCTATCCACCTTAAGGTTCTACACCATTGATGAAGATCGAAGAGGTCTTCCATCGATCAACTGCACTGCATAAGCCATGAATGAAGAATGCATAATACATGACCTCCGTTATAATCATACAGTACTCCGAATACCAGCCCTGGATATGTACCGCCCAAAACAGTAATTTTTTTCCCCGATCAACCAATGTTTGAACAGCTCCAACCCAATCAGTTCTCTACAGCGAAGGCCAGAACTATAAAATCGGATTTTTTTTTTTTATAAAATTTAAACTTGTACTGTACGGAATAGTAATGAACCGCATCCACGTAAGTCCCATCAGTTCAGTCACTGTCCATTGTCCCACCCCTAGGATGCTCGCATCCTAAGAGGACCCCTACCCACCCCTGGAACTGTACGGCGGTTTCTGTGCAGACCCGTTTCTTGGGCTCCGTTTCTTCCGGCCCGCCCCATCACGACCCTGGCGGGGACAGACTCGTCAGCCAGATCTCCTTTGGCGCGTTCTCAGGCCTGTTGAAAGGGATTAGTCTGGTATTATTCGTAATCCATGCCTGAAATAGGCAGTTTTGACGTTCTCAAACGGGCCCTTTCCCCTGAACTTTTCTCCTCTACGCGGGATCCCAGAGTGTGTGGCTGATGCAGTTTTGGAAGAACAGACACGACGTCGTATATGCTTGGTACGGCAATTCTTCCCTATTCCAACTATCGGCCAGCCTTCAATTCCCACAGGGCCCCCCGCCTAGATTCCCAATTTGACCAGGGCTTCGGTTGACCCAAGCGAGCTTTTACAGTTGCTCCACTTTTCCTGGACACAAGACGATACGGGTTAAAAAAAGCAAAATGGAGCATAACTGTTTTTGACTCCGACAGCGATGTCGGTAGAACTGCGGACAAACTTCAATGTATTGATTAGATTTTTTTTTTTTTTTGCCCGATCCACCGGATCCATGATTCCATGGACCCTGAGAACCAAGCGTTGATAAGTAAGCGGCGCAGGGCCTTCCTTGCTGAATCCACTGGATCGGAATATATTTTAGCCACAAGATCAGCCCGCAAAGCTTTTACGTGGTACGTGGTCCGTAACAAGTTTGGTCGGTACGACACGAAACCTCCGACGGCCTGCCGGCTCTATCAGGAGAATCAAACTGCCAGTGCCGTCAGGCGAAGCGCTGGAGTCTGGGGACATACGTAAGTGATGATGATGTTGCGCTCCTCACTATACCTGATTGGGAACTAACCTCCGGCTCCGAGCTTTAGGCGGTGGAGAAAGAACTGCTGAAGGAACGAACACTGTAAGAAGGTTCGAACACTGAATAGTTACTTGTCACTGCTTAGAGTAGTCAGTATTCTCGGCCTGCTGAACTAGTGTTGGAGGATTGATACTCTCGGGCATACTATGGGGACATAAGGCCCCTGTGGACTGTAGTGAGCGGCGTAATGATACATACATACATACATTATGCGAAGCCAGTTGCCGTTTTCGTATTATGATTACGACGAGCAGCTTGGCCAGATCGCTGTAGGGCAAACGATCACGCAAATCAGAAGCCGAAGCCAAGAAATGTCGAAATTAATCTAGTTTGAAAAACCAGAGAAAACCAGCATCTTGATACCATTTTATCGATCTCCCAGTCATCCAGCTCTGCATCATCTTTTCTCCTCGACCCTTAATCTCTCGTTTTCTTTCATAACCGTTCAACCCAGAGAACTTTAATTACGTTTGATGACAACAAAACGTGGCGCTCTTGCGTCCCGATCTTTCGCAGCATCTGCTTCAACAGCTCTTGGCGCTCAGTTTTTTTTCACTCTTTCCAAAGGGAGCCATTAGTGAACACAGAATAGCAATGTTAGATAAATTTCAAATCAGATAATCACACCCTTTAAGGCACATACGTACAAAAGCATACGCTGTGCCAGCCACAAGGGAAATTACTACCATACCCGTCCCCTCCTCCACGTACGCAGTCCACGAAGTCGCCTAGGGCGATAAGGGTGCCGCGTCCTTCCTAACTGGCGTACTCCGTATACTCCATTACATGCCGCACCCACCTGTAACAAATAACGATCTGGAGTGACTATCACTACCCCCGAAAGGCCTATTTAGGGCTCAGGGGGCCGGTTCCGTACGACCCTCGTACTCGTACGCGTCCAATGCCGCCCCGCCCCAAGAAATTATTGATTTTCTTAATTCATTCGCGCGGGGACTCTCCGCCCAGGGTACGTAAGTGGGCAACGTATGATGAGTGGTGCATTCATCTCGTCCTTGTTCGCATACTAGCGCCTGTCACCTCTTCTACTTCTCTGGAAGGAAACCAAGGACAACGCCAATATTCTGTTAGAACCCAGTGTGTACGCCCCCAGTCAGACATATACCTGCCTCTTCCACCATGTCCTGATTAAGCCCCAGAACAACCATATCAAGAGTCACCCTCATCCTCGACTTGCCTTTTCTCTTCCTAGTCAATCCTTCTCGCCATTGAGACTCCGTTAGTATGTTGCTCTTGCTGTCGAGCTGACCCCTAGCCAGCCATAAGCCAGCCACACATGGTTGTCTACGCCGATCAACCAAGCTTCTGCACACCCGATCTCGACCCTGACCGGGCACGTTTGTGGTTCGTGCATGACCCTCCTTTCAAGACGTAGTCCGTTCTGGGGGGGGGGGGGGGGGGAGGGGTGTATCTAGCCGAGAGGTGATTTGCTCTTCGTAGACGAGGGACGGGGTATACGTACACAGTCTACGTATATCCACTCCGTCACTCGGACTAGCCTGCGCCCGATCTAGCGATTATGCTTCATGGCTTTAGCCTGTCTAGGTTCGCTAGGGCTGGATGGGGCACTTTGATTCGTACGGTCGGATTAAATATTCTGCCCCATGTTTAGCTCATCAGGGCCCTTTTTTATTACTCCGTAGTTTCGTTTTAGTTCTAACTCTACGGAATTTATGGTTTGGCTTAGTCTATTTCCTGGTTGATGGTGGCGGGGACCCTTTTTTTTTCCCTTTGGTTACTTGAGTTTATTCCCCCCCTTCCTTTGGGCTCTCTTTTCTCATTGGTAACCTGGAGAGTAAAATGGCTGGCTTTAACGACGTCCACCGGACCACGGAGTTTGTTTTCCGTGGATTCTGCTTCGGAAAATCCGAAGCTCGCCTTTTCGGATTCGGATTCGCCATTTCAGCCATCTTACCCTGAAAATGCAGGGACTCGCGGCCACCCCTCCCGCTTACTCAAAGCAGCCTAGTCTGGCGTCAGTTGCTGAGTCCCGTCACTCGCTAAGACTGTATTCTGCCTAGTGCGATGGAGCCAGATAAATTGTGGCTGCTGCAACCGCTGCACTTGCCACGCCAGCCCACGCGGCCTTTTTGGATTGCTATCGACGCTCTGTGGTAGGATCGGGGTGGCCTGGGATCATTGTCGACGGGCCCTTTCGCTTCTCTTTCCAAGCTTCACTTGTTGGAAAATCAGGGACTGTTTACCTGTTTGGGGATCATCCTTAGCCTAGCTGAATCGTGGGATTCGGACCCCGACTTGTTGCTGTAGCATGTAATTGGCGGTTTCCATCACTAATTACCTGGTGTGCTTATTATTTTGCTATGTACTACAAAGTACTTTTCTACGACACTACTGTCATTCTCCCTGATCACCGACAATGCGCATCTCCACGCATCTGGCGCCAACTTGATCTGGCATCCATCACTGACCGACTGAGCTCCAGTCGTTCTCTAGGCAGCCACATTACTCTAGCACATCTGCTGCTTCGAGCACAGCATTGCAACGGACACAGCCACAGCCCCGTCCTTGCTCAGTGCCGCCTGGCAGTTCCAGAAGACCCCCGCTTCCAACGTATTGAAGCCGATTCACCAAATGTCTCGGCATTTCTACCACTCCATCGGCGATCTGGCTGCCGACTTCCCGATCATTGAATATGCATCGGATCTTGTGTTGTATCTTTTCCCCTACACTAGAGTAGATCGGACGATGAATAGAAGCCGTGCTACGTATGCAAGCTTCTTACCACCCGCACACAGGTCTTTCTGTGGCGCATGTTATCTCGTTTACGACCGAGCTATTCGTGGCACTTCGGATAACGGTCTCTTTTTGGTAGCCGACGAAGTCGTACACCAGAAATGGTCTACGACTCCATTGATTTCACGAAACAGACGTCCTCGTGGCGCGGAGTCTTTGGCGGGAACAAAAACTATGAATGGCATTGCATGTTTGCGGCCTGTCCGAGAAGCCAACCCCAATATCGGAGACGCTGTTGATACCGATACATAGTACTAAGTACGGTACCGTTTCCCAGCACTCAATCTACCCCTGGAATGAATTATCGGGCTTCGCATTGATTCGTTCGATGCGTTGCGTATTATATTTTCCTCTCAACTCCACACTCACAGCGGACAGATGCATGACATGCCCTGATTATCACTTCTATGATGGATCGACAGACCGTCATTTGTCAACCCTGGGTTACTGTCCACGTAAGACGACCCCAATAGTCTGATTTGTTGAAGATCCTGGCTTTTGATTACCTCAGGCATATCTTTTTTGGGGCCATAGGGATCATTGGAAGAGATTCCAAAGCGATATCAGATCCGTACGCGGCCTTTTACTAGGATATCAAACCCCCGTATCATTCATTGGATTGCTGAGAGGAAGCTCATCCCCCTGTTTGGTCATGAGTCGACGACTCGACGATGTCGAGTCCACCATGAGCCCTTCAGTCTATTTCAGCAATTACCTCGGTAGACGTGATTGAGCATCCACTCTCTATTTTTTATCAGTCCATGCCAAGAGCCCACCTTGTCCTTCTCCATTCGACGACGGGCACATCGCCACATCTAGGGTCCGGCCGGAGCAAAGCTCCAGTGGGGGAGGTGGGGGAGATGTGGAAACTGTAGTGGAAAGAAACTTCGTCCCGTGTGGCACACAGAAATGGGACAAAGCTGGTGACGAGGCCATGTTCGTATTCAACAGCCCTTAAATGAGAACTATCATGAATAACCCCTAAGTGGATGTGGCTGAGCCAGGGTAGAACTTCCCACGAAAAGCCAGTGAGTATGTCGGGGGACTTTCGATGGACTGGGCCGTCTGGTGTGGGGAGTATGATGAGCAAATTGAAAGTTCTCTCAAGCCCGGTGGAAAGGCTGGCACATCCAGTGCTGTAAGAGGGCTGCGTAAGCAAAAACGTCATGTTGAGGGGTGGATTACCTTGCTCGCATGCGATTCACGGGTACGTCCTCTACGCGCCACCCCGGGAAATTACCCCTAAGCTGTATAGGCTGGCCCCTGCATGATTAGTGGGTTGATTTGAGGGCTTCTACAGACTTATTACGTGGATCTTGACTTTGAACGAGGGCCGCTGATATGCCTGGCAGGATGTTTGGGAAGGGGTTATTGAGCCGTTCCTGCAGCTGGAGGTTGTGGACTTAAAAATTAGACCATATCAACGGAATGCATATTGTAGGAGAAGAATCAGGTTTTGGAAATTCGAAGACTATGCAAAAGTATTTGCAACTCTCAAACTTGCGGTTTATACGCAGAAAGACCGAGCTTCTAGCGACAAATGTTGAAGCAAGCTTTGCACGGATCGTTCCGGTCATAGACCTTCGTACTGACTATGTTGAAGTCAAAGAAATCGAATCTGTCTGATTGAAAAGGTAGACAGACAATAATCAAGATTCTATTTGAAAGGATATTCTGCTTAGCCAGACTGTTGCTCAGATATCGAACAATTCTCAACCGTAGGCTTTAAGATGAATGTAAGGAATTTTACTCAAACATATCATTCGATTCTTGCCTCTTTTTTGCTTTGAAATGAATCCAAAGGCTTTGCCATTGTCTGTATCTGAATGGCCTAATTTCTTTTTTTTGGCAACGTCTAGATATCGATTATCTTGTTACAATCTCAATACTGATCAAAATGGCGATCAGTCGAGCTTCTCGATCTAAACAGTAAACCAAATGTGATGCAACAATATAAAGGACACCGTCGGTTGTTTTGTAAATATATAATGATGATCTTTGGTTAATTGCACTCGAGTCATAAGGTGTTTTCCAACTGCTCAGAGGAAAACGACAGCAAGGACGACCCATAGTCTCACCTTCCAGATTTCGCCTATATGTATCGCATTTGCACCTTCTTTCAAGGATAGAGTACAGCTTTAGGTTGATGGTAGGTAAGGAAGGGTCAGGGATAGTGACTGTCCTGATTCTAGACTTCATACGGAGCAATATCTGTATGGCTTCAACAATCCTCCACTCCAAATGGCCCTACCTTTACACCAGGCGGTCCAAAGAATGCTATCACTGACGAGTCGGTCGAGAAACACAAACCTTTGATATTGTTAAACGGATTATTCCAATCCCCACGTATAAAACATTCGGAAGTCGCAGAAGTCGAGTAAAGGAGTTTTCCCGAGACTGTATCCCAAAAGCCTAGGATTTTGTCCCGATGTTCCGAGGCCACCGTGACGACAACTCTTCCGTCTGGTGATATTGTCCATGCCCATATCAGGCTATCACAGACATTCAGTCTTGTCATGCGACCGCCTGAGCTTTTTCCAGTAAATATGGAACCCCAAATCCTATGATTCTCGAAGGCGATGAAATCTCCATTCAAGGAGAAGATGCCGTTTTGTTTCTTTATTAGATTTCCCATCTCGTCAGTCGGGGGGTTGTCAACAAAGGTGCCAGCCGCAGTATCCCAGCTCCAAGTGTGAAATGTCGTGGCACATAAAACTCGTTGACCATCGGAACTAAAGGTCAACGCGACCATTTCATCATGGTCGTCTGATTGTTTTCCCATCGGGACTGTCGCAGGTGGAGTGAAGGTGGCATATTCTTCTCCAGTAGAAGAGTACCAGATCTTAATTCTGTTCTGAGTACACCATCCACCTGTAGCAAGAAGCTCACTGCCAGGAGAGAAGGCTATGAATTTGACTTCTTCGCCAGGTAATGCGAGGACTTTACGGAACGTCCCTGATTTGGGCAGTACAATCCATGCTTTTTCGTAACCTAGGACTGCCAAGTATCTTGAGTTTGGAGAGAACGCCGGAGATCGCATCCCTTCAAGTCTATAGAGCAGGACTCCATCTTCAACTCTCCAGATCTGAACATCTGGACTGGGTCCAGTAATTGCGAGTAGACTGCCATCTGGTGAAAATAAAGCGCCTAGTGAGTGAGCCTCGAAGTTCCTTTTCAACCGGAAATTCTCACGTTTAAGGCCGTCTATGAGGCGTTGTATAGGTTCTTATTCTTTCAGTCAGCGTTTCATCCATCTGAGAGCGTCTATTTTGCAAGGCATTACCGGGGATCTTATTTTCTGGCTTTGGTCGAATTGACAGTGTGCTCCAAGCTGCAAATTGGTCCTCTGTCGGATTATCCAAATTCTCGGTTATGCTGGTGATCGAGTTGGTCTTTGGGAAGTCAAACTTCAAAGGTGTGTCTGCCGGCTCTTTCACTTCTCTAATCCAGTCGTGTGACAATGCCAATTTGGCTGTCGGCCGCTCCTCTGGACGTGGACTCATAACCGCAAGGACAAAATCAATACCCAAGCTGCTGACATTCAGCTTGTCCAGTTCCCCACGAGGAAAGATATCCGGTTGTGCCATGTAGTTTGCAAGCAGTCCAACGTTCTTGAATGTCGGCTTCTGGGTGAGAAGCTGAAAGACAATCTCCCCAAGCGCCCAAATATCAGTTGCATATGCACTTTCTTTCTCGACAAAACCGTAAATTTCGGGGGCTATGTATCCCTTTGTACCACGCGCTGTCGAGAATGGCAGTGTACCTTCTTCAATACGCTTCGAAATGCCAAAATCAGCAACCTTGATCCACCATCGATTCGGGGGATGGGATTTGATCAGAATATTCTATCAACAGCAAAACATCATTAGCACTAGTAGAGCTGACCGTTTCTTTTTCTATTTCAATTGTTCGCAACTGAAAGCTGGCAACAATAGCATACGTACATGAGGTTTCAAATCTCGATGCGCAAATTCATTATCATGCATCATGTCCAGTCCTTCGAGGATCTGGTACGCTATCTCCATTGCTTCGGCTTCTGGCAGAGGTGGCTTTCGGTAAAGAAATGAGAACAGATCGCCAGCTTCGAGATATTCCATAGCAATGAAAAGCTGATCGCCATCCTCGTACCACCCAAACGACTTGACAAAGCATCGTTCATACTATTCAAATCAATGAGCTCGCATCAGTGGGATTTCCAAGTGAGATGCTCATGAGACGAACCCGTTTATGTGAAAATTTGGCAATAGCTTCCAGCTCCCGGTTATAGTCAATAGAACCATATTTTAGGTCGACAGTCATCTGTTTCACGGCTCTGAGAGTACCATCCGGCTGGCCACCGCTAGTACATCTTTCTAACCAAACATCTCCAAAGCCACCAATTCCAATCTTCTTTAATCGCGTCCAACGCTCTGACCTATTGACGACGCGCCGTTGGCCCGTAGGGTCGGACTCGCGATATGTATGCAGAGTCTCTACTCTATAGTCGGGAAGGAAGTAGGTTTCCAGGCGGGAGTCGCGGATGAGATCCGAGATCTGGGCCATCTCGAGGAACCTATTGATCAATTGAAGATCCTGGTGAGTAAATATGAGAAATGAAAAATCGGAAGTGATCCAGCGCAGCCCCTCATCACATCGCATCACGTCACCTGACATTCAAGTAGACTGGCCCCCACCACCTCATTCCTTGCACGCGCGTTAGCTCTGTATTATAGGGTAGCCTCAATCTGCTCTCCCTAACTTGTGATATACTTACTTGTATGACAGAACATCGACCTATATGACGAATTTGAACCAAACCTCAAGCCCGGGTAGCATCTTTATCGTCCGGGGTATGGAAGCCTTTCAAATATGCGCTACACCATCTTACTGGAAATTTCCTGGCATTAGAAAGACTGCCATTCCTCGAGATATCACTCAAAATCTGGAAAATCGAGAATTCTAAGCAACGATTAGCAACGCTTAGCAACGCTACAGAAAAGGCCATTTACACCTTGTGCTAGGAGCGGGCTTGTCCATACCTGCGTCGGGTCTGATCAACTATCTATACAGATGGCTCTCTTTACTTACATGACAACTGGGACTCGCTCCAAGTATGGCCTCTTCTCTGCTATACTATTTTCACTCAACTGCTGCATATCAAACTACTTCTCCGACAAGATTCCAGAAAAATTGTGTTGATCATTCAGCAAACTATTCATAGCTCGAAAGGTAATTCCAAAGCGACCTGTGATGATGGTAAAAAGACCTTCAGAAAAACCTTTCATGTAGAGGTTACAAAGTAGGTCTGTAGCTGCAAATACTCGCTGATCGTTGGATTCAATGGAAGTGCTGGACATACAGGAAACAAACCGATCTTTATACTGTCGAGCTGGTTCCTGTCGCTTTTTGTCCATGCCAGTAAGTGGATTCTACAAATCTCCTCGGGCCGGACCTAAAGTATTTTAATCTCAAATTTCTCGATCGCTCCATGGATGGAGACTGGGCTGAAGTCAGGGAATTGACATTAAGTAAACTGTCATGAGAAGATTTGGCAGCGCTGCCGGGAATGAGGTAATTCGTGGGGCTGGAATGCCAGGGCTGCGGGGTCCAGGTGCGACATGAGATCGGGGGCTCTCAAATCCCTGGAAGGGTTCCTGCTATACCATCACCAAGTCAATCAAGTCAGATTGTCTCTTTGACTTGTGGGATACCTGACTTTCGAGCCTTTGCCCGCGTGGTGCCAGAGTACTGATTCAATTTCTACAACAATGCCCCGCCCAACTACCCGTGAAGAGGTCCTGACAAGACTGCGCAAAACAGTCGCCGAGGGCTCGATTATCGTCGGGGCGGGCGCTGGTGAGACCTATTTCCATGCTTTGGACTTGGTGCTTTATTCTGGGCTAACTAGAAAATTCCCTCCTAGGCATCGGTCTTTCTGCAAAGGCCGTCGAGAATGGTGGCTGCGACTTAATCCTGGTTTACAATTCGGGTCGCTTCCGCATGGCTGGCCGCGGGTCGCTCGCTGGATTGATGCCATACTCGGATGCAAACCAGGTGGTTGTCGAGATGGTATGTTTACAACTCGTCACTCTATATGGTGCTATAAATCAGTGACTGAGACCTTTATAGGCCAGCGAGGTTCTCCCTGTCGTCAAGGAAATCCCTGTGCTCGCTGGCGTCTGTGGAACAGATCCATTTCGGGACATGTCTTCCTTCCTCACCGAGTTGAAGAAGCTCGGCTTCGTCGGGGTCCAAAACTTCCCGACCGTCGGGTTAATCGACGGCCAATTCCGTCAAAACCTGGAAGACACGGAGATGGGCTATGATCGCGAGGTCGAGATGATCAAAATTGCCCATGAACAAGGACTGGTAACCACTCCATACGTTTTCAGCACCAAAGATGCAATCGAAATGGCCAGAGCCGGCGCGGATATCGTCGTCGCCCATGCGGGCTTAACCACGTCCGGGTTAATCGGCGCGAAGGCTGGTCGGTCGCTAGAGGATTGCGTTGGATTTGTGCAGGAGATTCGTGATGCGGCGCATGCTGTCAACCCGGACATCCTGGTGCTTTGTCATGGCGGACCAATCGCACGTCCATCAGACGCGGAGTACGTTCTATCACGAACCAAAGGAGTGCATGGGTTTTTCGGGGCCAGCAGCATGGAGCGTCTGCCGGTAGAGGTTGCGATCAAGGAGAATGCGGAGGAATTTAAGCGGCTGAGGGTGCGATTGGAGTAAAGAAGAGGGTCCCGTTGCTATTCCCCTCAGGGATATCACCCCAGGAACCAGCGGAAGGATCAAACGTCACGAGACGAGGGGTAATTAACCGGGCTTCCCCATTTGTGCTGGAAACGGGCAAATTTGGTCCGCAAGTGGAGCGTCGGGGAAGGCAGAGAAGCTTCAGAAAAGGGCCGAAGCCGCCTGTCGGCTAAATTAGCTTTTTGCTACTGCCAGTACAAAGTAGCATAGGTGGTTTAAAAAAAGGCTTGCGTTATCCTTCAACTTCTTCAACTTCTCATTCAGAAACAACGTCACATACCTTTCAAAATGGCTAACCAAAATCGTGTGCTGGAGGGCAAATTCGGCATCGTCACCGGTGGATCGCGGGGTAAGAAAGCCCCTCAGCTGCGATAAGAACGTACCCGCTAACAACCGCCATCGTTCTGCTGTAGGAATCGGCGAGGCCATTGCTCACAATCTCGCTGGAAAGGGATGTCACCTCTTGCTGAACTTCACATCCGAGTCCTCGCGCGCGCATACGGAGGAGCTTTGCGCTTCGCTGGCCTCTACACATGGCATCCGCTGTGATCACATCCAAGCCGACCTAAGCAAGCCCGAGGAGGCCTCCACTGTGATTCTCGATGCGGCCAAGAAGAGCTTTGGCTCATCGGACAAGTTCCAAATTGATATCCTCATTAATTGCGCCGGTGTTGCAGGCGATTGCAACCTGAACGACCCCGTCCGTGGACCCATCGGCGCGGAGCAATTCAACTGGATCTATACGATCAACGTGCTCGCCCCGCTGCTCCTCACCCAAGCCGTTGCCCCCTTCCTGCCCACCGATCGTAGTGGCCGCATCGTCAATATATCCAGCGTCTCTTCTCAAATGGGTTTCGTGGGGCAGTCGATCTATGGTGGCACCAAGGCTGCACTCGAATCTATGACCCGCACCTGGGCACGCGAGCTGGCGGACCGCGCCACTGTCAACGCCGTCAACCCGGGGCCCGTGGTTGGTGATATGTATTTTGCAGCGGGCGAGGACTTCTGGCGGGACATTCAAGGATTCCAGGATAACACCCCCGGTAGCAAGTTGGATTTGACGGATTCGGAGACGATGGCTCGGTTGACCGATGAGCAGAAGCGATTGATCAATGAGAAGATGGGTGGACGGAGACCTGCATTCACTAGCGAGGTTGCTGGTGTCGTGGGCATGTTGACCACACCTGATGGTCAGTGGTGTACGGGAAGCTTGGTTTGCGCCAATGGAGGCATGAAGATGACTCTGTGAGCATCCCCCATGGGGATTAATGCAATGGTCCAGATAGTCACCGCAATGAAAATCAATGAGCATAACTGAATTGACTGAGAATGGAATCCAATGAGACTTGGGAAGCATGCTGCTGGCGTAAGACTGCAAACACGAAAAAAGATCTCGTGACCTTGACATCGTTTGCCTGGCCCACAAGGCCTTGGTTCCTGCGGCATCTTCCATTAAGTTAGTCTTGGAACCCCAGGATCCTCTACTCAGCTCCCATCCTCAAGCTCCGTACCTTTCTCTCTTCTTCATTCCCCCTAATCCCGGAATCCTCAACTGCTCCCCCTCTATTTCTCCTCCAACTCTCGACCACTTCGAAACCACTGCACCTTCCTCAGAGGCTTCTTCCAGATACATTCCACCAGTCTCTGCTCTCTTCTCAGCTCACGTGAAAATGTCTGGTCAACACGGAAGCGGGGCACCTGCCAACTCGGTTAGCGAGCCGTTTCCCGAGACAGGAGCTCAACCCCATCGTGAAGCTCTCGATGACTTGACCCCGCTGAACCATAACACTCCTAGCCGCCTTCGTGTCCATGCAAATGGGGCACACTCTGACGCTGAGAACCGAGTTCCCGCAGACATGCTCTTCAACTATATGATTGCTGCAGTCTCGTTCTTCATCAACGACTATCATCGTGCTTTGTCCAGCCTGAATCCTTATGATGCTGTGCCAGTTGCTGAGAAGTTGGCGAACCAGATCATGAACATCATCAAAGGGATTCCCATCAACTGTCAACAGTATCCCGACCCCGAGACTCACTTCAAAGGTCTCCTGGCTCTTTGCAAAATCGGAGAAATCATACTGCGGGCCGGAAATACGGAGCTGGGCGACCAAGTGCGAGGCTATTTCGATGGTATCTCCGTTCTGGAACGGGCCATGATTGACGTGATCGGCCAGATGACCCCTGAGGAAATAGCCGTAATCCAGAACAGAGAGGGTCAGGACGACGACAGACAGCTCTTGCCAAAACTGCAAATTCTGCAGGAGGAGGGGCGTTGGTGCCTGTTGTACGACAACATGCACTTGGTTATTGATGCCCTCCAGGACCCCTCTCTCCTCCATGACAACTCAAATGGCGATGAGAACTGAGAAATCAAGGAAGTCAGTATGAAGAGGTTTCGTTTCAATTCATTGTTGAGAGTCAAGCTAATACTGATCAGAAATGATAGGGTGAGCGGCTGCCCCGTCCTGTGAGGTCATGATCGGCGGCATTCATCTCATGGACAGCGGGTATTTGCCATCAGGAGGCATTTTGACGCAGCCCCCGACGAAACCTGTGACTCCTACAACCCCACACGAAGTCAACAAGTACATTCGGACAGTCTTACTTTACTTCAATAGCCGTCAACAGAACTATTCGACAGGTGGACGATCGTGGGTAATAGTGGGATAGTTGAATCGAGAAGTTTTTGATTAATCAATCTGGAGCAGTGTAGTTCCGCAACAAAGTTTCTAGAAGAGTATGGTCGCCAGTATAAAGGTCGGGTCTTTGCGGGGTACAGACTGGGGAAATGTAGAGGTAGGCTCCAGGGGTTAGAATCGGCTATTGAGCAACGAATCACACAGCTTAATAGCCATTCCAATTTTCTGTTACACGGCTTTTGACAGACGTTTGTCTGCGCACCTAGGGAAGTTGACATGACCTTTGTCACATACCAATATCATCAAAGTATTTCATTGACTTTTGTTGGGATTGGCATTATGACACATGGCTATTGATAGGGGATATTGCCGTGAGCTGGAAGGATTCTATATTTGAAATCAGCTTCTTCTTACCAATCTCGGACATTCTTCCCTTCCTCCCTTCCTCTCTAGCTACAATTTCCCCGCTAGCACCACGATGGCTCCGTAACATCCATGCCTATATCACGAGAGGGATAAATGTGATACAGTATTTCGAAACCTAGAACAGGCGCCTACGTATATAAAGGAGATATACGAAGAGCTAACGGTCCCTTACCCTTATATAGGGGAGTTTAACCGCTATAAGCTATTCGGTACCGAAAAGAAAGTAATGGCGTCTCTCCTGGGCTTCGAAATATTCTATCAAATTTGTTCCTCTCGCGATATGGGCATGGATGTTGCGGAGCCATCGCGGTGATAGCGGGGAAATTGTAGAGTCTGGAGAGAATAGAGAGGAAGGGAGGAAGGGAAGAATGTTCGAGATTGGTAAGAAGAAGCTGGAGCTAGAAATATGTGGAAATATGGCGTCTTGTTGGCCACAGGTGCCTTATACATCGCAGTGAACAATTGCTCCAGCCAGCCCTTGTTAATTCCACTGCCGCCGGGGAACAGCGAAGCAATTCTCAACAATCTGCAGTCATTGCCTTTGGCATTTGCATTCTTCCCTTATCGCGCTGGTAAAGAGCCTTCTCCAGAACATTCTCTCAAGATTTGATGGGAAAATTCGAGAATATTATCGGTGTTTCCTCAAAGTGGGAGTCGGGGGAACGTTGCAGTACGAGTAAACAGACAGCCTCAGACTTCTCGATGAGTATTTACTAGTGAGATTTTCCTACTAGGGATAATTCTATCTGCATCCCTGATCAAAAGAATAGTATCGAGCTTGTATTCACGCGCCCGACCGACGATCACCCTAGCCAGATCAATTATGGCCCGGAATTATTCGAATCGTACTAAGCCTTGGAGGGCATGCAATATACCCACGGCTTGTATACGAAGCAGAATAGCTCTGTTCAACAATTCGCGGATGCATGCGTGGTAGCATGTCGCTCAATGGGCACCAACTTAAAAGCTTTCGAATAAGGTAATGACATCAACATGGAGGCTTCAAACGATCGACCGGTGAGTTATACGATTCAGAGTTATACCAATGAGTGGAACTATTTAATATTAGAAGGAAAAATGATAGTGGTAAGAAACATGTCTTTTTTTTGTATGAGGAAATTTAAGCAGTTGGTGATGGAAATAATAAACATCACAAATCTGTTAGTAAAACTCTTTGAAAAGGCTTTGATCCTTTTCTATCCTAGATCTTTACCCTTTTGGATCTTAATATTATAATATAATATAGTAGTTCATAGTAAATATACCTTAATATTCGATCTAGTAGATACCTTTTATATATCACGCCATACAAAAGGTACATGGCGAGTCTGGTAAAATTGGCTAGTCCCCTAGGGCGCACCCATAGAGCGAAGCGATGCGGGGGCGTCGGAGGTGGAGGGCACAGATACGCCCGCTCCTGTATCCTTCAATCCCCTCTCCGGCCAGGGCTCACCTCGGATAGCTTGTTCACTGACATCTTGACGGCGCTGGAGAGCAATGGACGAGCACACGCCGTTAATACAGTCGGTAGACCGACCGGTGGATGACCCGGAGAGGCTGCCACAAGCCAAAGGAGAAACCAGGTCCGGTGTGGACATGGTCTTCTTTGCGATTGCTGTGTTAGGTAAGTCGCGTTGCACTTGTCACACAGCTACGAGAGCAAGACCACTAATATGGGCACTATCAGGTATATTTCTGGCTATTGGTGACGAATACTTCGTCTTCACTACGAGTGGCCATATCGCGTCGGACTTTCATCGTCTTTCCCTTGCGCCTTGTCTCATCACGGCATACAATCTAGGATACTCCGTCACACTTCCTATGGTGCGTGAGATCTGAATTCCCAAAGTTAAATAACTTGAGGGCTTACCAAAGCAGTACGGACGCGTCTGTGAAATATACGGTTACAAAATAACTCTGCTGGTAGCCTATCTTGTGTTCACTGTCGGGTGCATTATTAGGTATTCACCATCCACTTCTGGTCATTTCGAGAGGGACCATCTAACTCCTTTCATAGTGGCTCAGCGCCTTACCTCGGACTTGTAATCGCTGGTCGATTCGTTGCTGGTGTGGGTGGTGCTGGCATGACTGACTTGATCAGCGTGGTCATTACAGGTAAAGTAGACTGCCAGACGCAGAACAAGTGGCATTACTGATATCCGGTCCTTAGAAATGGCCCCGTTAAGAGAAGTCGCTGTACTTCGATCCTATTTACAGATGTCCTCAACTCTCGGTGTCACCATAGGATCTTCAATTGGTGGCGTTTTGACCGACCTTTTAGGATGGAGATGGTCCTTCCTAATCAAAGTTCCCCTAGGAATTTTCTGCTTTGCCATGGCCGCATGGCGATTGCCCTCTGCTTCGAAACGTGGATATTCGAACGCCAAAGAGGGAGGAGAATTAGATGAATCAAAACCGGATCTGAACTTACCAGGCATTTGTCTGTTAGGCATGGTTATCGCGGCCATAATGGGAGTTTGCCAGCTCGCGTCGGAAGAGTTGCCCCAAAAAAACATACTCATGACGATATCAGTCGGTACCGTTGTCGTTGGAGGAGTCTTATTCTGCTTGAACGAACGCTATTGGACAAAGACCGCACTGATCCCGCTGTCTCTCTTGAAAACAAATGGCATTGGTCTCGCCTACATCGCACAACTGCTGACAATGTTCACTTTTTGCGGGGTGAGCTTCGTCCTCGGGTTTTCTGGTTAGTTGAGTGTTCGCGCACTGACACATTACACAGTTCTCGAGTAACTTCAGCGACTTTTGGGTCCGAACCAAGAACACTTCTGCGAGCCTGGCGGCCTTGTCGATATTTCCCCTGGCCACGGCTGGTACTTTGAGTGGCCTTATTGTCGGCAGTATTGTGCGCCGGTAAGTGTGCTCTATCCGATTTTCCGGTGTTGATATCTAACGGAGATCACAGAACTGGAAAATACAAATCTCTCTCGATCAAATGTTGTTTGGCGATGATATTGGGAAACATTCTTCTGGCCGTTCGACTACCTCAAGGCCCTCATTACTGGGAGGTTCTCTTCACTGTCATTGTAGGCATTGGCATGGGAGGATTCTTCGCAGTAACGTTCGTCGGATTATCAGCCTCGATTCCCGATAAGATGTCCGCTACCGCAATGACGTTGTACTACTTGGCGCAGCAGCTGGGAATGATGATGGGTATTAGCGCGGCTTCCGTAACCTGTCGGATGGTATTCAGAGCATATCTTGAGCGGAAACTTGCCGATTTTGTGGATTCAGTTCAGGTGAGTTTTTGCGAACCCTCATAGCCCTTGCTATGCTAATCAACAACCTGGGCTTGTAGATCATTCACCATGTTCTGAGTGACAGTCGTTTCGGATTTTCTTTGCCGGAACCATTACAGACCATGGTAAAAGACTGCTTTTTCCAAGCCTTCCGGGTTGTCCCAGGTAAGTTATCAGTGATGATGGCCTTTGAATTCCGACTAACCCAGTGTCAGTCATGACTTCGATTAGCATAATATTAGTGTTGCCTATTCTGTGCTATTTGCCCGAGCGCTCATTGGATTGATCTATACGACTGCTATCATACAAACTTGATTCAAACACCAACCTTGGTACAGACCATTTTTCAAAGGTCCTCTTAGGAATGAGGCATGTAGTTGACCTTTACGAGGAAGAGTGACATGTACATCATAAAAGGAAGATATATGATGTGTACGAATTTACCCAGTTTAGCCAATTGTGAGGCATAGGCTTTTGTAGTCAACCTTTCCCATCACTAGACGTCTTCATCCCTGAATGGCAAGCATTGATCGGATAACGGCTCTTCAAATCGTGGACAACAGATCCCTGTCGAGGCTTGCAGGGCTGTCGTGGGGGCCGACAGCGAAATGACTCCGTCGCGATCATGGTCCAATTCAGTTTCTTGATGATACTGTGTTTGGTGCATGAGATATGCAATTTGCAATTGTGAATAGTATAACTCAATGCGTATCTTTTAGACATCAAGATGTCGAGGCTTATTTGAATCTCCCCGTGCTCCAAACTCAACTACCCTGCCCAAGCACCCCTCCCGAGTCACGACCCTGAGCCACCGAACCCTGTCAAAGGAGTGGATCCAAGCTCTTTCAAGCCTTGAACGGACTAATGAACGTGGCCGGGTAGTGCCAATCGCTGGGGGCGGACAGTCCCACGAAGCAGCTAACGATTTAGCGGCGGACACGACGGGGAACTGAGGTTGGGCCTAGCTCAGCCCCAGTCATTTCGGAAATGAGCTGAGAGACTCAACAGCCGCATGAGGCCTGACTCCCTGAGGGGAAGAAGCGCGCTAGACGGACAAGCATGGCACGTTTCACGCTCTGTCAAAGCCGGTCAATGTCGACTGATGGCTTAACCCCCTCTTCCTCTTCCTCTTTCAGGACTCTCTCCAACAGTCTCCCCGTCTCCCATCCACTCCACCATGGCCGAGTCGCGGGACTCACAACACTTGCTTCTGCCCTCGGAGGAAGACCTGGTCACTGCGAAACCTCCGCGCTCGTGGAACCCACTCGGCGGTCGCCCCTCGTCCAGCAGCGAATATGCTTATCTCCCGCCAGCCTCCACACATGAAAGCTTCTCCGAGGAAGTGTTTCGAGAGGTGGGACTAGGTATCACCGACCCCTGCGGCGACACGCTACCTGCCCGAGGCAAACGCGATTCAATCTCCAGTGCTGGCAGCGAGACCACTGCAACGACCCCGGGCTTCTTGAAAACGCCTCAAGGAACCCCAGCCATTCTACATCCACATCGCTCGCCAGGAAATTGCCCCAGTCGAGCGACGGTCCTCCAAAGCCGGTTCTCGTGGGTGCCCGTGACGATCTTCGTTCTAGCCTTTTACGCAACGGTTTTCTCGGGCATATATCTCGCCATCGCAATCCGAAAACCGAGATGGAGTAATGTTAGCAGCGATGGGTCCCTGGCCCCGTCGACGGCTAATTTGCTTTGCGCGTTCTTTGCCAAAACTATCGAATTGGCCTACGTTACGATATGTGTCGCTTTCCTAGGCCAGGTGCTGAGCCGGCGAGCACTAATGAAGGACTCGCGCGGAATCAGCATATCGGACATGAATATGAGAGCATGGATCATGCAACCTGGGTCAATGATCGTGCATTGGGAGACCCTGCGGTACTCGGCCCTAACATTTCTGGGCACTATTGCATTGGTCGCTACCTTTGTAGCGATGCTCTACACCACGGCGGCCGAAGCATTAGGTGGGTCTGAAAACAAGCACACGATTACGCTAGGGTTCTAATTTTCATGGCATAGTATCTCCAAAACTCTCGATGGGCCCCAAAGTGGACACCACTCTTGCGGGTAAAGTTTACACCAGCTTTGGCAACGTGGAATATCTCTTGTTGAATTGTAAAAGCCCAATCCCACAATCTATGGACCCCTATGCCCGCAACGACACCTGTCTTCAGATGCTCCACGTGGGTCAAGCCTACCACAATTACGAGCAGTGGATTACTGCATGGGCCGACTTCATTGGTAGTGGGAACGACACGTCAGATCGCCTTCAGACTCGCCCAAAGCCCACCGGTTCAATGTGGGACAATACCACGATTACAGGCAGCTGGATTGAATTGACGAATCTGTCCGATCTGTCTCAAAAACATGGTCGTATGGTCAACAATATTACGATGGCAATGCCACATGGCGGGATACCCGCCGCGGCTATGGATGAGAAGAATGATATCCACCAGCCTCAGGATGTTTCAGGCGAGGGCAAGTACAGCCTCGAAGCCTCTGTACCTTCGCCTGCCATCAACGTGCTCTGTGTTGGCATGAACAAGTCCGAGCTTTCGCCCTTGGTTTACTCCGAGTGGCCAAATGTGCACTTCAACGCAACAACATGGAGCGCCACACCACCAGATGACATTCCCCGAACCCCATCCTGGCTCAACAGAACCGTCGTCGATGACATCTTCGGATTCGGTCAAAAATACGGCCAGCGACCTCCCATCTTCGGCACTTACCCGGGATCTAACAATACAATCTTGAACACGACGGGTCTCTGGCCAGCTAATTCAATCTACCTCCTTGGAAAGCCAAGCGTTTCGCATCCCGAATATGTGATGTGTGCTATGCGCGCCAAAGAGACCGGCGTCTGCTCAACTCGCTATGTTGCAGCGTCTAGCGGAGCTTTCCTGACCTCCAATTGCGAGAACAGCACTAATCTTCTCCAATACAACCGAAAGCAGACAAACTTCACCGAGGGTTTTTGGCAAGCAGACTGGAAGAACGTTGCCAGCGAATGGGCCCCCTCGCTCAGCCTAGGCTCGGGAATTACCAATGCACAAGCAAGTAACGAGCGTCTCCTCATGCAAATGATGCCCACGTACGACAACGACACAAAGACATACTCTCTTAATCCATCCCTTCCCTCGATCGGAGAAGCTCTCGCCGTGATGGCTGGTAGCACGCTCATTCTCTCTTCGCAAAATGCCCCATTCATTCACGACTTCAACTACACCGTACCTAATGATATCCTCCCCGAGCCAGTCTATCAATACTTCCCGGCCTCTCTGCAAGAAGTAGGCTACGCGTCTGGCGGTACCGAGCGTTGGCAAGGTGTCTTCTTCGTTATTCTCGTCTTCGCCTTCCTGACCTCGCTCATTTGTTTGATCTTCGTCATTGTCGAAGCGCGAGGCCACCAAATCACGGACTTTACAGAGCCGCAAAATCTTTTTGCTATCGCTGTCAATAGCCCCCAGTCGGCGCAGCTGCAAGGTGCATGCGGAGGAGGCCCCGTTGGACGGCAAATGAAGGAGAGATGGTTTATTGGCATGGATGAGACAGATGCACACTACTACATTCGAGCAAAGAAGGATGGACAGAGTCCGTACACGGAAGCTAGGTCTACGGAGTATCAAGGGCTTGAACCGATGGAGGTTGAGGATGGAAGTGGCAGCTTGAAGGCAGTCAGTCCGGCGGTTGATGAGTTCCGTCGAGTCTCCAAAAGGTCCTCATTTTTGGCGAAACTCTACTAATGTGTAACTAATTCATGTGACTCACGAGACATGTCACTGTAATTTCTAGATGATATCCGCAATTATTCATTGCTTCGATCATATCGTATGAGGCCAACCTAGGTCTTCCAATGCCTGCCTATAAAATCTCTATAACCTCACCATAGTCCCTTGCTATAGAATCCAAGTGCTCATAGGTGTTATTGTACCATCGAATCATTCGTAGACTTCGCTGGTACAGTTCTTGAGAACGATTGGCTTGACCAATCACAACATCCGAGTCACGTGTGATTACCCCATAGTCCGGGGTTCCCCGGTTATGCGGAGCACATTTCACCACCGCATGGCAAGTCACCAACGCCTATGACAAGTAAACCCAATGAATCAAAAAGGGCACGAGCTGGAGCGTGTGCGGCTTGCCGGTAAGTTGAGGTTTTGGTCATCTAGACATTTAGTTGGGTATAGAGATTGACATTTCTTTAGCACCCGCAAGAGGCGCTGCATTCCATCTTCCACATGGGACGGCTGTCGGCTATGTCAAGCACTATCTATTCCTTGCACACTGAGACGAAACCCTACCAGCCTGCATGTAGCCGTGGGTACTCCAGTAAAAGCGACGCATGATGGGCGACACGATGAAGACCATGTTCTCGGTGTTTTTGGCTCATCGGAACTTGTGCTCGAACTTGTTCCTCTGTATTTTCAATACGTGCATAACATTGCCCACACAATCTTCCATGAACCGAGTTTTATGGATCGCCTTCGAGAAGGTAAAGCATCCATGACCCATGTCTATGCGATGTGTGCTCTCGCTGCTCGGTGGGTTTCTTCCATTCTCTTTCTGGCCAACATCACTAACAGCGGGTTGGCAGATACTCCGAAAACCAGGTATTTGAAAACATCGCTCCATGCGCCCGAGGCAAAATCTATGTGGCAGAGGCAATCCGCCGATGCCAGGAAAACATGATCACCCCGACACTCGAGACCGTGCAAGGTTTTCTGTTAGTTGGATTCTGCTTCGGCGGCGAAGGTAATATTCAAGGAAAGCATGTGTATGTCGGCCTGGCTCGTCTACATGCCGACTTGTTGTGTCCTGCGGATACCGCGACGGTTGTGCTTCGAGAGGAGCGTCGTCGGACATGGCTCACCATTTATATTGCCGTTCATTGGTCTGCATCGGATATGGCAGTAGAGCCTACCTCTCCGTTTCATGACATGGCTTCTCTTCCGGAGATTGACGACGCCGATTTCCAGACTCTCAGTGCCGAGCGACTCACAGAGTCGAGGGCTCCACCTTCTTCCAAGTGTGACATGTGGGCTCAAATGGGGCGAACACTCAACATATACACAAGGATCAACGTTCTACTGCGCCGCCTCAGTCAAAATGCAATTTCGTTTGAGGAATTTTGCAAGGATGCTGCTGTGCTGGAGCACAGTCTCGATCAGTGGGCGAAGAATCTTCCACCAAATCTGACATACTCCTACGACAACTTCATGCTCATGATCGACAAGCAAGTTGGGAAAACGTTTTTATCCATGCATATTGGGTACTATCATTTCCGTCAGATGCTTCTTTTCCCGTTCTTGGATACTCGACTTGCCCGATGGACGACTCGAGATAGAGCAGCGAAGTGCAAGGAGAGCGCGTCCGTCGTCTCGGATATTCTCAGATATTCTCAAACCACACCCAAGTGCAAGATGAATTACTTTATCTACGGGCATATTGCGGTTGTCAGTTCCAGTGTTCATCTGCATACTTTGCTCTGCAGTGATGACCAATCAGACTTGAGCTCGGCTCGACAACGTCTGGTCTTTAATTTTCAGTTCCTTATGAGCCTGAAAGCTTACTGGTCGATTGTTGATCATTATGTAAGTTCCGATTTGTGACTTCTCTGCGCCCGAATCTTTTGTCGGTTTCTAATTGTTGAGTGTGTAGGTGACTCGTCTACGATTCTTTCAGAACTACTGTAGGGACTCCATGTCAGATGCCTTTGTCCTGGACAATTGGATGGCCCGTTTCCTTACTGAGCACTCTTCGGCGTTATCGGACAGACGGGATACCCGTGCCGATCGAGCCTCGCTTGGTGCGGATGAACTCTCTTCAGTTCCGTCCGGGCTGAACAACGCAGTGCAGTCTGGGAGTAGCTCCGGATTCCAAGGGGAAACAGGTGCTGCTTCTGGGAACATGAACACGAAGCCCATGACTGATCCAACAATCGAAATCAATGACTTGTCTCAGCTTCTGGGTCATCGCGGCATGACTGGCGAGGCCATCGTGAACAGCGCTCTTAATTGGCTTTTGGATGGTGATCTCAGAATGGAGCAAATGCAGTGATTGGACAATCTCCATCCACAAGATGGACCTTCGTTATGTATATGCATGTCCCTGGGAGCGAGTGCAATTCGGTAGCTTGACTCAAGACCGGCGGGATGGCCGGATCCAGCTATCAAGGCCTGAAATCCATTATCGACGGAGACTTCCGTCTGCTGATAATGCGTGCTTATTACCATTGGTCAAGTCGTCTGCCTCTCGAGAAAAGGTCGATCCTCTCCCGGGTGGGTTCCACGGGGTACACGCCTTCGGATACTTTCAATTGGAGACCAACGAGGAGCTTTCACCGCCCCTAGATCCTATAGTTGGACAATGTGAATCGAACAACGTCTCGTGATAAGGTCAGGAGCTTCAGACTGCATTCAGTCTAGCAGGCGGATTCTTGACCCACTTATTTGTTCGCTGGGCCCCGGGCCCGGCTTTCTCATCCCATCGCGTTGCACGGGCCGGCCATGTGATATAGATAACATTCAACCGGTTGACCAAGGCTGTCTATCGGACAATGTTATCAATCATTATTGCAGATCCTGTTCTCTGTAGATCTTGTAGACCATCATACCCAACTTAGTCAAATCCATAGCGACAATTAGGGGGGCCATTCCCGTTAACCTGTTGGATACCAGTTCTTCCATCACACTTGCATCACAAAACGTGGGGAGAATGGAGAAGATCGGTTTAAGATATCGGACTCGATAGCCGGCTCCACCGACGGTTTCTGGGGGCGGCTCGGTTTTGTATCACCAGTTTGCCAACCACCTATCAGAGATTCAGATTCACATGGCCCAGATTCAAGAACCGCTTGGAACGGTTCAGGCATACCAACGTTCTAGACTGGACGTGGGCTGCTGGAGAGTTTACGATTGGCCGGTCAGCTTGCCGCAAGCGCCAGGGGGCTTGATTCTGGTTTCTTTAGCAATTTATGGAATGGTGTTGTCGATAAGCTTGAAGCCATTCGGACCCGACGGGAACGCCCAACCGATCACCTGACCGGTCCTCAGGTATACTTCCCCGTTGGAATTGGCCACCTGATTGCAATGAGCTTCCCAAAATAATTGTGGATATCGGGCATGAAGCCTTACGTCCCGTTGACATCGTTCGGGCGTGGTCTGGGGCCTCCGTGAACCGTGGTCAGCTGTGGCGCTGGGGTAGTCGCGATAGCTTCATAAAAAAGCTGCTTTCGCCAGCTTTGTAGTCGGTATTAGATTCGGACACAGATCGAAGAATCTAATTGCACAGAAGTCTAAAGATCCTTATCTCTCTTCATAACCTGGTCAATCACCAAGACTTGTCTTTGATCCATATTCACAATGTCTTTCCTGAGGAATTGGTTTGGTACCACCACCACGGCCCCCGAGGTCCAGAAGGAGCAGAAGACGCCCGTTCGTGCCCTTCCTGCTTCATGGTACACTTCCCAGGACATGTATGAGCTTGAGCGACGATCGATCTTCTCTCGCAAATGGCTGCTCACCACGCACAAGCACCGCGTCCCCAACGCGGGCGACTGGGTCCAGTACGATGCTGCTGGGTACAAGTTCATCGTCTCCAAGGACGAGCAGGGAAACATCAAGGCCTACCTTCATGACAACGATCTCTCCCCCGTCCATGTACACATCGATCGGAATGACTTCATCTGGGTCAACCTTGATTCCAAAAAGACCCCCGAGGTTGCCTGGAAGGACGACTTCGACGGTGTCGACGAGCAGCCCCGCTTCGACCATTACGACTTCGACAACTACTACTTCGATCACACTTGGGACATGGAGGGCGACTTCAACTGGAAGATTCTGGCCGACAACTACAATGAGTGCTACCACTGCCAAGTTGCCCATCCTGATATTCCGACCATTGCCGATTTGAACTCCTACTACGTCAAGACCAAGGACGGCCACATTCAGCACTATGGCGCTCAGCGTCAGGACCAGATCGACAAGGGCTTCCGGATAGCCACCACATACTTCTGGCCCAACGCCTCCTGCAATGTCTCGTGAGTAGCCTCCTACACAGTCTATCAGCTCTATTCGTCGGAACGACAACCAGCTAACCAACAATCTTAGTCCCAACTTCTTCTTCATGCAGCGCTTCACCCCCGTCAGCCCCACAAAGTCTGTCATGCGCTATGAAGTCTACCGCCACAAAGATGCCACCGACGAGGCCTTCAACCTCATCAGCAACATGTACAAACGTATCATGTCCGAGGACAAGTACCTGTGCATCCACACCCAGAAGAACCTCAACGCCGGCGTCTTCGTCAACGGCCTTCTGCACCCGGAGATGGAAATGGGCCCGTTGCACTTCCAGAGCACCGTCCGCGAAGTCGTCACCGAGCACTTCAGCAAGGAACAGGCTGCCGGTCATGAAATCTGGCCCGCCAAGCCAGTAGTTTCGAGCACCGATACTCTAGTCACTGGCGAAAGCGATATCGCGTTCCGCACGGGCATGGACACCTATGCGGACGCGGATAATTTGCAAGAGTCGCTAACTGGCAATCTTGCACCCGCGATTGTTGTTTAGATACCGGATTGGATTTGGGAGGATATACGCCCTTAAGGGTATAATGTGCGACGCACTGGATTTGGCTATTAGCGTTGATATATTTTTGTTAGACCCTTTTTTAGTAGAGATTGACAAGACCATTCTGGCTTTCTGATTACCATGTACCTAGGTAGATTTGATAATAATCCATTCCTTGAGCTGCCCTCGAGTTTGAATATCCTGATCCCTTGACCATAATATCGGCTGTTGAATAGAGGCAGAAAGGTTTAGCTAGTCATGCTCTTTTTCGACCTCGGCCATTGAACGACAAGATCGAATTATGCGAGAGGAGTCTACGAGATAAGAGGTTTGTTGATTTCCGTGATAATCGTAACGTAGCCCGAGCGCCCTTGTTGGAATGTGATGCCTGGAAATCCGAGAGGGAGTGGACGCTATTACGAAAGACCACTTTGCACTGGGTGAATGTCAGACTCATTACCTTGAGCCGCTCCTATAAAGCACGCTAGGACCATGAAATGAAGATGGTCTAGCAACTACAAGTCTTCCGATTTGGGTGCATACAAGTCTAAAAGGCACAAAACAATACTGATGAAAATAGAATCCGATTCGTGTGTGTTTCGGACATTGCTCTTATATCGGGGTGAGCGAAACAATCTCAACGCCAAGCCTGGCGATTTTGTTGCAGTTAGTAAATATGTATCGTGATTGTGCCTGGCCAAGCCTAGCCTTTGTCAAAAGCCGGAAAGTACTGTTTCACAACCCGATCCAATTGCTTAGGAATAACCGGCTTCACAAAATACTCATCGGCCCCTGCCTCCTCTGCGGCCTTCCGATCTGCCGGACTATCCTGGCCAGTCATAACGAACAAGAAACTCTTTTTCCATTTATGTCGCTGTTCCAGCGCTCGGATCTGCTGCGTGGCTTCGATGCCACCAAAAACTGGCATTTGAAGGTCCATGAAGATGAGTTGGATTGGGGGGTCTTCTTCTTCGGGGCATTGAGTCTGGCGTTGAGAGAATAGTTCGGTGGCTTGGCGGCCGTTCATGGCGGAGAGGTATGGCAGGCCTCGTTTTGTACAGTAGGTTTCCATTACGCGGAGGTTGACGGCGTTGTCGTCTACTATTAGAGTGACGGGTCGAGGGGGGGTTTCGGGTGGTGTGAGTATTAGGGCGGTCATATTTAGATCGAGGGAAACTGGGGCGTCTGGTTGGGAGGCAGGGGGAATAGTGGCGGTCGCGATGGGTTGATTTGATATGACAGTCGGTGGATGTGTATTGGGGTACTCTTCTGTGGTTGAGTTTTTCTGGGTCGTTGCAGGCATGATAATGGGTTTGTCAAGAGTGTCGAGTTGTTGTCGATGTTGCTTGGAAGATTGCTTCTTGAGATAGGTGTGAGCTCGTTCAAGAGCTGAATAGAATGTTGAGGTCCGGAAAGGTCCATTGACGTAGATAAGATTGTCATCGGGCTGCTGGAGGTAGTTTTTCTCCTCTGAGATCGGGACAAGGCAGATGGCGACTTGCTCGGGTGAAGTCTGAGACAGGCATGCTCGGTGTTGTTCCGGGTCAGATCCAGTCTCAACAATGACCAAGCAATCCTCTACGGTGTCAGAGCAAGTGTATCCATTGCGAAGTAAGAACGACGTAAAGTGATCGCCCAGTGATAAGGAATCAGAGTCGACGGGCTCTTTGAAGAAACGTGAAGGCAGGCTATCAAACTTCATAGATAGAGGCTGCGGCGGTTGAGACGAGAAATCAAACTCCACCTCGCGGAACGTAGCGCGGAAATGGGAACCGCGACCAATCTCCGAGGAAACCAACTCAATGGAGCCGTGAATGAGTGATGCGAATTTCGTAGCGAGTGTAAGACCCAATCCAGCACCCGACGAGTGCAGGTCAACCTTCTCATAGGCCTCGAAAATTCGCTGTTGATCATCAGGATGAATTCCTCGTCCCGTATCTTCCACGTCGACAACAAGTTGTTTGAGGTCCGGCTGAATCGATACTGTAACAGACACGACTCCTTGTGGCGTCTGTTGAATCGAATTGACCACCAATGGGAGCAGCGTATCTCGAAGAACCCCAAGATCAATGGAAAACTTGCCACAGTCCGGCGACGAGTTCTGGGCAAAGAAGATTGAACACTTATACCGCGTATCCCCCACCGTAAACTTGTTGATTTCATTTACAATCTCCGTCTCCAGCTCGTCCAGCGTATGCATAGAGTAATGCCTGTTTGCCATGGCAATATCTGACCACTTGTTCAGGGCAATCAAATTATTGATAATCGAAGTGAGATCACGACCCGCCATCTTGATGATATTGAGGTACGTAAAAGGCTCAGGTGGATTAATCTCCGACTCGAGATTCAATTTCTTGATTGTCGAAAGTGAGTTCGTGATTTCACCCCAACTATTTGACTTCATTTCCTCCGTCAGGAGTTCGACTGCGGCGAGGATTCCATGGACTGGCGTTCGTAGTTGGTGAGAAAATGCTCGGAGAAACTTTTCTTTGGCTATCATTGCTTCTGCCAAAAGACTTTTGCGCCATTTCTGGGACATAATATCTGCACAGGCTTGAATGAACCATGCATCGGCGTCGTCAAAGATCAGGTGGAAGTCTCGCGTTGCCACGATGAGTAGTGATGATCCTGATGTACTTTCGCATGGGACTGCCACGATGCGAACTGGTTTATCGGATGGGGTCGGGAGGTGATTTGAATTGGTGATGAATTCGTCAATAAATTGAACGTCTTCCCACAGACCGTCTTTCAAATCAGTTATTGGAATCGGATCACATCCCTCGAACTCGACATGGCTCGATCTCGATGGCTGCAGACGAATGATTGCCTCAGGATAGATAGTTTTCAATATTTCGAAGACCGGCTCGGCAGTCGCTGCTTTGTTCGTCTCTTTTTTCGCTTTGGCAAGAAGTTCAGACATTCGATGTCTTTCTCGTTGTCGTCTCGCTCTCGTACATTGCACGAGATCGGAAACAACCCAATCACCCAGACGAACAAGTGCCTGATGCTGCGCTTTGGTCAGAGGTTCTTCGCTCTTGCTTGAGGCCACACAAAGTGATCCGAGTCCAACAGTATGCCCGGACTCGGTTTTCAGGCGCAGCGGCACTCCGGCATACGCATAAAGCCCTCCCCTTTCGAGATAAGGACATTGTCGAAACCTCCAGTCTTCCATAAGATTGGGTAAGAGGAAAACATCCTAGGAAAAAAGCTTAGCAAAAAATCGGATACAGAGAGGGTAGAGAATATAACATACACCGGGAGGTTGCGTAACCGTATGAGCACAAAGCGTCTCCCCACGAGGCAACACGCCCAACTCCAGGCCTACGGTAGCCAACCGAATGTAAACATCGACATCCAAAATCCCAATCACTGCAAACTCCCAACCGACCGATTCCTGCGCTAACTGGGCTTTCTCTTGAAGCCCCGCCAAGAACTCATCTTCTTTCAAGATATCACGCGTATAATACCAAAGCACGGAGAGTCTAAGTCTCTCATTCTCCGCCAGGAACGCACGCAGATATTGTTCTGCGAAATCAGGGGGCTTCTCCGGAACCACAGAAGGTGCATATATATCCTCTGTATCTGGATAGTATGTTGATTTGATGTCCAGAGACCAGGGATCGATCGGGCGATCGAAGTTGTCTCGATCGAGGATCGGGCCAACGGTCTGTGGATAGGAATGTGGCCGTGAGTGGGGTTTTGATCTCAAGATTGCTCCATCCGCTTTTGGGAAGAAGGATAACTTGGAATCGACCATACTGCGCGAAGTGTACCTCACATCATCTCTCCATTAGCAGTAAATTCTCACTTTTGTTATCCAGGCCAATAACCGGTTTTCGACCCTTCGCCACTTAACACGTGACATGGGCAACGGTCCGGGGTTCGGCCAAAATACCCAAGGTGGATCTAGACCTTAATGGGCTAAATCTTAATGGGCTTCATTGGCTTCCACAATCTACTTCCAATGTACACTAGTAGACTTGAGTCGGAAAGGATGGCACCCAGGTACCAGCATGAAATTGGAATATGTACAAAAGCATTCGCAAGTCACAGACAAGAGTCCAATCGAAGCAGCGACAAGACCAAACAAGGCACAGCGCAAGCGCATAGCAAGACAAGACAAAACAGTATACCAATATGGACAATGCGGGGGATAGCGCTAGAGAATGACTCGCAGTCAAACAGAACAGGAACAAGGAGAGATGTGACAGGAAAGACACAGAGTAGGATATTTGGACAGATGCGAAGACGAGAAAGCGATATGCAGAGGAGATGCAACGCCCGAAGCCACGCAACTTTTTACAGACACCGGTAGCCGGGACGCCATGCAAGGAAGGAGAAATTGCTGGAAGAGAGAGTGGAAACAATCAAGCAGGGAGTGTGTATGAATCACAAGGTAGGGAATGGGATAGAGAATGACGTGTGCCAATGTGATGCAATGATGTTATGTTATTAAGCCAAATCACTGTTATCGGTCGGCATTGATATTCAACCAGCTCATATCCGAGTTGACATTATTGCTGCGCCCCGGCATCGGCAATTCGTCGATATCATCGGGGATCACAATGCTCGAACGGCGGCCGTTCGAGTGTCGAGGTAACTGCGGATTTGAACTAGGTAAATCGCGCGTACTGCTGTTGTAAAAGCTTGTACTGTAATTGCTGCTAGCCGGACGACCCAGCCAGCTAGTATGCGCGCCAGTCCAGTTCGTGTCGTGCGGGTCGTCGTCGCTGGTCACGCTGATCGAGTCGGCGCTGGATATCCGCGCGCTCTGTCCCTCTGGGATTGCAAGACTGCGACTCGATGAGGCGTGCTCGGTCGTTGGGCTGCCGCTGTATACACGACCCAGTGGCTTGGGCTGGTCGAGGAAACCCAAGTTCAACGGGGTCAAGTTCGACATGGGCCAGGCGCTACCACGGTAGTCGGATTTCGTATAGATGGAGCTAGTAGTGGAGCGGTCGGCAGCCATTCCAGCGAGATTTGTGGTGTTATTATCTTCAAAGTATTTGCCCCAGCCTTCATCGGTGGTGCGGTCGCTCGGTCTGTTAGCCACTTCTGAGGGGGTGGTGCTATCACGGTAGGCGTCTTCAGAATACATGCTTGATGGCGCGAGACCGCTGGACGGGATAGGTGAAAGTGGGCTACTCTTGCGAGGTGTCGCAGACAGGCCGTAGCCCGCGTTGGCGGAAGGAGGCATGAGTGACTTTTCTCCCGCATATTTGCCCGAGATGATCGCGAGCGAATCGGCCGACATCGAGGCAATGGGGACGGGACTCTTAGCCATGGGGTACGCACCACCGGCCAGGGGTTCTATGCCCTGGTCCTGGAAGCTCAATCGGTCCTTGCTGTCACCACCACGACCCTGGCCATTTCGCTCCCGCTTCGTTCGTTCGCGCTTAAGCAGCCAGAGAAGCAAGAGCAGGATGATGGCAACACCGCATACACTACCAAGGGCAGCACCAATGATGACCTTGACATCCGTGTGAGAGCCACCAGTGGCAGCGGCAGCAGCAGTGGTCGTCGAGCTGGGAGTAGCGCTAGTTGATGTTGAAGCCGACGGAGTGGCTGTGGCTGTAGGCGTCATGGTAGTTGATATAGTGGTATTTGTCTTCAGAACGTGCTGAACAGTCTTGCCCTGGAACAGTTCTGTCGAATTGACCCAACTATTCGAGGTCTGGTTGAAGATGGCGAGCGAGTTATTGCTGTTGCCACTGGAGAGAACAACCAGACCATTGCTTCCCTGGGCGAGGCCGTAATCTGACCACGTGTAGCTCGGGGCAAGAGTATCGTTGTAGGTTGGGTAACTCCCCGTATCCCGCTTCTTCGAGGAAGATCCCACTGCAACGGCAGGGCTTACGGGCTTTCCATCAGAGCTGACGAGTTCGTAATTGGTCACGGAGTTGGGAGAGGCACTCATGTCGAAAAATTCCAACACTTTGCTATCTCCTGACCCAGACAGGAGAGTGAGTGGGTTTGACGTTGAAAGAGCGGACGCAAGGCTCACGGGCGAGGTTATCCATCCTTTTGCATCACTGTAGGTGTAGACGGCTTGGCTCCCACCATCACCGCCAAACATACCAACATGAGTCGAGTTCCAGGGGAGCAGCTGGGGGCTGCTGAGAGTCGGAGCTTCCTGGTTATTGACGGAAATCTGGTCGTAGGGGGATTTTGTCGAAATCAGGAATGATTGGGCCGAGAGAGCGGTGCTGGTACCATCGCCTTGGTTACCAGCATAAACAATGATTGAAGAGGTAGACGCGACAAATGCGGCGCCATGGCCGGTGCGGGCGGTCATCGAGGTTGTTCCAGATCCCAGAGTCTGCCATTTTTGGTCCTTGAATGAAAATCGCTGGAGGCCGGAATATGTGTCGTCCAAGGTGGTGGTCCCGCCAACCACGTACAGGGCTTCATCGTCGCCCTCACTGCCCTCTATCCCACCTTTCAAGCAAACGGGATTGGAGACGGACACGCCACCGTCCAATTGGTGCCAGGTGCCATTGACCTGTAACGGGATCGAAACGAAGCCATTGGACGAGTAGGCGTAGAGAGTGCTTCCAGAAATGACCGAGCAATGGCCTTCCAATTTGATCGGGGGCTCGGGGACGGTCATGGTGAAGTTATGAAACGAACGAAAAAGAGTGATACCAGACCAACGAGAGAATGCGGGTGGCCAGCCAGCAGGGGAGAGGGGGAACGGGGCCTTTGAATTGAACCAATAACAACTGGGTAGAGAATGGGAGAGGTGTCTACCAGAGCACTATCTCATTTCGGCCGGGAATAGTCGTAGGGAAGGTGCCGGCATTCGGAGTGGGAAGTGAGTTTCGGGCGCCGTTCTGATGAGGCTGATAGTATGATTTGATGTGTGGTATGCTGATAGAAGATCCGACAGGTGTCAATCTGAAGAATGTGGTGTGTGTGGGGGGTCCAAAGTCAAATATCAGGGCGATCGCGAGTCATCCAGCTCGGGAATACCAGGGAAGCTTAGGGTCTGCCGTTGGCTGCGGAGGATGTCAAATGAAGCGATCGAAAGTCTCAGAATTGAATCGGACAAGCGATCTAGACGGTCGGGCGCCTGGAAGATGGGAGACAAGCTGCCGCAAGCGCAATCAACCGGGTAGTAGAGAACGAGGCGGGCGACAGGTCGCGGTGAAGAGGAAGCTGTATTGAGGACGAGGATGAGTATCGGAACGGCATAACGGGGGTCAATCGAAATGCTCGTAGGAACGGACTCACCGAATGAACGAGTGCACAGCACAAAGGGGAATCGATGACAACAACAAGGCCAGCAGTGTAGAGAAGGAGGGGAGGGGAGGGGGGGAGGAAGGGCAGTGGGCTGGAAGAGAGGGAGGAGAGCGAGTGAGACACTTGAGCCCCCTAACGGCACACGCAGAAGCGAGTCAGCGACTCCCGCGAGAGGTTCACCTGCAAAAGACTCTGAACTTGCTCGAGTCGGTTTAGCCTCCTTTTTGGGTCTTCCACCCCCCCTGAACGGCCCATTTCGTCATGGCCCGGTCTCTGGATGGATCTGCGACGATTCGGTCTGCTAGTGCATTTATTTTGACATTATGGTGGTATTCTATGCTATCAGAGTATTTCTACACTCTATATTATCCTATATGGTAAATAACTAACAGATGATTCTCGAAATCGATCTCCGTATGCATACTGTATACCGTATACTCCCCGTTCTCCGTAGTATTTTTTCCTGTTCCTGAACCCCCTTGTCCAGTGGGGCCCGGAACCAAACAACCAACGGCAGCCCAACTGCTCCGTCTCTCTCCCTCTTGAGCATCCATCTCATGCAAGGTTTGACCCTCCTTACGATGGGATGCACCTCAACCAAATGACACCTCCATCCACTGTTTGTCAACAAACCCTTTCTCCCCTCCTCCCCCTTTTACCCAATATCCCAGCCATCCGCGCTCCCTCGCGATCCACGGTTGGTCCGGTGGAGTGGCAAGAACCTTGGAATGAAGTCCATCACACTTGGCTCGTGCGCCGATCGCCCGTCCAGCAGAAAACCAAAGAAGAGAATTAAGTTGGAATCCCTCCCAGTTCAACTCTATGGTGTGATGACATCGTTATAGGCGGCTAATCATGGTCCTATCGTATGTGAGAGATTCGCTACTCCGTTCTCCCTGGTTCAACTAATAGATCTATAAAGTATATCCCATTATAGCAACCATGTCCTCCGTACTCCGCGGTGTAATGTATATGCCTTTCTACGTATACGACACAACTAGTCCTCCACCTAGGCGAGGCCCAGAGAATTTTCATGGAAGCAAGCCCCCGTGTTTCGCCCCAAACCCCAAAGAGGTTCGACGCCTCCACTTGGTCTCGGTTCGGGCGTTTGGGGATGGGGCCTCGTGGGCAAACGCTGCGCGGGTGGAGACGCCATTCTGGACGGACGGAGGCCTGTACGTACGAGGTACGAACGTGATACTGTAGACGCTCGAGTGGCTATGATTCTTATGAGTACGCAGTTGCGGTAGTATGATGAGCTAGTCGAATTCGTCGACATCTACGGAAGGAGATATGAATCTTACGTGGAGGGGATATCGTACCACACCTGCGTATACTACTATTGTACAATGCCTAGGTATCAAATTAGATTGCCAGGGACTATCTCAATACGAGAACCGTGAATAATCTGACGACTAGTTTTACAAACATTCACGCCTGGTTATTTTAAGATGCCGAGAGTCCCCTCGCACAGTCCCCAGAAACCTGTCCCTGGCCTATGAATGTGCTCCGTTGGATTCCGTGCCAACTTCGACTTGCATCTACCGTACCCCGGAAGAGCCGGTCGCACAATCAACGAGCACCGTAGATATCATATTGGGTTGCACTACTATCAGCTTACGAATCTTGAAGACTGGCTTACCCCCAATGAATATCCTCCGAATCAAGTCTGAAATCAGGTAATAAGCTGGTCCGTCCACGGCAGTGGTAACATGGAAGACCCCGTCGCGTTTGGAAGCACCGCGGAGCAGTGGGAAATTACTCTGGTATATAACATAATACACGGGAATAAGCCAACGAATCCTGGCCCGAATCCAGATCCAAATCCAGACATTGATATGGAACACGAACGCTCCCCCTTCCCCCCGCTCTTCAACCCTGTGTCTGCTTCCACTGGTGGGCCCGTTGGAGCAGCCGAGACAGGTTCGCGGCGGACTTGTCGTCGGCCGGGAACACGTAGTCCATGTACTCCTCGTACCGGTCGTCCTCCAACTTGCGGCGCTTCTTGACCCGCCGCGGCATCTGCTTCTCGATCTTGTCGATATCCTCGGGAGATCCGTGCGTGTTCTCGAATGACCGCCAGGCATTGAGGAGTTCCACTCGCTGTGTTCCAAAAAGGTTAGTCGGAATCCAAACGAATCATAGCGCGCGGATGACAGAGAATGAGAAAGAAAGGAAAAATACAATCCACATACCTCTTCTTTGAGATCCTTGTCCTTGAACACCTTGTGCGCCCGCTCGAACACTGCCCGTGCCCGACGCTTCGCTTCCTCGCTGACCGGACGGGCTTCTTCGTCCTCTTCCTCTTCGTCCTCGTCCTCGGGTACGTTGATCTCGAACCGGGCGTAGTTGATCCACACCTTGACATGATCCGTCTTGGAGAGGAGGCGCTCGTATAACGCGCGAACTCGGTCATATTCACCCTCGTACTCTTCAAAGTCAATGTAGGACTTCCACACAAGCTCGGGCATGTCGAGCGTCGGTTGATCGATACCGAGTTCGAAGAGCGCCCGCGCCCGCTCCAAATCATCCAGCCCGCGTTCAAGTTCCGCGTACTGAATCCAGGCCTGGCTGTTGGAGGAATTCCACTCGATCTGCTTCTCGTACAGCGTGCGACACCGCACAAATTCGAACAATTGTCGCTCAAGGTCGATGTAGCCGCGGAAGAGCTTATCCTTCGGACACATACCGATAGCCTGGCCGAGCGTCTTGCGCGCAGTCTGCAGCTCCATCTGCCGAATCTCAAATTGCGCCTTCATGAGCCACACCTTGGCAAAGGTGAATTTCTTGTGCGGAATCAGCTTAATACATTCTTGGTAGATCTGTCGTGCCCGGTCCATGTCCTTGGCTTCCATCTCTTCCCACACCGCGTAGAAAATCCAGAGATAAATGTATCGGCGCCAGTGTCGCTTTTCCTGTGATGGTGGAATCTGTGCAATGGCTCGCTCGTAAATATCCCGTACACGCTCTGGGTCGCCGGCGGTTTCTTCGAGTCGTGCAAAGTCGAACCAGATATCGTAGTTGCGGGGGTTCTCCCTGAGCTGCTCTTCATATTGAACACGGCGTTTGGAGAGAATGACATCCTCCACGCCTTCCCGATCACCGAATTGCTTTTCAAATGTGGTATAAGCCTTGTGTAGGGTCATCGACTTGGACCGAGGGAGGCGATCGAGGGCGTATTTGTAAATTGCACGTGCGCGCTCATATTCTTTGAGCTTGGCCTCGAACTTGGCATAAGCCACGAAGAGCTTCTCATCCATAAAGTCCTCGCCCAGCGTCTCGATGGCCAATCCGTAGACTTCGCGGACCAGATCGCTTGTGCCAAGCTCCTCCTCAAACCGAGCCCACTTGATCCAATTCTTCGGCTCGGGATGAACGATGGTGAAGCGCTGGAAGATTGCGCGCGCTCGCTCAAACTCATTGTACCGCCTCTCCAACTTGATGTATGCGCTCCATGCAGCTTCATCTGGCTCCCATGACATCCATCGCTCAAAGACCTGACGAGTACCGGGAATGTTGCCCAGCGTCTCTTCCATGTACACGTACTTGTACCAAAGCTTGTCCACCCGCGGTAGGATCGTCACGGCACGGTCGAGAAGGTTGCGGGCGTGATTGATGTTGCGGGTCTTCATCTCGGCTTCGATATAACGAATCCATAGCACGACGGAGGTCGAGTCCACGTCCAGAGCGCGCTCAAAGATCGAGCGCGCCCGGCGGAATTCCTTCTGTTCCAACTCCCAAGCGGCATAGCGCATCCAGTTGTTCATGTTAATGCGGTTCCGTCGCACATAGTCTTCGAATTCCTTGCGCTTTCGACCTTGAAATTCGTGCAATTCCTCGAGATCCGCGAACCGCTGGGTCGGAGCCTGAAGACCAGGCTCCTGGCGATCAACAGCCTCACGCAGCAGTTGCTCTGCGGAGATCTGAATTGGCGCCGGGGCCTTATTCTTGACCCGGGGAGGGCCTCGTGATGCCTCCATGGTGAAGGTAGTTTCGAAGTGTTAGGATTTCAAAGTTGGTGTAGAAATGAGCCGTAATTTGGATTCCGAGTCGGAGAGGTTTAGCTGGAATTTGCTTCCGAGCTGAGGCGAGGTGGAAAAGTGAGGTTAGGACAAATGGAACTCTAGACTGGAGTATTGTAGGAAGCTCCTAGTCACAAAAAGCTCAAAATGGCCCCTCCCAGCCGAACTGAGTGATGTCAATGCTGTGGCTGCTATTATCACAAGTCGCCGATGAAATCGACGGGCCTGCGCATGTGGTCCAACTCGCCACCCGCAAACTTTCAAGCTCCCTACTGACTAAGCGCAGCTCTTCCGCCGCAGATTCAAGGTCGTTGCTTGATTTATTATCTCAACTTGCATCTTGCTCGGTAGCGTTTTTGAAACACTTGACTACCTCTCTCAGTGTTGACTCAATAGATCTGTCCGACTGCCACCATGTCAGCCGCCGACGAGCTGCTGCGCGACTTTGAGGACGATGAAGAATTCCAGGATGAGGAGCAGATGGAACAAGACGACCTTGTGGAGGAACAAGCTCAAGAAGAAGGCGCAAAGCCGTCGAACGAGTTCGATCTCTCTATCGAAACCGCCGACGAACTGACCCGGCTACATAAAGTCCTACGCGATCATTATTCCATTCGATTCCCGGAACTAGAAACCCTCGTTACAAACTCGATCAAGTATGCGAAAACCGTTGCCATCCTCAAAAATGGACCTCTCGATGATATCAAAGCCATTTCGAACTCGGCAGATAATATTGCGGGCGAGCCACTCAAATCTGTGTTGGACGGACCTACGCTTATGGTCGTTGCTGTGGAGGGCACCACAACTCGCGGCCGGGAGATGACCGAGTCTGAGCTCAAAGTCGTCCTCGATACCTGCGAGAGGATTCTAAAGCTTGACCGCGAGCGCACTGCCCTCACGGAGAGTATTCGATCTCGGGTGAACTCGATTGCCCCGAACTTGGCCGCACTCATCGGTGCCCATACCGCTGCGCAGTTCCTCAATCAGACTGGTGGTTTGCGCGAACTAGCCAAGATTCCCGCTTGTAATTTGGGCGCACAGGGCTCGCGGAGGCAAGAGGGTCTTGGTTTTGCCACCAACATCGGCATCCGCTCACAGGGCTTCTTGTACGATTCTCCGCTTATCCAGGAGGTGCCGAATGACCTGAAGAAGCAAGCTATTCGGATTGTCGCTGCTAAAATGGTTCTGGCCACCCGTGCGGATATTGCCAACTACAATAAGGACGGTTCGCTGGGTGAGGAACTCAAAGAGCAATGTTTCAAGCGGTTAGAGAAATTGACGGAGCCTGCGCCAAACTCAGGAGTCAAGGCTCTTCCTGCGCCGGATGACAAGCCCTCCCGAAAGCGAGGTGGACGACGTGCACGCAAGGCCAAGGAGGCTGTCGCTATGACTGAGCTACGGAAGGCCCAAAATCGCGTTGCGTTCGGCAAGGAGGAGGCAGAAGTTGGCTACGGCACTGGTGAAGGCACCGTGGGTCTGGGTATGCTCGGCCAACAAAGCGACGGCCGGATTCGCGCCACACAAATCGACCAACGTACTCGCGCCAAACTCAGCAAGAACAACAAGGGCTGGGGAGCTGCCACCCCGGTCGGTGGCACCGCGTCATCCCTGCGTGGCTTCGGTCAAGGCGGCCCCTCTGGCACCGCGAGTGTACTACAGTCCAAGGGTCTCCGCTCATCAGGTGTCGGATCCTTGTCGGCCACCGCGGGTACCGCTAGTACAATTGCTTTCACCCCCGTCCAAGGCCTGGAATTGGTTGACCCCAAGGTGCAGGCTGAGATGAATCGCAAGCGCAAAGCCGATGAAGACCGCTGGTTCAATTCTGGAACGTTCACCCAGGTCGGTGGTGGCCAAACCAGCGTCAACACTCAAAAGGATCGTGACGGCTTCAAAGTGCCAGCTCTTCCGCCCAAGAAGAAGGTTGACACCGGGAATGGCAAGATGGGTCCACCTCCCAAGCCATAAGGCGCGTGCCATCACCCATTATTACGATTTTTCTTTGCTATTCATTTGCGGGTCTGGGCATATATTTATTCTGGGCGTTCAAAAGGCAGTGACGATCAGGGGCGAGCAGGTTGAGGCAGATTTCGCTGCCATACTACATCGAGCACGTGATACCATTTCTTGTACAGTAGGTCAGCCAGAGAGGACCAATCAAACGATATTTGAAAGTAACGGTAACCACATCTCTTCGTCTATCCGAGGGTCGGATTGCTCATAGAAGCCATAGCTTACCCATCAATGTAGCATTTGGTCGTCCAAGATCGACCAGATGAGTTCCCCTGATCCACGCCCCGGGCACCGCGCCACCATTTCAATTTAGGGTTTACACGCTATGTATCATACACGTGGAGAACCACGTCAACGGAAGTCCATTTCGTTCATTTAAGAACAGATACAATGACTTCTTCGGAAAATCTCTCGGAAAACAAATCTCCCCTCGAAGCCATTGGGTGTACGGCAATTTCCAATGAATACCCGGAGATAAATTAGGTTTCTTCGGTTTTTTCTCGATTTTTTTTCGATGACCCAAACTTCGGGAGGCCGCGGTGGCACCCGGTCCATATGGCGTGCTCCAGCCGTACCTTTTGCTCAGCGGTTCTTTCGCAATCTCAAGGAATGTGGTACAAAGAGGAGAGACCGTGGTAGCGGTGAGCACGAATTTCGCTGTCACTATTCATAATTAAAAGAAGCTGTTGTCCTGTGGCGAGCTTTTCTTCCCGAGTTTTTTTGTCCTTTGTTCATACATACCTCGCATTGGTTTCTCTACCTGACGTGGAGCGGTATTTTGTGTCATATATTGCATACTTTTAATTCGCGCCACCACGTACAAATTTTGCAATTGTCTATTACAGACCACTCAGAGATCGATCATCCTCTGTCAGCCTTTGAAGATGACTGTCGAGGCAGTTACGCCGGCCCCAAAGGCATCCGCCAACTTCGGCCCCATCAAGGGCCAATTAAAAAAGAAAAGGGTTTTCAAGCACCTTCGATCTCATTCACAAATCCCAACGGACTTTGACGACCTCAAATTTAATGCTGCAGCGTCCCTCCAACTGCAATGGGGACAGGAAGAAGACCAAACAGATACACGCCTCATTGCCTCTCCATATAACGACGTCCCCCACCTCCTGGATCTGGAGACTCTGGACACCCAAAGTCGTCTCCTAGCGTTAGCACTGTCATTTTTCAAGTCAATCCGTGACGACTATGCGACTGGGGACTATCTGGAGTCATTCAACTGGAACGAGGTCTTCGACCTTGTAAAAGGTTTCGTGGAGGCAGAGAGTCACACCTGGACAAGACAGTCCTTTTACGTGGTATCCTTCCGTTCCAGACTCAAGCCTGGCGTGGACCAAGACCATTTACATGCGCTGGACGCGTATTCACATCAAGAAGCCATTGCTAGCGGAGGCTTGTTGAAGTACTGGTTCGGCACGAAGAACGAGAAAGAGCAAAATCTGGCAACTTGTATGCATTCCCGGCTTGGTGGATTAGAGTTTCGTGATTGAAAGATGCTAACTCTGAATTAGGCATCTGGCGCACACGAGAGGATGCCAGGCTTGGCGGCCGGGGACCTTGGCATGCGAAGGCAAGAGCTGCGGCGAGGGAGTTGTATGAATCGATTGTCTTCTCAACGATGGAGTTGGTGATTGAGGATGGTGTCAAATCTTGGCATATCGGTGAGTGGAACGATGAACATGCATGAATATAGTCTTGGGTCCCCTTGTTATGCATTTGTTAGCGATTGAACCGTTTTCAAGAGATTTAGTTGAAATACATAAACGTCATTATCAGCGTGCGGCCGAATATATACTGGTCTTCCCAATCTACCGACCTTTGAAATCAATGCTTCATTAATCTGATTAGCATTTCAGATTATCGAGAAATTGGGAGCAATAGGCCCTCATTTGCAGATTCTAATAGTGAAGATTGCGCCCTCGGACGAAATCATGAGAGCCAACGGTCTTCGAGGTTTGCGTTCACTCCTAGAACGCGCATCGCTTCAATGGGGACCGAGACCTACTCTCAAGGCATGCCGTCCAAGTGGGCAACTTTGCAAGCTTAAAATCTAATCTACTTTCATCCTATCGGCGTAGAGCACTGATTTCGCAATGGATGTTTTCTTGGGTTAGTTTACCACGACTCAAATCTCGGTTTACAGATGTCAAAGAGCTTAATCCAACTTCACCTGGAAGAGCGACATTCTCTTCATCCTATCTCTTCACTTCACATTCTCAACATCAATATGGGATCCTACTTCTCTTCCCATGTGGGCTAGGTTACTTGAATCTCGCCCCACAAAATGCCTTCTACATAGCTAGAACTACGATCTCAAGCATCACACTCCATAATGGTCACGGTGTCATGTGTGAACAACTCGTTGCATACAAGGGATAATCTTCCCTTTATAAAAGGACAGGGAGTTAGAATCTCCGCAGGTGGACCTACTCTATTCCCCACTCCCCCCGAAAGGGTATATATTTTCCGCGGGGGAGGCGGGGAACATGACTACTTTCACCTCATCCGCCCATTCATCGTGGCATAATGCAGTCATCAGATGTTCCATGAACTTGATTAGTCCCACGAGTAATGTCCAACTTCTTGGACATGCGGGGCAGAGCTGACAATCGTGTTGGTATGGTTGGATATTCTTCCAGATTGGTCGTGCTTTACCCCGCCGTCGTGGAGACCTGATCGCCGACGAGTTATAAATTTCGAGTCTACATGTTGACTGCCGCATGTCCTGCCTGATTTATTATATATTCTTTCGGTATTTTCCTGACACCATATCCCAAGATACCTGTCGGAAATGGTTGCTCTCATCGCAGACCAGCTCGTCGTCAACGACGGTCCTTTGGACTCAGAGAATGCTGCCCTTTTGCGCCCATCCGATCCTTCACTCCCACTAGAAGAACTGCGGGAGAGATATGATAAAGACGGATACCTCTTCCTCAAACAGGTTCTTCCTCGCGAGGATGTCCTCTCTGCCCGCCAGTCATATTTCTCCTCTCTCGAGTCAACCGGTGTTCTGAAGCCAGGCACTAAGCCTGTCGAGGGTGTTTTTGACCCAGCTAAGTCCCACGAGGACTACCCTGGCATCGGGGCAGGACAAAGTGCTGGCAATGGAAGGCCAGGTGGAGATAGTGCAGCAGCCTTTGTCGACCTCGCCTTGGACGCCCATTATCAAGACTGGTATGCCGAAAAGTTCTGCAATCACCCAGCGCTGTATGAGTTCGTCGCCAGGTTCACAGACTGGGGCAAGGACACGCTCAGTCTACGCCGAACACTGTTGAGGAACAACCTCCCGGGGTCCAAACCCATTGGTGTACACTATGACCAGATTTTCCTGCGCTATGGTGACCCAACTAGTGTTACTGCCTGGGTCCCCATGGGAGACATTAAGCTTAACGGTGGAGGATTAATATATCTGGAAAATGGTATGTTCTGCCTTTGCACCTGGCATTTACCGACTATTACTAAGTTATGCGCCACAGGCGACCGCATCGGAGTCGAGATGGAAGAAGCATTCTTCGTCAAAGCCAAGCAATCAGGTTTGACAGATGAGGAGGCACGCTCGGCTTTTAACTCGAATATGATGGCAACCGGCCTCCTGTCAGAAACCCCGGCTAAATTTGCCCGCGAACATGGCCGGCGCTGGCTAGTCTCGGCCTATGAGGCAGGCGATGTTGTCCTGCACAAGCCTCACATGGTATGTATTCTAAGACAATTATTTGGTCGGAAGTATGCTAATCGGTCGGTGTTCTAGATTCATGCGTCCGCTATCAATAATGATCCTGATAATGTGATTCGTCTGGCGACCGATCTTCGTTTCTGTGATTCTTCAAAGCCATTTGACAAGGTACAGTCGCTCAATTTGTGCTGCCTTTATTGTGTGTTTGATGAGATACTAACTTGAATATAGAGATGGATGAATCACTACCGCTTCAATGACGGTGTATAGGCATGATTATTCCATGGCTCGAAGAATCAAGATTATACATGTTACTTTTATAATCTCTGTACTGCGGACATTGAAGGACACTGATCCGTAGTGAGATGCAATACCTGCCGATGGACTATTCGGAGGACGATATGAGGCAAATTGGCTCGTTCTTTATTCTATCGCTTCCAAGGATTGACACTGTCAAGTTTGCATCAGCAATACTGGCAGAAGTCTACATCATTCTTAGTCTATTTGAGCAATAGTTATAGTGACAAAAAATCCCTTGGCGAGTCTCACGCCTTATCATTATGATCTAACAAGGGCCATTGTTGCCAAGGACCTTGTTTACCTTCTGGAATGTTGAACCGTCATTCCCAGGGATCCGCCCTACACACGACATCCCTAGATCGAGCCTAAGAACCCCATTCAGACCAATCAACCTGAGAAGATGCTGTAGCAACAAGAAGATTATGTGGCTTTCTTGGTGCAGCTAATCCAGATCATTGGAGCGTCTTAAACCCCAACGGGTTGGATTATAGCGAAATTATCCGAACAGTGGCATCCGAGCGTAGCAGGCGCCCATTCCAGACGAGGGCATCAAATTGTTCCACTCATTCCAGGATCAGGTATATGAATCACTTGTGGATCCTGATCTTCGTCGCGTGTGTCGGATCCTACTTGTGATTCCTTGTACCTCCCTCCTCGTCCCACCTCCAGACAATCTATCAAGCCAACACCCAAGTTCTTCAAGCCTGGATTCACAGATACTATACAACATGTCGCCATCAACACCTAAATATTCCTGGACCGTGCTCGGGGCCCTGGCACTTCTGTCCGTCTCTACTGTTTACGCGCAACCAATCCGGGAATCAACGACGCAAGATCAAGCCCAGCCTATGCCTGCTGTGCTTCCACGCGATCCGGTCCGTCATGTCCTTGATGAACATTGTTCAAAGCCCATGCTAACTCTAAGCTACAGAGACTTATCCCCGATACCGAACATTACCTATCCGAAGTTTTTGACCTACTCGGTGTCTCTGTGCCAACCACCACAACTTCAATTCCGACAGAAACACCTACCGAGACAACTGTAGAAACACCTTCCTCCACTGGCGTCCACGGCCCCTTTGTCAAAGCTGAGCACGGAGTACCGACAAACCTCGACGCGACACCGGTCATCAGTAGCGACGGCGTTATGTACTCGTCTACTGTCAAACACGAATCCGGTGAGCCAGTCGCAAACATTGACATTGGACCTGGCTGGCACGGGGGAAAGAAGTTGTCCGCTTCCGACCTGCCGTTTATCTTTGCTGCTGTAGAGACGGAGCTTGCGTCTCAATGGCGGAATGTGATTGATAGCGCTGATGAGCTTGGACTGCACGAAACGTTTCCGCTTTGAGTTGGGGGAAGGAAACAAGGAAAGATGACCTGATGTGATTTTTTATGAGATGTACTTTTATAGCCTAGCCGTATTATGGAAAGAACTGATTGCCTGAAAATGTGTTTGCAAGGAAAAGTAGAAGTATATATCTGATGTGACTGGTGATTGGTTCCATTGACTTGGTATTAGAATTGCTTGAATGTGCTGCTGGTGCCGAAGACATCAAGGGTTCTGTAAGGTATACATCCATGCAGCATCACCCTGGGGAAAGGATGCACCGTGTCAAAGTCCCGTGGAGGAACTAATGAATGCTGCTAGTGGCTATTCGTCACCCCTAGTCATTTCGCCTTGTGCAATTCCTCTTTCTACGTAACATGTGGCCGCCCACTACGAGGCACGACAGGCCTTTAGAGTTCTACATGGGATAGGAATCATCAACAATATTTCTTTCTATAGGCTTCCACCAAATGCACACTGTATTCCCTAGAGCCGTAAATCTAGATGGCATCTCCACCACGGTGATACTTGATCGCGGACCCGTCCTTCGGTCTACGCCATCTTAACTCCGATGGACAGGATTTCGTCATTCTTGTGCCCGCCGTTGTTAGTCGCGCGGACATCGAACACCATAACTCCGTAGACCAAGCTTGGCACGGATGTATCGAATTCCCGAGAGATGAGATGCATGCACGGTACTGCTGGCGGAAATTCTGCAAAGGCCGGGGTGAAGATGCTTATTTCCTGGTTGGTGGGGCCGTGGCCCCATAAATTGCAGTAGCGAATGCGGCACTGAGGGAACGAGCCCAAGTATAAAAAGGCCCGCCCGCCACAAAAGTCTATCCTTCCATGACTTAACTGGACAACTGAAGGCCTTCCGCTTCATTCTGATTATCCTATTGTCCTTTTAGCCATACGTTCAGCTTTAACATCTCAACTGCGACCCACAGGATGCCTACTCTCGTCGGAAAAGAGGTCGGCCCTACCGGCTATGGCACTATGCGTACGAGTTTTCTTCTAGCTTCCAATGGCTCGTTAAAGACACGAAAGATACTGACTTCGGTCCAGGAATGACCTGGCAGGCCCAGCTGCCAAGCCAGGAAGTCTGCTTTGAGACTCTCAACAAGTCCCTGGAGCTCGGAGCCAACTTCTGGAACGGTGGTGAGCTGTATGGCACACCAGAGTACAACTCCTTGCACCTGCTGAACAAGTATTTCACCCAATACCCCGAGAATGCAGACAAGGTCGTTCTCAGCATCAAGGGTGGCTTGAAGCCCGGCCAGTTGACTCCGGATGGCTCGGAAGCGAATATCCGTCGCAGCGTTGACGAGAGTCTGCGCTTGTTGGATGGGAAGAAGAAGCTTGACATTTTCGAGCTTGCCCGACAGGATTCTGCTTTCCCCGTTGAGCACACTATGGAGGTGCTTGCGCAGTACGTGAAGGAGGGCAAGATTGGTGGCATTGGTTTGAGTGAAGTGGATGCGGCGACCATCCGGAGAGCGTACGTCGCAGTGAAACGATATATTGATTGAAATTTGTATACTAACTACGCGTCTAGACACAAGGTTCATCCCATTGCCGCCGTCGAGGTAGAGCTGTCGCTCTGGTCCACCGAAATCCTGGAGAATGAAATTGCAAAGACCTGTGCTGAGCTTAATATTCCCGTCGTTGCTTACTCGCCTCTTGGCCGCGGTGTCTTGACGGGTGCGGTGACCTCACTGGAGGATATTCCCGAGGGTGACATCCGTCGACACATGTCGCGCTTCCAAGAGGAGAACTTTCAGCAAAACCTGAAGCTCATCAACGAGGTCAACAGCCTGGCGTCCCGCAAGAACGTTGCTCCTTCACAGATTGCCCTGGCCTGGATTCGCACCCTCAGCAACAAGCCCGGCATGCCCACTATTATCCCGATTCCCGGCGGTACGACTGTGGACAAAGTGGTTCAGAACATGACCGGAGTCGACAAGCTCACGGACGAGGAGATGGCTGAAATTGATGCCATCTTGAAGCAGCACACGGTCGCTGGACCGCGGTATTAAGAGGGCAGGACCTATTTCGATAGATACTTTGGAGTTTGTTAGCGAGACAACTCTAGCGATGAAAATAATAGCAATTGATGGCATGATATGAAAGGGTATTGCATATATCAGATCAAGTGTAGAAGAGTCAACATGCAATCTCACAATGCAGAACCCGAGAGAAATGCACGGAGATTGTCTGAATTGCAGAATTCTTCTTTGCGTTCATCATGCAAGGAGGGTAGGTCGTGGGATAAAGAGGAGATCGGGGCAGGAAAATAGCTTACCATAGTAATATGATGACAAGTTAGCATGCTATAAGTTACACAAGATGAGCGAGTTAGTCAAATCCCCTCCAATTTTGGAGGCATTGAGGGTTTGTGGGGGAGTTGTAAAAAAGAAAGAGGGAAAAGCAAAAGGAAAGCCAACACAAGCTCAGGGCACCTGTCACGTGATGCTTCGCGCCGACCCTCGCCGTGCGCCAGCAACCTGCGCGAAACGTCTCCTTTCAATTGTTATAGCGATTGCCAAACTCGTCCCAAGTTGGGTCACTTGGCTATATTTTGACACTTCCTGTCACCATGGCATCCCGTGAAGCTTCCCCCCTGTCCTCCATCGGCACCGCCGACGACTCAGATCGCGACTCCGTTAAGCACGAGAGCCGCGCTCAATCGCCGTCCAATTCCAATATGCCACCATCAAAGCGCCGTCGTACAGGGGTAGCTTCTTGGGACCGCCACACTCCCATGTCCTCTCTTCAAGATGAAGTCCCGCCTCCACCTTCGCCAACAGCTTCAATCTCCTCCGATACCTCCGGCGAAATCCCCAACTCCCCTCTCCTCTTCGGTGCTGCGCTGGGCGGCAACACCCAAGAGGATGATTATAGCGGCCAGAGCGGTGATCAAGTAACCGTGTGTTTGTGGGATGGATGCACGGCAGGTGACCTCGGCAATATGGATGGCTTGGTGCAACATATCCACAACGAGCATATCGGGACCCGGCAGAAGCGGTACTCGTGCGAGTGGATAGATTGCTCCCGTAAAGGTCAAACACATGCCAGCGCATACGCCTTACGTGCGCATATGAGGAGCCATACTCGAGAGAAACCCTTTTACTGCACCCTCCCCGGTACGTCACCAGGAACCTATCTTCCTCGCGCCTCTCTCTTGGACTCCTTGCCACCGACCTCGTTTTGTTTCGTCTTGTATTGCCTTGCTAACGTGCCTTCAACAGAGTGTGATCGTAATTTCACCCGCTCGGACGCCCTCACAAAGCATATGCGCTCTGTTCACGAACTCGACAATCTGCGGCCTACCGAGGTCAAGGCTGCGGCCGTTGGTAGCGTGACGGGTACACCGGTGTCGAAGCTCCAACGCATCCGCCTCAAGCTCTCACAGCCAGCAAAAGAGCCCGGTAGCGAGGCAGATCACCCCAACGAGCCTATCTTGACCACCATCTCCGCACACGATGACTCAGAAGACACGAGCATGCCGGAATTCGGTCCAGAGCTCGGCTTCGACGACCGCGAACTCGCCATGGCCCCGCGCGACCTGTACCGCCTCCTTCGACGTCAGATATTCTGGGCAGAGAAAGAGACCGCACAGCTCAAATCCGAATGGGATGAGCTTCGACCAAAGCGCGAGCAATCCTGGCTGGAGAAGGAAGCCATCTTCGACGATGTGATCGATGCCGAGCTACGGCTCTTCAGCGCCATCGTTGGTGATATCGACGCTCCTCCAGCGGTACCTGGCAACCTGGCTACTAGTTTGGAAAAGCTGCAGCACCAGCAATTGCACTTCAAGCAACAGCAGGAGCAATTACAGGCCAAGTCCGCCGAGGTTGCTGAGGGTGAGGGTGAGGGTGAGGTCGATGCCGCCGCTTAACTTCGCTGGCTCTGACTTATTCCATCTGTGACATTTATATTCCTTTTTGTCTTTTTTTTGGCGTGTTTGGCGTTGTGATAACCTTGGATATCTGTTTCTGTTTGAAAAGGGAGTGCGAAGGGGAAGCGGGACGAACACCTGTACGACTATATCATCTATTTTCTCTCCATATACTTTCGGGGAATAACCCTTATTTTTGAAGCATTGAATCGCGGACTCTTCATAGTTCAGCTTTTACCTCTTTCGAATTCAAGGCCAACGTCAATATGGTCAAGTCTATTCGTCCCTTCCAAGTGAAATGTATTCTTAGTCTAAGTCAGCCGGGAGGATGGCCGGTGCTCAAAATCGCCAATACCTTCCAGGACTATATCCACATGATCGTCTAGGCGCATGGGACGCCCTGGTTTCCGGTGTACAAGGCGTTCTACATCCTGTGTGGTTTCTGTGACATGGCATGGATCTTACCTGGTCTGCCGCAAGGACCGGCCAACGCCGAGTTCTCAAGCGGCTATGCCTTGGCCTGCCCCCAGAGGCTATCGAGGCAGCGAGACAGCGCTGACTACCCCACGGTAGACCAGTCCCAACGACATAGTCTATGTCGGCACCATCGATCGCTTCTACAGATGCCCCTCGTGAGAGAATGATAAAAAGCAGATTCCGAGTGGCCGATTAAAGCCGCACCAGTTACGACCTTCGGGGAAACTAGAAAGAGTTGATAGTTCAAGCCGAGACCCATCAGCAAGGCTCTAGCCAGTCTCAATTCGATTCAATCTAACGGGGAAGTGAAGAAATGTAAGACAAGACTAGTACTCCCGACTAGTTGAATGATCTTGTGAAGCAACAAATAAACGCCATGATGGCCACTCCATAGGATACATGTGCTCAAGAACGAAAACAAAATTAACAACAAGAACGAGAACGGCCGCGGCCAATATCGCAAAAAAAACGGGACCGGGGCCATGCGTGAAAATGTGAGGAGCTTCGAAGGAAAACGAAATGAGAACAAAAGAGAATCCGAGAGCAAATCCAATTGTACCCCGTTTCGGCAAGATCTCAGTAGAGACCGGCGTCGCGGGTCCAAGGTGATCTACCTGCACGAAGTAGGATAAAACACAACTCCTAGGGAATTCAGTAAAGAGCACCAAACACGCCATGCAAACATCGTCTTGACATTTGAATCATATTCGAGTAAGTCAGATCGGGATTCTCCTATTTCATGCTGTGTGAGCAGTTTTGATTGCGTTGAATCGCAATCCATTCCGACGCCTTCGCAATGCCATGCAACTCATCGCGTCCATATGTACTGTACTTTTTAATCAAAAAGAAAGGCCAATGACATGTCATCTGGTTGATCAACACCGGCCTAGCTGGGAGGAATAGGGAGGTGGAGTGGGAGGGGAGGAAATCCGGTGGCTCAGGTGTGCTAGACGTCGAGGACTGTGGGCCCCGGCCAGCAATGCTCGATACGGCATCAGAGAATCCACGAGAGAACAAGGACCAGCCCGACTCAAGTATCGAGCGGCACAATCCCTCAGGGGTCATGAACCGTTCGGTTTCTTTTCACTGTCGGCCTTGCTGGCTTCCATGACCTTGTCAAACATCTGCTGGAGTTTGGATCCGCTGGCCTCCTTGTTGGGCCAATAGTTGGAGGAAACATAATCCCTGAATTTCATGTCAACAAGTTGCAAAAGAAACACCGAATGGAATCAAATACTTACCACAGACGTCTCTCAAGGGAAGGCATAGACTGTTCACCTTCCAGCGTGTTCCGAATGAATTTCCCAATCTTCACAATCGTGTTGCGTAGCTTGAGAGCCCGCTCATGCTTGTTGGGATAGTTCTTCGCTGTAATCATGGTGACCTGCTTAAGGTTCGGTACGATAGGCCGGAAGAACGCCTTAGCCATGTCCTCCTTGCTTGAGCTGCCATTCTCGTGACTCTTGCGACGACGAGCCTCATCGTGGGCTGCGTCAGAGGTACGGTGGCGAGGACGGTCACCATCCTGTCCTAACCTGGGGCGGTCATGGCTTGGAGTATGGTGACGGTCACCGGAATCACGGCTGCCATGCGTGAAGGAACGAGGTCGTGAGCGGTCAGGCTCACGATGACCCTTGCGAGCAGATGGAGCCGGAGATGCAGAAACGCTGCCACTACCAACGCGCGAGTTGCGCTTATTGTTCCGGTGATGGTTTTCAACGGCTCGTTTCGCGTTAATGTTGCTACCGTTGCTGTGCTTATTCCTCATAACGGAGAGCAAATATTCCGCGCGACGAACAAGATGAACAGCTCCCGGGGACTTTGTAGTCTTTTCTTCCCCTTGAGCACGCTGAGTCTTCCTTTCCACCCGGTGTTCCTCTAGGAAGAACTTATCACCCAGGCCTAGATCAACATCGTCTCGGATCTGTGCCCAAGCGCCAAATCCATGGCGTGCGATGCCGACTAAAAGCATTCCATCCTCGCGAGCGCCCCACGGGCAGCTGTAATCGGCCAATTTGGTGGCTTCGGGAAGACGGAAGGTCTTGAAGTCTGGGAGGGAGGTTGTAATCTTCCGCACGAGACGCATGTCGGGCGGCCGATCGACGATGGTCCAAGCATTGAGGCGCTTAACACCATGATGGTCAAAGAGTACAGCCTTCTGTTCTTTCTTCGTCAAGTTTTTGCCGGACTGCTTGATCGCCTCCATTTGAGCCAGGTTTTCCTGGACAAGTGAGGCAGCCTTGTCCGTGATTTCACGGAGTGCCGCATAGACGGTTTCTCGATCACGGTTTTGCAGCCGAGCATCCTCGACAATGAGCTCTTCACAATCTGCCCAATCACCGTAACGTAGGAAGGCCCGCGAAAGAGAGCGGTATTCCTTCTCTTCCAGTGGACGTTTCGGATCCAGGGAGCTGCTATCTTCCTCATCGTCTTCAATCGCGACCTGTGCCCTCGCCTGGCGCTTGGCCTGGCGCTCTCCACGAGTCTCTTTCGACTCAGTGGGCGCGTGACGCTTTCGTGGCCTGTTCTCCTCAATAACCTCCGCTAAATACTTCTCGTCGGCCTTGCGCTTCTCTTCCGCCTTAATCTCTTCCAGCTGCTCTTGAGGGATAATGTCATCCCATGTGAGATCATCGACCTTGATGTCGACAAAATCAAAAGCTTTCAAAAATTCTTCACCACCGTCTGCCTGGATCGACTCCTCCTGCTCGGTGTGATGCAGTTCTGCATTGGCGAGAACAGAGTCAATATCAAGCTGTTCAAGCTTTTTCTGGTTATCTGTTTGCTCGAACATCTTCTGGCCACGACGTTTAAGGATGCGGGAGATATCTTCGGTGGAGTTGGGTTCGTTGACCACACGAGCCATCTTGTTCTGCATCTCACTGGCTTCCTTGTCAGTCACGCCACGCTGAATTGTGATGAATTCCAACATCAGCTTGTTCCGGGCTCTTTCGATGACTTCTTCCTCAATAGTATCCTTGGATACAAGGCGGTAGACGCTGACAGGTTTGGTTTGTCCAATTCGATGAGCTCGCGCCATGGCTTGCAAATCGGCTTGAGGGTTCCAATCGGAATCAAAGAGAACGACCGTATCAGCAGTCATCAGGTTGATTCCAAGACCACCCGCTCTTGTAGAGAGAAGAAAGGCAAAATCTGTGCTCTCTGGGGCATTGTAGTGTTCAATGGCCAGGCGGCGAGCAGCCGAAGGGATGGTACCATCAAGGCGCTGATATTTGTAGCCACGATATTCCATGTATTCACTAAGAATGTTGAGCATGCCAACCATCTGACAGAAGATCAGAACGCGATGACCGTCGGTCTTCAACTTGCGGAGCAGTTGGTCCAACAACATCATCTTGCCACTGCTAGTAATCATGGCACGCAGAATGTCCTCTCGCCGAGTGCTACCTTCCAAGATTCTCGCCTCTGCGTTTGGGAACATGAATGGGTGATTACTAGCTTTCTTCAACTCCATCATGATATTCAATAACGATTGTTTCATGCCTTTGGCGCCATGATTCAAAGCAGCGTAATTCTTCGTCAGGATGTTCTTGTAGTACTCCAATTGAACATCAGAGAGCTCAACACGAATGATCTTCTCCGTCTTGGGAGGAAGATCGGACTCAACTTTTGATTTGGTGCGACGCAGCATGAACGGTTGAATAGCATCAGTCAATTCGGCCAGCTTCTGTGACGCGTGCTCCGAGTTGAGATCCATGTCAACATCCACGTGGACCATGCCGGGATTGAGGAAGTCCATGAGAGCGGAAAGCTCAGCTAGATTGTTTTGGATCGGAGTACCCGTAATGAGAAGGCGTGCCTGGCACTTCCATTCATCCAGCTTGATGTAAAGCTGCGAATCGCGGTTCTTAAGACGATGGGCCTCATCGACCGCCATGAACTGCCACTTGAATTGGCCAAGGAAGGGGGAGTCGTTCATAGCGTATTCGTAGGTTGTAAGAAGGACGTGGAACTTTGGCCGCTTGGGGTTACCATCAACCATCAACTCGTAATCCCGGAGTACAGAGCGCGCCTTCTCGCTGCCATTGTAGACGACATAATTCAAATCCGGCGTCCAATTATCAAATGTGTCAGCCCATGCCGGCATGGTTGACAGCGGGACAATGACAATGAATGGGCCTTGCTGGCGCCGAACATGCCGCATCCAATTGATGAAAGAGACTGTCTGGACCGTTTTTCCAAGTCCCATCTCATCTGCCAAGACGACGTTGCGATCCTTCACCCAGTTGAATGCCAAAAAATTCAGACCTTTGATCTGGAAATCCTTGAGTTCTCCATTCTGCAGAAAGTCCGGAGAGGATTGGATACGTTCAAATGGCCGGCGCGTCGCCGGGTTCGACTCATTCTTGTCCGAGACGGGCACACGAGCTGAGCGGTCGATGTATCGGTCAATCTCGCTCTGTGCGATATCACTGACCAAGTCCTCGGCCTCCCAGGTACATGAGTCGTAAAACAGCCGTTTCCACTTGACGAGATATTCGGTGGTGCCGTCATCGCCTTCTCGGACACCGATGACTCTCTCGACCTTTTTGTAGTCTTCAATGGCCTCAACGTCTCGTTCCCGGTCAAGGTTCCACTTCTCTCTGTCCTCTGGGGGGGCGTCGGGATCATGGAGCAGTCGGAGCTCCTCGTTGAGTATCTTACGAACATAGTTATCCACGCGCCGTGTGCTGCGATAGTTGGCCAAGGACCCATTTGATTCCCAAGTGGCATGAACATGCGACTTGTCCTGCCACTTAATGTAGAACTCAAAGTCTTGGCGATCGACGTTGGGGTTTTTGGGATCCACGCCTTCCTTTAAGCGATGATTCAGAACGACATCAACCGCAGGGCGGGTATCCTCCACGTAATTTTGTGCCCAGTAATTGTCCATGACCTCATCTGGATCTTCCTCAAAGATCTCGTCATCTTCATCTTCGTTGTAATTGGACACCTTCGCGGCGTTTCGCGTGGAGAAGCGGACCTCAGCAAAGGATGGTTCTGTACTGGCGGCTTGTTTTAGACGACGTCGCCGAGCCTTGTTTGCGCGGGCACCCTTACCACCATACTCGTCACTATCAGTCTCTGAAAAGGACGAGTTTGTGGCCGACCGTGAGGTCTTGGAGGGTTGTTGAGAGGGTTCTTTGCGCCGGCGCTTGGAGCGTGGCGCGACTACATCGGAATCGGAATCAGATGAGTCGACGAGATGACGTGTCTGGCGCGCGCGACCACTGCGGCGGAGGCCGTACAGGTCGGGGTTTTGTCGCATGAACTCGACTTCGTCTGGCGGCGACGATTTTCGCTTCACGCCGCGATCCGGTTCTGGCGATGAAGAGTTTTCACGGCTAGACTGAGCGAACTCATCGCCACTGTTTTCCATCACAACCTCTTCATCTTCTCCATCTGAAGGCGGAGACTCGGCCTCATATGAGTCGTCTGCCGCATCGGATTCGGAGGAGGACTCAGAGACGGGGTGCGATTCGACGGGCACGGATGGATTGGGCTCGCTCTTGGTAGGGATGTCGAACTCTGCGGGCGCGTCTTCATCGACCGAGGAATGCGAATAACCATTTTGTACAGTTGAGGATATATGAGGTTCTTGACCCGATGGGATCACCATGCTGGAGGCTATGACGAGAGGGGCAGTCAGCATTGAAGCATGATTCCGGTCAGGAAGCACGCCAAAGACACGGGAGACGGTAAAATAATAATACGCGACTCAGATCGCAGGGCAATTGAGCTTGATATCGGCACAGCCATGCAGCATATCAAGATTGATGAGGATCGATGTTTTTTGATAACGGGGTGGGATGGGCGTGAGCAGACTGGGGGAGGCAGCCACGAGGAGATTGGCACTGACAACCCACTCTCAGAGAGCGATTCCATCCGAGATGCGTCAAACGAGTCAAGCAACGCCTCGATCTCGACACACAATATGAAAATCGGGAATTCTGACAGTGGGTCGAGCAACGCGGAGAAGTACGCGGGCAGCCCGGTCAAGCAATACGTCCGCGCTTTCAGGGAAAGAAGAATTAAATCACTTACACTCCATAGCGTGGTGACCCCGCAACAGGGGGGACTGGCGTATCAACGTGAGAAAGGAATGGTGGGTGGAGAGGTGTGATGACGGCGTCCGGGTGTGATAAGTAGAGACGAGTGAGGGAGAAGAGTTGGGGGAGGTTTGATTCGGTTTGGTTTGGTTTGCAGAACGATCGGCTCGGCGGCCTCGGCCCTCAGGCAGCAAGCATCGTCTTCCTTTGGGACTAGTGTCTTCGCTTCTTGGACCAGCTGGCAGTCCCGTGATCTTCCCGTGTCACGCTGCCGGATTAACTCGAGCTCGTCGGGTTGGACCTTTTTTCCGCTCCGCGCTGCCCCACCAATCAGCGTCACTCGAAAGAAATGCGCCCATTCAGGGCGGTCACTCCGTGCTAGCCTCAGGCAGTCCCGCCCACAATAAGAAAGAAAGCGATCATTTCTGCCCCTCCCTCATCGTCGCGATTGTCCTGCCTTTCACCCGTCAATTCGAGTCTGCGCAGAAACTTGGTGCTTATTTGCGCCTGATTCCTTTGCCTGCGCCGGCATACTGCACCGCCCTGATTTGACAGCTCTCGCACGCGACAATCTTTCGCTGTCAAACTTTTTGATACCCGCCTCTGCTACTTGATCGTGGTTCTTCGAGACCCAACGCCGCCACCATGTCTGACAAGCTCACCCGGTATGTTTCGATACTTTATTGAAAGTAAGCTTGCATATTTCTAACGTTTATCTTCCCTCTAGTATTGCTATCGTCAACAGTGACAAGGTTCGTCCTCAACTACCCCGCTAACCTGCATTTCTCGCGCGTCGAATGCCTCGTTCATAGCCGGCTTACCTGGAATTTCCTCGATATACAGTGCAAACCGAAGGTATGGATCTGAATCAGTGGTCGACATCGATTTCACAAGACACTGACTTGGCTTGCTATAGAAATGTCGTCAAGAGTGCAAGAAGTCTTGCCCCGTGGTCCGCACGGGTAAGCTTTGCATTGAAGTCACCTCCGACTCGAAGATCGCCTTCATCTCCGAGAGCCTTTGCATCGGTTGTGGTATCTGCCCCAAGAAGTGTCCTTTCGGTGCTATCAATATTATCAACTTGCCCACCAACCTGGAGAGCCAGGTCACCCACCGTTACTCCGCCAACAGCTTCAAGCTTCACCGTCTGCCTATGCCTCGCCCCGGTCAGGTCCTCGGTCTCGTCGGAACAAACGGTATCGGCAAGAGTACCGCGTTGAAGATTCTGAGTGGCAAGCTGAAGCCTAACTTGGGCCGCTACGACAACCCCCCTGACTGGGAGGAGATCCTGAAGTACTTCCGTGGTTCCGAGCTGCAAAGTGCGTGAAACTCAAGGGAACTTGATTATTGAAGAGCAAAGACTAATGAAATACAATAGACTACTTCACGAAGGTTTTGGAGGACAACCTCAAGGCTGTCGTCAAGCCTCAGTATGTCGATCAGATTCCCCGCGCCGTCAAGGGTCCCGTCCAGGGCGTGAAGGATCTCATCAAGGCTCGTGACCAGCTGAACAACATGAAGGAGATCATGGATGTGCTTGGTATGGAACCTCATCAAATGCCTTCCTTTTGGTGAACCCTTTGACTGATTTGAATTCCAGAGCTGAACCAGGTTGCGGACCGCGACATTGGTCACCTGTCTGGTGGTGAGCTGCAGCGTTTCGCCATCGGTCTCGTCTGTGTCCAGAAGGCCGATGTGTAAGTTTCCGAGAACTCGAACAACAGATTGGATCATTCCTCTTACCGAATTGATAGATACATGTTTGACGAGCCCTCCTCTTATCTCGATGTGAAGCAGCGTCTGGCCGCTGCCCGCACTATTCGTGGCCTTCTCCGTCCCGATGACTACGTCATTGTTGTCGAGCACGATCTTTCGGTTCTTGATTATCTTTCCGATTTCATTTGCGTTCTCTACGGTCGCCCTGCTGTCTATGGTGTTGTTACTCTGCCTTCTTCCGTTCGTGAGGGTATCAACATCTTCCTTGATGGTAACATCCCCACTGAGAACCTACGTTTCCGTGAGGAGTCCTTGACTTTCCGCCTGGCTGAGGCTGGCGACGACTTCATTGCGGACAAGGCCCACGCATACGGTTATCCTGCCATGGAGAAGACTCTTGGCAATTTCCACCTCAAGATCGATGCTGGTCAGTTCACCGACTCCGAGATCATCGTGATGATGGGTGAAAACGGAACCGGAAAGACCACCTTCTGTAAGATGCTGGCTGGTGCCGAGAAGCCCGACGGCAACCGCTCTGTTCCCAAGATGAACATCAGCATGAAGCCCCAGAAGATCACTCCCAAGTTCCAGGGTACCGTCCGCCAGCTCTTCTTTAAGCGTATCAAGGCTGCCTTCCTTTCCCCGCAATTCCAGACCGATGTCTACAAGCCGCTCAAGATCGACGACTTCATTGACCAGGAGGTTCAGAACCTGTCTGGTGGTGAGTTGCAGCGTGTTGCCATCGTTCTTGCCCTTGGTATCCCCGCCGATATCTACTTGATTGACGAGCCCAGTGCCTACCTGGACTCCGAACAGCGTATCGTCGCTGCCCGTGTTATCAAGCGTTTCATTATGCACACTAAGAAGACTGCCTTCATCGTCGAGCACGATTTCATCATGGCCACCTACCTGGCTGACCGCGTTATCGTCTTCGACGGACAGCCTTCCGTCGACGCTCACGCCAATACTCCCGAGTCTCTGGTTACCGGTTGCAACAAGTTCCTGAAGAACCTGGATGTCACTTTCCGTCGTGACCCCAACAGTTACCGCCCTCGCATCAACAAGTACAACAGTCAGATGGATCAGGAGCAGAAGTTGGCCGGCAACTTCTACTTCCTTGAGGAAGAGAACTGAAAAGGGCATTCCTCACAAGCACCAACACCGCCGTCGCAATCATGGTGGCCGCGATTCTGAGCAGCGGCGCAAATGGCGACGCGGCAATGGCAGAGTCAGTTGGCGAATGGCGTTTCCCGGTCTTTGCCGGGCCTTAGCGGTTCAGGGTAGAGAGCTCCGTCGCTCCGTCAGGGTTTCTCCTGGGAAAGACGAGGACTTTCTGGATGATGGCGAAGAAGATGACGATGGATGATGGATGATCGGGTGTGAACGAGAACATCAGTTAGGAGACAATGGCATGCTCCGTGAGTCTTTTTCTCACTGTACTTCTCCGCATCCCGAGACCATCAATCATCTCAGATCGTCCGTCATAATATCGCTGCCCTCACCCTCGTGGTTCTGGGATTTCGTTCGCACGTCCGAAATTTCTAGCGCTTAGACCGGAACACCTGCCATCTGAACTCACCCAACACTTTTTTTCTTTACGATAACATGGTCGGGGGATTTTTTGATTGCTATAGTTGTTTCACCGGAGTTAATTCTTTTGTATTCTGGGCTGAGGGTTCGGTTACCAAAAAGCTTTCTATGACTTGACGATTGATAGAGGTGGATATCTTTCAGGGTGTGGCTGAAGGCCAAGGGAGATGGGCAAATGGTCATATGTTGAACAGCTGGGTTTTCATGCATCTGGACGATCCATCATGTCCACGGGTTCAGGCCTGCTAGTTTTGCACCTTCAATTCTTTCAAATAATTGCAATTCCAAATCCATGTAGGCTATGTAACTCCAGGTCTATCTGTGCTCAGTGGCTTGAAGAAGGTCAGCACTTGGTAAAACTATTTTGCTCCCAAAATGTCATGGAATTTCCGGGAATTAGCTCACAATTCTGTAGCTCTATAGTGCCAGGCCAAAAGTTTGTATACCCTTTCCCTCGCTCTACCGCCTAGTCTTCCGCTCTCATTCTGGACCAGTCCAAACTACTGGTGTCTATAGTTGGCCATTAAGGGAAACTTTGGATTATTTCAAGATGTATCTCGTTCGGCTATTGACATTTAATCCATCTAGTAGCTTGTAAACATAAATCTCGAGGCCTTACAGTAGAAAGTAGAGGTCGTTTAACTGGCAGAAACTTATATCATCACTAGGGGAACGAAGACTAATAAAATACTAACTAACTAACTAACTAGTCAGTTTACTGACTGGGCTGACACAGCCCTACCTGGAAGACACAGATTGGGAAAAACGACCCTATCCACGGATCCGGTCTTGAAAGGTTCTAGCCAGTCTGTCGGGGAGAGTCTCACTGTCCTACAGGATGATCTCGATGCAGATATTCCAATAGCGCGACCAACATATATGTCTCTCCTCGCATTGTGCCTTCCCATCACGTGATGGCATGCAGCCGTATCAGGTCCATGGACGATCCAAAGCAACAAAGGGGCGCATCTCTATAAGGAGTTGAGCCTCCTCGATTCAGACTGTCAATCATATTTGAACAAAATACTTCATCGCCATTATGAGTACATTGACCAAGAATCAAGCTACGGAACTGTAGGTCCCTCACACCTTTCCGCCGATTCACCACTAATCTAGGGGTTATAGACATAAGTCTATGATAGGCTATCTGTCATTGCTCAATGCATCGAAATGCGTTGCCGTCTTACAAGAAGAACTCAATTTAAAAGATGCTTTCCCGAAAGACAAAGTCAAAACGTACGCGCGGATATTGGAGCGAAAATGGACGAAAGTCTCCATGCTTCAAAAACAGGTGAACATACCATGTCGGCTAGCATATGATAGGTATACCGATCTAATGTCACCAGATTATAAGGCTGGAGTTAGAAAGAGATCGTCTACGGTCGCAGCTAGAACCCGCTTCAAAAGCCATGACACGCCCAAATCGAGATGCGGATAAATGGCTTCCCAGTGACCCAACCTATACATTGGAGTCCCATAGAGGGGCCATCACATGCATTGCTTTCCATCCGGTATACTCTTTCTTAGCATCTGGATCGGAGGACCACACCATCAAAATCTGGGAGTGTGAGGTTGGCGAACTCGAGAGAACAATTAAGGGACATTCCCAAAGCGTGACAGACCTTGACTTCGGTGGCCAGAAGGGCAACGTACTCCTCGCATCAAGCTCGGATGATCTCACGATCAAAATCTGGGATCCAAACAACAACTATGCTCACGTTCGTACCCTTTCTGGTCATGACCGTTGCGTCACAGCTGTACGGTTTCTGCGATCAGGTGAAAATCGTCTCGTTTCAGCTAGTCGAGACGCATCGATTCGCATATGGGATGTAGCCACGGGTTACTGCATCAGGACGATATACTCGCATGGCGATTGGATATGTAGCCTTTCTCCCTCGATTGATGGAAGGTGGCTAGTCACAGGTGGCCGCGAACAAGTCGCAACAATCTGGGATGTTGCGTCCGGTGAAGCTAAATCATTTCTACGCGGTCATGATAATCACATCGAATGTTGTGTTTTTGCCCCTCCTGCGAGCTATCGATACTTGGCTGCACTAGGTGGATTTAAAGTTGTTCCGTCCGTTGAAAGCCATGCAGAATTTGTGGTCACTGCTGGAAGAGACGGTACTCTCAAACTGTGGGATGTGAGAGGGAGGTTGATTAAAACCTTGATTGGTCATGACAGCTGGGTTCGGGATTTGACGTTTCACCCTGGAGGACGGTATTTGCTTAGTGTGGGCGATGATTGTACTGTCCGCTGCTGGGATCTATTACAAAATGGGAGGTTGGTCAAGACTATAGACAAGGCGCACGGGCGATTTGTCAGTTGTATTCGATGGGCCCCAGAATCGACCAATCCGGAGGCCAATGAGGGAAGCTGTGCTTCAATAGGGTTGCGATGTGTGGTTGGCACTGGAAGTACGGATTTCGTTATACGACTATTCAAATAGTTGGCAAAAAAGGACAAAGCCCGCCCTTTGATTGACTAAATACAGTCTCGAAATAGGTGACAGAAGAATAGAAATCTGAATGATGGTACAAGGCATCAAAGATCAAAGATCAACAACATCCCATCTTTCCTGCTGCCTGCGACATACTAACTCCAATGATATGGAGAATGAAATCATTTAGCAGCTAGCAACGCCGGGAACGTTCTTGCAGCCGCCGTATGTCTTACCACCGGTGACCTTGACGTTACTCCAGGTCCAGTTGGAGCAAGCGCCGGTGCCACATACAATAGCAATGTTGTTACCGCTAGAAGCGACGGCGCCAGTGCCGGAAATGCCGGAAATGGTGAGGCCAGTGATAGGAACACGGCTAGTAGGGTCACCCTTCAGGTCACCGCCGTTGTAGTTCTGCTCAATCAGGATACCGTACCTATCACATCGTTAGTAAGAAGATTTGGCAACAATAGGCGGGGAATGTTGTGTAGCTTACTTGGCAATGGAGGAAAGGGTAATACCAGAGTAGGTAACGCCCTTAATGGTGCCGGTAGTGCCCGCGGTACCCTTGACACGGATACCTGAATATCTCGCGTTAGCCCTGACATTGCGGGGACGGATGGAAGGTTGCTTACCGTTGTCAGACTTGGTGACTGTAGAGTCCTTGAAGGTAACATTATCCACAGTGTTATCGTTGCGACCACCCACGCTGCCAATGGACAAACCGTGACCACCAGAGCAGAAACCGCCGCTGAAGGTGATGCCCTGGCGAGATAGTTAGCAAGCTTACCCCCAAAATACCCCTTCACCTTCAGGGCTGCCTTACAGTTCCAGAGTTGATGGCAACACAATCGTCCTGGTTGTACACAGTAGCACCTTGGATAACAACGTTGCTGCTAGAGCCGATATCGAAGCCATCGGTGTTGTGACCGCCAGCGCTGTCACCGGCCTTGTTGTCAATGGTCATGTCAGTGATGGTCAATCCATTGCAGCCGTTGATGCTAACGGCCTGTACGGGGGTGTTCTGGATGTAGAGGTTGTTGATACTGGACGTGCCAGTCAAGCTGTGAGCGGCGAAGAACTTGGGCTTGATCTTGCCTTGGTCACCTCTGCCGTCCCACCAGCGGGCACCGTCGCCATTGAGCTTGGCACCGCTGGCACCGGTGACGGTGATATCCTTGCCCTGAATCTGCAGCAGAGGGCCCTCCCACTCCTTGTAGCCCCAAGTAGTGGTGCCTTCGAAGACGACCTAAAAATTGAAACCAAATGAGTCCGAGTGAAATAAAGGGAAAAGCTATAACAGCACGGGGATGTCTTACGTGAGTTCCTTGGTTCAAGTTGCTGAGATCCAATGTGACTCCCGAGGGAACGGCCACATTGGAGAGGACAATAGTAGCGCAGGACTTCTGCGAAGCGCTGGCAGAAGCAGCACCATTTGAGCCTGAAAAGGTACAGCTGGCACGCTTCTCAAGGCTGGGAGTAGCCGTGATGGCAGGCTCGGCAACGGGAGTGGCCACGGCGCAAGCTGCCAGAGCTGCGATGGCGAGATGGTTGAAGATTTGAGGCATTGTGATGATGTTCAAGATGATTTCAAGGATCTTTTCCGAATGATACAAGGCTTGCTTCGGTGCTTGGAAACTTGTCCATCGAGGAAACGACTCCCTTTTATACCAGCTTCATAGCTCGAAACACGGCTAGTGATAGCCCGGACGGTAATCCTGCACAGGATCAGAAAGGGTCCAACTCAATCCTGCAAGTTCGCATGCCTGCCAATCGGTTGTTCCCCCCTCGACATGTTCATCTTGGCGAACGGGGTCATGCTCTGGGCTGTGTCGAGGATTAATCGTTCATTCGGGCGCACGACGGAGAAATAAACGACAAGGAAAAAAAGGGTCTCATGACTGCAGGGCTAGACCAGGATATCCAGCTCGTCGGTAAAGTGTTTCGCCGATTAGCGCGGGCGCGAGGCCTACGCAGGGATCTAAATTTTGGGTGTGTTTAGGCACTGATTAAGAGGGATACATGCAGAGGACCTGAGTATCCACCTTAGGCTGAATTCAATACTTTATTTAAGGTTTCTTTAGTATCCGATGATTTTCCATGAAACAGATCTAGCCTCGAGGGGAAAGAACTCAAATTTTGGATTCGATGGGTGAATATAGTATAGTCGAGGCTGGGGAATCTTCAACATTTACTGCGTATCCGTATACGTTTCACCATTAAGGGGACCCAGGGTAGAGCTAAGACTAAGGTTGCCCGGAGGGCTCCATAATGAAGCAGCCCGGGCTTGTCTCGGAGTTATTGTGCACAGGAGAGTGATGGGAAGGACACGATCCACTCGGTTGGTTTTCACACAACGCCCGAGGTTTTCCCCTGCGGAATATATTCTTCCGTCTGGAGGTATGCAGACAGCTTCGGATTGGGCCAGACAGCAGCCACTTCCAATATACGAGCCTTTGTTCAAAGGGGTGCTATGGAATAGGAAAAAGCCAATGGGCTCGAACCATACAGGGCAAAAGGTAGTTTTACGATTGAATAAAGACCGAACTATGCTGTACTATACATGAGATAGATAGTAGTAGAGCCAGGTTCATCACTGTACGAACGACTCAGTTCAATCCTCCTCAATCTCTCCCTCCTCGCTACCAGAATGAATGGCCTTCTCGTCCTTCTTGCTCTCCGCTGGTTCTGGGATCGCAGAGCGTTCCCGTCCACCACGTCGAGGACCCTTGCTACGGTCCCGCTCACGGCTATCGCGGCGGTATCGCTTCGTTGACCGGCTAGCCACACTCTCGGAGTCGCTCTCCCGACGGCGTCGACGATCCGGAGTGGCAGTGCTACGAGTTTCACCGTAATCAAGTTCGTCGCGGCCACCACGAGGATCTCCACGGGTGCGATAGAGACGCTCGCGCTCGTCTTCCCGCCGGTCGCCGGGACGTCGGTCGTAATCCCGATCTCCCCGGTCACGTTCACGCTCGCGCTCGCGGTAACGATCACGATCGCGATCACGATCTCCTCTGTCACGTTCACGATCATCACGACGATCTCGAGAGGGGGAGAACGCGCTGACCTTGCGGTAGGATCGTTCGCGGTCCGCCTGTGCCTTGCGGCGGTCGGCCTCGTACGCGTCGGGCTCGGGGGTACGGCTGACTCGGCTGCCACCACGTCGTTCACCACGGCTGCTGCGATAATCGCGATCGCCTCGGTCATAGTCACGACGGCGGCTGTGGTCGCGTTCGCGATCCTGATCACGGTCCTTCTCGTCTTCTTCCTTCTCCTTCAGGCGCCGGATGACCTTCTCGAACGCGGATTCACGAAGCTCGTCGGATTCAACAGCCTTGTACTCTTCGTACTTCTCGAGACGCGATTTGACCTCGTCCCAGGTATCGGTTAGACGAACGGGGGGTTCCAGACGCTTAATCCGAGAGCGAAGTGCGTCAACTGCGCGGCGCTGATGGCGATCTGCGGCATGTTTCTCCTCCTCGTCACGGCGAACGGCCTTTTCTTGAATACGTTGGAAAAGAAGACTCATGATATCGGAATCAATCTTAGCAGTCCGACGATCAGAAAGCATAACCTCGGTGAACTCCTCGAGCGTAGTTTTGGCGGTAATCTCGTAGCGTTTGTCCTAAATAGAATCGTTAGTTTCTGCAAGATGACTTCAAAATTCGGTGAACTCACGTCAAGGACGTCCAGAACGTCATTGCGAGGACCGCGAAGGGAACGCTCCTCTTCCTCAACCATGTCCCAGAAGAGGTCCAGAGGGGTTGACCCGGACTGGCCGAGGATTGCCTGGTACCGGGGATCATCTTGGATGGTAGGACGAATATCCGTCCATTTGCTGCCAGCCTTGATTTTTCCCTGGGACTTGAGCTCCTTCAACAGCTCCAAGTAGCCTTCACGACCACGGCGCTCCTTTCTGGCCCTGATTGCCTTTTGCTGCTGGCGAGCGTCATTGAATGCACGCTCCAAAGACTTGATATGATTTTCAAAGGCAGTCAGAATGTCAGACTTGGTCAGCGTCTTGAACTTATCATCAGCTTTGACTTGATCATGGGACTCGATGACCGCTTCAGCCTCCGACCAGCGCGTATACGGCTCAAGCTTGAGAGAATTGAGAATGGTAATGAGCTCGTCCATGGCCGCCTTGCGAGTTGCGGACTCTTGTTCGACGTGCGCTTTCTTGAGTTCAATGACATACTCCTCAAAGAGCTGGCGCCGCTCATTCTCATCGTTGGTAGCGCGGAATGTGGTCTCGCCTTCGATAATGGGCCGGATAGTCTTCCAACGACTGTAGTGCTTGATTTCAGGATGCCGCTTCAGCATAGTATTGAAATCTGCGCGCAGCTTAGCGAACCGTTCCTTCGCCCGATCCTTTTCCTGCATGCGAACCTCGGCAGCGTACTTTTCAAAAGCTGCCTTGCGATCGGTCGGGTTCCTCAGAGAACGATATTGAGGATCTTTAATAGTGGCGCGCATTGTCTGCTCCCAGGACCAATCGGGCTGTACGTTATTTCGCTTGAGCATTTTCATGAAGGCGCTTTCTGCTTCTTCAAGGGAGCCATACTCGGGGTCGGCCTGGGCGGCCAGAACTGATGCAGCCACCATCCCACTGGGATCGTATGATCCATATCCTCCCCGACGGTCTCCATATCCCCGATCATAGTCATCCCGGTCGCGGTCTCGGTCACGGTCACGTTCACGATCGCGGTCTCGGTCTCGGTCTCGCTCGCGCTCGCGGTGGGGGTGTTGCGAGAAAGAGCTGGCGCCGCCTGCTACGAAAGCGGGGGCACTACAACGAAGTCAGCTTTGGAAATTGATTGATACGCAGGCAATCTTCACTTACGCAACAGGTGCCACTGGAGCAGCCGGGGTTGGGGCCGCCGGAGCCTGTGCGAGCGCATTCTTGTAAACCTCAGGGATCTCCCACGTGCTCTGCTTGGTCTCCGTGTTGTACCAGTATTTGCGCCCTCCTTCTGCAGTATATTCCTTCCAAGGTTGATTGGAAAGGGCACGCTAAAGAATGAAGGAGCAATGTCAGTCCAATTCAAAGGTGTGTTGTAGTTGGGAACAAACCTCCACGGGGGTCATCAGCTCTACCGGCTTGGCCCACTGCGTCACCTTCGTTTGCACATTGTAATAGTAGACCCTGCCTTCAGCATTTCGTGCCTCCTGCCATAGAGCTGGCGCACCCGAAGGACCAGTCATTGGATTCATGATGAACGTTGACGGTGAAGAGTCGAAGAAGTGAAAAAGAGAGGCGCGTGGAATTAAGCTTGGATGTTTGTGCTGTTTGCACCTGCCATCTTATCAAGGTGCTGGTCTATCTCCTTAAATGCCCGCAATCACGCCGAAGACGGGAACTTGACAACTGTTGCATGCGACATCCTCTGTCGCAATGCCTGGCCTGGAAATTCCGGGCGAGTTCCTACGGCATGCTGTCCTTGATACAGTGGTGCCTCATGCTCCAGCAATCGATATTGAAGGGGCATTGACCTCGGCCCTGGAGGACGGGGCAGACGATCTTCCCTCAGTGCTTTCCTCTATTCCCCAACGGTCGCTTCTATTCTTTGGTATGCAACAGGCCATTTTGCCCATTTTTCATTTGATTTCTGCTTTATTAATATCATCCTAGACGAATCCCTCCCAGTTCGCGTTGTACTGCGGCTCTCCGACTGCACGGATACCATTCTAAAACATTATTTACCCCGTCTCGAAGTCCGATTAGATGTATTTGCAGTCGACCCTGTCGAGACGGTGGCGGATAATCCGACTCCAGCTAGGGAGATCATCTTCTCTGGGATTGTGGACACAAGAGAGGAGCCATTAGTGATCTTCAACGAATTCGAGGGTGAGGACGGGACTGGGAACCATGTCTACCTCATTTGGAGCATGGAGACATTCCTGAGTGCGTTTCACACCGCGATGATACGAGAGATATCAACCAACTAATATTCTTTAGAGCGCCCTCGAAACCGCATTTCGAACCCGTCGCTCTTATTCATCGCTTCTGCGAGCCTCAACCCTTCTGAATCCAACCGACAGGAAGACCCTGAAGACGATTACCTACCTCCGCTCGTACCTGCGTCGACGAATATGTTCCAGTCCTTGTCTGGAGACAAAGCTCTTGCGCACAAAGAACCCTTTCTCCCTGCATCAAGGCTGTTACGGGTTATACCTACAACGTATCAGGAGGATCCCATATACAATATTCAGCAGCAACATGGTCACCCCTTCCGTGTGGTTCCGGCAGCCAGTGCCAGAATCCGCTATTCGCGATTGAATTCTTATAGTGGTCTCCCTACTACAGTTGCCAGCCTGGATTTCGAAGTGACTCCCTTTTTGACCTGTGCGGTCTGCTTTGATAAAGCGGATGTTAAGTTGTCCGAGGGCACGCTCGAGCCTCTATCGGCCGTACAAGGTCTAGAGCTTCCCATAACCTGTCGGCCTCGGGACGACGTGACACTGATGTACAAACTTACCCCCGAATATGGTCCCGAGACCAATCCGTCATCAACTGCCATGATGAGTATGCTGGACATCTCGCTAAGCGCAGTCATCGTTCTGTCCGAAGAATGCAAGCCTCGTATTACTATGCAATGGCGGACCAATGTCGATTTTTCATTGCCCTTGAACCCTACTTTCGGTGGCCCCAGCCAGGCGCTTCAAAGAAGCAATCGCCCTACCAGCTTGTCCATGCCCCAGGGCCAGTCTCAGATTGGGTCGCTTCCGAACAATCGGCCCTCTCTACGAGAGCGAGCTTATTCGGTCACCGATGTGGGAGTTACCATCTCCTTCTCGGGTCCTTGTCGCGTGCAAGTTGGATCGCCATTCTCTTGGGACGTGTTTATTGTGAATCGTTCCAACATGCCGCGCAAATTCGCTTTAATTGCGATTCCTCGACGCAAACGTGTGGATCCGCGGGGCCATATGGCTCGTCCATCGTCATCATCCATCTCGAGCCGAAAAGAGGCTCATGTGGCAGAGGCCGTGACGGACGACAACATCGTGCACGCGATGCAAAAGAGCGTTACTGGGCAGGAGGCTGAATTGATCAGTTTGAGCACTGACATTCGTGTTGGGTGAGTCTTTATCAATCTGGTATCATTGATCTCCATTGAGGATCCTTTCTAACACTGGATTAGCCCCCTCTTGCCTGGAACTTGCCACTCAACCGAACTCAAGCTCCTACCCCTTGCGACCGGCCCTCTCCATTTGGAAGCGGTACGCCTTGTGGATGTGAATACGAACGAAACGACTGATATTCGAGATCTGCCGGACATTCTGGCCGATGACCAACCTCGAGTCGCTGCATGATTGTACCGAAAAAGCATAGATATATATTGTATGCATGTATAGTGAGCAAGATCTACAGTAATTGAAACAAGGAAGAAGGAATCAAATAATAATAAAAAAAACTGTAAATGATATCCATACGAATTTTAAAAAAAGAACGAACCCTTCCAAAATGCTAGAGATCTGTCCCCATGTTGTTCCAGGCCCCCCCTAACTCCGACTATGGGCGCCTGGACGATCCTTGATAGGGTGGAAAGTAACCGCGCAGGGCTGAGTCTGCGACTGAGTCGCACGTCACTGCCCCCCATTGCCTGCCGCAAGCCCGTGACTTCGGCCCCAGTCCCGTTAGTCATGAACCTCCCGAGCTAGAGCGGAGTCGACTCGCCCACTTCGATCTGGGGTAGACCTCTATCGTCTTCGATATATTCCTGTTCGCGTCGCTCCCATCGATATTCATTCAGGGGTGTTCAGATACTCAGGCCAGCGGGCGGTCCATACGCACACCGGTCCTGGATCTCACCAAAGCTTGCGTCATACATACGCGATACAGCCTAGAACCTCACCGGTGGGATTTCTCGCCTTCAACCCTCATTGATCATAAACCGGTTCTCCCATTCGCCCTCTGCCGCCATGATTACTTCTGCAAAGCGTAAAGTCCTCGATGGATTGAATAGAAGATATATTTACGGTCGCGTGGTATGCTCTCTCTCTCTCTCTCTCTCTCTCTCTCTCTCCCTTTGTTTGCTCGCATGTCCTCTTTGAAGGTTGCCTGCGCTGACCCGCTCCGCCACCGATAGCCACTCTTGCACACGATCATTTTCCTCATCGAAATGGCCGTAGCTATGCGGATCGCGGCCAAATTCAACACCTACTATGCCGAGAAGCCAGGTAAGGTGTCAATCCGCGGGGTTCCGAGGCCAATGTCTGATCGAATGCTAATCAATCCGTGTCGATAGTTCTCACGACGATGGTCACCAACGCTGTAAGCCCGCCCTGCCCCCGAGATCCCCAAGGTTTTCTAGATTTTGTTCCAGTGATTGACGATAAACGGTGGTATAGGTGCTTGGTGGCGTCGCCGATACCGTTGCGCAGTTGATTACCGCCTTCCGGGCTCGAAATGCTCAACGATCTCATGAGAATAACGACTTCATCTCGATAGAAATTCATGATTTGGACAAGGGGAGACCACCCGTGATTGGAGAGATTGGGGCTGCAGCACACTCCCCGGCGCCGTTCGACTTTGAGCGTGTCACGAGGTTCATGGCATATGGTTTCTTCATGGCACCAATCCAATTCCAGTGGTTTGGCTTCTTGTCTCGGGCATTCCCTCTTACCAAAGTGAACCCCAGTGTTCCAGTATTTAAGCGTGTTGCCTTCGATCAGTTGATCTTTGCGCCCTTCGGTACGAGACTTGTCTGCCTACCTCTTTTGCTGGATTCCGTACTGACATCGTTTCTTCCAGGTCTGGCATGCTTCTTTACCTTCATGACCATCGCTGAAGGAGGAGGCAAGAGAGCCTTGACCCAGAAATTCCGGGACGTATACTTGCCGACGCTGAAGGCCAACTTTGTCTTGTGGCCGGCAGTACAAATTCTTAACTTCCGAGTCATTCCCATTCAGTTCCAGATTGTGAGCTCCCAGTCTTCAGTCCAGTCACTCTTGACACTAATTATTCAAACCAGCCTTTTGTTTCGTCTGTTGGTATTGCGTGGACCGCATATCTCTCGCTCACCAACTCCAGCGAGGAGTCTTGAGTACGCGCTCGACACAGCACATCTCACGTTAACGATGAACCCACCTGCCATACTTGTTTTTGCTCGCGGTCTATCTGTTCCGGCGTTTCGGTCTCGGTTGGTCCGCATATTCGGTTATGTGTATAGGGGATATAAAGTTTTGCGGGGAGGATATGGTTGCATTCAAAAAAGGACCTTGAGTTTGTTTTCTTTTTTTCTTTCGCATTAGGGAATGTTCGCTCGGGGTAAACGTTTTCATTCCGTTCATTGTCGACGGAGCGTATTTGGGTGGTACCTCCTAGTGTTTTAGGAATGTTTGATGCGTGTTTACTCTTTGGATTTGCAACGAAGCTCTGTTTTTCCACCAGCGGAACGAAGTGAACCACCACACCCGGTCATCAGTGTAGCGGCTATGGACAATTCCAGCGTAGCCAATGAGAATCCGGGTAGAGTACCAGCGACCAGCGAGATCACCAGAATCCCCCGACTCCGAGGTTATCGAGGACCCCAGGACGCCCGGCCTGTTCCGTATGAACGGGAAGCTCTGACATCAGTCCCGCATCAGCCCGAGTTTATGTCTGCGGAGGAAGTCGGGTTACCTAAGAGATAAGTAGAGCAAGCTATGCAGATACCTAGAAGCTGTAGGGGAAAGTCATAGTCCGTACAAGTCACTTGAAGCATTTGGATACATCACCGGTACGTACCCCGTTTTTGAACCCAGCTCGATGCGGCAATCACCCTCTTCACCGGCGAGCCCCACCCCCTCCACGAGCCCCTCCATCCTTCTTGTCGCGACTCACCGTGGCCTGATTAAGACTCCTCGATCTCCTTGGTCGTATTTCCCCCCTTCCCTCTAGCTTCCTCTCTGCTTTGTTTCAATCACCTTTAATTGTCGAGGTACTGCTGCTTGAATTATCCTCGTGAGCTTAAAAGGCGCCCCGCTGACATCACTGACTTAGAATCCTGCCGACAATGTCTCTCTCCAACAAGCTCAACATCACCGATGTCGACCTCAAGGACAAGCGTGTCCTGATTCGGGTATGTGGAAAGATCTGACCTCATTCACCATGCATCTCAATGGCTCATTATTACCCCGCCATAGGTCGACTTCAACGTCCCCCTCGATGCGGACAAGAACATCACCAACAACCAGCGCATTGTCGGTGCCCTGCCCACTATTAAGTATGCCATCGACAACGGCGCTAAGGCCGTCATCTTGATGTCCCACCTGGGCCGCCCCGATGGCAAGGTCAACTCCAAGTATAGCCTGAAGCCCGTCGTTGCTGAGCTCTCCAAGCTCCTCGGCAAGGACGTTATCTTCACCGAGGACTGCGTTGGTCCCCAGGTTGAGGAGACCGTCAACAAGGCTGCCGGTGGCCAGGTTATCCTCCTGGAGAACCTGCGCTTCCACGCTGAGGAGGAGGGTTCCTCCAAGGATGCCGAGGGCAACAAGGTCAAGGCCGACAAGGAGAAGGTTGCTGAATTCCGCAAGGGCCTGACTGCTCTTGGTGACATCTACATCAGTATGTGACGAACGCTCCCTGAGCTGAACTTTCAAGTTTCTTTGTTATACTTACGACCATCTCCTCCAGACGATGCCTTCGGCACTGCCCACCGTGGCCACAGCTCCATGGTCGGCGTTGACCTCCCCCAGAAGGCCGCCGGTTTCCTCGTCAAGAAGGAGTTGGAGTACTTCGCCAAGGCTCTCGAGAACCCCCAGCGCCCCTTCCTTGCCATTCTCGGCGGTGCCAAGGTCTCCGATAAGATCCAGCTGATCGACAACCTGCTCCCCAAGGTCAACAGCCTGATCATCACCGGTGGCATGGCCTTCACCTTCAAGAAGACCCTCGAGAACGTCAAGATCGGCAACTCCCTCTTCGACGAGGCTGGTAGCAAGATCGTCGCTGAGATCGTCGAAAAGGCCAAGAAGAACAACGTTGAAATCGTCTTGCCCGTCGACTATGTGACCGCCGACAAGTTCTCTGCCGAGGCCACCGTTGGCGCTGCCACCGATTCCGAGGGCATTCCCGATGGCTACATGGGTCTGGATGTCGGCCCTGAGTCCGTCAAGAAGTACGAGGAGGTCATTGGTAAGGCCAAGACTATCCTCTGGAACGGTCCCCCCGGTGTCTTCGAGCTGAAGCCCTTTGCCAACGGTACCGAGAAGACTCTCAATGCCGCTGTCAAGGCCGCCCAGTCTGGCTCCATTGTCATCATTGGCGGTGGTGACACTGCCACCGTCGCTGCCAAGTACGGCGTCGAGGACAAGCTCTCTCACGTCTCCACTGGTGGCGGTGCTTCCCTCGAGCTGCTCGAGGGCAAGGAGCTGCCCGGTGTTGCCGCTCTGTCCAGTAAGTAAATTGGCATGTTAGTGGAGGAGAAAAGAAAAGCATCTCCCCTTTGATGTCAAATGGGACATTTTCATGAAACTGTAATGTACACAGCCAAGATTTTCCTTTTCGATTTAAATCACAAAACTTTTATGTTCAATTTTGTCTTTCTTTCCATGTATGCTTGGTAGCTAAGTCCTGTTTTCGGTCAGATACAAGACCCAAGTTGTGACGGCGATGTGTGAGCACCTGGCTAGTGGAGATCAGGCTCGTGTAGGGGGACCTTGGTAGTTTACTTGATTTGTTAACAGTGCCATGATGAGTTTTACGAGGTCGACGACTAAGAACACGATTCCTGGATGCAAATGTGTAGGTAACAAGAGCCCAATTGCATTATGATGACCGGCTTGCTTTTCCCAGCGTTATCCCCGTCTAGGCCTCCAGGGATGGAAATGGAGGCATTGATCAAACAAGCGTCAGATGAATGAGCCCGAACCACACAATGACGCGAATCCAATGTATTGGTAGTCACATTCATAGTCTCGCCTGCCTTGGCCTCGCCCCGCAGTAGTGGGCATCTCTGCTTGTATCGGGCCCCACGTCTTTAATCATCGTCTTGATATTCATCCTCCCATCGGCTCAAAAGGGGGTATAGTTTGTGTGTAGCGCGAGAGACATTCAGCGCGTTCGAGGGGGTATGTCATGTAAGAACGCGGGATCTCTGTTCGTATACTGTGTTTTCCATTGTCTTATCTTGTCTAGTGCGATGCTTCGACCTTCTTGAGCTCCTCCCTGTAAAGCGCGAACGGGAAGTTAGTTATAGGTCCACAAAATAGCATGGGAAAAGGAGAGATCGCTCGATAAATGGGTTGAGGTTGTCATCCCGATGCCGGGGAAGCTGCCCGGTATCTCGTATCTCGCGCCGGGCGCAGGGCAAGGACTATCGATGCGGTTTGGTAACGTACCTCAACTGCTTGGAGAAGTCCTCCGCAGCATCGTCGTCATCCCAGCTCTCCTCCCAGAGATGCTCGTTGCCTCCGTTGGCTGCTGATCCATTCTGCTCGGCTTCTTCCTGGGGCCAATCTGGCAGAGAAACGGTCAGCACATGTCCACGGCTTGACGCGGTGGTAGAAGCCCGCGCGTAGAGGGAGAGCTTACCCTCGACGGGGAAGTCCTCGAACTCATCGTCTTCCTCGAGCACTTGGGGCTTCTGCTGTTGTTGGGGCTGCTCGGAGGCATCGGCCTTGGTCTGGGCTTGGGTGGAATTGGACATGGTGGGTGTGAGGTGTAGAGAATGGGTGTCGAGAATATGGAAGGACACGGTTGTTCTGGAGAAGATGGGTATTCTCCTAGACTGATGGAAGTTGAATGCGAGAGGAGAGAGTGGTGGTGATGGTGGTGGGGAAGGATGGGATGTGATGCTGTTGTTCGATCGGGAGCTTCCCACCTTGGCGGAGGTGCGGCCTCAGGCTGCCAGTCGGTGTGAGGAGAGATAGAACTACGGCGTGTAGAAGAGGGGATGACGAGTTCATTCGATAATCATGTTATTTTCATTGTTAAGCTAAGAGCATGAGCTTTGTTTTCTATTATCGCTAGTGTGAAGTTATGCTTCTATTCTCGGCAACTCCAAGCTCCCCATTGATCCTTATAGGAGCATATCTCCGTTCTATGCTTCGCCCCCCCCGGAGCTATCGGCACGCCACTAGAGCCCATGGAAACGCAGTGCTGATTTTGGGGCCGACTCCACGACTGATTACTTCTTCGCTCTGCCCCACGATCAATATATTGTCATCATGGTTCCCTGAATCTGAGACAATCTTGGACTCTCCGTCTTCCATCTTCACGTTCTCCTCGTTATCTTCCTCTCAACCGGTTCCTCTTCTCCCCGCGCGCTATCTGGCCGTTCCCGGTAATCCGTTGTGATCCGCGCATGGGACCGTTGACATTCTTCCCGATCCGTCCCTCTCTTTCTAGTCTGTCGTTGCGACGGAGAGGAGTACTTCGATAGCGTCGACTCCGATCATCTTTTAGGTCCTGTGGTTCCCTGATTACTCCACGATCTCTCGCTGTGAGGTGCAACTATCACGATGTTGCGAGTGGGGTCTTGGTTGTATGGGAAGAAGCCCGCCAATGCCTCGACTCAATCGCTGGACTCGCTTGCCGAGTTAAACGACTGTAAGTTTAGATCCTGCGCGTGGATGCGCCCTGGTTATACCCGCGTGCGAGATGGGCTGCGCGGCTGCGCGGCTGCAACCCCTTCTTACTTGATCGTGGCTTATGCTGACGGTGGATTCTTCGAGCGGGGAAGTGGACGAGGCGATGAAAGGTAAGGCACCGTGCCCGATGCTTCAATTGTCTGAGTCGCAAACTAATTCGTCGATCATACAGCGGCGACGTTTATCCTCAACGACGATGTCGATAGCGCCGAAGCTGGCTTAGCCAAGGGAACCTCATCTTTCCATAACGTGCGTGTGCTGTACCATGAGCGATCACCCAGGGTACGAGGAACGAGACAGATTCCATACTGACATTTGGCAATAGCTAGGTAAAGGCATGGTGGCTTTCGTCCGGGCGACCCTGGGCTTTGAACAAGAGATTATGCGACAAGGTTCGATGCCCTTCTTGTTCTCATCCGTTCGATGCCCCATCGCGCTAACTTTCCACAGCGTCGGAACGATTGAGTGAAGCGGAAACCTCAGCAGCCAGAGATCAACACCGCGCCCAACATGTTTCCCACGCCCCCAATGCTTTTCGCTCGGAGATTTATGCTGCGGGCAGCGAATATGCACTATGTCAAGCCATCGCGCAGCTAATGGGCGCGGTCGTGGGTGTCCTCAATGAGAGCCTGACGGAAAGTATCAAGGCCTTTTACCGTCTGCGCAAGGCATACATCGCCTTGGATGCCATCTTGAAGATGGAAGAGAAATTCATGGAGTTGAGAGATCCCAGCCGAGTTCTCCTTCCAAGTTCGAGTGACCTCTCCAAGGCTAGTCGTGCTAGCACAGAAGTCAAGTCTTTGGACTCACCCAGCGAGCCCTTTCATAAAGAGCCGTCCCAGCCAATTCCACCCGAAGAAAAGGACCTCGCCCAGACGTTATCTGGATTGGCAGTTAGCCCAGAGCCTGAGTTCGCATCTGGTACTTCCACGCCCGGTGGTTCCAACATCAACCACGATCCCGACTCGGACATCTTCCAGAACGAGATTGACGTGTTCGTACACTCTGGCGCTAACTTCTGCTTCGGTATCCTTCTCCTTCTCATCTCCATGGTCCCTCCTGCATTTAGCAGGCTACTCTCTATTATTGGATTCCATGGCGACAAGCAGCGAGGACTACGAATGCTCTGGCAAGCCAGCAAGTTCCACAACATCATCGGTGCCATGGCGGCCCTGGCATTGCTTGGCTATTACAATGGATTCGTTCGTTATTGCGATATCATGCCTGACCCAACCCCGGGTGAGGATGACGTCGAGGGCTACCCTCAAGAGAGACTGACTGAACTATTGACTGAGATGCGATCCCGGTTCCCGAACAGTCGCCTCTGGCTTCTGGAAGAGTCGCGGATGAAGGGCGCTAATAAGGATTTGGAGGGCGCTTTGGAACTCCTCAGTTCAAACAGCAAGAGCCCTCTTAAGCAGGTGGAGGCTTTGTGTGTTTTTGAGAAGAGTCTGAACGCGCTGTTCTTGCATAACTACGACGTATGCGCGGCAGCGTTCATCGAGGTAAGTTTGGCAATCCCGTTCACCTCCGTTTGATCGTTCTTCCCTGCGCAATTGAGGACTCATTCTTGACTTGTCAGTGTGTGGATCTCAACTCCTGGTCCCGGTCGTTGTACTACTATATCGCCGGCTCCTGCCATGTTGCGCTCTACCGCCAATCCGTCATCAACGATCCCAAAAAGGCCAAAGAGCACGCGCACAAGGCCGTAGAGTATATTCGCGCAGCCCCTCCCTTGGCGGGCAAGAAGCGATTCATGGCCCGTCAACTGCCCTTCGATGTGTTCGTCACGCGCAAGATTGCCAAGTGGGAAGCCCGCGCCAAGGAATGGAACGTCGAGCTAGTGGATGCCATTGGCGTGGACCCCATCGAGGAGATGATTTTCTTCTGGAACGGACATAGCCGTATGACCCGCAGCCAGCTCGAAGAATCTCTGGCCCGGTTGGCATGGTGTGAGAGCAGTGAGAATAAGACGTGGTCTCGCGAGGGCCCCGAGGAGAAGGCCATCTTGGAGCTTCTCCGGGCTGCCGTGCTGCGGTCCCTGCACAACCACGAGGAGGCGAAACAGATCCTCCAGACGAAGGTGCTGACACACGAGAAGTCTTCATTCAAGGGTCATTTGAAGGACGATTGGGTCCTCCCTGCTGCGCATTTTGAAATGGCGGCGAATGTCTGGATGGAGCGGCCTACTTATCAAACCCTGCACAAGCTCTCGTCGGATGTCTCCGAGAAGCCAGAGCAGGAGCGGAAGCTGGTCCAGACCTGCAAGGAGCATCTAGACCATGCTGCCCGCTGGGAAAGTTACGAATTGGATGCCCGTATTGGATTGAAGGTGACTGCGGCCTTGGAGGCCGTCCACAAGTGGGAGAACATGCACCCATCAGCCTAAGGCGCTACCAGGCCCCGGATGGATATACAGAGCGTGAATTGTTCACAGCATGCCCACGGTATGGTGTATTATAAAAGCAATAGACTACTACATGGAATTCTCGTAGACGGCCGGGCGGTTCACATGAACGTTCTCATTCCTACCCACCTTCTTTGAAACCATGCAATCGCATATATCAAGTATTCTACTACCAACACTCCAACACGATCCACCATATAAGCGGGCCTCCACACCAGCAACAGCGGCCGTCTCCTCTTAAACTCTCGGCATGGACTTAATACACGCCGAGCTCGGCTCGCTTGCCGAGTCTCGATGCCCCACATCTCACGATCTCGTCGAACCAGCTCCCTCGTCGGATAAGACGGCTCGCCACCGGCGTCGGACGTCCGATCAAAGAAGCTTTGCAAAAGAAATGAAATGGCAGTTGGTCAATCGGCACTACCCGACAAAAGGAAAAGAATATATACCCCATCTCCCCGGGGAATGGCCCAGCCAAGCATCTGTGGAAATCGCATATGGAGCCCATGACGCCTTAAAACGTCGAAATCAGGCCCACGCTTTCCTGCTTGTACCCATCCGATCGGCGGGCAATTCCTTATCCCCGTGCGTGCTCGGAGTTCACAGTCAACTTTTTTTTTTCGATCGCCCTAATTCCCTTGATCGTTGAGCAACCTATTATCGATATCTTCATCGTCGCATTCGTGCACATAAAGCAGTCATGCCCGAGCAAGCCGCGCACGAGCACGAGCACGAGCACGAGCAGGTGCATGAGCATGATGCGCACTCAACCACTTCAACAGACGACATCGAGTCTCGCGATTCGGACCATCATGCCGACGAGGAATCTGGACAGGCGTCCGTCCCTTTAGAGAAACAAACTACCGCAGCATCGGGGTTTTCGGTATTCGAGCAGCGCACACATTCGGTCGTTTCGCGCATTCGTAGTCGAGATCCCGGGCAGACGGCCAAGTTTACGCACCCATTGACGCATACGAAGACGAGTCCGGACGTGATTGTGGATTTCGAAGGTCCCGATGATCCTTATAGACCGTTGAACTGGAGTTTTGGGAAGAAAGCAGTGACAACGGTGTTGTATGGATTGACGACGATGGGTATGTTAGATGATTCCTCCCCGAATGACGTGCGGGGAAACGTGCAAGTACTAATTGGTGTTATATAGGTGCCACTTGGGCTAGTTCTATGTAAGAGATCATCTCTGCAAGAGGATCTGCGATGGATTGCTGACCAGATAAATACAGATACTCTACGGGCCAGAAGCAAATCGCTTCGGAATATGGCGTTTCCTTGGAGGTTTCGACGCTAGGAACGACACTGCTACTATTCGGTCTGGGTTTGGGTCCCCTCGTATGGGCACCTCTGTCAGAGGTGTATGGTCGTAAACCGGCTGTGCTCGCTCCTTACTTCATTGCTGCGATCATGTCGTTTGGTACTGCGACTGCAAAGGACCTACAGACGATCATGTTGACTCGGTTCTTCACGGGCTTCTTCGGCTCAGCACCCGTTACCAATACCGGTGGTGTCCTGGGTGATATCTGGTCACCCGAGGAACGCGGCGTTGCTATTGTCGGATACGCCATGGCTGTTGTTGGTGGACCTGTCCTGGGTCCCATTGTTGGTGGTGCGATTGTTCAGAGCTACCTCCACTGGCGATGGACTGAATATGTGCGTTCACCTTCTGTTCCCACCCCTTCCATTCAATTTCTAACGTCCCCTAGATCACCGGTATCATGATGATGTTCTTCCTTCTTCTCGACCTCATCTTCATCGACGAGAGCTACCCGCCCGTCCTTCTAGTCTACAAGGCACAAAGACTCCGTTTCGAAAGCGGCAACTGGGCTCTCCACGCTCGACATGAAGAGTGGGATGTAACCCTCAAAGAACTGGGTAACAAGTATCTCGTCCGACCCTTCCAGCTACTCGCCACTCCGATCTGCTTCCTTGTGGCCTTGTACGCCTCCTTCGTATACGGCATTCTCTACCTCAGTCTTGCAGCATTTCCCATCGTCTTCCAAGAAATCCGAGGCTGGAACCAAGTCGTCGGCGCCCTACCTTTCCTCGCCTACCTAGTCGGCATCATAATCGGCGCTGTAATCAACGTATCCAACCAGCGCTTCTACCTGAAGCGCTTCAAGGCGAACAACAATCGCGCGGTCCCCGAGGCAAGACTACCACCTATGATGCTCGGCTCCGTCCTCTTCGCAGCCGGCATGTTCGTCTTTGGCTGGACAAGTCCTAAGCACATCCACTGGATCGGCCCCATCATCGGCGCCGTCATGATGGGCTTCGGCTTCTTCACTATCTTCCAGGCTGCTCTCAACTACCTGATCGACACTTTTCAGAAATCCGCCGCCAGCGCGATCGCAGCAAACACTTTCCTGCGCTCCATTTTCGCGGGTTGCTTCCCGCTCTTCACCACCGCCATGTTTCATAACCTCGGTGTGCCATGGGCGGCTAGTGTTCTTGGCTTCATTTCTGTTGCTCTGATACCCATTCCGTATCTTTTCTTTACGTACGGACGGCGCATTCGAGCGCGCGGTAAGTGGTCGCGTGATTCACTTTAGACTGTCGCAAAGAAGGAAAATTACTTCGTTTCTGATTGCATATAATTTCTCCTGCATTTTCATATGACTTTCGTGTTCTTTGGTCCGGTTATACTGGCCAGATATTAGATACCCTTGCATTTTTTTACTTATTTGAGAATGGTCGCATTGGGACAATTGATTTGGATTATCAGTATATAAGCATTTTTACATATCCACGATTAATAACAAAGAGTTAATCTTCTTTCTGTCCTTCTACTCTCTGAATGTCTGACCGACTTTTTCCATCAAACTAACATTGCATGCGCCATCCACGAAGTAGCAAGATCCCAGTGCCCCCCGTCACAGTGTAAACAGATCCGACGAGAACATCCAATCACCTTTCGATCTATCAATAAACCCCCGTCTAATGAATGAACTCCACCAAGAATGGCAACCGAGCGCGAGGACAAACTTGATGTGGCTGGCTTTACGGCTTTATGTGAATAACGCTGTGTAACGACGCTAGCCGTATAGCACAGATGTGGCGTTGCCCCGAGAAGCTGAAGAGTTCACGCAGTATATCCGATTCTCGAGAGGAGGGGTAACTTCCACAAATAGAAGAGTCTTGACTGATGCTGATGTTCTTATTAGCTCAGTAGCCCGCCGTTAGCTGAGAGTGGATGTCTTATGCATTCGGATACACCGGTTGAACTGGCTGTTAGGTATGGCGGGGAAGAGGACCAGATCCTCTCGGCACTTCTCAGACGATCTAAGCGTGTGAAGAAGAGGGGGTGCCACATCATCAAAAAATTCTCGGATGATTTATCCGGGGGAGATCGAAGCCTATGATGAATCACGCAGGCGATTCTATAAGTATCTCTCTATTTTCTGCAGAGGGATGCATTTCTTCAATTCTGGCTCTATTTCTATGAGATTCGTATCAGATATTGAAATTTGTTTACTACCAGATTCTTTATGCTCATTAGTCTACGAGGGACTGACGTCAATATGCTTCATACCCATGAGAAATACATTTTCGGTAGAAGTCCAAAGGAATCAGAAAGGTAGAGACCTTTTTCAAATTTCACATTATGAAGCGAAAGCAACGGATCTTCATCTAATAAATAGCGCTCATCTATATCTAGGCTTGATAAACAGCACGATCTACTGACGAAGATAACCGAAAACAATCTGATCCACCCATCGATTCCTAAAGAGAGCATACTCTCGATTGCGGATATAGCGACTGGGACTGGGTAAGCACACGGTCCTCTTCTTTTCCAGTATTTCGATAGCTAACAAGTCAAATTAGCATCTGGCTCAGAGACGTCACGCAAGAGTTAGAGACGTCAACTCGAGTCCAGCGTTATTACCATGGTTTCGATATCTCGTCCGCTCAATTCCCCACAGATTCGAGCCACATCCAATTCTCCGTTCACGATATCACCAAGCCTTTTCCGAAAGAACACTGGAACCGGTATGATCTGGTCCATGTGCGACTATTAGTGGCTGCTATCGACGAATCCGACTACCAGGCCGCCATAGCCAACGTGCATTCTATTCTGAGTCAGTCTCTCTCATCTAATAAATTCTCTGTAAACTAGCAGCTTCTTGGATGTCTTTCAACTAATCCTCGTTCAGAGCCAGGAGGATATCTTGAATGGGAAGAAATCGACGAAGAAACTTACATATCAAACAACAACCCCGTCATCTGGGAGATCCGAAGATGTTTCGATTCGTCGCTCACAGCCGAGGGCAAATGCTTCCGAGCATCTGCCAAGGTTGGCGATGAATGCATCGCAGCTGGTTTCCAGGACGTGGTCAGGCTAGCCTATAGCTCTGACGACAATAGTAGCCTCCGTGTTGACACGGAACAAAGACTTGCAGCCATTATTGAAACCCTTTATGCAAGTCTGCTATTGCGATCTGGACAGGTTGCCGATGAAGTGGCGGCGTCGACACGGGCTCGGGAGTTGATTGACGAGCATCGTCGACTCTGTGAGAAAGGAAATTCCCCACCGTTGAGATTGATGAGAGTTGTTGGCCGGAAGCCATTGCGTGGTTCACGTCTCTAACAAGGATATTCATATTGAGGATAGTTTGCTGGCAATTGATGACTGGAGGAAAAACAATATGTCCGGTCTAGGAATCGACCTTCTCTTGAGCCTCTGATTTCGCTTCTTGTATGACGCTTGGGTTCGTATCATCACTAGGCCCCGGGATTATTGATTGCTGTAATGACCATTCCTCTGTGTCCCTGAATATCTAGGTGTCCGTTTATGAAGTGGGCGTTTTGGCTTAATTGGACTGTTATCAAAATCCTCAGGTTCAAGAGCTGGTTGATATGTCGAGTTCGATGAAAAGATATCGAAGCCCAAGAGCCCGCAGCTTACATCTTACGACGAAAGAACTTGAAATATGCTGTTTATCAGTGCGCAGACGTGAATATTCTGCCTCGTATGTGAGTATGTCACGAATAAAGAAGTTTTTTATCTCAATCGAATAGAGGGGAGGTTTCAAGAGTACATAGAAGGGGATAATGGCCGGAACTGTAAGATAGGGTCGTGAGAAGCTATTTTCGCCGCCCAACTTGTTCTATTATTGTAACTAGCCTTGCGTTGGAATAATGATATAGGAAATATTCAGAAAAGTGTTCTGAGACAAGTATTTCGCACATGAAAAATGAAGGAGACAAAAGAAAATTACACAATATCCGGCGATGGACTCTTTGGAAGGATGCAGTCCCCGTGGGAGTTTGACCTATTTTTTTTTTTTGATTTTTTTTTTTTGATTTTTTTTTTTTGATTTTTTTTTTTGATTGAGTTCGGCTGGATGTAGCTTTGATATGAAGTCATTCTCCGCAACGGAGGGTGGTTGTACGATCGAGTATCAAGCGTGGCTTGAAACCATGGTGTTCCTGCGCGTCAACTTGCGAGCGAGCATCATGGCCTTCTCCCAGGTCTTCTTCTTCTCGCCACGGGTAGAGGTGACAGGATCAGGTGAGACAGCACCAGCAGCAAAGTCAGGGGGGAAATCTTCTGGATGTTTTGCATTGTGCAAAGCCAGCACGGCCATCTGACCAAGGAAAGAAGGATGCTCAAGAAGGTCCTCGAGGCGGACTTTGAGACCTTCTTGCTCAAGGAGCCAGGTGAGTTGGGCCATGTTGAAGATGTCGCCCCCAAGATCAAAGAATGATGAGTCAAGCTGGAAGGCAGCCTGGTGGCTAGGTTTGTCTCCAGCATCTGGGTCTGTCGTGGTGGTCGAGGCACGGTTTGGGAGGACTTGATGCCACGAGCGTGACAAGATGTCGGAGTGGACGAGCAACTCGGCAATAGAGCGCGACTTGAGGTGAGCGCTGAGGAAGTGCTCATCCGAGGACCGGGGTTGGTCATCCACAACCTGGGGTGGCAGAGAGCGAAGCATGCTTGGTGAAGGCAAGGCAGTGGAGGGGTTTGCGACTAGGGAAAGCGCAATCTCGCAGACCATATCGAGGACCTTGTTTGCAAAGGCAGGGAGGATAGGTCCCTTCTCAGAGTACCCAAGAGTGACGCTTAGGCTGCGGTCGTCTGCAGGACGAGAAACCATGGTCAAGTCTGCAAAGTTGTCGTTCACTCCGGCACCACCCATGCGGTACTTGGTGTTGTCAAGCTCAAGGGAGCCTTCGTAGTCAACATTCTGATGGAACACCGAGGTGGTGAAGTATGTCCATGCGGGCCAGTCAGTGCACTGCTTGATAATCTCGCGGAAGCCCAGGGACTCATAGGGCATGTTCGAGACTTGTTGATCTTGAAGATAGCGGAAAAGCTCAAGACCAGTCCATTTCTCATCAAACTTGACGCGTACTGGAATGACGTTGACACAAGGGCCGACTGTAGTCTCAATGCCAGGAACAGTCGCGTTTCGCCCACTGATTGTCAGGCCGAAGACCACATCAGACTGGGCTGACAGCTTTGCCAAGGTGATGGCCCAAGCAGCCTGCATAAGAGTCGCAACAGTGACGTTTCCAAGAGCGGTGGGAGGGATTTCAATGTTCTTGCGAATTTCGGTGAAAGAACCAACGTTCTGGAACATCGAAGTGCCCTTGCGGCGCACAACCTGCGTCATTTGCGAGTCCCTCAAAAGCTTGGACCAATGGTTGTAATGGTCTGGACCGACGGTACCTGGAAGTTGACGCAGGTAACTAGCAAAGGGAGTCACAGGAGGAAGCGGGCTACCCTCATATCCAAGCTTGATGGCAGACATAATCTTGGAAAGACAGACACCGTCGTATTGAGTGTGGGAAAGACGAATCATAATGCGGTGTTCGTCACTGTTCTTCTTCTTGACGACGTAGAACTGTACGTACTGCTCTCCTTCGCGGGGGCCATATTCACGGTCGCGTTGCTGCAGGTTCATGACAAATTCGTCCATTCCACGATCAGTCTCGTAGACAAAAATGCTGGGACGAATCTTGCGAAGAACCACCTGGAAGAACTGGTCGTGGAAGCAGACGAAAACAGTACGCAGGATATCAAATGCATCAACAACCTTTAAGCAACTCTCACGGAGACGGCGCAGGTCCAAAGGTCCGTTGCCCTCGAGGAAGAAATAGTTCAACATCCATCGTGACTTGAAAAGAGTTGCAGTTAGGGACATGGCCTGGAAGTCGGTCACTGGCAGAACATCGGCGATGCCACCCTTAAAGACACCGATCTTTGGGCAGATACCACTCTGAACCGAGGCATCGTCGACAGCCTGCATCGGCCTGAGAACGGAAATACTTTCGGAGGATGGAGTTGGTGCCAACGTTGCGGGCTTGCTGTCAGTGAAAGAATCAACGTCCTTGTGAGCAGCCTTCAGATCGACATCCAACATTTGTTGAGTGCCATTTGCTGCACGAACGGTTGCCAGCATATCCTCGAAAACGGGATTGTTGAAAACATCTGCAACAGTAAGAACCAAACCCTCTTCGCGGGCTGCGCTCACCATCTTCATTGCGGTGATACTGTCACCACCCAACTTGAAGAAACTTTCCTGGTGTCGCACAACATTGGGCGAAAGGCCCAGGGCAGTGCTCCAAAGAGTCCACAATCTTCTCTCAAGGTCCGCCATCATCCCATCCTCGCTGGATCTGGAAGTTGCAGAGCAAACACCAGAATCATCAGCTCCTCCTTGTATACCCTCTAATGGGTACGGCGAATCCACTCCATCTTCAGTGTGTCCATAGCCAGACAAACTCTCCGGCTGCATGTGCGGCACCATCAACTTTCCATCCCTGAGCATCTGACCAATGATCTCATGCACACGACTGTCAATCATTTTCTGGATTGCAGCACCATCCAAAGCTTCGATGCCCAGCTTGGCTTTCTCATTGAGAGTGGACTGAGAGTTGGCCCATTCCGAGTTTCGTTCCTCCACAAGACTCTTTTCGAATTTCAAGGATTGAATCTTTGAAAATGGCGACTCAATGAAGCTAGTGAAGACCTTGGCAATGCTACGTACCAAGTAATGTGCTTGGTCATCGCTCACCATGTCATTCCAGTAGCGCAGCATGATACCTTCTGCGCCTCGAGAGATATCGACATTCACAGTAACAGCATACTATACAAGGATTAGCGGACTAAAGTAACAAAATTAGAGATGTCTACTATGCTTACCTCACTGGGGTCGTGAGCATGTTGCAGGTCAAAGGAGAGACCTTTCTCCTTGTTACCACCCGCAACGTTGTGGTTCTGAATAGAGAGTGTAGTGTTGAAAAGAGACTGTCCCTGCCAGCCGAGTTCATGCTGAATGCTGGCGAGGGAGCAGCTTTGGTGAGGAATGCTGCGAATGTAGTCACCATTAACTCGCTTCGAGACGTCAGCGAGAGTTTGATGACCAGAAAATTTGACCCTGCAGCAGAGCATGTTGATGAAAATTCCAACCATGTCCTGGATACCGTTGACGGGCGCATCGCGACCGGCAGAAAGGTATCCGAAGCAGACATCATCGGAGTGAGTGACCTCCCGCAGAACTATGGCCCACGCTGTCAAAGTCAGATTGGCCAGAGTGACAGAAGCCTGTTCGCAGAAGCGCAAGAGCTCGGGGTATCGCGTGAATTCCATCAAAACACCCTTCAGCTCACGCTTGGCTTGTGGTTGAGCCGCGGGAGGAACATGGCATGGACGAACTCCCCCTAGATAGTCTTTCCAGTGATCAAGGGCGGCGACTTGGCTCTGTGTTCTAATGTACCGGATGTACTCGCTGAATTTGGGACCAGAACCCTCAGCAAGACGGCGATCATAAGCTAGGGCCAAATCGCGAAGGAGCACATCAACACCACCACCGTCGATGATCGCGTGGTTGATTTCAAGTTTGACCAGCACACGTCCGCTTGTAGTTTTGCAGACTGTAAGTTGGTGTGACAGCTTGGCTGGTCGCATGGCGTTAAGGTCGTGAAGTGAGATGGCTCTCAATTTGTCATCAGCTTGCGAGTCAGAGCACTCAACACGAAGTACGTGATCATTGAGCTTGCTAAAAACAAGCTGATCAAAAGATCCACCGCTATAGTTGCTGTCAATGAAGACGGTCCGGAGGACTGGGTGTCGATCAACGAGCATCTGCCATGAGCGAGCAAGTCTCTCGGCATCAACCTTTCCAGAGCGCGTATCCTTAATTTCAAAAATGGTGTGAAACATGTAAGCACTGGAATCTCGAAGCTGGCTGAGCAAGAGACCCTCCTGCATTGGCGAGCAGGGGTAAATATCCTCCACCTCTGTCTTGCTGCGAATGCTAAGCTTTTTGAAGGTGTGGCTGGTCAGAACTCGGAGACCGTCATAGCTGATGGGCAGCAGAGGGTAGTCGCTGAGGGTAGGCTCTGGGGTGGCATTTCTCAGAACAGACATATCTTTCTCGAAAGTGTGCTTGCACTGTAGTATCCAGCGGCGAATTTGAGGCTCTCGAGACATCTTGCGGTTATAGGCGAATGATACATTGAGACGCTGCTTTACGACAATTGCAGAAAGCTCGAATAGAGCAAATCGATGTGTCTCGGGGCCCATGTCTCCTGCGACCGCAAAGTCTGAGCTGTCGAAAACACTACCCTCGTGGCGGAAGAGGGAATCGGGTCGCTCCAGCTGCTGGAGCTTTCCAAGGTAGTTGAAAAGAATTTCGAAGGGAACATTAAAATCATCAGACGACTGTTGGTCAGATGCAAGAAGACTCTTAGCGAAGTAGGGACGGCCATTTTCGGTGATCTTGCGACGTGTGTCTTTGACACGCTTGACGATGTCAAGAATAGTACCTATTAATTTTGGTGAGAATTGTGTCCTAATATTTCCAGGCAGAGATTAGAAGAGAACTTACCTTGGTTGCTGTCAACAAGCAATGGAGTCATAGTTGTGAACCAGCCAACAGTTCTGGAAAGGTCGATGCTTGCGACCCATGGCTCACGACCATGACCTTCATTGTAGATAGTAGGAAGCTTGCGGTCCGTGAAAATCAGGCTGAAAGAGTGAATGATCGCCGCAAGCAATATGTCGACAGTATCCGTTCCAAAGACTTCATGGCAATCATTCAGGAGGAACCGTGTGGTATCTTCACTCAGTGTGAACGACTCCATTTTGAGGTCACCATATTGGTTTGCAGTGTCGGTCATTCCCCAGTAGCCTAGGTTCGGCTTCTCTGGGGTAAATGGAAGAGTAAGACCAGCGTCATTCATCTTTGCGCGTTCCAGCTGCATGGCACACCAGCTCTGGAAGGACAGTGCTTTCTCATCAGACAATGAACCCGAGACAACGAGCTCCTCAAGGTCCTGGAGGATGATTCGCCATGAAACCATGTCGACACACAGGTGGTGTGCGACAACAAAGAGAACTTGGCCACCACTGCGAAGATTGAAAAGATCGGCAGCAAATATAGGACCGTTGAGCGGGTCCAGGCAGGACTGGCTCTCAGCAATCTTTGGAACCATTGCCCGAGTGTCATTCACAGAGTGCACGCGGAACCGGTAAGACGCCTCAAGGTCCTGGGTTCTGTTAGCATTGTTCAAATAGTATACAGCCAACGGTGCACATACCACTTCACATTTCTGTTGCCAGATTCCGTCCTTGGACTTGTTGAAGCGGGCCTGCAACATGGAGTGTTGGCTGGTGACAGCGTTGATTGCTCTGCGCAGGACTTCGCCTTCGACTCGACGGGCGATGCGCACAGTAATGCTCTGGTTGAATCGAGATGCACCCTTGAAGGAAGCTGAGGACTGCATATATAACTTTTGAACAGGCGAAAGCCCGAATCCTTCCCCAGACATTTCCTGTCGTTGACTGACAGCCGGAGCCTTTGAAGTGGCAGCCTGGGCCAATTCTTTGACAGAGTTGGCTTCCAAGATGTCATTCAATGTGACAATGAGCCCCTGTTTTCGCGCTTTGGATATCACAGCCATTCCGGTAATACTGTCACCGCCTGGATGAATTTGTTAGTGTGAATGATCATTTAGATTGAAACTTGGGTCCATTGGAAACTTACCCAGGCTGACAAAAGATCGGTCGATATTGACCTTTTGCAGAGACATGTTGAGAACCTGCGCAAGAATCTCGCGAATGATCTTGAGGGAACCACTCTTTTCCTGCTCGGCCTGCGGCTTCTCAGTCACGCCACGCTTCATGCGGTCGAAGTCTTGCATAATGCGCTCATAAGAGTCATCATCAATGTTCTCGAGCCAAGCAGAAATCTTCTTCCGATCAAGTTTGCCAGATACAAGCATCGGCAACTTCTTCACCAAAGCCCAGGTTTGGGGAACCATGTAGACAGGCAATTGGGCTTCAAGGCTTTTCTGGACCTCAACAAGAATGGCCAGACCCTTGTTGTCAAATTCGTCATCATCGAGGAGCTCGCAAGGCTTATCAGAAATCAGCTTGTTGTCGGCAGCAATCTCGTTCGCCGACATGACGGTCACAAGACGCTGTTTCAAAGGACCAGTCTTGGGCAGAATGACGACCGCGTGCCGAACTGCGTCGTGTTCCGAAAGTCTATGCTCGATTTCGCCAAGCTCCATCCTCTGACCGTGCAGTTTGACTTGGTGGTCCTTGCGGCTGATGTACTCAATGGAACCATCGGGGTTGTAGTAACAAAGATCACCAGTTTTGTAGATCCGCCGGGGCGATGGAACGGAGGACTTGAAGTCTTTGACCCAGGCAGGATCCAGAATAAACGACTCTGCATTCTTCTCCGGATTGTTGAGATATTCCCGGGCCAATGCTGGACCTTCAAGTGCAAGCTCTCCGACAGCGCCGAGTGGTGCAAGGCGCTCATGGTTCTCAGCATCAACGATCCAAGTCAAAGTGCAAGGGATACCATAACCGATACGAGCAGGGTCACGACTGCTGGCGACAGCAGTATCAACCACTGCAAACACAACGGTTTCCGTGGGACCGTAGCCATTCATCAGATGAAGCACATTGGCCCACTTTGTGATGACTTCCTGTGACATTTTCTCACCACCGACGATGAGGATTTCAAGTGAAGGCACGGACGACGGCTCAATGATGCTTGCAATAGAGGGAGTGAGGAAGGTCCATGTAACATTGAGACGACGAATGGCACCAGCCACGTCGTTGAGGCGCTCGTCCTCACTTGGAACGCAAATACAACCGCCAAGCATTAGGATTGCCAAAGTCTCCATGATCGCGGCATCGAAGGTCAGCGAAGCAAACTGGAAGACCCTCGACTTGGGACCCATCAGAGTCATTGGAGCAAAACCCATGATACTGCTGACTGCGTTGCGATGCTCAACAACAATACCCTTAGCGCGTCCGGTGGATCCAGAAGTAAAGAGTGTGTAAGCCATGTTTGAAGGTTGTACTTTGGTGCATTTCCTGGCTGGAACATTGAGAGATCCATACGCTTTCAGAGTATCCTTGCTGATTGGAATAACAGTTTTGACAACTCGGGTGTATCTGTTGGTGTAGTTGGGAGTGCACAGAATCATGTTTGCACCGACGTCCTTCAAGATCTCTTCGTGTCGGGAAACCGGATGGTGAGGATCCAAGGGAACGTAGCCACCGCCAGCGATCAGAATACTGATCAGGGTAACCATTGCCCAAGCAGACTTATCGAGACACACAGGGACAAAGACTTCCGGGCCAACACCGCGAGAGACAAGGTACTTGGCGAAGGAAGATGCGAGGTCCCAGAATTCACGGTAGGTGAGCTCGCCATCCCATGCACAAACTGCAGGTGCATTTGGTGTCTCTATACACTTGTCCTGAATGAACTCATGAACGCACCGCTCGACAGACGGAATTTCACGCTGGTTCCATCGAGCAATCTCTGTCTTGTCTTGAGGGCTGATAACTTCCAAATCCGCAAGCTTGTCCGTACTTGTCTTGTGGGTTGACAAAAGCTGACTCAACACATGGCCAAATTGCTCAGCAAGGTGTCTGCTCTGCCAGCCATTGATGACAAGTTCATCATGATGAACGGTGAATGAAATTCGTGTCTTAGAGATGCCACATTCAATGACGAGTGGGTGGGTGAAGAAGTCTTCGCTGGTTTCGCGCTTCTCGTCAGTCCAAATACTGCTGTTCAGCTCACCCTCAGTGGGCTGGATGACCAGGAGGTTCTGGAAACCACACCCTGCAGAGGTATCGTTGTTCAGTGCGCGGATACGTTGCAGACCAGAATGCAGATGAGGGATCATGTCAGTGGTGGATTGATGAATCTGATCAAGGTACTTAATGATGGACATCTCCTGGTCGACCATGATACGTGTGGGAACAGTTGAGAGTACGGGCCCCGCAATATCACCAACGGCAGGTAGATCGATGTTGCGGCCGGACAAAGTCTCGCCAAAGCAGACATCACCCGTAGCGGTGTGAGTCGATACCACGAGGGCCCAGGCGGCACGGAGAAGAACAGGAAGAGTGAAGTCAACGCTGTTTGCCGGTCGCGTAAATTCCATTGTGTGGTACTGGGTGTTTCCCGCACGAATAGCATCAGGAACGGAATTCTTGTTCTGTGGGAATGGAGTGCCAGACATGTTGGCAAGATAGCTCTTCCAGAATGCGTCGGATTCCTCCATGTTCTTGCTATTCAAGTACTCTATAAAGAGTCTGTATGGGGCGGCGGGCATCTTGTTCTGCGAAGCATTGTAATTTTCTTCGAGTCTGCGATAAACGAGCGGAATGCTCCAGCCGTCGTAGAGGGCGTGATGAACTGACCACACAAAGTAGAAATCTGAAGATTGGCGAGGGTGGACAATTGCATATCCTGCTAAAGGAGCACCGTTGTGCTTGGGAAGTTCGGTGATGTCCTTGGACAAATCTTCAAACGAATCGGCGTGCACCCAGTCAATGGGCATATCCTTGAGAACGACCTGTGCGAAGTTCATTGCTTCAGTGTGAACGATTCGAGTCCGAAGAATGTCTAGGTCTGCGACTGTCTGCTGCCAGGCGGCCTTGAAGCGGTTGAGGTCGGCACCATCGGCCAGGCGGAAGGCCGGTTGCGCAACATATGCCCCGTGATGTTTGATGGACATTGTCAAGAGGCCTTCCTGAACGGCACTGCATGGGTATACATCAAGGACATCATCCTTTGTCAACGCGCAATTTTCAGTCACCTCGTCCAGGAGGCTGCCGAGGTCAACAGAGGATGGCAGGAGTGAGAAGGGCTTGAGAGCCATAGCCTTCGCGGGCGGGGTCTGTATGGATTTAGAGCAGCTCTTTGCCATATCAATGAGAACAGGAGTCTTGAAGATAGTCGCAACGTTGAGTGCGATTCCCTCGGCCTGAGCAGCACCGACAAGGTTCATGGCAGAGAAGGAGTCGCCACCCAGGGCAAAGAAGCTGTCTTCGTTAGAGACTGACCCGGCCTCCAGGTCGAGTGTCTTCTCCCAAAGGTCGCGTAGCTTTGCATCGAGACCATCCGTGCAAGTTTCCTCGTCCTTGCCCGAGGCGTTAAAGGTGATGTAGGACTTGAGGGTTTCTTTCGACAAAGTCTGCACCATAGCACGAAGCCTGCGGCGGTCAATCTTGGCAGAGGAGGTAAACGGAAGGTTTCGTAGCGGGAAGAAGAGACGAGGCATCATGCTTTGGGGCAAAAGGTCTGGTAGGGAGCTCTTCAATCTCTGAACGGCATCCATGTTAGAGACCGATATGGGTAGTAGCAGGGGATCAGCGCCGGGAATCGTAGGTGTGAACTGATCGGTGCTACCACCTTGGGAATCCTCATCATGAACGGTGAAGAAGGCTGCAAGCGCCTTGGCGACGGTTCGCTCCTGGGGCACAACGACGTCGACGGCGACTTGAGAACCCTCGGGCAGGCATCGAACGCATTGGTGTTCAATCTCCTCAAGTTCAATTCGCTGGCCGTTGAACTTGATCTGGGTGTCCTTGCGGGAGATGAATGCAAGAGTGCCATCGTTGTTGTAGCGAACAAGATCACCAGTACGGTACATACGATCCTTGCGCTTGAACAGTCCAAGCAGCCCATTGTGATGGCTCCAAGTCGGATCGTCCACAAAAGCAGCTTTGGTCTTTTCTGGGTTGCCGAGGTATTCACGGGCAATATTGCTTCCCTCGAGGAGCATCTCGCCGACAGCACCAACAGGAAGAAGGCGGTTGTAGTTGTTGGGATCGACGATCCAGACTCTGCAGTTGGCGGCGGTACCAATGGAGGTTGGATCATCGTTGACACGATTACCCTCCCAGTCCACCTTCACGCCGACAGTGGCGACAACCGTGGCTTCGGAAGGACCATACGCGTTGATGACAAACCGATCATGCCAGCGATCAATGTGGTTTGCAGGCATCTTCTCACCACCAGTAATGATAGTCTTCAGGGTGGGGACGGTCTTGGGCTCCAGGGTATTGACAATTGCAGGGGGGGAAGACATGTAGTTGGCTTCCATGCGTCGGATGGCACCACCAAGATTGTTCATCCGTTCTTCTTCACTGGGTACACACACACAACCACCGGTCATCAGGGTCATCATAATCTCTAGAACACTGACATCAAAGGTGTAGTTAGAGAATTGAAGTGCACGAGTGCCAGAGTCCATGTGGAGAGCATCCATCATGGCAATAGCAGTGGTGCTCAAGGCAACATGCTCGACGACGGTTGCTTTGGGCTTGCCGGTTGTTCCAGACGTGAAAATGGCATAGGCGGCATTTTGGGGGGTGGGTCGAATACTGGAAAAGGCGAGAGGAGATTCTGGAAGCTGTGAGATAGAACTCTGGGAGACACCAAAGGCCTTCTTGCATAGCTTGGCGAGCTTCGTCTGGAGGGAGGCGGAACACAACACAAGATCAGCACCAATCTCATCGATCAGCATCTGCAAACGGGAGTCGGGATGGGAAGGATCGATGGAGACAAACGCGCCTCCAGCCTTGAGGACAGCCAGCTGAGCGACAACAGCCCAAGCTGATTTCTCGAAGCATAAAACAACGAAAACCTCAGGCTTCACCCCGGACTTTGCCAAAAAGCGTCCAAGACGACTGGCAACGATTTCCAATTGACCATAAGTAAAATTCTTGTCCCAGGAGCAAACGGCTTCAGCACGAGGATGGAGGAGGGCTTGTTGTTGTATAAGCTCGTCGGCGCACTTGTCCATTCTGGGGGGAAGGGTGGCATTCCAGTCACGAATTTGTCGGCAAGACCGCTCAGGGAAGAGATCAAGATCGCCGATAGTGCGATGTAAGGGGCTACTAGACATCAGGTCGTTCAAAATATGATCGAAGGCATCTATGACATGGGTGATTTGGGCGGCCGTGAGCGTGTCCGAGGTATATGTAAAGTGAATCTCTGCGACAGTGTTGGAAACAACTGCCGCAACAGCAATCTTGTAGTCTCTAGTTGCGGTGGAATCACCCGCGTCGCCTTGGGGCAATGAAGAGGCAGTGCGGTAGGTGAGGAGGGTGTTGAAGAGACTAGCATCGTCGAGGCTGAGGTGGTGTTTGATGGCGGCAAGATCAGTAAAGTTCTCGCAGACTTTATTGGATTGGGCCTTGGACTGTTGAAGGGTTTCTTCCAAGTTACGGTCGTTGTTCAGAAGGAGGCGGCAGACAGAGATGCCTTGCGCATCTGCCTCGGTAGAGAAGCCGAAGCAGATATCGTCGCACCCGGTGTAGCATCGCAACACAATACCCCAAGCTATCTGGAACAAGATCTCGACAGAAACATCAGACATTTTACTGAACGCATGCAACTTCTGGGTCTGTCTGTTGAGAGTCCGGGTGGAACGTTGAAGATTGGTAGCATCGTGTGAGATGGGCGGGAAATTGCAAGGCTCAGCATCAGCAAGATACTCTTTCCAGAAGTTGAGATGGTTGTTCAAAACAGCCGATCCAATGGAGGTGCGATTAGCCGAAATGGACCCAGTCCAGTGTTTGCAGTCGAATGATCGCAGCTGACTGTCGGGTAGAGCTCCAAGCTCGGTTCTCAAGGCCTGATAGTTTAGCTTGCCAAATGGAGTAAGGGGCAGGGAGGAAAGAGGGACGTATCTACTAGGAACCTTGCTGGCAGGGAGTTTGCTGACCAGATGAGAGTGCAGCGAGGTGATGGTAGACTTCAACTCGGGCGCAGACTTCAAAATGACTTGTTCATCAACGGTGCTTGTTGCGGATCTTGACGATCCAATGAAGGCAACGATGAGGTCTGAGCGATCTTCATTCAGTCTCACCATATCGATGGCAGACATTCGCTTTGGTCCAAGGAAATCACCCGCGAGTTGCTGGATGAACATTGTGTCAGGGCACATGATGCCACTGCTCTTCCTGCCGAGGAAAACGAGAGAGCCATCGGCATTGTACCGGACAAGGTCGCCAGTCTTGAGGAACTTGCGATTTTTACCACCGGCGAAGGCAGAAATCCAAGCAGGCTTCTCGAAGAATTCCGTCTCGCCATCTTTGGTACCAGCCAGGTAGCCACGAGCAACAACAGGACCCTCGATTGTCAATTCACCAATGGCGCCGACAGGAACAAGGGCGTTGTGATTGTTGGGATCAACAACCCATGGGACGCATGAAATCGCCGATCCAATGACAGAAGTCTCGGTAACATTGCCGACAACTTTGCAGTGCATAGACGCGGTAGAAGCTTCGGTGTTTCCGTACAAAAGGTGGACTTGGAGATCCTCAGATGTCCAGTTTTCCAGCAGCGTTTGAGATGCAGCTTCTCCAACGAATGCCACAGTCTTGAGAGTAGGTACCTCTTTGGGAGTTAAAAAGCTGGCAATCGTGGGAGTGATGCATGTGAGATTGGTTTGCAGAACACTGATTGAGGCAGCAAGATTCGCTGGCTCAACGTCAGCTGGGATACAGAGACAGGCACCGCGGCTCAAACTTGCGATATTCTCGAGCAGGAACAGGTCGGAGGTATGCGCGGCAAATTGCAATATCCTAGAAGATTCGCATATGCCGAGAGAGTTGGCAAAGGCCTCGGCACGTGTCATAATTGTACCATGTTCAAGAACAACACCACGAGCGCGGCGCGAGGTCCCAGAGGTGAAGGCGACGTAGGCCGGGTCAGACGGGCCAGCTGTCGACGGGAGGGGCTCGTCATTAAGATACTCTAGAAGAGACTCGCTGACGGGGATAACATAAGGGATAGCCTCCTCGAGAATTTGAGCCTTCTCAGGCGAAGCGACGGCAACCTGCACGACATTGTCGAGAACCCATTTTTCAATCAAACTCATGGTATTGGGGCCGTCAACAGGGATACATCCGCCACCGGCCTTCATGATGGCCAGCATAGACACGGTGTTCCAGACGGACTTCTCGAAGCACATTGGAACCAGGCTTCCGGGGCCAACTCCAAATGTGACTAGATAGCTGGCTAACCTTGAAGAGTAAATATCCAGCTTCGAATAAGTGAGAGTTCCGTCCCAAGCGGCGATGGCCAAAGCGTCCGGCTTTTGCTTCGACATCTTCTGAATGCCCTCATAGGTACAACGATCCACACCTTTGGGGCTCTTCTTGTTCCAGGCTTGGATTTGAGCCTTATTGGAATCACTCAGGCAGTCCAGCTGGCCGATCTGGCTATCCGCATTGGTCAGGATGCTCTCGAGGAATCGGACATATGTGTTGGCAACGTTGGCTGCTTGGGCATCAGAGAGATTGGTGGTCCAGTAGTTCAGCTCAATCCGAGCTTGAGAATCCATCGCCTCGATGTTGATAAAAACAGGGAATTCGGCTGGATCGTGAATAGAGCCAACCTCCACACACTCGATGTCGCTGCTGACAGCATCCTTGGCACTAGGAAGACGACGATATGAGACGCCAGAGTTAAACAGGTTGGTATCAGCTGTTTTGAGGGCATGCTGAATGTCGATGAGGGAGGTGTGACGATGCGGGATGCCCTCCATGTAGTCGTTCTGGATCTGCTCAAGGGCATCCATGAGAAGGGTGTCACTGGAGATCTTCATACGGCAGACCATGAGGTTTATGGCAGGACCAACGACCCTCTGAACTCCCTCGGCTGGCACATCTCGAAGAGAAGCCATGTAACTGAAGATCACGTCATCGGAACCACAGAACAAACGCAGTGTGAGGCCCCAGGCCGCATTGAATACATTGGCCAAGGTGATGCCCTTCTTCTCGCACACAGTCTGTAATTGCGCAAGAGAGCCAAAATTCACGGGTACTGATCGTAAGTTCTTTTCAACAGAATTCTGGCCATCCGTGAGAACCGGGAAGAGACAAGACCTGGCATCAGTAAGGTAGGAGCGCCAATACTGAGTACTGGCCTCTTGCGGCGCATCGAGCAAGTAGCGTATGTAATCCTTAAATAAGGGACGTCGACTCTCCTCCAATCTACCATTATAAGCCAGCTGCAGGTCGCGCATGAGAATAGAAATTGAGTTGCCATCCATTGCCGCGTGGCTGAGCTCGATGCGACAGAAGAGCTTGCCACCGAGGGTCTGGCAAATGGAGAACCTATACGCGGGGGCAACCTCACTGTAGTCCTTGGGTTGTTGAGCATCGAAGGTAACCATAACATCCTTTTCACTGGAAGATTGCAGGATGACTGGCGAAATGTCACATTGCTTCAGGACCACTTGGCAGAAAGGGTCGCGAGGAGTGAGGTTCTCGACGAAAATGGTACGGAACATAGCATGATGAGAAACGACCTGCCTCCAAGCCTCAACCAAGCGATCCAGGTTTGGCTTGGTCGCCCCAGTACCGCGAACCTCAAACGTGTCGTGCACCGCATAGTACGAACTGTCCCGAGTCCGACCAAGTAGAATACCTTGCTGCATACGAGAGCAAGGATAGATGTCTTCGATCATGTCTGGCGATTTGACCTTAATTGCTGGCAATTTCTGTGTGAGCAACTTGTCCAAGCTCTCGTAATTTAAAGAAAGCATCGGGAAGGAGCTCAGCGTCAATCGGGGCGACATCGCCGTCAATTGCTCAGACAATGAAACCAGCTGCTGCTGACATTGAGAGACCCATTCATGAATACGGTTCTGATGCTGCATAAATTTGTTGAAAGAGAATGTGAATCGAATCTTTCCAGCAACAACCATGGCAGAGATCTCGAATAAGCCAAAACGGGGAGTATCCTTTCCGAAGTCAGCAGCGTCACTCCCTTGACCAGCTTCACCAGCCATTTGATCTACAAGCTGGAAAAGCCCGTCAGTTCTCTGGAGATCACGGTGCTGGCCGACATAGTTGAAAGACATTTCGAACGGGTGGGGATGGCGATGAGCTGTTTTGCCTTCGAGTTGAAGTACACGGCTGGCGAAGTCCGCACGACCATTATCAGAAACTTGGCGGCGCAAATCCTTGACCTGGATGAGGGTATCGATGGCGCTGTCTGGCTTGTAGTCGGAGACGAAGATCGGGTGTAGAATGGTGAACCAACCGACAGTGTGAGAAATGTCAATCGATGGGTCCCAAACTTCTCTACCATGGCCCTCATTGTAGATCGTTGGTAAGGATCTATCGGTAAAAGACTTGCCAAACGAGTGAAGCATCGCTGCAAGGAACAAATCAATTGGCTCGGTGTTCAGGGCTTTATGACATTCCATCATGATTCTGTTGGAGTGCACAGCATCGATCTCGAACGATGCGCAGTCCACATCGCCGTATGTTGTCTGGCTATTCCTGAGTCCCCAATACCCAAAGTCGATTGCTGGAAGCTGATCAGTGGCTGCCTTTTTCTCATTGATCAAGTTCTTGCAGTGTTCCTCTTGCAGCTTGCACCAGGTCTGGAAAGGCAGAGAACCATTCTCACTCGAGGACTTGCCGGGGTTGACTAGCAAATCCTCCAGATCTTCAAGAATAATCCTCCACGAGACAATGTCAACCACTAAATGATGAGCCGTCATGGACAATATGTGGCACTGCTCCTGACCATTGACGTGGAAATAGTCAGCAGCCAGGAGCGGCCCAGAGAATGCGTTGATGCAAGCTTGACTGCTAGCAATGAAGGTCTTCGTCTCTTCAATGGTGTCGACACTGTTCGTTCGGAGCCGGAAGGAATTCTCCACATCCTGGGTAATGCGCTGCTTCAAAGCTGTTGCAGATCCGGAATCATCAAATCGGGCACGGAGCATGGAGTGACGGGAGACGAGTGTTTCAATCGCCTTGTGGAGGGTACGTTCGTCGACAGGCTTGTTGAGGCGAGTGAGAATCCCCTGGTTGAAATGACCCTGGCCCTCCTTCCGAATACCAAAGTGCAAAACCTGGATGGGGGAGAGCTCGAACGGTTGGTCAACCGTTTCCTGGTAGGTCGTCGCATGGTCAATGGCTCGAGCCCGCGATGCCAGATCCCGAATGGACTTGCTGCGCAAAACCTCCTGCACCGAGAGAGCAAGGCCACGCTTCTTGCACATACCGATGCAGGTCATGGCGGCAATGGAATCACCACCCATTGCGAGGAAGCTCTCATCCAGGCTGACGTGATTCTGCGGAATGTTCAGAACACGACTGTACACCATGACCAGAGCCTCCTCATTCTCATTAGCAGGTTGAGATAGCTCTCCTGGGAGTTGTGTTCTAGTAGCGGCCTCTGCAATATCAGGGTCCTGTTCCATGTTGACCACCCAACCTGCAATCCCCTTTCGATCAAGTTTGCCAGATGGTAGCAGTGGCATAGCTTCTACGCACAGCCAAACCGAAGGAACCATATAAGTCGGTAGACGTGCCGACAGTCGTTCGCGGATTCCTGGCACAAGGCTCGATTTTTGGCTTGGAGATATCAAACGCAAGGGCTCCAGATCTGTATCTGATTGTTCTGCGAGAAGCCCCACGGATGAAATGACAGCTGCGAGCCTACCCTTGGAGAAACCTGACTTGGGGAAGAAAACAGAGCAATGCGTAACGAGACTGTCCTTATTCAATTGATTCTCAATTTCGCCCAGTTCGATACGCTGACCATGAACCTTGACCTGGGTGTCTTTGCGACCGACGTAGTTCAGCGCGCCCGTGTCGGAGTTGTACCTCACCAAGTCGCCGGTCTTGTAAAATCTGCGGTTCGATCCCCTTCCAGGATCAAGCTTTACCCAAGCGGGATCGTAGATGAAAGAGTCGTTCGTCTTCTCGGGATTATTCACGTAGCAACGGGCGAGCGTCGGCCCCTCGAGAATTAGTTCACCAGGGCAGCCCACGGGAAAGAGTTCGTCATGGTTTTCAGGATTGACCACCCAGGAGCGCACACCGACGGGCAGGCCGATATCTTTACAATCGGTAGTAGGTGTGACATTCGAATTCAGCACGGATGCGACACTGGCCTCCGTTGGACCGTAGCCATTGACCAGTTGAATTTTGGACCATGTGGCCAGTTGGGACTGCGACATTGCCTCGCCGGCCAAAACGAGACTCTGCAATCCGGGCACACTTTCGATTTCAATAAAGCCGATGAAGGACGGAGTGAAACATGCCTGGTTCACCCGGTGTTCGTTGATGAAACCAACAATGTCGTTCAGTCGCTGCTCCTCGCTAGGAATGCACACACAAGCACCGTGGATCAGGGGGGTCAGCGATTCGGCCAAGCTCGCATCGAAGGTGTGAGCCGCAAATTGGAGGGCGCGTGTCTCTCGGAAGATACGCAGGCCAGGGCCATGCACCATCGCACTTGACAAGTACGCGCGGTGCTCCAACAGGGTGCCCTGGAGAACGAACGTCAGTACTCTTGATATTCCAGAGTTCACAGAAAAGTCCATTTTTTTTCCTCCACGCTCTGCCACAGGATCGATTGAAAACATACCTTAGGCTCTCCCGTGGACCCGGAAGTGAACAGAACATATGCAGCATTCTCGCTGGTAACACCGGATGCAAGTTCGACGCCCTCTGCAGGGTCCGATAGTCCTTCCAGAGTATCTGCGCAGAGAGGGATCAAAGTGTTCGCAATAGGTCGCAGAGCCTCGGCGCGCGATGGGGAGCACAACACCACCGCGGCCTTGACAGATTCGATTAAACGTTGTAAGCGCGAGGTTGGGTGGGTGGGATCCAACGGGACGAAGGCGCCGCCCGCCTTCATTACGCCAAGCATGGCAACGATGTTCCATTTCTGCAGCTGTCAGCGCCCGAGCCATCACACTATCACACACAAACTTGTCCCCACATTGTCCCTGAGGTACTTCAGCACAGACGTGCCCGGTACTCTTGGGACAATGACAACGACGACTATCAGATCAGAGCAGAACTCACCGATTTATCAAAGCAGAGCGCAACGCGCACTTCCGGGCCAACCCCCTGCATGCGCAAATGGCACGCGAGCTTCGAGGCCAACGCATCAAGCTCAGCGTATGTCAAATTGCCATCCCATGCGCTCACGGCCTCCCGCTCAGGGCCACTGAGAGCCTGGTCATGAATAGCGTCGTGGATGGTGCGATCGTACAGCTTGGGGGTGTGCGAGTTCCACTGGCGGATGCGCTGCAAGTCGTTTTCCGAGAACAAATTAAGCTGGCTAATAGCGGTGTTTCCAGGCGAGAGTACTTGCGCGAGCATCTGCTCAAAGATGTGGGCAACGCTTTTCATCTGCTCCCCAGACATGTCCCCGTTTCGCCATTCGAGGAAGATGCTGATGTCCCGGCGCAACACCTTCGCATGGAGGCGAACTTGGCACTGCAATCCATAACAACTTGAGATTAGCAAAGATGATATTTTGACCAGCAACAAACAAATCCCAACCGGGTATTCCATCGCGCCCGCATATGCAGGAAGCCGACCACGTAATAAGGAAGCAGAGAAGTAAAACAAGAGAAACGAACCTGGTCGGGAAGAACGTTTGCCGGAATTGGTTGTTGAGAACGAGGCGAGGAGGGTGAATCGTGCGCCTTGCGATATGTACGCAGCATCAGGATGGTGTTGAAGGGCAAGTAGCCTCCCACGGAAGCGCCCTCGTCGCTTCCCACTTCCCCCAGCTGCGAGTCGACTCCATCGCGGTCACGCACTTTATCTACAATTCCCTGGATGGAGTCGCTCTCGTTGATGGCCAGCCGAAATTTTGACAGGTTGGCGACACTCGACCGCTGTACAGGGTGTCGAGAGGAAATAGAGTCGCCGTCGATGTGTTGATAGCCGAAGCATATATCCTCGGAGCGGATATAGTAATGCAGAACCAGGGCCCAGGTGGCCTGCAATGTCGATTCCAGACGCCCTTCGTGCCATGCGGTTAACAACTGCGCATGTTGCGAAGGCGTCGGTCTCGTCTTCATCGAAATCGGGCGTTTAGGCCCATCGACCGCCGGAGTGAAGCGAGGCAGATAGCAGTGAGATGAATTAGCCATAATGATGGTTTTTGGTAGTCGTAATAGTAGATGATGGATGCTATTATGCCGGGTAGAAGAATGCGAATGCGAAAAACAAAATGCTAGAGGCCGGTTTGGGCTTTTCGCTGTAGAATAACACTGTATAACGGGAGCTTCGTCGCGGTAGTTCGATTAAAAAACGAGAGACGGATCGACAGAGGCACACACGATCGTGTGGAGTACCTTCAATTAGTATTGGATCGGGGAAGGTTCAATTAAGAGAAAAGTTCCAAGTAAGAGGACGAAAGGTATCCCGCATTGAGTGTGCCCGCGAGGTCGGATAGTCTCAGATATTTGAAAGAGCAGGCGGGTTTAATTTTCCCAGCCGACCAAAATAGTTACGCCATCGGTCCTCGGGACTACTACGGATGCATGGCCATGCCCCAGCTCGTTCACAAACTTCGTCGCGCGGTCTACGGACGTACGGGTACCATAGGCACCAATAGGTGCGGTGCATATTGGGCACATTGCCTCGAAGGGAGGGAAAAATTACAGTAATACGGATAAGACACCACCCCAATTGAGCCCCAATAGTATGACACCACTGGGGGCAACTGAAAATTTCAGGATCCCCCATGTATCTTCCTTGCATGGGTTCGGATCTAGATGATGAAGGGTTTGAGACGCCCACGCTGAGTGGATCTCGTCCTACTGGCCCCCCCCCTTCCCTGTGGAGCCAGGTCAGACACTGCCAAAGCGGATACTCTCGACCTTACTCCTTTTTTAAATGGTTTTTCTTTATGGAATTAATGCTTTGACTGCTGTCTGGTCATACGACCGTCATGACAGCGCTCGACCACCACTGAGAAATTTATACAAGAATATATGGAAGACTAAAACACAAAATACGATGATCAATCTTTACCGCCGAATACGTTTGCCGTTTGTTGTTTTTTTTCACTTCTTTTGGATGAGCCACCATAATCCACTCAGGTAAAGTCTATCTATCTGCCATTTCCCGATCCAGATGCCCTCGGTGCGGTCTCGAACGTGGTTCAGTAAGGTGGCTGCCAGGCCATCTACTGTAAGCTGCACTCTTTCGATCAGGACTGCATCGTAAAGATTATGGCGAAGGGCGCGGTATTTTTGGTGCAATTCCATCGATTCTCCTCGTTTAACAGTAGGGTTGAGTAACAATTCGTGCATTCAGTGATCCGCTGGTCTTGATGGTGATGTCAGATGAACAGTATATAGGGTTGGGCGCGGGGAACATTCCAACAAGATCGAGATTCAGACGGGGTAGCCTCATCCTGTCACGATCAGCATGGTCTGATGTCGACTTTGCGTTACAATCCGTTGATCTAGTGGGGGGCCTCGCGAGTGCTCTTGAGGCTATTGACTCGACCCTTGAGAGTTACACCGACAGAGTGGAAGTGCCCATGGTGCATTGCTGCACACATGGCGAGCCTCCACCGGTTCAGAGCTCTCTCGGTCACTTTCGTATTTAGCTGCGGCGTTCAGTCCCCGGAGCTCATGGGCCTGCGACTGCGGTCTGTGCGGTACACGAAGCATAAGGCTCATCAGAATCAGCAAGGCGAGTGCGGACGGGCAGATCAGCCAGAACGATTTACCGCGCATTTCAGGGACTACACAGGGTCTCCAGGTCAAGAGGGGCTGAACAGTAATCAGGACCGGGGCTTCCGTTCGATGCCTACATTTTGTCTCGCATTCCTTCCCCTTTCTGCCTGAGCAATTGGAGTGCGGACGGCGAACCGGTGAACAGTCGGTGGGGGCGAGCTGCAATTGCTGAGATGAGATGATGTGTGCGTGTGTGTGGTTCTCGGTCCAATTATCAATGGCCACTTCTTTGATTCAGGGTTTCTATTATCCATCTTATCCTTAGAGCTTTTTTCCTTGTCTTTGTTCTAACAATTCGTGTATTTTACTTGGAGATTCTGTGTATCTCCCTTTAGGCTCGCGTGCGGCAGCCAGTTGATATTTGCCGTGACCTCAACAAAAGTGGATGCGAGAGCAGGACTAGTGGCTGGCGAGGATGTCGGAACATTACATTACTCGGATAATGTGACCAGCGAGTGAGCAAAGCAGTACTCCGTATATCCGGAGGAATCAACCGCGCGCCCAACAACAAATGCGATTGGTTGCAATGCCAAGACAGAGCTCGGCAGCTCGAGAGACCCGAAGATTCGAGGTACGGTCGTGTCGTGGTGCCTTGGTGTGGAGATCGAAGGCAATTTCGTGGCGCTGACAGGCGTAAACGAGGAGGCATTCAAGCCACTGACTCTGCTTCTTAGCGCCCAGTCTTTCCGAGTTGGGAATTCTGCAAGGGAGTCGTTCCAAGGCAGAGGTGGTCAAGGGGAAAAGCAAAAAGGAACGCCTCAAAGCAAGACAGGGAAAATCGCGGGTCGATCCGAAGGGAGCCACCCGTTCCGATCGACCTATCAGATGGGAGCGGTAAACTTCGGCGCGGGACATGGTTAGCAAAGGAGCCGAGTAGTGGAGAAAGTGCTGAGTTTTCCCTGTTGATTAACTTTTCTTAGTTCTACTTGTACATACTTAGCTAGGTACCCCTTTACAATATCATTCTTTCCCTCCCTTCTCCTTGGAATACACATCAGATTTCAACAAAGCTTGGAGAGGATCCAAATGACCGAATGATGGTCACATTGAAAGAAATTACACTCCAAGGTCCATGCACTATCATTAATTACGGTCCGAGGTCTCGAATGACTGCTCCTAGAAAGACTACAGTATGTAGCAAGGGAAATGGCGAAGGATAATTACGTGAAACGGTCACCGGCGGTACCTTCCAGCAGGGCAGTCCAGCACAGGAGTCCTCCTTCTCCCCGGTCGCCACGCTCCACTTGTCAGGGAGCTACTATCCCTATGTACATCATTGCTTCTTCAACATTCCGGGGAACGCGACAAAAGCATGGTTCGGTAGAAAAGAATGTCATATGCTGCGAATTTCTCCGTCCATGTGTCTGGCGGCCGGAAATTTTCGTAGTTTGTGTTGTTGGTTTCCCACTACACTGGTTCTACACTGGTTCGAGTACGATTTCCTTGATTTGAATCATTGTATTTGCTGTCCCGCTTTGTATGATCGTCGCTGGAGCTAACAAAGCGCGACGTTCTGGAACGTCGCATTCCGAGTCCTATCATTGGCCTTGACAGCGAAAACGACGTTAACTCATGGACCCGCCGCAAAGTGGGATCGAGACGTGAGATTAGCTTGCTGATCCCTGCCCGGAAAACCATGCCGCTCGTCTGAGGACAGCTAGCTTGGGCGTTTGACAGTGGATGGACGCCCGTGCCCGGTCGAACACGACCCACCGGGTCCGCTAGTCAACCGGATGGGCTCAAGAACGCCTGAAGGAGGAGGAAGTGGGGATGGCTTGGTGGCTGCGGATGGCTCAGCCAGGATGGCGCAGACATTACCTTTAGTGGTGAATCGTCAGCTTGATGGCCCACTCAGGTGGGGAGATTTCGGTAGGGGCGGACGGCTCTACGATGGAACTAAAAATATTTTGAACAAACTGAATGAGCCCTAAGCAAGACCAAGGCCAGCTAAGCCAACTAGACCGACTCTCCCGCCACTAAAAAATCTAGTGGCCGCCAACCGGTGAGGTTCATCCAATACCTCCTATGTACTCCGTACTGATGCGAGTCGAGCTAGAGACTAGTGGCGCACCACCACAATTTGCACAGGGCGCTCAACCTATGACGATGATCGACCTAGCGCATTAGCATGACAGGTCATCTCCGATCTATCCATCCCTCGGGTCACGTCCCGATTTTTAAAGATATCAGCTATTGCTTCGATGCCCGAACCCGGTAAACCGGTAGATATGGGTCACGATAAAGCCCCTTTTGTTTGGTGACAACCTCCAAAGTTTGGGTCAGGGGAAGTGTTGGGGTTTGTAGTTTTTGGAATTTCCCGTCTTCTCAGGGCTTTTGTTTTCCGGGTCCTCTGGGTCCCTGTGGGTAAAAAGTACCATGCTGCACCCACTTCTAGCCTCGCCACCCACCAACCATGCTGTTCGTCAAGCGAAAACCGGCTCACAGCTGGCTCATCCTGGTCAGACTGCATATGTCTTGCTTTGCGAGGTTGCTCCCCAGATGCGGTTGCTGTAGGTACCGGCCCTAGGAGATGCAGAGCGGGATGGCTTCGCATGGGGAGCCAGCACGGGGAACCTCCCACGTCGCCAGGAAGCCATGGCTCTCGTCATCGCAGTTGAGATTGAAATACACTGGGTGGAATGGCCATCCGACGGCCTCCTCCGAAAACCAGTGAATTCGAAGAAGTTCCCGCCGCGACCGAGTAGCAGAAACATATCGATTGGGCTAGAAATAAACTAACGCCAAGGTGAGCCGTCACGGCAAAAGCAAATCCCGGGCATGGCAGGTTGAGTTATGTCAATCCAGAAGGGGCCCGGACACTATTGGATGCACTGTGTACATTCATTTGTGCCCGAACACATTAGTGGAAACGGAATAGGTAAGACAAGCCGAAGACAACGTCAACATCACGACAGTACTCCGTACAAATCTACAAAGTACTATGTATATGTATACCGTGACTAGATGGCTCTAGTCAGCGATTCAGTACGAATCGTGTTTCTCACAAGGAATTACAGCCAATACTTTTCAAATACCACCCCATCCAGACCCTGCTCCGGGTGAACATCTACAGATCCAAGATGTCGTGTCTGCGAGTTACCCGAGGGCTGAAATTATTGTTGCGCAGTCTTGGATACATCCATCTCGGATGAGCCCTTGGTTTCTGACCGGTTGTACAGTCCGAAATCCAGACAGCCAGATCCATGGCCTTGGGCATCATTGTGTCTGACTTCTGCTTCCAAGTTCATGCGGTCAAGAAAGGTTCACGAGAAAAAGATTTTCGGCAGCTGCAGTGTCTCAAAAAGGATCGCGTCAGCAGCAATCTCTCAAGAGTCATTTCCCAGGGATCCTCCATCATACAAATGGGAGACGCCCTCGCATGAAGCCTTGGGAAGTAGGCCCTGTGGGGATAACCGCAAAAGGCAAAACAAGATTAAAGCCAGGAAAAACATTTTTCACCGTCTTGAATGTCGGAGCAGAACCATTGGACCAGTTCTTTGTAATTGTCACTGTAAGGTTACACGACTTTTTTCCCTCGTGTTGGCCGGTGGATCGATCCGCTTAAGTGCGTCGCGAGAGGGGGTTCCTCTTTGACTCCAGGGGGCGAGGCTCTATTGAGGATACTGCATCACCCACATCCCTGGAGGGGAAAGACCAAAGTCAGTGGGCCCGAGAATTATACTATGAAAAATAATGAGAAAAAATAAAAGATATTAGTAAAAAAGTAGTACCTTGTTCTCTGGCGCCAGTCAGTATTGGAAAAATACGCAATAATAATCCACTCGGGGGATTTCCTCGGAATCAACATGGAGCTACTCACTACATCAGGATTTTCCATAAATAAACTGAAAAAGAAAAAAAAAAACACGCACGGACAAGGAGCCACCAGTGGCACAGATCTCAATCAAGCAGACTAAACCCTCAATGCTCTCATAGAGCATGGCCAATGATAAGATCGTAAGATGGTTGTATCTGGGGAAGCCCACTCATTTGCAGGGACCAAGTAATACCAGGAGTAGAAGGGAGATGAAAGGCCCATAGGAGTGTAGGAGCATAGGTCCGCACATCTCCTAGATGCAGTAGTAAGCTCCTCCTGCACAGAGGGATGCGTATTAGCAAAGACCTGGCACCTTGGCCCGTCCCTATGTAATTCGTACCTAAAGACGACACCATTTTAGATGAATCAATTCTAGACCCCCCCAGTTCGCCCCCCTAATGCAATGGTTTCTCCCAAACTCATCGCTCTAATCTAACCAACCGACACTCTTGGTCTTCTTTCCTGACTCCTCCCTCTCCAACTCCCATCCTCTTTGTGTTGATGGTACCTGGAGAGTATAGTCATGGCCACCTTTAGCTCTTCAGGGCCTTCGTGCCGCGATCTGGACAACACAATGCGCGTGGATGCGGGTTCATGTCGCGGGGGATTTGACTTTACGCTCTTGTTCGAGGAGACGATCCTCACACTTCTGCCCATTGCATTGATTTCGATTGTGGTTCCATTTCGGATGTGGCAGCTTTCACAAGAACGGCGCAAAGTTTCGGAATCATGGTTGCTTCCGCTCAAACTTGTAAGTCAACCTATTTTCGATAATATTGGGGGCTATACTGGCTGTGAACCATGTGGTCTGACTACAAAATTAATTGTATTTCTAACGCAATCATTGTTACAGGCTGCATGGTTGTTTTTTATTGGACTTGGAATTGCGCAGACTGCCCTATGGGCTTTACCCGCCGCTGACAGAACAAAAGCTTCCATTGCGACCAATGCTGTGCTCACCGTTGGAGCTCTAATGCTCGGCACTCTCTCTTATGCGGAGCACACGCGGTCTGTCCGACCTTCATTCCTTTTAAACATATACCTGCTCTGCAGCCTACTTTTCGATATCGCGCGGGCCAGAACACTATGGTTCAGGGCTACGGATGGATTTAATGAGGTCATTTCAATCGTCACTATCGTCGCAGTGGGAGGCAAATTGCTTCTTGTGATTTTGGAAGCTGTTGAAAAGCGTCATATTCTGAAGAATGAGTTTTCTGGGTACCCGCCAGAGGCTACCGCGGGCTTCTACAACCGATGCTTCTTTTGGTGGTTGAACCCGCTATTCAAGAACGGCTTCAGCAACGTTTTGTCGGTGGAAGACTTGTTCGTCTTGGACAAGGAATTGAGCTCCGAGAGACTTCTAGCTATGTTTGAGGAGAGGTGGAGCAAAGGTAAGAAAGCGGCCTGGTCATCAATTCAGCCCATAATCTATGGTGAGCTAACATTGTCCAGTGAAATCGAAATCTCCCAACACGTTACAGTTTGAATCATTCAAGGCCGCAAAATCACCACTTTTGGCCGCTGTTCCAGCTCGCGCATGTGTCGTTGCTTTCAACTTCTGCCAGCCCTTACTTCTGACTCGATCGCTGTCTTTCTTCGATGAGCCCGTGAACAATGCCACGAATAACATCGGATATGGACTGATCGGCGCTTATATTCTGGTCTACACTGGCTTAGCTGTGAGTTTGCTATGTTTTAATCCTTGGAATCATTTCTAACGATCTCAAAGGTCTCAATGGGCCAATACCAGCACAACACGTATCGTGGTATTACCATGGTCCGCGGTATCCTGGTTACAATGCTCTACAAAAAAGCTAGCAGTCTCACTCTCAACGAAGCCGACCCCGCCAACTCGCTCACTTTGATGAGCGCCGATGTTGAACGGATTACTCAGGGCTGGCAAACCATGCACGAAATCTGGGCCAACTCCGCCGAAATCGGTCTGGCTATTTATCTCCTCGAGCGCCAGCTTGGGATCTCCTGCGTTGTTCCAGTCTGTGTCGCTCTGGTTGCGTTGGTTGGATCTCTCATCGGGATGTCTTTCGTGGTTTCTAGACAAGCCAAGTGGCTCGAAGCCATTGAACGACGCATTTCGTCTACTTCCGGAATGCTAGGATCCATCAAGGGTGTTAAGATGCTTGGCCTGCAAGATTCGTTTATGAAATTTGTGCATGGCCTGCGAATCGACGAGCTTGATATCTCCAAGAAGTTCCGTACACTTCTAGTGTATAACATGGGCTTTGGGTGGTTGACTCGCATCTTCGCGCCGATCTTCACTTTTGGCGTATATGTTGCCATCTCTGATTCAACGTTGAATGTCTCCCGAGTTTTCACCTCCCTGTCACTCTTTTCACTGCTGGCAGATCCCCTGCTTACGCTCGTTATGGCTTTGATGTCTTTTGCCGGGTCGGTCGGATCATTCGCTCGCATTCAGGAGTTCCTTGACAAGAAGGATCACTCTGACCAGCGACGCAGTGCTCCTCGGATTCCTTCTCTCGAGGATCTTGGCAAGGCCAAGCTCCTCTCCAAGTCTGGTGATCTGGATGTTTGCTCGAGCAACTCCGGGTCTGTTGAGTCTTTGAAGCGCGGTTCAACCTCGTCTTTCTCCGCCAATGCCGCTATAATCCAAAACGGTACATTTGGATGGGATGCCGAAAAGGAGCCCGTCCTGAAGGATATCAACCTCACGGTTCCTCGTGGCAGCTTCACTATGCTTATTGGACCTTCTGGCTGTGGCAAATCAACTCTGCTCAAGGCTCTTTTGGGTGAGATTCGATGTGAAGAGGGCAAGGTCGAATTGACATCACCAAGCGTGGCGTTCTGCGATCAGACGCCATGGCATATGAACGCGACCATCAAGGACAGCATCGTCTCCATGTCGGAGTATGACCCTAAATGGTATTCCTCCGTGATTCAAGCATGTGCGCTGGAAGAAGATCTCTCACAATTTCCTCGTGGAGACCGAAGTGTCATTGGAAGCAAAGGTGTTGCTCTCAGTGGTGGTCAAAGCCAACGTATTGCGCTTGCCCGCGCAGTCTATGCCCGAAGAAAGATTATTATTCTAGATGACGCGCTGAGTGGCCTTGATGCCACAACTGAGAGTCACATTTTCCACAATCTCTTCGGAAACATGGGCCTCTTGAGAGAAATCGGCACATCTGTCATCGTCGCTTCATCATCTGTTAAACGTCTGCCCTACTCTGATCATATCGTTGTATTGGATAAGACCGGTTGCATCGCTGAGCAAGGTAGCTTCAGCGCACTCAACAAGACTGGCGGATACGTCTCCAGCTTTGATCTGGGTGCACCGGACTGGGACTATAAGCCGAAGAGGTACTCTGCGTCCCCGAGCTATAGCACTGTCGACTCTGTGGAGAAGGAGAAAGAGACTATCATCCCTGAGCCTGAGAAACGCGATATGGGGGGTGATCTTTCCATCTATACCTACTATGTTGACGCAATCGGGTGGCTTCCTGCCCTCGTCTTCATGGTTTCCATGGCCATCTTTGTCTTCAGCATCTCGTTCCCCAGTATCTGGTTGAAGTGGTGGGCCAACTCCGACACTGCAGAGCCCAAGCAACATGTCGGTTATTACCTTGGTATATATGTTATGCTTGGCTGCGTCGCCATGATTGCCTTGATCGTGAGCTGCTGGGAAATGATCATTACCATGGTCCCCAAGTCTGGTGAGAGTTTCCACCGCAAGTTGTTACAGACTGTCCTTAGTGCCCCAATGCTCTTTTTTTCGACAACGGACAGTGGCAATATCCTCAACCGATTCAGTCAGGACCTGCAACTCATCGACATGGAACTTCCCATTGCTGCGATCAACACCGTCGCCACTTTCTTCCTCTGCCTTGCCCAGATGGCACTTATCGGCGTTGGCTCTAAGTATGCCGCAATCTCATTCCCCTTCGTCCTGGGACTTCTATTCCTCATTCAGAAGATGTATTTGCGCACTTCTCGGCAACTGCGTTACTTGGACCTTGAAGCTAAAGCTCCCTTGTACTCACATTTCACCGATTGTCTGCAGGGCCTCGTTACACTTCGGGCCTTTGGCTGGCAGCACGGCATGGAGATGAAAAACATCGAGCTTTTGGATTACTCGCAACGGCCATTCTACTTTATGTTTGCAATTCAGCGCTGGTTGACACTATCTCTGGATCTTGTCGTCGCGGGTATTGCCGTACTGCTAATTGTTTTGGTCGTCGTCCTCCGTGGGACCAGTCTGGGTGCCGGATCCGTTGGTGTCGCCCTTCTCAACGTCATCCAGTTCAGTCAGAGCATCAAGCTCCTGGTAACCTTCTGGACCAACTTGGAAACCCATATTGGCTCTATCCTGCGTGTGAAAGACTTCACCCAGAATGTGGAGTCTGAGGACCAACCTGGAGAGGATGGTGAAATCCCCCCCAACTGGCCATCAAACGGCGCAGTGACATTCCATTCAGTATCTGCGGCCTACAGGTATGGAAATTAACTTCTTTCATCTCGGTTTGACTTCATGCTAACAATCCACCTAGACCTTCAGAGCCGGTTCTCAATGATGTGTCTCTATCCGTTGCAGCAGGTGAAAAAGTTGGCATTTGTGGACGTACAGGAAGGTCAGAAGCCACTACAAAGACTATTGTCGTTGTATCTCAAAACTAACATGACTACAGCGGCAAAACTTCGATGATCATGAGCATTTTCCGGATGATTGAATTGACTAGCGGTATCATTACCGTGGACGGTGTCGATATCACCAGTCTGCCTCGCCGCGAAATTCGCTCACGCATCAATGGAGTCTCACAGGACTCGCTACTGTTCAAGGGCAGCGTTCGTCTCAATGCCGACCCAACCGGCTCGCGCACCGACCAAGACATTCACAACGCGCTCAAGAGCGTACAGCTTCTCCCTGTGATCCTTGAGAAGGGCGACCTCGACACGGACATGGATGAGATTCACTTGTCGCACGGCCAAAAACAGCTCTTCTGTCTCGCACGCGCACTCCTTCGCCAGGGCAACATCCTCATCCTCGACGAGGCAACCAGCAAGTGAGTACAAGTCATTTATTGATCCTCCCCTAACATGATTTCCTCGCATTGTCCCATCCCCACTTTATTTTCTTTCTTGTTCGAAATACTCTTTATTTTTTCCTGAACTATTGTTTTCTTTTTTTCCGCGCCTGTCAACTCCCCCCTGCATATGCGCCATGATCCGAGCGCCACATTACGCTCGGATCGACTGAACGGCGTTTCCCCTGACGCTAGCACATGTACTTTCACCACCCCTTACAGTCTTGGACAAAAGCCGGAGGATCATCAAGTCCGAGACATTATTTGCTAATGAGGCTTTTCCAAATAGCATCGACGCGAAAACGGATGATATCATGCAACGCGTTATTCGCGAGAAATTCTGCAACCACACCATCATCGCGGTCGCGCACAAGCTCGACACCATCCTCGACTTTGACCGCGTCGTGGTGCTCGACGCCGGCCGGATCGTCGAGACCGGGGAGCCTTACACGTTACTCGCAGACCCCAGGTCGCACTTCGGTCGACTATATGCGAGCTCCGTGACGACTGAGGACGCGCAATAGGTAGATCTAATCATTGCGATCCTCCGGCTCCGCTGGATTTTGATTCTTCCCCCCATTTCCTTTCTTGATTGCACTACACAGACTCAGCATCTGACCTCTATCGACCATGGTCAAGTTTGCTTTGGCGCGTTTGTCGATTTTCACTCATTCGCGGTACATATCGACGTCGGCATGCTAATTTAGTTTCCCTGGCGCTGCTGATTATATGCTCTTTGTTCTTTGTCCTTGTGATTTGATCCTTTTCTCGACTCTCGTTCATTCCAGTTGCAAGTCTGGTTACTTCTTACTCTCGTTGACTCCCTTTGGCATTTTTATTTTTGCTGTGCCTGTGACAGATGAAATTTGGTGGCTTGTCTATAATTCGGCCCACTGGTGCTCGTACGATTTTACACTTAATGATAATCGGGAAACGACTTGAATATCAATCATATCAGGCGATTTGAGCACTGTTACATGACTTTTAAAGCTCAGAGTAGCTGGAGATCTTGTAGTTTTTAAATACTCAGTTACTGGTTGACTTAAAATGGATGGACAAACAATCAACCTTAGGTACCATGTTAGGCTGCTGCCCGGAAAAATGGGTTGTCGATACCCTAGATCATATATACGTGTAGGAACCAAAATCCCTTCCGGTGTATATCGAAGAGATTCAATCAGCTGTGTTATACGATTCTTGATATTTATCTGTCTAGTCTCTCGGTTTGGTTTTGTTCACTGTTGGGGCACAGTCCAGTCTTCAGGCCTTCCCCGATATATATATTCGTGCATGCTTACCACCTCCAGCAGGAACCTTCACCTACACATGGACACGACTATCCTACTCACCTATGAATCGTCTTTAAAGTTGTCTGGTTGGAAGTAATAGGCGAGAAAAACATAACAGAAAGGAGATCCTTAGGCTTAGACAAGACAAAGTTGCGAGAGCCACTTTGTGATTGGATTGTAATGAACGACACGGCCACGACAGAAAAGTCCATGGCACGATAAGGCTAGTCCTAATAAGGAATCTCCCCCCCCCCCCCTTTCGATACAGAATGCTATATACAAGATTTATAAAATACCAATAGAGTCCATTTGGATGTATAGCCCTATCTAAGAAAAGACCATTGAAAAGACTGTAGAAAGGACCGTTGAAAAGACCGTAAAAGAGGGCGATAGTAAGCATCACCCGGGCGCAAGTCTAGCATTTATGTTGGCATGGGACCCCTAATGGATGGGTCTTGACCTATACCTAGTCGACAATGGAAGAATTTGGGATACAATGATGGAATACGGTATGCCTATTAGATCTGTCTCCAGCACAAGGAGCGTTTAAGATCGACCAACACGATTGGAAAACAGTCCAAATCCATTTTCTGCACCACGTCCCTATAAGATGAGACTACCCTATGGAGAAAAGATGAAAAAAGCAATTCGGGCATCATGCTAAACTCCCCCTCAACTTTCTGTCCCGCATAGATAAAAGAAAATAAGAAAGGAAGGAAAATTGAAGAAGTTTCCCAATCCCAAATCATAGATGGTCGCCCGTCAACGCTACGACAGAACCATCGTGTCATCATTATCGACATCCTCGTCTTCATCGCCCAAGAGACCAAACTCCCAGTCGCCGCGCTCTATACGGCTCACGCGATCGAGTTCAGATTGATACTCGCGACGCAGGTGGTCCAGTGTAACGATGATTCTTTCCTGGGGCGGTTCGACTTGCGCTTTGAAGGATACGCCGCCGCGTCCACCGCTGATTGAAGAGCGACTGCCTCTTCTACCGGTGGGGATGATGGAGGCTCCGCTGGAGGATCTGTGTCTGGCTTCGATTGGAGTGGGGGATGACGCAGCCGCATCTTCCATGAAAACGTTGCCGTCATCGTCTGCTTGGCGACGCTGCTGCTGTGGAGATGGTGTGCCCGCGGCAAAGGATGCGAGTGGGCCGGTTTCGACAAGGATGTAGGCTTCGTCCTTTTCGACCGAGGCGAGCAGGTTGATCAGCGATAGAAGTTCATGGCGGATCTCCTTACTCTCAAGGTCGTCTTCGGGTACACCAGATATCTCGACTTCTCTCCGGGTTTTGCGAACAAGCGCAGATGAAGGTGCGTCCCTTGCCTTGCGCAGACGTTGGACATTCCGGTAAGCGATCTCGGCAGCTCCGCGATAGTCATTGCGGGCGATGCGATAAGCCTGCAAGATGCGGTTGTAGTCGATTGATGAAGCATCAACCTCCTCGTTGTCAATATCGGTCCAGGAGGTAAAAGTATTCTGCTTGCGGGCGAGAGAAACGAGGACTTCATCAACGTGAGAGGCAATGTTGGGAATTAGCGCGGTAGGGAAACGGAGAATCTGCTTGATTCCAGCGGCACCGGGTCCAGACACGGTGAGGACACTGGAGATGAGAGAGCTGAGAGCGGACCTCTGCAAGGCGAGATCCTGGTACCGGGCCAAGGCGGAGTAAGCCTGATCAAATTGACAGGTCTGAAGGGAAGCGTGGAACAGGCGAGAGAGCAAATCAGTTCGCGTGCTGGTGTATTCTGCGTCGTGCTCGGCCCAGGCCTCCGAATCGAGAGCCTGCAGCGCCAGGCTAGCAAATTCCGCGACATGAGAGAATGAACGCACTTGCTCAAAGACTGAAAGGATGTGCTGGTAATATTTCGGGATACCATTGTGGAAGCAATTCACGGAAACAAGGTCCAGGAGTGTTGACGACATTTCATGCAGGTTACCCAAAGGTTTGCCACAAGCTACAAGCTTCGTTAGTTTACCGCATATCCGATACGTCCAGGTCTGGGGTCGCCAACTTACACAAAAGATATGCCGCCTTGCGGAAATAAATGGCTGCAATGTCATACTCGGCCATAGCCACATGCAGGCGACCCTTGACATAGGTTGCCCAGGATGTGCTGGCTTGGAAACGTAGGAAGTCCCATGCGAGGTCAATATTGTTCTTAGCAATAAGGTCGCACTGAATGTAGGCCAAGGCGTTAGAATACGCCACTTCACCAGGTCTCGTAACCCAAGCCAGGACATCCCTGATCCCAAGAGTCAGCGTATAACTCTGGGGCACGCCAATCGCTTGACGCGGCTTGATGTCTGTGACAAATAGGTCCTCTAGTATCGTTGCCGTCCGCAGGTTCTTGTTCGGATTGGACTTCTTCTCATTCAGAGGGATGACCGGGGTGGATGCCTCTTTACCCGTATTGGCGGCACGGTCGGGGCATTTCCGGACATTAGAGCTGAGCCAATACATCATTTCGTACTCACGGAGAGAATCAATGAGCGTGGAGAACAGATCAGCAGCGTCGAAGTTTGAGCGTTCGCCCTGTTCAATCTCGCCGTCCACAAATGTGACCAGGATCAACAAATCATAGAGGATCTGACGAGTGAGAACCACTGTCTCGAATGCACCACTCACAGCAACTCGTGCACCAAAATATGTTGAAAGAAGCCCCGAGTCCTTACCATTAAACCCAGAAGGAACAGTGTCAATGATAGCGTAGAATGGATCTCCAGACAAGTTCTCCGCATCTAGGTACTCGTTCAAGGCCGCAACTAGACCCTCAAAAGTCTTGTTGGAGATTCGGTCTCCAAATTCACAGCGCTCTCGGAAACTATCCATGCGGTCGACAATGGACGAAGAGGGTTCGTTGAAAATTTCGACTTCGAGAGCTGCCCGGCATGCTGCATCCAGTTCTGCAGAAAATTTCTTTCTGAACTCGGCAGCCACCTTCATCAATGAGGAAGCTTGTTCATACAGGTTGCCAAGCTCGGCATGGAGATTGCGATGTCTCCATCGATCCACGATCTTGGGGGCCTCCTCGCGTAGGTCGGAGCTGGAGTTGTGTAGGAGCAATTCGGCAGTATTGCACTCTCGTATCACAGCACAGGAATCAGAAAGAAGAAGCCAGGGCATTTCGTAGAAGGAGTCGTAAGCAAGGGAAACGGGTTCGAATCTGCGCTTGTTGAGGTCTTCCGCAACTTGCCAGAACTGACGCCATTTGGCATCGGTATCCGTCCGGAATCGAGCATAGTCCATCTCATCCTCGGTATATTTGCGAAGGGAGACGGTTGCTGCGATTGTAGAGCAAAGCCTCTCTGCCAGCGGTACATCCTTCTTCAGAACCCCGGACGAGGTTAAAGACAGCGGTCTAAGCGCCTCCTGGTAGACCGCCAAAGCAGTTTCAAGAACCTCGGGCAAATATCGAGTTGGGTGCAAGAGATAAGCAAGCCACTTCTCGGTCGGGTCCTCCACATCGTCAAGGGTTGGCGCGGGTACTGGCTCTTGTCGGTGAGTTTCGAATGTTGTTGACACCCAGTTTGTTGACCAGTCCGCCACCAGGGTTTGTAGATCAAAGTGTAAGGTATAGAGCTGGTAGAGGCCATGGTTTCTCCACAACACCCACAACTCCATTCCTTTTCCTTCCTCCGCGGGCTTAACCTGGAAGTCCGCAATACTCCAGAACATATTTCCCGTCACATCGGGGTCCACAGGTCGGAAGACTGTATCGGCAAAAAGGTCCTCAATAACAAGATCGGAAGTTAAGCCGCCTTTCACAGCCCAGAACTTGAAGCGTCCATCCTCGAATGGGGAGTATGTGACGACATAGAACCTGTGTCCACCATCCATTGCCCTCTCTGCATTGAATACCCGGATGAACGATGTTTCAGCAGGATTCAAGGTATATGGCACCGCATCAGGGTCCATTGGGCGGCCCAGAAGATCCTTCGTCGCCGCAAGCTTGTTCGTTGCAAGGTTCCAGATTTTCAAGGTGTGATTCAGGCAGATAGCAAAGACGTAAGTTTCATCAGAGGTTGTAGCAATGGCATTGGCGACATTCAGGTCGAGGTTGCGTCCATTGTGCTTGATCGAGGAGGTTGCGTGCCACTTAACGAGGCCCCGAATCGAGGCGCCCCATGTTCGTTCGTCGAAAGTAAGAGGAGTCCAATGTGACCCTATTCCAATTAGAGAGTCAGTCTCAAATCCCAGTCTCGTGAAGATCTCATCAAGGGTCTTACCATCATCTCCAGCTCTGCGGGTCAACCGCAGAAGTGCGCCGTTGTCAAGGGAAATGAACAGCTCTTGCGGGCTACTCGCGTGAAGTCTGTGGGGGTTGGAGAAAGAAAGAGGTGCAGGGATGCACGTCTTGCACCATTCGCTCACATTGTCATCGATTGACTCTGTTCTCCGGAAGAACTCTGGTCGAAGAGACAGGGTATGGAGCTGTTTAGACGCGGTAATCACAAAGACGCTTAGAACCTCATGTTCCTCCACATCTGCCAGCGCAACACCGGATGGAATGATCTGCTCTTGGAAGTGCAGCCGCAAAGTCACGTTGTATTCGAAGCGCTCCGTCCCACTTTTCGTCAAGTCCGCGCATCGAATCTCCAGCGTCTTGTTATCATTGACCACCCTCCACACGAAGGTCCTCGGGTAAGACTTGCGTTTGCGGAAGTAGACTGCACCCTGAGTCGCAAGATATCTCCTGGCGAATTCATCTTCATCCTTTGCGATCGGGATTTCAGGCTGGTCTGGGGTAGAGGAGATCGAAAAGCGAGGCCGACGGGGCGCGCTCTCGTGAGGTGAGATCTGGATGTTGGCGACCGTGGTCGGCGAGAATGGCCGTAGGTCGACCCTCGTATCTTTGTAAATTTTCGCCATGGTGAACAACTGCGAAGCCTGTGCGAGATTCAGGGCCGACTCAGAGTTCCATGGCTGATGGCAGATGGGAAGGTGTGCAGGGCGGGAAGCTGGAGCTTCAAAAAACAAAGTCTTGGCGCGCAGCCGCGACCTTTCGACCTTCTTTCAGCTGCGGCAAGTTAGCTGCCTTGGATCTACAAAACACACCCCACCAACTATTAACCAGAGATGAAGACAATTCTAAGCAAACACAAGGGGTCAATGCAGGTAATTGGCGCTGAGTAATATTATTCTACCATATAAACAAGAGCATCACAACTGTTTTCAGACAAAGGTTGCTACCACGGTAGCCAAAACAAAAATATTACTTAAACAGCAGGTCAGAGGAGGCTCGTAAGGTCACTAACATCATGTCAAGGGTAATGAGATAGAGGAGAAAGCCTAGTCCTTCTCCAAATCCTTCTCACTAGGATCACCAATGCCATCTTCATTAATGGCAAAGAGACAGTCGCTTTCGGGCAGGCAAGGGCTGTCGTAGATCTTGCAAATACGAGTCTCGCCACGACCCTTCTTCAAGCTGAGTCGTGTTGTACTAGCGTGGGCAATGATGTTACCTCCAATAGGTTTCTTGGGGTCGGGATTGAACATAGCACTGGGGCCACCATCGACCTGCGCCACAACCTGGTTGGTGATAACAACAGCAATGCCAAACTCGTCTGCGAGATGCTGCAACGTGCGCAAGAACTTTGCGAGATGAGTCTGCCGTGATGCAAGCTCACCACGCCCATTGAAGTCTGTACGGTAGAGCGAGGTCGCCGAGTCCACGATCAGGAGTGAAAATCGAGTCTCACACATCATTTGGGAGGCCTGGTTAAGCAGCTGTAGCTGGTGATCGGAATTATAAGCGCGAGCATAAGCCACATTGTCGAGGACCTCTTCTCCAACGAGTCCGTATCGTTGGGCAACTGCCAGGAGTCGAACCGGTCGAAAGGTTCCCTCGGTATCGATGTAAAGACACTTGCCCTCACCTCCGCCCATATCAAAGGGCAATTGGCAAGTCACAGCAAGGGTATGGCAAATCTGACTTTTTCCCGTTCTAAATTCTCCAAAAATTTCCGTGATTGACCCCGTTTCGATACCACCGCCAAGCAGGGTGTCTAGTTGTTTGGATCCGGTTGTAATGGAGATGAGTTCGCTTCGTCGGGCGTGCATCTCAGTGGCAGTTGTGAAGCCAAGGGGAACGAGTTTGTTAGCTATCCGAAGACAATAGGTCAGCATCATCCATGCTGCAATGCAAAACCTGGGGAAAAAAAACCACTCCTTGGCACTGGGGGTAGTAATGACTCACCCTCAGCCAGGATCTTGCTGGCTTTTTGCTCTGAGATACCCTTGATCTGCTCCAGTTGGCGCTTCGGTCTATTATTTGCCCATCATCAGTTCATTTCTATCCAGGGAATCCGATTATCGCCGATGCGGTTGTAATGGCTGCAGGATCGGAAGAGGGACTCAACGTACGTGAACGCAACTCTCTCGACAGTGTGGTATCCGGCATCCACAAACAGCTTGATATCTCGAGCAGTCAAGCCAGCCATACCCTAACATGCAGTTTCAGCTTTCTGTACCGCCAATAAATTCTGTGTTTCCAGTTCACCTCTCGTTCTTACTCACCTCCAGAGCGGAGAGCGGGGTAGGAGCCCCAGGGCCGGTCAAACCACCGTCATCGTACTCTCCTTGGGTCTCCGTATCAGCAGTCATAGTTCCAGGTCAGGTAGTCTCTTTCGATAGCACAGGGGCTCTTCAGGCCAAGGTCGTGAAATGCGAGGTCTGGGGACACGAGGGGCACGCGTTCGATTTGGATGAGATGGTCCTCCCAGCACCTAGACTTTCCGAGAATTATGATAATGAAAAGCTGTGTATTTTCAGACAATGAGTCATTGGAATCTCTCGCTTGCAAATTGGGTATGTTTGTGGCAAGAAGCGAGGCACCCTCAAAGTCAAGATTCGCCTTCGTGAAAGACGCGTCGAGACTGTCGCGCAGTCACGTGATACCATGTTTATATGGAAGCGACAAGGCAACAACAGGCTAAGCGGCGTGCTGCCTGTTGCTTGATACAACACAATGATCAACATTGATTTTAACTATCACTCGAATCCCAAGGGATTTCAAAAGAATGGCCATGCTCGCTCTCTTTTCCAGTGGTGTAATAAATACATATCTGCTTGTGTTCCAGCGTCTACTGCGTGCTTTACACCGAATCTCCAGATCTCTTGTTGCCCGACATCATCCAGCAAATGACGTATAACGAAAGTATTCTTCTTCCAGACGACCATAATCCCATGTCAGTCTCATCGTCCTTTGCTCGGAACCTGGAAAAAATGCCCCTCTCGGTATCCGACGAAGGCACCTCGACCCGCCCATTCGCACGTCAGCCATCTGCCACTCAATTATCCCATGAACGGCATTGCGTAACAATCGACGTCCGTTTGTGTCGGTCTTGATTGGATCGAAACATTGGGTCGATTTCAAGTCCCTCAGATGGCGCGTTCATGTGGATTCGCTCATTGAAGATGGCGCTCATTTTTCGTCGAAACTCTTCTGAGGACCGCTTGCGAAGGACTCCTATGGTTACAGAGTTGGCTCATTGTCCACAAGTCATAATGTGGCCACAAGACGCACTTACTCGAGATTCGTGAAGCCCGATGCTGCTCATTCGGTGAATGAGGAACAGCCACATTGCCGCCCTGGGCTGAAACGGACTTGTCGCGTTCAGGGCGTCTCGCTGCAGGCTCATTGTCAAAAACTCCGCCCGCACGCCAGATTCGGGAGTGGAAACTGGCACGCTTCTGTATGTCCTTTCTGTCGCCAACGAAGCTTTCGCTGTGGTGGTTGAAGCTACTGGGCAAGCTTAGGCTCTGGGACAACGTGGTCGGGGTGTAGACTGCTCCGGGAATGTCTACTTCAGAACTCGATGCAGTTGGAGTGTCTGCAGGTAGAGCTTTTCGAGCATTTTTTGAATTCTTGATGGCCGTCGACGAGGCTGGGGTTGGAGGGCGTACTGGGTACTTCTTCAGGTCATGACTTGCTGGTTGGTCGGTACTTGGTGTCCCAGGGTGCAGTGTGCCCGAGTGTGGAGTATTGTGGCTGGAGACCCAGATGCCTTCGACCTGGACGCCTCGCTCAAGAGCTTTGGCGCCAAATGGAACATCATCTCTCGATAGCATCGGGTATAAATCTGCCTCTTCATCTTGCTGGCGCGATTCGGCCTCGGCGTAGCGGCCGGTCATCCATGTGTTGAATGCGTGAACACAGGAAGCATATACAAATACGAAAACCTGTATCATCGTCAGCTTCATGCCTCCGTCGCTGTGTGGTAACGGGTCTCATCGCACGATCAGAAGCGCCAGCACCTAGGTTGAAGATCGAGTCAGAATGAGGTGTGCTTCCAAGCAATGGGCGACTTACGAAGCTCAACTGCTCCCACAGCGCCCAGTCAACCCAGAAGGCCATGGCAGCTTCAAGGACACGCCACCCGCAAATGACTGTTGCGGCTAAAAAGTATGCGTATCTGGTAGAGGTCTTTGTGATTGGCGGATTGGTGTCGAAAGAGTAGTGAGGTTGTAGTGGAAGCGATCAACGTGGTTCATGTGTTTCTCGTGAGGGTCGCCGGGGGGGTGCCTTCCTAATTTGGAAATGTGGCAAAAGCGATGGCCTTTCACCATTCCTGCAAAATCATATTTATCCTCCGCAGTCATTGGTTTTGAGTAGGTCAATGTTTGCTCCACCCCCGGGGTGGTTTGCCTTCTGTTTTTGTGCCATAGTTTTTACGTCGGATCCGTATAGTCGGGGAACTCCTCAGCCGGGGCCATCTAGATACGATTCAACGTAACAAGAGGACAACAACCAATCTTGCTTCCCCTCAACTACCATTGCCAGTGTGTAGTATCTCCATCCCAGCCACTCCTACGTATATGCGTAGAGGGGTCCGGCTTGGCGAGATCGAAATGCGCAATCCACTTGGCACCGAACACAATCGGACGTTCGGGCTTGCCGGCCATGGAAAAGGGTCCTATAAAGTAGCTATATGGAGTAAATTAGTAAGTTCGTCACCTTGTCGTTGGGATAATATAGCAATAACGTACAGTTTTTGCGTCTCCCGGTGCCAAACTAGGCTGCTTGCTCCGCACACGTGGGGGAACCACCCCTTCTCATGCAGCGTACTACATAGTCGACAATGATTAGATCCAGTCTCGAATACAGAAGAAACATCAACTCACGGTGCAGCCTCTTGGAAAGCCGAGCGAACCTGATCCCTTTCGCCGCGTTCCTGAGCCCAAAATGGGTCAGCGCCATTGCCGTCTCCAAGGCGCACCCCTGGGACGATCTCCCACACAAGCCAGGTAATGAACCCACCCGGAACTAGCCCCGAGCGATCCTGCTTTCCGATCTTGTATCCGAGAAGCTTGGGTGTGTCACTCGAGCCCTTTTCAGTGAGGTCCCGTTAGGCAATCAATTCTGGGGGGTCGTATTTGATGGCTTGTCGGCTTCTGGTAACCGCATCATCCATTTCAGTTTTCCGATGGGGAACTTGAACGTAGATGCGCATAATGGCTTTCCTGGTCCGGGCTCTGGGATCGCAGCATGGATATTTAGCCGAGGCGAAAGAACGGTAGCCATACTCCTTGTTTTCCTCCTCGTTAACCTGATAGTCACGCTCATTCAGCTTCTCAAGAATCTTCCACCGGGAAGGGACAGGGTGGTCAAGGGTGATGATAGTTCCAGGATCAGGGCCCTTGCGGAACCAGGCTGAGTATGAGAACGACATTGGAGTTGTTTTGGATGCTTTGGGGGTGGGCTTCTTGGATAGGTTTCTTGGATAGGTTTCTTGGACGGCTCTTATGTGGGGCAGCTACTCCGGGCATATCAGTGTATGGCTGAGTGATGGCCGTCTGGAATAGATTAAATCGTCAATATTACCCCCAGAGAGCCTGTCGATACCCGCCCTAGCTCAATACAAAGGCGGGCCCAAAAAAAACCTAGTCTTTGGTTCAACCGCAATGACGTGAAAGTACAAAAAAAAACTCTCCCTCGGGGAATCGAACCCCGGTCTCCCGCGCTTATCGGTGTTAATGACAAGCGGAAATCATGACCACTAGACCAAGGAAGACGTTGACCGAGTTACTGCTCGACCACTTGGTGTTGTTGATGTCAGTCCGTCCATTTTATGATATATGACCCTGATTCGTATTTGCTCTCACGACTTTCATGTTCAAGCTCCTCCTCCGTCTCACCGACTCTAAATCTACTGATTGGGGCTCGTTTTAATTAAAATTGTACTCTGTTAAACAGTACAGAATATCATTGAATGCTTCTGATTATCCTAGCTGTGGTTTTACCCTTTTCTTGTCTTGCAATGGTCGGGATATATATTTGGGCCATGCGACATGGCTGTAACCCCGGATCCGAACTGGATTCTCTCCAATCACCTGGTAATTCCCCACATCCATCGCAAGCTTCCCAGCTCCTACTGTAGAGCACGTGTCCTAGATATTATTTAGATAACCCAGCCCATAGATATATATCATAATTACCCCGAGCCGGAAGGGAGAATTAGTGATAAGAATTGCCAGTGATGGACCAGGCAACTCTGGAATAGGACGGAGTCTTCGGTATCACCTCCAGGGCCAGACAACATAATCAGGGATTACATTTAGTGAATAAGTGGATAGCAGGTAGTATCTTAGCAGGAAAACCGCCATGGAAAGCGGAGGCTACCGGTGCATTGTACCCAACTTGTTTAAGGCAATAAAAGGGACCTTGACTTATATAATGTTTCTACCTAACCCGTGATGAAACCGAAGATCAATCTATCCATTCACCCGGGAAGGATGACCACAACAGCGAAAAAATCACCAGAGTGAGCGTCGGACGAACTCATCACATCCATATTTTCAATGAAATAAATCTCTATTGTATTACCAGATACTGCTAAGTGCCCGCAGTGGAGACAAAGTCAAAGTCAGATCCGCAACAAATGGACTTTCGCCGTACGCCAAGGGTCGGTTCCCACTCGGCCCGCCTCAGATACTTTCGGTCCGCTTTTGTTCTGAATTTTTTTAACTTTGCCGAGTGCGAATGTGGGCTCCAAGCACGAGGGATAATCTCAGAGCATGTCATGGCTTAGGGGGCGACAATCACAGTCGCGACGACACAAAATTATGATATATGCAAAAGCCCCGAAAAATGGGAGAGTTGACCCGTATGGCAGGTTGATACTTGAAGTAAAAAAAAGCTAGAGTTTTAGAACGGCCGAAAGGCTGGATTGATCTTAGATCTTTAATCACCTTTGCAACATGACTTCTGGCCCATCAAGGTATGTTCTTCTTCTACATTTGATACATCAGACTAGATAGCTTAAACCCCTTCTAAATGGGCTTAATAGGATTCACTAACGAAAACAATACGAGAATTAGTTATGTCCTTTACTGATTGATATTCATGACTTCGAAGTCCCCGAGTATAAGAGCCGCTAGGGCCTCGTCCTGGTTATGTAGGGGGTGGGCAGCAGATAAGATCAACTAGAGTTTTTATTTTATGGAAACGTAAACACCTTGCAAATATCTTCCCTGACTATTACTTCCGGAAATTGGCTTTTTTGACTTCTTCTAGAATTGTCAGTTCTCTCGATACGGGGTTCTTCTTTCACCCCTTCTGTCCCCTTTCCAATATTCTGCGATGAGTTTCATCTAGGACCATTATCTCTTAGATGGCATTAACGACACGACAGAAAAGTTCACAGCACGATAAGGCTAGTTCCAATAAGGAATTCCCCACTTCGATACAGAATACTATATTCGAGACTTATAAAATACTAGTAGAGTCTATATAGATATAAACCCTATCTTAGAGAAGAGTCTGGAAAAGAGTCTGGAAAAGACGATAGAAAAGAGTTCAGAAAAGACGATAGAAAAGACGATAGAAAAGACAATAGAAAAGACAATAGAAAAGACGATAGAAAAGACGATAGAAAAGACGATAGAAAAGACGATAGAAAAGACGATAGAAAAAATCGTAAAGTGGGCGATATAGTAGGAAGGGGAGTAGAATATTAACTTAGTCTATTAAAGGGATAACTAGATAGAGGTCGCGTATATAGTCGCTCACGTTGTTAGCGGGAAGTATTAATGTAAATTATGCAGAAGGACTCGGTAGGTAACTTGTGTATTTCGAATGTAGCATTTTGAATTAAACAGGGGAGGGAGGGATTTCCTCATTAGGACTAGCCTTATCGTGCCATGAACTTTTCTGTCGTGTCGTTAATGCCATCCTATCTCTTCTGTTTGCTACCTACATACCGATTCAATTGATGCCTTTTGCTCTGGGTAATTGACAAAAAAAGGCGGGGGCTATGAGTGAATTCTCAAGAGCTGGGATCTTCTCGGCAATAGGGGAGAAACATGGAGGCCTAGACCCGAAACGAATAGCACCCTAGGCAGAAAATTCAGTGCTAAAGGTTAGCTTGACATATTCTATCCATAGGGACTGTATTGGATGTGATATCAGGCAGAAGCGCGAAAATGGCATCGGTGGTATCATGATTCCCGTTGCCAGCCGCTTTGACCCCCACCCTGAAATCCCCAAGGCTGCCACATCATCTTCCTGAGTTCAAGTCTCCCTTCTCAACATACCTTTGCATTCATATACCTTCTTGATCATATAGCTGTCATTCAGATGACAGTAGCGATTTAGAGCTTCCGACCAGATATCTTTCTTTTACGACCGATTTAGATTCGCTGATGAGTCTCGCTGGTATGGCGAGCAATTTATCGAGCGCCAATGCTAGCGAGAAAGGCTACTATGCATCAAAAGGCCTTTCAGAATTTGTGAGCACCTTACTTGAAAGCTGGCATGTCCCTGGTATCTCCATCGCAGTGGTTGATGGCGATGATTTCCTTACCGAGGTGAGTGTATAATGTGTAACATCAGCCCTTGGGCCGCAATAAGAATTGTAATTCTTGAATTTTGGCCAAAGGCACTCATACATGACGCCATGACGCAGGGCCATGGAACAGCAGAGTTACCCTCAATGCCTTTCTCCGCAGATACTCTATCATATGCCGGCAGCACCACAAAGGCCCACCTTGCCGCTCTTCTTGCACTTCTCATCGCAAGCAATCGGTACAAAGATGACAGAGACCAGCCGCTCTCTTGGAAAACCCCGATTTGCTCCCTGATAAGAGCGGACTTTGTACTGCAAGATGAATGGGCGACTAATCACATCACCCTAGAGGATGCGCTCTGTCATCGTACAGGGCTAGCAAAGCATGATAACGCATACCCACGCTACATACGACCTGAAGGCTTCGGTGGACCCCAAAGATTGATAACACTTCAGGAGATGGTCCGAAGTCTGCGATACTTGCCAATGGCAAGCGAGCCACGCACAGAGCATCGCTATAGCAACCTTATGTTCGCGACTCTATCGCATGTGATAGAAACGGTGACCGGCCAATGGCTCGGTAATGCCCTCCGTGTCTGGCTTTGGGAGCCGCTCGGGATGAAGGACACACATCTCTCGCTAGATCAAGCCTTAGCTGCTGGGCCACACGTAGCCCAGGGATACTTCTGGGACAAAGACCAGCATCAATATAAGCCGTTGGACCGAATGCCAACAGAGGAAGTGAGCGGGTCTGGCGCGGTTATCATGTCTGCAGCTGATATGGTGAAATGGTTGAGGTTTTGGCTTCGGGAGCAGAGGCCACTGAGCCCGGAGGCGCACAGGAATCTTCGCCATCCACGGATTCCCGTTGGAGCGGAGGATCCAGCTCCTTTCGATACACCTATCATGTATGCACAGGCATGGCAGACTTCCTCCTATCGTGGACATCGCTTTTGGAGGCATCACGGAGCAATGGATGCCTTTGGAGCTTTGGTTACCTTCTTCCCTGATTTGAATTTTGGGGTTTCCATCATGGGAAACACGGCATTTACGACAAACGTAGTTGCGGAGATAGTGACCTGGCATCTGGTTGACAACAAGCTTGGCGTTGCTTCTGGAGAGAGGCACAATTGGACACAACGGTTAGCATGAACAACCTGAGAATAACATTTGAAGATACGCTAACACCAGACTTCCTACCGAAGATGGAAGAACACCGTGGAGCAAATGGAACAGAATGTCCATAATGGCCTGGAAAAAATTTACCCCAACCGCCCTGAGAAGCCCATACAAGCTTCTCTTCCACTATCAAAGTATGCCGGGCTGTATTATCACTCCGGATACAAATATCTGAAAGTGGTAACCAACGACGGAGCGAACGGAAAGTTACTGAATGCAAGACCAGAATCGCAACTACATGCGGAGCAGCCTGATAACAACTTCCGCATCAAGTGCGACTTTGTCCATGTCTCTGGGGAGAAGTGGATTATGTATGTCGACTTGATGGATGCACCGACTCTAACGAAGCATGATTTTGCTGCGGTAGAGTTTCGAACTGGCCTTGATGGAGAGATTGAGTCTATGGGGATTGAATGGCGGGCAAGGAGCGATGTGGATGGATGGATCTGGTACAAGAAAATTCGCACTGAAGATGAAACTCGTAAGGCCTAGCGGAATAATAGATGCCGAATGGAGTATCTTAAAGTTGACCTGGACTCGACGATGAGCTGGGTCTTTTCAAAAACATCAAGCTTGGCCTTCTGTACCGACACAAGTTCTTGCGATGGGCAAATGCAAATAACAAGTCTCCAGTGTTCCACAAAGTCGTAGAAGGTCATAATGCCAGTGAATCTTTGTGAAGTGGATGCTATCGTCATATTGAGGTATGTCTTCGAACTTATCAATGACTCTGCGCTAACTTATATCTTGAATTCATTCGGATGTCTCAGATTCCTAGCTATTGCGAGACTGGGCAGCAATGAGCTACCGGAACGGCTGATGTTACATGGCAAGTCACTTTTAGCTACAATTAGCTGCGCTTGCTCGCAAGCAGTCACCATGAACTCTACCCCAATCCAGAGTCGGTGTCAAATTACGAGGGGACAGACCAAATTGTGTAATTGGCGTATTCCCAGGCAGAATCAGCGTCAACAAAGCGTAAAGTCACAGTGATGTTAGAGGCGCCGTTATTCAACTACTCGAACATAAGAGTTGTGATCACATGTGTTGTCTCATTGTTTGCAGCACGACATGGATCAATAACGATCCATGCGAGAATGCCAAACAGGATAGCGCTGAAGTTGACCATTGTCGCTCGGTATACCTATAGTATATTGCGAGTAGATCAAGAATGAAGATGCAGCACAGATAAATTAGATCCATGTTTCAAGCAGTATCTGGACCAAAACATAGTGTCAGTAGAGTGTGAAAACTAAGATTCATACATCTCAGGTTTTGCCAGCCCAACTCAAGATAGAAACTCACATCAAAGGGACTAAAGGACCCTTATCGCGGAAATTTGCAATCGCTGACTCTTCTGACTCTTCCGACAATGAAAAATTCTCTAGCGAGAGGGAATCACAGCCCTATTTATGTGTTTTCGCCAGTGAAGCTCGCTAACTATCTAGAAGTACTTGGATGGCCTATTTTCATCGCTAGGGAGCAAGCTGCATACGTGAATTGATGTGGATAGCTGCTATCACTTAGCATCTAAGATGGCTTGCATTCATGATTGGCATCATTTCACAAGCTAACGACCATACGGCTAGTTGAGGGAGCAAAACGATACACCGTGAACTAGCTGGGAGATTCAAAGCGGCAGTAGAGATACCATGCTACGTACGCCTACATTCTAGTTCGATTTAATCTAATTAGTGGGGAGAAAAGGCAATCGTGAAAAGATTAGGGAGGAAGAGGTGGGTATAACTAAGTGGAACCGATATCCAGCAAAACGAAAAAAATCTCGGACTTGGCCCGGACAAATTAATACTTCCTGCGTATTTCTAGCACTCGAGCGATTATAGTGAAGATATTGACTCAAAGAGCGAGCCATCATTAAATATAATGAATAAATAAATGTGGTGTATGATGTGTTAATGATGGGGGATTTCTCTTTGCGTTCACTGCCTTCTAGGCCATACAAAACCAGAGCTTGCAGGTCAAAGATACCTAACTGACTAGTCTAGACTGGATGAATATGTACCTCACTGGTCCAAGCGTTGTGTTCAACTGATAAAGCATAAGGATACTTGGCTCTTTTGAGCTAGCATAGAAAAAGATTTGTCACCGGCTGACGCGTCGTGAGGCTGAACGGTGCATTTATCCACACTCATACTCATTTCTTTGGATCTTTCAGAACCTCGCATGTCTAGCACCTTCTAGTGTGTTCTGCTCCACCGAATGCCTCAGACCGGCCATACTCGTCTGCGCTGTGCGGTGTATAGCGACTACTCATTAATTTGATCGCCCTTAGCTCCACACAAGAGGTCTGCCGGTCACTAGACAGCCGTCATTTCTATGGTAGCCCTTGCGGATATTCTGATAGTCGTTCCACATATCGTTACCACTGAGACCGCAATTATATCCCTGTATAAAAATGCCACAGCCGCGAATCTGATCACCCCAAAAATTCCCAGTGGGGGTGCTCCCACTTAAGAGGTGATTAGCAAGTTGTTGATTTCATATGAGCATGTGGGTCAATCCATACTAATAAGCCAAGAGAATGGAAAGTAAAGGTTAAGGAGGCAATAAACTCACTTCGACGTGTACTAAGCATTATTAGCTCGCTGAATTGTGTTAACGGCGTGATCGCACCAGCTTAAGAAACCCGGAGTTACGTATATAGATGAGCCCTTGCAAGCGCACTCATTAGGGAGAGGTTTAAAGATATCGGTGAGCGGGTTGTAGCCTTGCGCCTGAACTACGAATTTGCTTGTGTCGATAGCGCCTGTTCCCAGCGGCAAGGTCCACTTATGAGCGTTTTAGCCTCAGGGTCTTTTGAGGGTCTTTAGGATGCATCAAAAAATAAGTGGTCAAAATGACGGTTGAACAGATTTCCAGGTTGACAGAATTCTCCCGAATAATACTCGGGGAGAAGACCATAACCCTCTGTCCGCAATTCAAGACCCGGCAGAATCTTATTGTAAGGTATCCTTTCCCTTATAAAATCTACGCATATCCTATATACCCTTAGTTGTGTGTAATTTCCTGCACTAAAATGATTGAATTTGACTCGGATTAAATGACTGATGAAATTACTGGAGCTAAAATATAGACGATTATAATCCTATAAATTCAATAAATACTATTATAAACTTGTTAACGATAATACTATCGCACTAGTACTTAATTAATCCGCTAAAGATAGTGATTCGTAGGTATAATCTTCTATATAGTTTCCTTAATAATTTAAATTGTTTCCTAGATAGCTTACTAGGTAGTTTCCTAGAGCGCTTCCTAAAACGTATCCTAGACGGTTTTCTAGACGGTTTTCTAGAGCTTTTCCTACTCAATCTCTACTATGGAGAGCTTTTACGGATTTCCAATAGAATAGGTGCCATCAATGAGCTCATGATATGGAGTATCCTAAAGTTGAACTAGACTCGATGATGAGATGAATAATTCTAAAGACAACAAGCTTGGTATTTGTATCGCAAGAAATGATTCACTGGATGCGAATAGCCCCAAGAAATTTAGCTTGGGATTTTGGAGTGCATTGGAAGGATATCCCGGCTAAAAAGGTTCATAAGATAAAGAGCAATGGAAATGCAGCGTAAACTAAAGATACTGACAATATGGTAAGATATCTCAGTCAAAACATTCATCAGAAATGAAATAATCAAGCGATCCCGTTGAAAATACTGCCTCTGGAAACTCCCCATTGTAAGGCTTCCACAATCTCAACAAAATGCGTCTTCGGCAATCGGCAGGCTTCGGGCTTCACACATTCAACGACCGGCGCTGCTCGGGAGGGATGCAAACAGGCTTGTGGGCCTTCCAGTGTTTTTTCTGGCAGTCCTGGGAAGTATCAAAAACATGTCAGAGGATTAGAAGAAGAGTCTTGACTAACCTTGTTGCAATACCAACCACGCTTGCACCTGTTGCATTGGAGTGGCTTGCTGCCAATTTCAGATTCGATCTTACCACATTGGAAGCAGCTTGAACGGGAAATCAGCATCATATTGTGAAGTCTCCCAGAATTAAACCAGTTCAAGTAAAGTCTTACCTTAGCTCCTGGAAGTCACGCGGCTTGCCCTGCTCATAGGCATCCAACGCCGCCAGGAACTGAGCCTTCCCCGGACTGCGAAACCCAACATCCTCCAAACTCCAGATCGTTCCAGGAGCACAGGGAACCTGGGGAACCAGATCGCGGAGATGCTGGAGATCCTCATCCTTGATTTTGGCCCCAACCCGCATGAGGAGAGCCCCGAGAATAATTGTTTTATATTCTCCGGAGGTATATCTTTCCCAATCCAGCTTGCCCTCTTGTGTCTTGCTCTTGGCAATGAGGCGCTCACCCAAATTATTCGCGTCCAGCTTTGCGCGTACATAGGGGATGATCTCATCCCGTAGCTTCTGGGCATACTCTTTGGTGCTGTAGAGGGCGTGACATTCTGGAGGGGCCATCATGTCGGTTTGGTTTACGGTTTGTGCGGGTCTGTAGGTCCATTTTTTAGTTTTAAAACCCAGATCTTCTAAGAGACTGCAGGCAAGATCGAGGTCCACGTCTTCCTCGAAGAGGCCTAGTGAAGGGATGTCAGTGAGGTTAGCGATGCTCGAGATACCAGAAGGAGGGTAGTGGGTAGTGGAAGACGCACGGTAACCCCATCGACCCATGTTGACTGGTTGATGAGATCTTGGGGTTTGAAGACGTTGAAGCTGAAGTGGTGATGTTGCAAGTCTTGGAAGGTGTAGGAGGAAGCAAAGGAAGAAGTAGAGGAGCGAGATGGGTCGTGAGAGGTGAAGAGTTGGGCAATGGAGAGAAGAGCTTCTTTTATGGCAATGCGTTTGGGAGTGACAAACGAGAGGCCTGGAATATTCCATAAAGGATGTTTGTTACCCATTGAAGTACATATCCAAAAGAGAATCAAACGATCCATGCTAGACTACAAGATTAGTCCGTCGCTCTGAAGGAAAACAATTTCTGAAGCTTATCATGTCTGCGGTAAGAGTTAGATGCATCTTTGTTTATGTTCAAGACGAGGAAAAGAGTATGAATGTAGCCAGTTGTACGATTAGCTGCATTTAGCTGGAAAACCCTATAATAACAGTGCCAACGAATAAAGCGAGATAGACCCTTTAACCGAGGCCGAGCAGACTAGTCTATTATTACACTAGTCCCTCAGGGTCCACTCTCGAGCCTTTAGTGTCAGCCCAGAGCCTCATCTGCCTCCAGGACCCCTAATTCTCACACCCTCACAGAAACTCCCTTTCACATTCAAAGTCCTAGAGGCTGCCATCTCTCCAGTCACTGAGGTTCCGTGTGTTTGTTTGGTTATTCCCCATTTGCGTTGAGTGGATCAACCATGGGCCGCCTCCACCGCGACGATCTCGCGGATGCCGCCTCCTCACACTCGCTGCATTCCATCGCCGACGAGGATGACCTGCCACCTCCGTACACCGACGAACCCGATCTCGATCTCGTCCCTGCTTCTCATTCCACACCTGCACCCTCCTCTTCACGCCCGACCGGCGTTTTCCGGCCCCTCCGCATCGTCGATGGAGCCTATGCGATCCCCGGCAGCAAAAATGTTCAGTCCTACGATAAACGCGTCGTGACTCTCGCGCCGAGCCTCTCCAGTAACAAAGACGAGCTCTTCCACGTTATCCGCAGGCAGTTGAAACTGCCCGTGCGGCCCATCCTGCTCGTCAAGGGCACGCATACCGAGTCTTCCAACGATGGCAAGCAGAAGAAGAGTAACACCGTCACCGACTTCGAGTTCCGTTTGGATCTCGCGGAGACCATGCTGACAGGATGGGAGGGGGTTCCGTTATCTGTGAACTGGATGGAGATCGATTTGATTCGGGATAATGACGAAACCTCTGCGTTCCGCGGTGGAATCTTACGGTCGCGGAACTACAAGGCCCCTCACGCTCCCAAGGCACGGCTGGTCCTTGACCAGGCCGTGGACAGCGATGCTGCCCTTCTTGGACCGGATGCCGAGGCTGGCATTGATGCCGATGACCAGGAGGAGGAGGACCATGCTGCAGTGGTGAACATCAACAATGACCTGCAGATCTGGTGTGAGCGGTTCTGTCTCGACCCGGCACCTGTGAAATCGTATGGCTTTCCCTCTACCTCAATTCCTCCATTCACGATTTTCCAAGACCTCTGGCTCACGCTTTTTGAAATTCTAGTTTCACCATCTACCGCAAATTGCACGGCTTCGATAACAAAGCGATGGGCAATATTCTAGACTCTCATATCCGCGAGCTGAACTACCGTGGCACCATCAATCAATACTTCACCCAAGCACACAGCTCCGTCACCGTCTACTCTCCGCACTGGATCAACCGCCTACGGACCAACAAGTATATATGGTGGCTCGTTGTCATTCTTCAGCTCTGGATTATTACCTGGCCCATTATCTGGTTGATGGAAAAGCGATACGAAATTGCCTTTGCACGCTGGAACGCCTCGCTCGACCCAAACACCGACTCCAGCTTGGTCAAGTGTTATGCACAGAATCGCAACGAGTCAGCCCTAGCGGAGTGGTGGGCACCAGCCGTCAAGCAGGCTGCCTGGACGCGCCGGTCTGGGGACAATAATCTCCTTACAAGGCTGGACGCTGAGCGGGTGCAGGGAATGAGCACTGAGCAATTAATTAACTTCCGCCCTCGAGAGTCAGATGCAGAACTCGAGCGGCGGGGACGTGTCGCCAGAGGTGAAGGTGGCTTCGTCGACAACGTCGTGGGATTGGCTCGCGGCATTAGCGAGGTCGGACAGGATTGGAGGTTTACCATGGGATGGGGTGCTAACTCCTGATTTGGTGTTTATTTTGGTTGCCGAGCGAATTGTATGCTTTTACTTTGTAGTTTGCGCTTGGGGCTAAAAGCCCCTTGAGCATCGTGTTTCGTCTTGTGGATGCACTTAATACGTCCTGCTTCAACTGCCCCATTTGCTGTTCCGCAGACCACGACCGGGATTACAGCTGAGATTGTTGATCGTCCGTTGTTACATATTTCCCCTGGAATACTGATGCTGGGTCTTGACGCCTGGGATCTAGGCATCGCTTCTCCACCCACGAGTATCGGCGCCGATCGAGGCTGACGTGAGGGGCTAGTCCAGACAGGTGGATTTTGTGTTGAAACCTCCGAGAAAGGGCCGATTTCTTGAGTTTATTCTTCCCAAGGGCATGGTCATATTTATAGCCCAGGGACACCCTAATGGAGCGCCGTTTTGCACATGCAACCCCCACTTGAAACCCTTCTGGCATTCTGGGGAAAAGAAAGCAGTGGCAGTGCAAATGCACCACTCAGGACAGGCGGTGTATTCAGCGGTGAATTCCAAATAACTTAATTTTAGGCCCAGGTCATTTATACTTTCGGTGGTCATGGCGTCAGCATCCGTAAGCACAGCTGAAATACGAGTTCCCGAGATGATCACTCTGATCAGCGATCCCTCTTGATATCCACTCAAGCCCCCCTCGACCGCTCTGCACACTACTGCAACCCCATCCTGATTTTCCTCTTTCACCCTAGCCTACCCTCTCTAAAATGCTGCGGAAGAAGGAGACCTATACTCACATCACACCAATCCCCTCGTGTGTACCCCGCCAACTGGCCTTGGACATTCTCCATAGCCATGGCGAAATCATCACCCTCAACCCTCTCGTCCTTTCATACCATGCCATTAGGGCCCCTCGAGATGCTGCCGCAGATGAATACTACTTCACATGGTACGAGATCATCGAACGCGTCCAGTACCTCCCGGGTCTAGGCAAGATGGGATCCGGCAAGGTCAGCTTCAAGGGCTGTTTCCACGATACCGAATGGGGTCTGGAAACGCATACGTTCGTTCCTCTGGGAATCGATATCAAAAGCAAATGGCGCATCGCAGGCAATCAACCCGACGAACCTCCGAAATTCCGTGAATTCCGCCACGATGCAGCCCCCAAGGAGGGGCTGTATCTGCAAGAGGACATTGAAATCAACTGCAATATCACGTTGATCTCGTTCGTCAAAAATCAGATGAAAGCTGCATCGAAGGTCCTTGTTGATCGTCTTATCAAAAAGGCCGAGCTCCTCGATGCGGGTGTCCTGCAGGCGATTATGGAGGACGGGAAACTCAAGACGATTAATCCTGCCGACCGATCGAGTATGTCGCGGACGGACTCGGTGGCTTCACGGAGGCTATCCGATCAGGTCTCCCTCAATTCATATCAAATGCCTCGATCGCCGACTGGTTCTACGAGGCAGTCGTCTACGTACGGGGCCTCACAGTCAAAGTACCCCTTTGCACCGCCACAATACGGCCAAGGCAAGAACTTTGCAGCAGAATTACCGGCTGATTTTCACCATCCGCAGTCGCTGTCAGGTATGTAAAGTGGGAGAATTTTAGGGTTGGAAATGTCGTTCGCTCACTGACATTTGAACATTAGATGCGTCATCCTATCGGGGTAAATCATATACGGCCGAATTGCCTGCAACGCTCGAGGGTCCGAAAAGGTATCCCCAATCAAAAAATGTGATTCATGAGCTGCCCGAATCGCATCATTGAGTGAGATTGTTGGAATGACGAAATTAAGATACCCTTGTTATGCGCGTGTTTCTTTGTACTTTCTCCATGTCTTTCTTTCTTTCTTTTTGATGAGTGAAATGACTGTTACGATTCCTCGAGATCGATGTTTGATATGCAATGTTCAGATAGTTTGATTGTACGGGTTGACTTGAGAACGCACTGGCGTTGGGGTAGTTTTGTGCAATTCTCGACAATTATATGCACGGGCATATTTGGAAAAAAAAAATCAAACTATGTTTTTTCAATAGGCAAGACCTTGATCCAAGGGTGTCCAGCGATAAAGAGAGAGTAGCTCTCTGCGTCGGGCTTTATGCTCGTCCCAAGAGTGTGGCCCCGCCTGCTGGGCGTCATATAACATGGATCGGAATACCTTGCGGAAGTTTTTCTGCAGAAATCGATAAGCCATTTGCTCTCGACAGAGCAGTTCAGAAAACAGAAAAACTCAGACTTACTTGGAAAGTGGTATCGAGAGTAACCACGCTTACCTCGTGGGCTCTGATGATTGTTTCACACACCTCTTCCACAGATCGATTGGGACCAAGTTCCGGCATACGATCCACAAAGAGCAGGAGAATGAAACTTCCCTGGAGAAGGTAAATTCCGAAAAGGTAGGGCATGAAGGCCATTTCCGGGTCGATGGTCAGAATCTGCGACACCACCCCGGATGCACTTAATGCGTGCGAGGCACAGGTCAGAAAGCTTTCTGAGGTGATCCAATCGTCTTTGTCTTCAATCATTGAGATGGGATCCCATTTCCCATGTAACAGAATGTAGAAGACATGCAGCAGATAAGTGCTGTAGATTTTTACTAGTTGGAGCTTCGGATCCTTTGAGGTTCCTGCAGTGGGTGATCCAAATGGGCCCACACCCTGGGATGGCCCTCGATTGGATTGCCGAGGGAAAGGGTGAAGTGCGACCTCATTGGTGAGATATGAATCGGCTTGGCTATCCAAGTCAACAAGCTCCTGCTCCCGTTGAGAAATCATCGCTTCTATGCGGTGAACGGCTTCAAGAGGAATGTACTGCCCGAGTGTGGGATGGGCCCGAACGTGGTGTAAGTCGATGATATGGCCTAAAACCCTGGCTAAAGGGAGGAAATATTCAAAGAACCCTGCGCCGGAGATCTGAGTCGGAGGACCCAGTGCACATGCTGGAATACAATTCAGATCCGCCGTATCAAGTGACTGCCAAAGCCTCTCCGGCAAGGGCGTTCGCACGCAGAAAGTGCCTTCAGCAATACTCAGTCGCAGATTAAAGGATAGAGCCAAGTGTCTGTCCAAGCAGTAGACCAGCCAGAACAGACGCCTGCGCTCTTCCTTTGCGACCAGCCATCTTCGGAAGGTAGCATCGCCGTTGTATAGCCCACAGAAGACGGGGCCAAGGTCAATGTCTTGGTCTTCCATGCTGAGCCCACTGGCTCGAACCAGCCGGATTAATTTGTCGCGCCATTTGAGCGAGTCGGCTTTATAGTGTCCACCCGATATTACTATTGTCAGAATAGCAACGGCGAGAATGGTGTCGGTTGAGCCTAATTGTCGTGGTAATAGGGCTTTACCACTCGCCTGTCGATCTGGAGCCGAGTGTGAATTATTTGGTGTACCACCGCTGGGATGGGGGTGAAATTGCCAGCCATCTAACACGAGTCAGTGAGTGTTCGCATAGTCATTGTAAGGTCAGAACACTTACCAGATGTGCGAAAGTAGTTATCTGGATCTTCAGATTGTAGCAGGTCTAATGAAAGACGATAGAGATCCACGCTCATGCGCTCTCGTGCCCCGGGAGTATCAAAAATCTTCATATCGGCAGTCTGCGCGACGCAAAACAGAATGACTGCGAGAAGAGCCGATGATGTTGGGCGCGGTTCGGTCGGATGAAGGACTGATGATGGATGCAAGACGTGGGCAAGCATGTAAGGAGATGTTGATTTGAACATGGAGTTATGCTTCTCATTAAAGTAAATTTCGAGCATCTCTGATGCTTGCTCTGCGGAAAGGAGACCATTCAAGTGCGGAAGGATTGACTCGAGGCAGCGGTAGGGTGATCTCATTGAAACGTGTTCTGACATTGACCTAGGGACTTCGTCAAAAACACTCTGATGAAGGCCTGGCAATGACCCCCGATGATCTAGTGGATCGAGTGATATCTTTGAAAGGCAATTTAGTGAAATGAGATCTCTGGAAAGGGCAGTTGCAATTTGGACGAGCTTACCCGACGGGGTGATATTGCCGTTTGACTTGTCTCCAGTCGTACACGGCTCAAAGATGTCTGGAAAAGCCCATCCAAGGGATCTTTCTGCGCGGAGAAAGTCGGATTGTTTGTGGCAAACTGCTCTGCACCAGAGGGACTTGTCATAGGCCCCGCGTCATTTGCATTTGCATCTAGCCCATACGATCGATGCTCCAAAGATGAAATCACCGAAGGTGCATCCTGATTTGAGGTGCTACTTGACATCACCGTGTCTCCAGGACTCCTTGACTGATTCTGAGGCGATCTGTTTATAAAAATCCGGTCATTGTGTTGTGTGTCGGGACCAGGATCTGTCCTTGGTCGGCGACCGCGCTTTCGAACAGTCTTGGTATAATGGCATTCCTCTTTGCGCTCTGCAAATACGAGTAAGCGAGTCTGATTCGAAAATTGTCCAAAGATCTTGATTGTACCTGCACATCGCCGGCTTGATATACGTGGCTAATCAGCATGGGGCTCCAACTCGCCTTTCGATACACTTACCACGGTCGCTGGCCATCGCATCTTTGTTTAGAGTATGTACATGAGTCGCAAGCTCTTAGGACCCTAGTTTGGGCCCGGGAGGCCATCTTGATGCTGGTCATCGCAGATAATCAGGAGTGATTCGAAAATGGGCCGCGACTGCGGAGACAAAGAATGCGGGGAGAGCTGGTCGAGTCTGTCGTGATGAACAAGTTAGGCTAAATCCCCGGTCGCCTTAGCCAATGATGGGTTTAATCCAAGACTGCATGCAGCCTTACCCCTGCAGGTTTCACTACGAGATCTGCAGCCATTTTGCCTAAACTGGTGTCGCAAAGCTGTTATATAACTCATTGCATTTTTATTTGGAGGAAATTGTAGACGCTACATTGGCTGATCGGGAATGTGATACTACTGTACCGAAGAACCACCGGAGAAAGACCTAGGCTATCGAGTGTCCTTGACAATTGAGACAACCCAGAGAAATGGGTTAAACCAGTTGTGTCACTAGCGCCGTATGAGTAACTACTTGTAAAGTGCAAATTGTCATCTATCGTAGGTGATGGCCGGTATTACTTGGGGCGATTTAGCCTTATAACCTGGCGGCAGCAGGCTTTTTGTTGGCCACATCCCAGTCATCACCCGGACTGGGGAAAGAGTAATCATGCCATGGCCCCAAAATGTTGTGCACGGCTGTGCAGAGCTGTGCGTCCTCTGTGACGCTGTTGATACTGACTTCAGCAGACGGACCGGCATCTGCACTCCAGAGCCAACGAGGCTCATCCGATACACGCAGAACCTGCCGAGCAGTTGCGAGATTGTCCTCTAGTTCCGCTATGGAAGTAATTCCCATGATGGTTGTTATGCGAAAATCGGGGGTCGATAGCAACTGGGCTCGACGAATAGAATGTCTAAGAGCTAGGGCTGCCATCGATTCCCCCTGACTTGCGACGTAGTCGGCTGCTTCTTTGACGGCACTCCGTAAACCAGAAGGTGCTGGATGAAAATCTCCCAAATCTCCCACGGGCACGCCGTTTGCACGAAGAAGACCAATGGCCAGCGGGCTTGAGTTACAAACGCAGGAAACTCCAGCTTCCTGAAAAGCCTTCAAGCCTTCTCGTGCCAGGCGGTCATTCTGCAGAGTCATTTGAGCCCAGTTCTGAATGATGTCAAGAGGCCGAGAGTACTGAATTTGAACACGGCGAGCGAGTCGGGAGAGGATGTCTATTCGGTAGCCCGAGATACCGACGTATTTAATATAGCCCTCGCGAACCATGTCGAGCAAGACGCCGATAGCGCCGAGAACTTCTTCTTCGGGAACAAATTCGACATCATGACAAAACACGACATCTAGATACCGGGTGTGTAGGCGTTCGAGCGAACGCATGACAGACTGTCGAACCCATACTGGAGAATAGTCGAATTCCGTGGCTGTAATCCGACCAACTTTGGTCATGAGAAGATACTGATCACGAGAGTATTGACTCGTAATCTCAGGATGTGACAATGCTTCACCAAGAAGTATTTCCGAGGGATGATAATATGCGGATGTGTCGATGGCGCGTAGTCCTAAGTGGAAAGCACGTTTAAGAACTTGTAGTGCCTGCGCTGAATCTGGATTCCGGTATACTTGATGGCTGAATCCGGCACCACCAAGAATGAGCGGTGGGAGAAGGTGTGATAAAGGCGTTGAGGCTTGGAAAACACTCATACTGAGAGCCCGTCCGTGCGAAAGCTATATTAAGGTGGTAAAAGTATTCGGGGCGAGAGATGAGTTTTGCGACGTATTCAAATAACGCAACCGTGAGACTTACCTTTGTCAATGTTAGCTATTTACCCGACAGCCTTCCATACTTCAGGGAGAATGTTGCATTTGGATGCGGGGAGTCTGGTTGGGGCTAAGGAAGAGAATACAGAGTGACCCAATTCTCCGCTGCAAATACCCGACGGGAAAATGCTGATTGGAGGGTGCGAGATCTGCCAATCATTGCGTGTTTAAATGTTCAAATCCACACGGTTGCTTTCACATATCATTCGACATGATAAAGAATTGTTAAATCATTTCTCTTGAATTTAAATAATCGCATTCTTCCAGGATGCTCTTTGTAGAATTGCTGTTAATGAGCAAGTTCCTCGAGGATGGTCTCGATCGTCCAAGTCGCCATCATTCCTTCATAGCCGCATCGTTTGCCTCAAGCAATGTAACCTGAGCCTGGGATAGTATCAACCTATTAGCCTGGAGCTTTCATGACGGCAGCCTACGTGGACTATCTGTGAGTGGCAATGTAATCAGCGTCTCTGTTCATGCAAAAGCAAGCTCAAGTGGAGAAGCAGCGTCTGCCTCCAACGTAACACCCCAGTCGTCAGCCGTTCGATCGAGTATGCATCGAACTTGGGTACGGACGGAAGTAATTTTATTGTATGTCAAAAGTAAACTACCAGGCCACAGTCAAGCAGATTAATAAATCATACATTCATTCAGGACGACTGGCTTGGCGAATATTGCGAGTTTCCTGGAACAAAACCGGTAAAGTAACCATATAGCCGTCTTGGCAACCCCGCGAGGACGATCAACTGGGTATGGTCATCGACACGTTGGACAAGTTGGCCCAGAAGAAACTTCCTCTCTCATTAGTCGTTGGTCATAAAAAGACTAAAGCTCGACGAACTTTTGTTTTTACACATGCAACACTTGACCGATAGACAAGTATTCTAGCAACATGAAACCCGCCCGAGGCCGATCCCGAAGCCTGCACGAAAGGTACCTCGGGCCCTTAAACCCAACGCCAAAGTTGAAGAGTCGGGCTATTCACCGGCCAGCAAGAGATCGGTAGTCGGATATAAGAGTAGAAGTCGGCAATTGGCGACATATAAATACACAATTTTCCTAAAACAAATCTACCAAATTTAATACACTACAAAATGGCCTCAACAAAGATTGCCCCCTCGCCTGCGCCTCAAATTAGCCCAGCCTCAACAAAACATGCGGATATCATTTATCCAAGATGGTTTGGTGGCTCAGCATCTTGCATGGCGGTCATGGTGTCGCATCCATTTGACCTTAGTAAGTGCGTTCTCTGTAACCTAGCTCTCCGAACATGGAACGCTAATACGGATTTCACTTCAGTCAAGGTCCGCATGCAGACTGTTGCAGACGGTGCGAAACAAAGTTCAGTTCGAACGGGAATACAAATCATTCATAATGAAGGTGTCCGAGGCCTGTATCACGGTGTGAGTATCCGGCCCATGGTGCCATATGATACTTCCATTCCGATAAACTAATGTCCATCCAAAAGCTTTCCGCTGGATTGATGAGATCATGTAGGTATAAATGCATTGAGAACTTCGAAAAGAGATCTAACATATTCCTAGTAACATATGGAGCCTCTCGTATTGCCCTATATGAAGAGCTGAAACAATCGGCAAACAAATCAGAGAAGCTCATCACTACTCCAATGCTCACGATGATGGCAGCAGCATCTGGCTTCGTAGGAGCTATATTCGGCACACCGTCAGATATTGCAAACATTCGGATGCAAAACGACAGATCTTTACCTATTCAAGACCGTCGCAAGTACAAGCATGTGCTGGATGCCTGGGTTCAAATGAAGCGTCATGAAGGTTGGAGAGCTTTTGCCCAGGGACTCTGGCCTAATTGTTTCCGATGTGGAATTATGACCGCAAGCCAGTTGGCTTCTTATGATACATTCAAAGATATACTGCAAAGGTGGAGTAGTTTTGGCGAGGAGAGCCCGGTCATTCACATTTCTGCGTCGTTGTTGGCGAGTTTCGTTGCAACCTCGATTTCTAGCCCGATGGATGTGATTCGAACACAGCTGATGAGTTCTCCAACTCGGGTGTCAGTCCTGAGGATTGTGGCCAATTTGACTCTGTCTGAAGGTTATCGGTGGGTGTTCCGGGGTTGGACGCCCAGCTTCGTGCGCTTGGGACCACAGACTATCGCAACGTTGGTGGCACTGGAGCAGCATAAACGGATATATCGTCTCCTCAAGACTGGAGGTGACCAGTCATGAAACGTCATAGATTTGACTTTGAATAGAAGGCATATGTTTTCTTGACGGACTAGTTCCATCTGACCTCCAGCGTGAAGTAGAGTTTCGAACATACACCGCTCTGTTGCTTCTCCGTGGAAGGGGGAGACATATTCTTCTTCGCGAAATGCCCGGAGGGTCAATTTAGATAGACCTCGATATTGATCAAATGTTGATCATATAATCAGATGGTATTAGAATAGCCATGGAATTTACCGTTCCTGTCGTAGGAAAGCAAAATGAGCTTGCTCGGTGCCTTTCCGAACGGACTTGGACGTCTGTGGAAGCAATTCAAGTGTTTGAAGAAGAATTGACTGCAAATTCTCACAAGTCGTCTGATCCATCTGACCATCGTCAAAGTCTCGCTCAATTCCTTTCCACAGTAGCTGTACACCCGCAAGAAGATGGTGGGGATAAGGGTCAATGGCGACTAGTGGGAACGAGCCAGAAGTGCTGTCTGAGCCCTGGCGTGTGGGGATTGTAAAATGATTGCTGAGACCAAACTGTAGGCAGTTTAGGAGACTGCCTTGTGCATCTGACTTTGTGATGCTCATTTTTTCGAGAATATCTTGTCTTGATGCAATTTCGATGGCATCAATCATAATTAGAATACTTAAATGATGGTGCACCATAAGCTCGTCTATTTGTACCCGGATGGCGAGTGTTAGTATTCTGGACCTGTACAGTTGGGACAGGACTTCAGAACGGCAAACTTACACCAGCGAAGCTTTGTATGCTGCGACAAAAACTGAAGCCGTCGTTCGCATGCTGCCAGCAACGGGCGATAAGTGACATTGAATTGTCTGATTGCCTCTGCGGCAGAGGTGTGTGCGTGGTATACAGCATCTTCGCCGTGACCTTCACGAAGCGCCTCCTTCAAGATTGTACCCATTTTCCACACACGTAGCTTCCATGTATGGGCTGCGCCAATGATTTGGTTTGCCGATTCTTCAGTGACGAGTACTCCATGGGTACGCCATCTCTCAGACTGTTCGTGAAATATGGTCGTGCATGTCTGGACCATCTGCCACGAGGACTCCGCTTCCCAGCCCAGGAGGCCCGAAGAAAGGACGGACTTGGTGTTGAATGTCAAGGCGGATGAGGTATCGAAAGTCATAGCTGCCCAGTATATCATACTCTCAATGTGCATAAACTCGGATCGAATCTGTTCGGGTGTGGAAAGTGGTGTCGCTTGGTCTGATAAAAGGGAGACCTTGGAGCCATTGAATTCAAGACTTCTTTGGCGGGCGCGAAGGTACTGCACTTGCTGTAAAGCAGCCTGAACACATACTTGAGCAGGTACACCGCTCTCTTCCTCTTCTTCAGGTATTCCGACCGGTACTGGGACCATGGCAAAAAGGTATAAGCTCAGCATGGACCGATAACAGGGCCGATTCATGGATTTCAGAAGGTTCTGTCTCAGTTCCCTCCAAAGCGACTGTATCAATGAGGTTTGCGCCAGCTTCTGGTCAGCTGAGTTGAAGGTGAGGGGAAGCCAGCGGGCGGAAAAGGTCTGAATTGCTTGGTTCAGTGTGTTATCAATCTGCCATTCCTTTACCAATTCGGCTTGTGTCGTGGGGTGAGCCCTCGCATCCGTCGGGCCTCGATTTTCCAGCTCCTTCATCAATTGATCGAATTGCCTGCACAATGATGAAATGCTGACCGATAGAGAAAAACCTGGATGGTCGCTTGCGCCGCCTTCCAAGTGACCATTCTCCCCGAACCTAGCCCTACATTAGAACCAGTGTAAATTGAATTGGTGAGCAATCCGACGGGCTGCTCGTCACTTACGAGAAAGGACAGCTATAGTTGCCTAGCCAGGACCCGAAGACCTGCTCAAAGACATTCTCATACATTGATCGAAGCCAGTCCGAGACTTCCAAACTGACCAGCGAGGAACGCGCAGAGGGTGCAGGAGTCCCATGGTCGGGGTGAACGGGACTATCGTCTGCCCTAAATGGAGAAAGAGTATCAATAGAGAATCAAAATAGTCAAGTGAAGAATCGATAGGGCAGCTTTACCTAGTTCGAGGTGACTCTCCCTCAGGATCGTTGAAATGCGGCGACAAATTGAATCCTTCCTCTCGGCTTCTGCCATAAGACGGCGGCGGGGAGAGAAGGGGGTTCCAGCGATCCGATGCAGGACTGGACCCATCCGCTCTGGCAACGACCTTTTTCATCCACTGCGAAAATATTTGATCAGATTCTCTCCGGCAAAGTATGCAGTCGAACGCGCTGAAAGGGACTTATCCGCACGTCAAAGCTGCAGTGTCGGTTCCGAGCCGCGCAGCGGCTACAAGTGGCGACACTCGACTCTCCGGTCGCAGAGCGTCTTCGCAACGCATCACAGGCAACGCGAGACTTGCGACAGGCATCGCAGCTGGAAAACTGCTTGCGTCGGTGGACTCGGTCGATATGCATCCTAGAGATGGGCCGATACAGTGCAAGTTGGACGCTGGCATGGGGAGGGATCATTCCTCGTATTATGAGCATTGACTGGGTCTCCCCCGCAGGGCTAATCGTGTGCCACAGACGGATCGTTGGACGAATCGGCGAGAACGCCGCCAAGTCAACGAATTGTAATGGAGAACACCATGAGCTTCCCCACTCAGATCTCCAGATGCCAGACTCGCTTGTGTACATTTCTAGTGCAAGCGAGATAGAAATCCTGGGGACGGGGCAATCCGGGGTAGGCTCCCAGACGAGCGCTGCCACATTGGATCTAGCTGGATTGCTTGACCGAAACTGGGTTTGTAGGATTACATCTTCGTTTGTAAATGTCAATCAATCCAAGCTCAATGATCGAGTACTTGCCATTCTATACGGAGATGACGGAATATCGCCCACGAGCTTCGACTTCAAAGCAATATTTGCACTTTAATACTCTTTCTCCGCGGCACAGAGTTCTCCGATCATCGCATGAGGATTGTCGCTACGCTTGAGGCTCACCACAAAAAAAAAGAGGCATATCCCGTGGAGAAACCTGCGTGCTACGTACGAGGATACAAGACGGATATCAGGGTATGCCCATCAGGGGACTAAGTTCAGACTATGTTCCCCGGGCCTCATGACTCCCCACGGAATGGTTCTGGTTCTTGGACGTGCTGGTTCCCTAGTTTGACTGTTGGACCGGGAAGATTCAAATAGCGTTGGTATGATACCGCAAAGAATCTTGGAACCATGTCGAGGGCTTTCCCATGAATAATAGTGCCCCCTAGTCATCGAAATCTCCGAGAATCCATGCCAACATAGCATCTTAGGAGTCGATGTCATCGCTTCCAAATGTTTCTAGGTGCATGTAGTCCATTCATACCTTGATTTTGGATCGCTTCAGACTAAAACCTCATGACGGCGACCGTGGCGGGGGAAACGACTATAACTATGGAAATAATCACTTCGATGGACACCCTATCATTCGCTTCGCTTGGACGTTTGTTTGGATCTAATTATCTCTGCAACTCCGCAATTCAATTACCAGGGAAATCTGGGGTATGACTGGCAGGTCTCCGTCTTTTTTCAAACCATTGATCTTGGCACATCGCTTCGGATCCGATGTGGATACCACCTCCGCCAATCACCAACCCATTCTCGCAGGACAAAGAACAGAATGGGATTTAGCGTTGGACCCTTCGGCTCAGAACCGAGGAAGGGGATCCGAGCTGGGCGAAAGATGAAGAAGACAGTGGTATCTGCTGGAGATCGGCAATGCCACTCAAGGGCATACCGGATCCGAGTGACCGGCCCGTCCCCCTATATCTGCCTTGCTTGCCGACGATTTCATTCGGTCGCTTGAGTTGAAGAAATTCTACATTTAGCCGCCTGTTCGAGACACTCGAAGATTGCAGCATAACTTCAACGCCTCTCTACGGATACAGCAAACGAGCTGAACATAGCAGCACTTTTTCTTTTCAACTTGCAAGAGCTCGGGTGTGAAATCATGACGATTGACACCGCCCAAAGGCCCACCGGGTCTGTGGTCATTATCGGCGCTGGAACTCAAGGCCGACGACTTGCATTCATGGTGAGTGAAAGCCTCGAAATTCGGCATTTCAGTAGTCAAGTTAACTGGGTGAAGTGGTCCCAAAGAGGCGGCTCTGTTTGTCTCGTCGATTTTCAGAGTCAGCAATTGCAAGACGGTCTGAGCTATGTCAATCAGCTTCGTCGCAATGCAGCAGTCGACCACGAAGCAAATTGGGGAGAGGTTACGGTTGCCCATCCAGACTCCTTGGAATCAGTCCTTCAGGATGCATGGCTGGTTGTGGAGGTAACGAATTCTGACCTCTATCTTGATGCGTGGTGAATAAAGATCTGACTGCGTTTACAAATAAAGTGCGTGCCCGAGAACTGGGCATTGAAGCAGAAGCTCATCCCCCAGCTTGATGGTCTAGCTCCAGCGCACACCATTATTGCTTCCAACTCGAGCAGTTACGGAATTTCCGAGATTATCGAGGGCCTAGATCTGAAGCACAAAAACAGGATATTGAGCGCACACTGCTGTATGAGACCTTATTTGTTTCGTATTTTTACAAAAGAAGTCCTTGCTAACAAATTTGCAATGCGCAGACTGGCCTCCAGAGACCTCAGGTACATATACCCAGGCCACGAAAAAGTAACAATGAGAATTCCAGTACTAACGAGAAACTTATCAGCAATTGAAATCATGGGACATCAAGATACTGATCCCGCCGCCATCTCCCTTCTATTGGAGGAATGCAGAGCCCATGGATTCTCACCCTTTCATGTAAAGAAAGACTCTATTGGATACATTTACAACAGGTAAGTCCAGAATTTGATGAGCTGACCCCGGTCCTTTCCCGTACTGCCCGCCCAGTCGCTTACTGTTTTCGCAGAATTTGGGCCGCTATCAAGCGCGAAACCCTACTAGCACTCTCCGAGGGTGTTTGCACGCCTCGAGAGATTGACGCAATTTTCAAGGACGTTCTCAAAACACCCAAAGGGCCTTGTGAACAGATGGATGTGGTCGGCCTCGATGTGGTGTTGGATATTGAAAACCATTATGCAGACTCCCGAGCTGGTATCCCTGCCGAGCCGAGAGCGTACCTTCAGAACATGATTCAGAGCGGGCGTTTGGGCGTTAAGAATGGGGAAGGGTTCTACAACTACGGCAAGGAAACCGCCGATAACAGCAATGGGATGAGCATGCCGAATCTGTAGCCCGGGCTCTGCATATACTGTATTTGTTTGTTAATTGTCAAAAGAGCATAGATTTGATTTAACATCATTTCTCGTGTCTGATTACCTTGAAGTCCAGTCCACTATCCACAATTCATTCAATGTTGACTCCTGCGCTTCATCAGTAAGCGAGCCTGATGAATCTGAGCACCCGCAAATCTTCAAAAGCGTGCCGAGCCGAACGAGAATGTCATCACCCACCAAATTAACAATGTCATAACTCCATTGATAGATCACTTAAGCTCTTCGTGCGCCATTCACGTTGGCCTTGTATCCTTCCACCTATAAGCAATGGTCTGGGCTACCAGAAGGTGATCCCCACCATGTGGGAAATGGGTGCTCTGCTCCACTCGCGCCAAACACCGCAAACGACAGAATAAAGATGACAATCTGGGAACCCCCATCCATGGCAGCTCCGATGAGATAATTATACTTGTTGTAAATTCGGGGCAGTCGACGGCGAAGCCAGAACTGAGAAAAGACTCCCACCGCGATCGAAGACCAGATCCAGGAGGTATTCCCATAATAGGTGTAGCCAGAATACAGCGCAATGATTGGGGTGTTGATCGGCCAATTGCGAACCCGAGGGAAAATTCTAGCCACGCCCCAATGCAAAATCGGGATTGCAAGACCAATAATAATACCAAGAGGGACAATAAAGTATCGGCTCTTCGCACCGTACATATCTTTGGCCAGAGCCCAGGTAATGGCTTGAGAGTTGAGGCTCTGCATGTAGGAACCACTCCAAACACTGTTTCCTTCAGGATCAAGGAGAATCTCGCGCTGGTTTGTCACGATAGTGGTCATCACGGCATAGTTGAGACCAGCTCCAAGAAGAGTTGCATAGATCTGAGTGCCAAACATAACCCGATGAGGTACTTTTGTGTACTGTCCAACTTTCAACCAATTTGCCAAGTTGACTGCTAGGAGGATGACCTGGTGAGACCAGCTAGCAAAATAGAAGTTGGCCAAAGGTCTGCCAGGGTGTACAGCGCCTGCAACCATCTTCGAGATCTGATTCGTCGATACTCCACTTCCATACAGTCCGTATAGAATGCAGGAGAATGGTGCAATGAATCCTCCAAGCAGTAGAGCGACTATATACCCCCAGACGGGAAGCGTTGTCTCGCCGCGGGCGGTCACGATAATTCCGGCAATGAAGCAAAGAACGAAAAGGACCAAGTACCACCACATTGGAACTTCTTTGTATTTGAGCATCGCACGATAATGCGGATCAGGTTGAGTTTTATTACGGGCCTGCTTCCATGCCAGTACCATGTCCTTGCCGAAAAAGATAATCACATGAGTAATCAGGGCTCCAATTGCGAGATTCTGTGTGAAATATCCCCAGACAGTGCTAGAGGTCAAGTATGGCAGTCCGATCTTCGCCAGCTTGGCCCCATCGATGATTCCCTCGTCGTTCAAAATCGTGGTCGTGGTCAGTTTAGTCCCATCACTCTTGAACAAGGAACTCGACATGAATGGAAAGTTTTGGGCATTCCACGCATTGCTGTAGTAGAGGCCCAGCATTGCAGGGTACCAGATCACATAGGCAATCCAAGTGTTGAATTGCTGTTTGAACGGCAAAGATAGAAACTGGCTCTGAATATATTGCCAATCCAGAGAGAAGTTGAGCAGGCCCAGTCCTTGATTAGACGATGCACCTCCAAAAATTGTCGAGATGACCGTTCTGGTGTGTGTTGGGGCTTTCATCGATGCCAAGCAGACAATGGAAAGCCCACCGAACCAAGTGATGATATATGATGGGAAAAACTCCCAGATTGCAGCTAGAGCAAGAGCCCAGCCGAATTTGATAAGTCGGCCCCTGTTCGCACGGGTGTCAAAGTGGAGATTTTGGAACAGCACCACTTGTGGCAGAGTGCTCCAGTACACCATTTCTGCAGGGTACACGATGAGTGGTCGCAGCAAGCCCGCCACGACAAACCCGCAAAGGGAGATAGAGAAAGTTGCTAGCACAGCAGTGGATGCGGAGACGCTGCGGTCGTAGAAAAGTCGCTCAGCAGCATAGACCTCGACTCCAGCGAGACCATTGTTACCTGACGAAGCGATCAGCGACGCGACAACATGTTCTTTGATTCCGAATGGCTGTCCAGAATTGACGAAGCGAAGTGTCTTCTGCACCCATCTCTGTCTGAAACGGTCCGGCAGGGGGGTGAATCTTGCCCATGCTTCGCCAAAGATGTAGACCAGCACTTAGACAACGATTAGCAGGAATATCACTTGATATTTGCTCGCAGATAGCTTACACTGAAGGAAAACAGCCGAGACTTGCATCATGGTTGGCTTGAAAATGTAGATCATGGTGATCACACTAGAAAGGGCTGTGAAAGCCGTGCCCAGAACTATCGAGCGAAATGTGAAAGAAGGGTCACCATCATCACGATCAGTTATCAGGAACTTGGACACGTCGCCTCCTATTCTCCCATAATCAGCAACAGATCATCTTTTTCTATTTGAACACGGTAGCGATCATACCGTTCTCGATGACAGGGTGGCCGTTGACATAGACGGTATCGTCCTCGCTCTTCGATCCAGCGGAAAGATCACCTTCTGCTGCATTGGGTGAGGGTGTTCTTGTTTCTTCTCCTACTGCGACTGCCGCCTCTTTAGTGAGCACATCAGTCTTGCTTACTTCTTGGGTTTGCATGTGTCCACTTCTGTCAGAGCTATTCTCTACCAACGCCGACATGTTGCAAACTGAATCGGTGCTTGGGAATTTCTGCAAAAGGGACGTGGGCGGATAGCGCCAGTTCGGCTTGAAATCAAGCTATGTGCCAGTTCTGTGCCAGTCGGCACGGGTTATAAGTGAGAGGGGGTCACCAGGACTTTTCATGACAAATTTTCTGTGTAGAAGACTGTCCCGGAATTTCTCTAGTCTGAAAGGCAAGATTCCAGGTGAGGTTAGCATGAATTTTTTGGCTCGGCTAATTGGAGTGCGCAATGATGCGATCTGTAACAGTAGTGGTGAATATCGACGGAGACCGGTCGCTTTGTCTCGGTTGAATATATTCCATAGCCGACGAGGTACTTGACACCAATTCGCAAATGTAGACGGGAATGCTGGGGAATAGCGCGAGTTTTCAAGTGCATGGATTGGCTATCTTGGATAAATTTGACAAACGAGAATGGCGCAATTATGCTCGGCAATGCCGAAGTGAAACCAAATCTTAGCATTGACACTAAGAAGACGCTAACACGCTAAGACTGCCTGGAACGTGCTGGGACTGGGGGGTTTCAGGTGATCTCAAGTCCGACTAGACTTGATAGGCAAATTTTGTATGGCACATAATGACCTCCCGCAGATTTAGGTTGCATTGTGGCGTGTTACGATCGCTTGCCTCCCCGCTTCGAGACCTTTCTCACTCTATTGGGCCGACAAGAAGCTTGCCACGCCTTCAGTATGTCATACAGGGTCCAGAAGATGAATACATGTTCTAGTCATCATGCTCTGGTGGCAAGAACGTGCCATTCGCCTTTCCTCAATTCAATAATCGTACCGTTGATTGATTTATGATCCTGATGATTGGGAAAGCCTGCCTTCACATATACTAGGTTCAAGAGCTTCAATATATTATTCGAAGCCACGAGGCTCCATTCATAATTCATGATTCACATGCTCAACAAGTGCACCTCAGTATGTGGATGACTCTCCATCCGCAGACTCTGCCTTCTTAGCAGAAATTTGTTGCCTTATAATCCAAGTGCTCTGATTAAGGTTTACTGTATCTAGTAGCTGAGTTCGCCATGGGTTTGCTGATGCAGTTATCTCTCGGCTTGGATTTATGTAAGCCATTTCTGAAACAGCGAAACTTGAAAAATTGACAAACGTACTGATGTCAATATGAGCAGATACGTATCTATGCTCTCCGTCGAGCTTTCGGCACTGGCATTCCATTTTGATATGCCTCCGAAGGCTGCAATTGATGCAAAACTCTGCAAGTTTTCCGCTACACATGAGTTGGAAATTTATTATCAGCAGGCATATAGGAGGGTAGTAAGCACACTGTCTGCCACGCTGTGCCACCTTTTTCAAGTGATTGACCTTGAGTTGTCTTTGCTTGTCTTGATGCAACGGTTCAGATTCAAATTCGTCATATTCGAAATTTCAGTGACATTTGTCGCATTGGTAGCTGATTCTTTCTAACGGGGCCGCAGCTTGTGACCGGTGTAACCCAAGGAAGTCGTCGATTTTCTTCTAACGCGATTGTCAAGGGGGTATTAGAGGCCAGATAAGACGCTTGTCGTATCTTAGCAGACACTGTGAGTGACTCTTCATGTAGAGAAAGACGACCCTTAAGTATTTTGTTCTTTTCTCTTACTCATCCCACTGAATCACGTACATGATTTGAAGCCTCCATTATATACATAGCTCAATTTATTGGCCATATTAACTGTATTCGTTATGCGTGCCGACACAGTGGAATGAATCACAGCTCTTCATGGCCACCTAGCGGATGAGCATCCTGGTCTTCTTCGATCCGGTGTTCAGCTTCATGATACTTGAAAGCCAAACGAGCACCAGCTAGAGCTTCTAGTAGAATGTCTGACTCCGTTTCACCTCCAATAATTCTAGTGTGCTCGCCAACACTGTGTCTCACGGCCTGCCTTATGATTGATCTTTCACAAGAATTACCCAGAATGATAACCTTGTCAAAGCTTGAATATGCCTCGTCGGGGTTGTCTGCATCCCGGGTTTTAGCTTATGTGTAGAATTCGTATCAGTTTACCCAGACACCAGGATTCAACAAGCGAGTTAGATGACTGAACCAGGAGCTTTTCTCACCTTCGAGGCAAAGTAGGAGGTTATCTAATGTTTCTGATAGCTCGCTGATGTACTCAGCTTCAACAGCTTTGATATCGTTCCAGTAGATGAAGGCCTCCTTCTGCTGACCAATCCACCAATCATCTAAATCAAGAGGCCATTTTTCGAACTGGTCCTTTTCAGATACTTCTTCTTCCGACGAGTCCACGCGACCGTCCATCTTCATCAACAGTCGTGATCGATGGACAGCGGCAAGAAGAGGAATGTTTGAAGCACCTTGATCAAGCTGTTGCTGTATGTCCAAGTTGGTTGAGTTTAGTCTTTGAACAAGTTTGATGGGAATGCTCATACAGCCCATCCAGTCGATTGGATAGTTCAATTTACACCGCCTGCCATGTGTCTGAACATCGAAGTACAATAGGCCATAGTCAACGATTAGGAGCTTTTGAGAATGAACAGCCAGATCGACGGATGTGATGTTCTGTTCCAGTATGTTTTCGGCCATATTGAATATATTGTGAGGGCTCACTGGGACATATGGCCTGATACCGGCTTCCTCCGAGGCCTCGACAACAAGCATTCGAACCTCCTGGCTGAAGAAGCGTGGGAATAAGATGACTGCAGTTGTAATATTTGTACCATCTTCCGCCAAGGATACATTTTTCACCCATTCCAATGCCTCTATAAAGCCTTGCTTTATCTGATCTGAGGAGGGCCTTTCATCCACTTCTGGCGGGGATGGGCTTTTGGAAACAAACAAAGCGTCTCGTAAACTATAAAGCTTGCTCAAAAGGCCAGAGGGACGCCGAGGCTTTGCATGACGTTCTTCAGAATAGTTCTGGCGCAGGAAATTCGTAATAATAGCGTAATTGGGAAGAGGCGATGTAACAGTCCGGGGATGAACAGATGCCAGAACGACGGCCTGGTCAAGGGAAGGGACACAGATGGCAGTCCTGAGATATTATTAGATTGGTTATAGCACCACCACCGGCATTGGGACCGGGAGACCTCTCACACTGCATCAAGAGACAAACTAATTGCGATTGGTTGTGGATCTTTCTTATCGCTACATGGTGATAGATTCGAGGCATGGATCAGTCCCCAGAAGTAGAGGAAGAGAATTGCTAAAAGCCAAGATGATGGGCCCATCATCTCCCAATCGCCCCGTTTCACCCCAGCCTGTGGACGTGACTTGAGTGTCCACGGGATATCTGCAGGGGTAACAGACAGCCAATTAGCGATGATACCGGCAAAAAAATGCAAAAGAATATTTCGAGGTTGGGGGTGCCTGCAAAGTGAGACAAAGCTGGGCATCAGATCACGTGTTGAGGGCCCCTTTTCGTGTTCCTCCACCCGCCCTCCACGGTCTACACCCCGAGACAGAATGCAAGGGCATAGAATTGACCTGCATCGCGAGAGTCTTACTTGACCAGCGATAATAAAGGGACTGAAAATACCCCATACGCAGAATCAACCTAGTATATAGATTGTGTGCGGTTGCTCCTTTCTGCGCAACAATCCAAAGTTCCACAAGATTCATAAGGATAGGTCCCCTTGCTGCATCTTGACTCCTGGGCTGATCTTACCCGCGGAGAACAGCCATTTGAAAAGGTACAAGTCGACACCCCCGGGTTTGCCCTCGCCCCTTACGCGGTCTGTGAGGCCATAACCCGTCAGCTATTTGTCCCTGGACCAGGCTTCCCGGATAGCCGCCGAATTTTGACCCAGCATTTCTATTTACCTTACCATTGATGCTCGTGGCTATCAATTCGAAAGCCCTTCGCGTCAATATAACAAATCTTCAATCATGATACATACAAAGCTCATGAAGCTTCTTTTGATTGACCATCGCCGAAAAGGCGTTCTAGCACCTTGAGAACATGACTCTAAACACTATGCTTCATTCATGATTTCGATTGTCCATAGATCATGATATGCGTCTAAGCGCCCTTCCCCCCCTACAAACCAATCTGAGTTATTTTTACTAGGATAATCTTCATAGCCTAATGTTCACAGATTTTGAAAGGCTTCGTGGAAGACCCAGTTATGAGACGACGACAGCCAGCGATAACCCTGTCCCTAGCCAAGAATTTCGGCCTCATTCGCCAAAGCCAATCGGATTTGGTGACATTTAGACCGAAGCGCCACCATCGGAAGTGACAGTATATTGCAGCTTGTTTAGAGTTCTAACGGGGCGTGTTATGTCACGGCGTAGTCAGAACAAAGAAATCCATACACTTTCCAGGAGAAAGAGAACGAAGCGGCGGACTCTCTGATTCGTTGTACACCCTACCCTGGATTGATTCAAGGTTACTACGGGGTAGTATCTGTACTGCTCTCAAACTTCGAATGGATTGATCCGGTAGGTCAGATCGGCCTACAACGTGTCTACGGCCCATATTGAAGACAAGGCACTGAGAATTTGAAGGTGGCGCGAATACCTCATCTTCTATCTCTATCGCTCTCTTAAATAGTTGTGTCTTTCCATACTAGTATTGCAGTTTCAATGGGAAATCCTAGTAAGCCACAGAATACGAAGAAGTACGCCTTTGATAACCCCGCTCCCGCTCATACCTGACAGTCGCTCTACATAGTTGATGTTACACAGAGCGCTAATCAGCCCGATGGTAGCCGGTTCTAATGTTGGACACCATAATGACACATTTTCTGGAGCACCAAAATGTGACGAGTGAATTTTTCAATTCTCATTTTTGTATGCGCGTTTGACCTTGCTCTTGTACGGCTGGGGGGTGATGAAGCTCTCAGGTACAAAAGCAGTAAATCTCCCAGGTCTCAGCCAGGTCACAACTAACTCTTTCTTGTTGTTTGACTTCCAGAGTATGGTTTACAACTAGGAGGCTGGCCAACATGACCTGTCGGTCTACCCCGCCACATCCCTGTCCAGCCAACCCCTTTGTCGGTAGACGATGCCGGTCGATGCGACAGCTGATCACCTGGATAATGCTTATCGGTGTTCTTTGACCCACTAAAGCTAAGGAGTGTTTGGTTTGGTTCTTCGTTTCGTTCCTCATTTGGAAAAATCCGAGGGTGAGATCCACGTGGAGAGGTTATCCTTTGTTTGCGAGAGTACGAAAGTCTAGAAATGCGCCGAGATGATCTGAGAATGCTTTTTTTTCCCTTGGATCCTGCGACTTTTGGTCAAACCAGATTTCCTCTGAGGTAAGTTTGCACAATCTATCAAGGAGCCGGTGTAAATTCAGGTCTTTATTAATCCCTTGTCCTCTCACCTAGTCTCTCAGCGGAATTGTCAACGTCTATTTCTTTGCCAGAAAAACCACCCTTGCTAGTACCCACTCAGATCCCATCATGGCCGAGAAGGTAGAACCACATGTACAGGTGCCCTCTCAAGAGGTGGCCTTCAACACTCTCATCAAGCCGCAAGCTCGCGAGCCTTATGACCCAAGCGTCACTTTCGAGGAATATTCCTTCTACGCACAGAAGACTCGAGCAGAGGAGCTGAATTTGGAGTCGCCCGTTCTCAACATACGGCGTGTCCTCGGAGGAAAACGTGAAAGTTTCGGTCATGTTAATCGGGTCACTACCCATCTGACTGCGAGTGACTTTACGCATCGCGAAAGAAGACTATTGATCACTGATGAAGAGTGGACTAATGCAAGCCGGACATTCAGATCCGCTTCGTGGGGAGCCTGTAAGTCAGCCTAAAGCCATTTTACATACCTGAAGTGCGCTGATATCTTTGCCAGGCTTCTTTCTTATCACTACCGACATCATGGGGCCATATAGCACTGGTTTTACCATAGGCACACTGGGATGGGGGCCAGGTGAGCAAAAAAAACCGAAACAAAATATCTCTAAATGATAGGTTGTTGAGATTTGATAGGCATTGTATTCTACACCGTCTTTGGTATCATGGCTGGGTACTCGGGGTATCTCATCTGGCGAGTCTTCCTTGGCGTAGATAGCTACGAATATCCAGCAAAGAACTACGGAGACCTTGGTTTCCGAACAATTGGTCGATTTGGTCGCTACGTGACAAATATTTGCCAGGGAGTTTCTCTGCTCCTAATTGTTGGGCAAGTCACGATTTTGTTCGGTCAGAACATCTCCCAGATGTCCAAATTTCGCCTTTGCTATGCGGTCTGTCCGGCCATCTTTGCCTGCGCTGGCTTTGTTGTCACCCAGGTCCGCACTCTGAGAAACTACGGTTGGTTCGCAAATCTTGCTGTTTGGATGAACTTATTCGTCGTTTTCATGTCGATTGGTGTCATGGCTAGCTCGCCTCCAAATTATCACATCTCCACCCTGGGATCTGCAGGGAGCGCGGTGGCTCCGGAAACCATCAAGCCTGACAAGGCCGGCAACTACCCTCCAATCATTCACTACAACACCATTCCCTCTGATGGATTGATTGGCGCTCTCAACGGCATGCTGTCTGGAGTGACAGCATATGCAGGCGCCCAACTATTCGTGGAATTCCTGGCCGAGATGAAACGGCCGCGGGACTTTATCAAGGCGATGTGGGGTGCTCAATTCTTCATCTATGCCGTCTACCTAACATATGGCTGTGTGGTGTATCATCTGCAAGGACAGTACAGCTACAATCCAAGCTACCAGGGTGTTAGTATTTACGCATGGCAAACTGTGGGTAACATGGTGTCCCTTCTCGCGGCTCTGATTTCAGGAGGTCTATATGGCAACATTGGTATCAAGGTGTTTTACAACAACGTTCTGCTCGATATCTTCAAGGCTCCCCCTCTCACCACTCGGACTGGAAAGTTCATCTATGCTGCATTGGTTCCTCTTTGGTGGATTATTGCATTCATTATCGCGGCGGCCATCCCTGATTTCTTTGGATTTGTCAGTGTGGTCGCGGCCTCTATGCTTCTCAACCTGACTTACGCCTTCCCTCCACTATTTGCATTGTGTTTTGACATTCACAAGAACGCCATGCACCAGGCTGATGGTGCAGGGTTCGATCCCGTGACTGGACGTGTGTCCAGAAGTGACACTGCCTCTAGACGGTGGATGCGAGGCTTTATGGCTGGCGGCCCAATTCAAGTCGCTATCAATATCTGGCACGTCATTTACTTTTTGGCAGCGCTCGCAATGAGTGGACTTGGCATGTAAGCGGCTATCGCTGGTAAGTCCGTTTCCCGATGTTTCTTTTCTGTTCCGAGTTTAACTCGTTGCTATAGGTCTGATCGATGCCTTTAAGATTCCGCAGTTGACATCGTTTTCCTGCGTATCACCGCTGAACTTGAGTTAGTTATGAGGGCTTGGATCTATTCAACCTTTTGGGCGCTTCAAGATTGGCTTTGTACGTATAATTTTGATCCTGAAACCCAACAGTCATATATAGTATTACTTCATGCAACTTATCATTACAAACAAGCTATGTGCATTCCATTTCAAGTCTCCATGTTTCTTATGCTCTCCTCCACAATAATGGTCAATATGACGCAGTTTCCGTTCACCTAAGAAGTACTTTTTCATTGGTCCGGTCTGGTTTCTGGAGCCGTCGAGAAATATACCGCCTAGCCCATGGGAACAGTCCGAAGATCTATGTATTGAGCGAGTCAAAATGCCTAGCCTATTACAAACACTTTTTGCGGTTAATAGAATACCTCGGCAGTACATCTTTATAATCAACCACCGAGGTGGTTCCCAACGCCGTGCGGGGTCACACCAACGCGCGCGCAATGTGATTCGATGACCCGCAAAACCGACAATCGCCCCGGCAAGAGTATTCCCGATGACCATGCAGCATAAGATTGCGGCTGAATACCCTTTGGGAGAAATAGGACTATTAGATTACAATCAACAACAAAATGCCATCTTATCGGTATGCGGATATTAAGGTCGAGGTGAAGGGAAAGATTGGGGTCATCAAAGTAACTTGTCTAGTGTGTGGCAATCCGCATCCTGATCTTGACTAAGCTCAGCATTAGTTCAATCGACCCAAATCGCTGAATTCCTTTGGTGGGAATCTCCTTGTTGACACTCTACATGCCGTGAAAGAACTCGACGACCACCCAGATACTGTCTTTACAGTCTTGACGGGTGAAGGCCGATTCTTCTCCGCTGGGGCTGATGTACGAGGTCAGTCTAACACCATGACAAAGATATTGCTAATGATCTCTCTGGCCTAATCTTGGAGTATAGGTTCACGGCCTCTGGATGAAAACACGGCCGATCTCACAAAGACCCAGCTCAAGATTCTCCACTTATCTCGATTCACTACCAGTAGGTTTATTCGTACCCCAGACATGAACGTGCTGTCGGCTAACGTATTCAAGTGATGGAACTGATGAGATCGCTCATCGACCACAGGAAGGTATTCGTCCTGGCCTTGAATGGCCCAGGGGTGGGAGGAGGAGCAGCCTGGTTCCAGGGAATTGCCGATATCATCCTTGCATCCGAGACTACATATCTCCAAGTCCCATTCAATTCCTTGGCTTTGGTGCCCGAGTCAGGATCGGCGACCAATCTGGCCAGACACATGGGCGTCCATCGCGCAAACGACTTTTTGATGTTTGGTCGGAAGCTGACTGTTCAAGAGTTGGAGAGTTGGGGATTGATTAACCGCATTTTCCCAGTTGGGGGCTTCCATGATTCGGTCGTTGAGTTCTTGGAAAAGCAGCTCGAGGTCAATGACGGTGTTAGCATGATGGAGACCAAGCGGCTACAAAATCTTCCGCTGAGGAGCGAGCGCATCTTGGCGGTTTATAATGCGATTGATGCTCTTTCGGAGAGGCTTGCGAGTGGAGCACCGGCTGCGCGATTCCGAGCGAAGAAAGCCGACCTGGAAGGTATGGCAATGTCCCATCTTGATGCAGCCCATGGTCTAATCGTTTCTGGTAGCGAAATCCAAGTCGCGGCTTTAAGCTTGGAGAGTTCGATGTCTTTATGAGATGTCATACATCCCACTCATGAATGATTGATGGGCAGTATCTGCAACTGGTGGGTCTCTGCGGCTGGAATGCACCTCATAGATCAGGAGGATCCGTATGAGATTCAATATTTGATCAAACTGGAAGCATGTTGCAGTACATTTAGAGTCATAAGAATATGAAACAGACCGTAGCCACAACGTTGGTTCAAACGGCAGAGAAACTAAAAGAATGTAGCGCAATAAGACTTGGACCGAGGCTCCTTTCCACATCGTTACTGCCATCCATTGCTTCGACAGATTAAGCCCAGTCTAGCTAACGCGCGAAGGCTAGATTGCAGTCAGTTGTACTAGTGACGATTCGCAGCCTGACAGCCTTGCAACAGTTAAAGGAGGCGGGGCTGCTACAGACAAGCAGCAGCTCCTTCCGCACACGCACCCTCATCCCAAACAATCGCAAGAGCTCACTTGCTCCCCCCCTCTCTTCTTCCCCTCAACCTTCCATACCACAATCACAGGATCTCGACAATATGCCCAGAAACGAGAGCAAGATTGAGATCGCTGCGCCGCCCACCAAAGTGCGAGAAGTGGTACGTCGTCACCAGGTCATCCATCAGAATAACGCCTACTGGAGTGACTGATACCCAAACAATAGCTCCTCAACTTCTCCGCCTACCCAGAATGGCACACCGATTTCATCAAGGGCATTACGATCAAGGACGAGTCAAAGACGGCCGAGTCCCTCGTCAACGGAGACAAGCTCGAGTGTAACATTGAGGGATGGAAGTTCATCGCCGAGATCAGGGTGGGCACCCGCCCGGGCCGCTCGTTGTTTTTACCTACAGTATCCAGCTCCAACTCAATGCTAACGATTCTTCTCTCGCAAAGGAAAACTCCGAAGGCATGTTCTCATGGCAGGGTCCTCCCGTTCTGACCGTCGCTGGACTGCACCAGTTCCGTATGGAGCCCACCCAGGACGGTACAGCCACTATCTTCACACAGTCGGAAGATCTCAAGGGTCCCCTGGCATTCTTGATGGGCCCGTCGCTGTTGGGCAAGAAGATGGCTGCCCATTTCGCGGAATTCAACAGAGATCTCAAGGCGAGGGCAGAGGCTTCGTGATTTCTAATAGACCCTGACAGGGGCACAAGAGACCTGGAACTCATCCTGGGAGGGTGGTGTGTTACCTGGTGGGCCCCGTGGCTTATACCACCTCTGTCGATCCTTTGTTTACTGCACACGCACCTCCGATCGATCGTGTAGCCTTTTTCCAGCCCTGTTTCGCAACGACTGCTTTGAAGACAACCCCTATTCGTTTTGAGTGTGATTCTAGTCGTTATTCTTATACAATTCTTCTCTTCTTGCGCAACAGCTCCCCAGTTTAATGGATTCTGACCTGATGTTTGTAAGATCGTGGCTTGCATGAAGGATTCTTCAGCACGAAGCTTTCGGCCCCCAAAAATGGCCGCCACTCGGCAGGGGTTGGCTAAGGATCCAGACCATGACTTGCGAGGAACAGAGCATTCTACAGGTTTTGATTGTGCAGCGCGGATGGTTAGAAATAATTGAGGTACATAACGAACTATGTACAGAAAGCTCGAAGGGGGAGAAAGAAACGAGCGAAGATGATGGCGAAGATGATGGATAATGTAAATAAAGGAAAAAGGCCAAACAAAAGAAATACAACAAAAAGAAAGGTGCAGTCGTCTCACCAAGCAGCCAGCTTCCCTGTAACGGGACGGTGTATTCCGGCGACGCCACCCCAGGGTGGAAGTGTCTCTGCAGAATTGCTTCCCTCAAGGGTCACTTCCATTGCTTAGCGCCTCACAGCGTCGTGGATTACTCGCACGAGTGTGGCGGCGACCCCAAGGTTCGTCCGGGCACGCGTACCCGCTGGCACAAGGCCGAAGCAAGGTCGCTAGCTTGGCGGTGGGCCTCCCACTAGGTTATCCATGACAGATTAAGATTATGGGGCCTATTTTACATCTTAAACCCTGCTCGGGAGTTTTGAGGGGCCTGGGTTCGAACCGGGGTGGCACCACTTTGACATCTATGACATCTATGGTAGGTGTTTTATTTACGACCTCAAAGAAGTCCTGTTTTGAATTTCATACCTCTTTTTGTAATTTTGTTTGCCTCTGGTGGTCATTTTTCAAATCAAACTCTTGGCGTACTCTACAAATGGCGATGACCGAGAGAGGCTACCTGGCAGAGTTACTCTGATCTAAAGGACCCCAGCTCAACACTTAGTTATGTTGGATCGGGTAGGAGAATACAATAACGACACACCAGTATTTGTTTTGCAAATTTACCAGCATGATCAGATATAAGAAGTATCCACGGAATACCGAAATTGTCCCGATCATGTCGGAGAAATTAACCCCCAAAAGATCCAAGCTAAAACAGCGACAATCGGCCAACTCATCGAACAGAGCGATGAATCGCATAAAAGCACTCTATATCTCAAACCCCCAACCCATTGTCAAGATCTACCGCGAGCAGCAATGATGATTACACTCACAGTAATTGTTAGGTTTGCGTGACACTCAGCAACAAAGTACCTTGAAACAAGCTTTCTCATTGTAATGGCACCATCCTTTCTTACAACGCTGTGGACAACGCAACAGTCGTCGTTGCGTTCGCAGTCTGGCTGGTAAGTCCCGTCCGGGCAAATTTCGCCCCAGTCGCAGACATATTTGGTCTCGTAGTAAAATATCTTTGGGTAGTTCTCGTGTCGAAATAAGGCATAACAGTCCCGTTGCCCGTGCCAGCAAAGCTTGAAGTGGTTTTGTGAGCAAAATCATTCGTAATGTTGTCCATAAGGCTGATATTGATACTTGAATATTAAATTTTTCTGGAGAGGGTATTCCTTGCAGGCGGAGGTTACTCGATGCTCAGTGGAGCTCTCTGTTGCAAGTAGTACGATTTGCAAAACTACAAGACCGGCAGCGAACAGGCAGAGACACCCAAGAATGATGAGTGCTATCAAAGTACAAGCCAATTTGAGCTTGCCTTTCAGTTCCCCAGGGTGGCTTCGTTCAGATTCAAAGATGACGGAGCTCGTTGATCCACATTCCGGGAGATTAGCGGACTCGACGTCCTCATCGCCTGGTATTGTAATCAGCCCTTGTAACTAGTCATGTAACAAGTAGAAGGGAATAAACGACCCGATGCTATCCACCATAACTGATAAAATCCTCAATGGTTAACAATAGTGATCACGATACTTGGAATATTTGTTTCTGTGAAGATCGTGAGAGCAGCCATCTCATATGAGAGGGACATGGGTATGGCCGCGTCCCTTTACGGACACGACAAGATGTCGTCGCTCAGGAACCACGGCTTGTACAAATTTTGGTTTCCTTCCTGAGGACAGAAATTTTCCTGTTTGGTTGGTCTATGATGCAACTGGGATCTCATGCATCTTCAAGGATGTAAATTTGAGTCATAGCACATGTCATTGATCATCATTTATCCCAAGGGTGACTGGATATTAGATACATGGATTGACCCAATACCCATTTAAAGGGTTACACTTGCTGTTTAGGTAATTTTGTTTAAATGAAAATTGCAGAACCTCATCAGCCAGTACCAATTGACGCCAATCGCGGTTCAGAGTCACAAGAAGCAAGGGACTTCCCGTCCGACCGATGGAAAAAGGGCCGCCATAGTATTGCATACAGTGCGAATTTGTTCCTCGAATTCTGGCAAATTGGAAGCAGATGCGGTTCTAAACTTACATGTGCAAAAGAAGACAGGTTACGTGCTGAAGGCAGCCAGGGCTCCCGTTGTTGAATAAGGAAACTAATACATAAGAAGAAACATTTGAAAAATCGTCATGGTTGTTCAATACTAAATCTGTAGGGCCCGCACGCCAAGAATGTCGCCAAGATGAAGGTGGCTTATCTGTCTTTTATAGATCTTCGTTAGCCCCTTCAGTGGTCCCACTATCACATGAAAGGCACCTCTCAAAGGATATGTGTTCTGCCGAAGCCTAACGGGATGTGTTCATCGTGAATGGCACAAAATTAGTGATATCATGATTAGACTATTGACTGAATGACTTTATCTCCGATTCACCACATCCCGATGAAGATCTCAAGTTTATGATTTCTAAAGTTGAAATAAGTCTCATGTGCTATTTGTGGATAATATCTTATAGAACACGATATAATTCTCTACGTACTGTATAGAATTTATTATCTCGGGTTAAGGATATAATCGGACTTGGACTTGAGAATCGGCCCGTCCCACTCAAGTCGGACCGTCGGGCATTGGCAGCCGATATGGACACTGTTCAGTGACAATGAACTAAAAATCGCTGGCCACATGGGATCGGGCCCGGTTTGACCCCGGTCATACCTGCGGATGCCGAGAACTCCCTCATGAAAGGACATTCTCGCCAAACCTCACTCGAAAGCCGAAGGCGACAAGGTTTTATTTCATTTCTTTTATTGTTTATGGAATAGCTATGCTGATAGCACTGCAGGTGTGCAGGATTCGACGGCATAACTCAGATATTTCGCAATTTATGCCCCCGTGCCCAGCACATCACTCAAGGTGCAAAGCCTGTAATATTCTTGATGTAAATCGGGCTCTGATGTAGAAGCGTCGGCCGATTTTTATGAGATGTTGAAAGGCGCTAATCATCAAGTCGATGCCGACGTCTAAACTTTAACTATGCAGACTGCAAGAGCCTTATGATGCAAGTATCGTCGAATCATTTCACTCGCTGCGAGCGCATGATAGCCTGGTATCAATTGAATACACCAATGACAATTCTGTCATTGTCTAAAAGGAAGTGTTGGTGCGTCTGGCCGACGGAGGAATTATCAGCCCGAATGACCCCATAGGGCCCATCGGCTTAGGAACCACAGACAGACGAATATGGACCCGTTTGTAAGCACCATACTTCCCGAGAACTTGTTATGCACAATTAATGCAATCAATTCAGGTGAATGAGTAAGCTTTCCGACCACAGATTGACGATTACACGCTTGAGAGCCGAGGTCTCCCGACTGCCAAGATCATGTATTGCAAGGCCGATTTTTTCTTGTCGGGTGGTCAGCCCGTGCCTCCGATTGGGTGAACCAGTGACACTTCGGCCCACACCTTGCGAGAATGGGCTTTTGATATGGAGGCAAACGACGCAATTCGCCAATATTAACGATGATTACCACAGCTTGGAATTTAATGTAATCCATCGCCTCCGAGAATCTTCGGCTCGGATCAAAAGTACCTTCCGTTCCGTGTCAATTTTAGCTCCCGAACTCAATGATCTACCTTGGCTGGTACCCAGGTCCCTCGCCTTCAATTTTCTCAATCGGCTCTAGAACTCTAGGCAGGTGGGTACTAGACGTCTAGCGGTGGGTTCAAAGCGTCCCCGTTTGTATTGTCGGGCCATATAGCCATAAGAATATCCCATGTCAAATTATAATTCCATTCATTCTTTATTCAACTCCTACCATACGTCACTCTTTTCACCTACCATGCACGTCGTCAAAGAGGAAGACTCCCATGAGGAGGCTTCCCACCATGTCGACAATCAACATGGTCATAATCAAGTGCCACCTTCATCTGCCTCCTCCGATAACTCCGATCAGACCCTCGCATCACCTACCGACACACGGCGCGAGATCGACGCAGCAGATGCTCAATTCATCACTCAAATGGTCAGCCGTGACACGCAATTATCCAAGATTGCGTCGCGAGTTATAGGCGCTGATGACCCTGCACTCGACCCTGAGAACAAAGACTTCGACCTCTCCAAATGGTTACGCTACATTGTCCGTCAGCTAAACCAGGAAGGCATCCTCCACTCCAAAGCCAGTGTCTACTTTCGCAATGTCCATGTCACAGGCACCGGGGCTGCGTTACAGCTACAGCAGACCGTGGACGGAATTTTCACCTCCCTTCTTCGTCCGCGCGAGACATTCAGCTTCGGTACCAAAACCCCAAAGCAGATCTTGAAGCAATTCGATGGAATTCTTGAAAGCGGCGAACTCCTGGTTGTACTTGGAAGACCGGGATCGGGCTGCAGTACTTTCCTCAAAACTTTATGTGGAGAGCTACATGGCTTGGAGCTAGACAAAGCCTCCGAGGTTCACTACAGTGGCATCCCT